GGTAATGCGGAGCAATGGTCCTGTTCTATCGCTACCACAACGCCGTCAGCTCCAGCGATTCCTACAGTCCAGCCCTCGCCGCATTTAAACACGACTGACTTCAACACGGAAAATACACCAAGAGAAGTTACCTTAGAAAGATCTGCATCAGTCTCGGAAAACAGATATTACGTTGACGGAACTGGTGCCAGGGCCCCATTTGGTGGCAAAGGCCAACATTCAATCTGCTCAGAGGGAACCGTAGATTTGGAAGAAGAGGAAGCCAATGTTGCTATTACGCCGGTCCAAACCTCGAACAGATCCTCCCTATGTCCGTTGGCAGCATACCAATCTCTGATAGAAGGCATCGCTACTGAAAATCGCAAGTCCCTCATCGAAGTAAACCCGTCGAGCTTACCTACGCATGAACAAGTGGCCGTGTCCGTTCGTCAATACTTCGAGTGCTTTCATCCCATTTTTCCATTCTTGAGGCGATCTTCTTTCGCACTCGATGCTTCTAAGAGCTGGCTCTTATTGCTCGCCGTCTCGGTCGTCGGCTCGAGATACTTGCAGCTATCACAGCATGCACGACTGAGTGAACAACTTTTCGACCTACTAGGCGCAATCCTTACGCGTTGCAAGTATGGTATAGAGTTGCAGGTTGCACTAGGTGACAAGGACGTCGATTACGTACCTAGCTGTCCAGCTCAGTTTGACACCATCCCTAGCATACCTGTCCTACAGGCCGGTATCTTGAACATCGCTTGCATGCTTCACTCTGGCAGAAAGGCTCTCGTTGAACGCGCCTTGGTAGAACGACACTATTTAGTCGAAGCTTGCCACTCACTTCAATTGCTCGTCCAGTCGAAGAGACCTTACAACTTCAAAACGACAACTAATTCTGACCACGATGATCTTCTTGTTGAATGGCAGATGAGAGAGTCGAAAATCCGCTCTGGGATGATGATATGGGTAACTCGTTCTTATTTGTCACGAATGATAAGAGGCTAATTGTAGCAGACTGTTGATACTTTGTTCGTTTACGAGTTTCAAGCCAAACCTCTGCTTCGAATTGAAGACATCGCTACAGTTCTGCCATGTCATGAAGACGTATGGGAGCATCCAGCCTTGATCCAACAAAACCAAAAAAGTATCCCTGATATTACGCTTACAGAGGCCTTGGAGATGATGTATGTTGAGAAGCGGCTACCAACTGGCCTCGGAGAGTTTAGCATGGGATTGCTTGTCATTACCATCTACCGACACACTGCCGATATTCTGGCTAGGGATAGAATCCAACTCAACTCGTGGACACCAACATCCACACCACAACGACGTAACGTCATGCCACCCGTACAGCAAGATTGGTTACCGACAACGCGGTTGGCAACTAAGTGGCGCAACAGCGCTTGTGATTGCTTAGATGTTTTACACTGGCCTGCGAATAGCAAGGTCGCTCGCCACTCGGGTTTCGAGCACCACACTATTCTCCAGCTGCATCTAGCTCGTCTAATCATTCTGGCTCCGACTAGCGCTATACAAAAATTTGCTTCAGGCTCTGCGTCAATAGAAAACATCCAGAGCGATAGGGATAGCCAGTCATCTGCTACAGCTCGTATCCAGGTTCTACAGTGGGTCATTCGAGATCACTGCAAAGCCAGACTTTGCTTGGTACACTGTGGAGCTTTGTTCTGGCACATCCGCAGGTACAGCTGTAGCAGTCTCCTCGAGCCATATGCAGTCTATATTGCGACTCTCGTACTCTGGGCCTTCTGTATCTGCATGCAACTTCCTGAAGCCGCCGAAGCTATTGCTTCCGAATCTGACGAAGAGCCAGAGCCATCATTTCTCCACCTTGATCGGCCATTAGACGATGAGCTAGTCCAAACATATGTGCGGATGGGCCATAAGATGTCGGCTTACATCGCCAATGTCGGCAGCCTTGAACATGAAGCAGCCCCAATGCGTATTGCAAGAGAAGGGATATCTTTGTTAGCCAAAGACACTGAGCATGCGTCAGGTTCCGACTACAGTTCTCCATCAGTTGCCAAAGACGTATGTTATACATGGGGCATCGAAAGGTCTTATATAAGCCTACTGCATCTTCTCGCAAAGGCGCAATGAGAATTGTTTCGCGGCATGAGCCATGCGGAGTTCACAGGTTCTGTACACCTCTTCTTGTCTTGTTGAGATGGCAGTTCTTCAAATTTCACTCTTGACAGCTTCCGCTTGTCATATCATGATCTCCGCAACACCTCTGTCATTTCAAGCAAACCTTTGCTGAGCACCAATGATAGTAGTATCACGTTGCACGCCTCGCGATAGCCGCAACTCGGGTCCCTCGGTATATCAGATTCCGGAACACATGGTGCTTCTCCGTCGGGGTGATTAGTGAAGGATCCACGCTACCGGTAGAGTGTCCGGGCCCCGCACGTGTGCTGATGGAAAATGCCGCGCCTAGGATCATCTCCACCGGAGCTGGGCTGGACCAGGATTAAAGTTGGCACAGCACAAACCCCATGGGGTATTCGTGTTCCGGTGGAGAAAACCTGGGGTAGCAGCCATGTTCCATGCATGATCGATTGGTTAGCTTCGAGAAGATGCCCAACTATGTATACTATAGTCATGTCTTTGAGTCCACTAATGTTACCTACAACATAAAGCTCTCTACATTCATCTTCGTTCTTTCCACCTCAAGATCTTTTCACTTCTTCAGTATCGTTGGAGCACATACCGATCCCATTCCATCATGGCAGACATGGACGAAAAGGCTGCAACCATGGAACAGCACGAGGTCTTCGACCAGGCCAGAGCGGCAGCGGATGAAGAGCACGAGATGACATTAGTCCAGGCCATGCGGAAATATCCTAAAGCTGTGCTCTGGTCGGTGTTATTATCCACCTGCATCATCATGGAAGGATACGACATCGTCTTGATGAGTTCTTTCTTTGCACAACCATCGTTCTCGCGCAAGTATGGGGAGTTCAATGATCGTACTGGAACGTATGAGATAACGGCATCGTGGCAGAATGGACTCAGCAATGCTGTTAGTGTAGGCACGATCATCGGAGCCTTCGCCAATGGCTACTTTATCCATCGGTTCGGTTATCGTCCGGTCTTGCTGGTATCGCTCGCAGCCATATGTGCTTTGATCTTCATATCTTTCTTCGCGCCCAACGCCCCCGTCCTCCTCGTTGGCCAGTTCCTTTGCGGCATACCCTGGGGTGTTTTTGCTACCATGGCACCTGCCTACGCCAGCGAGGTCTGCCCTCTAGCTTTGCGAGGCTACCTCACAGTATATGTCAATCTCTGTTGGGCTTTTGGTCAGCTCATCTCTGCTGGTGTGCAGTCAGCGTTCTCTGGTAATACCACGCAGTGGGCGTACCGTATACCCTTTGCCATTCAATGGGCATGGCCCATCCCTCTTTTCGCAATTCTCTGGATGGCACCTGAATCGCCGTGGTACCACGTTCGTACAGGAAATCTCGAAATGGCTGAGAAGATGATCACGCGACTTTCTTCCTCTTCGCAACGACACCTCACTAAGCAGAAGGTAGCCATGATGGTCCGCACGAATGAACTGGAGAAGTCCCTCGAGGAAAATACGTCATATATTCAATGCTTCAAGGGCATCGACCGCCGTCGTACTGAGATCGCGTGCATGGTATTCGCAGCACAGCCTATCTGCGGTTCGGTAATGGGAGGCACGCCAGTAAGTATTACTGTGTGAATTCCATGTGAGACAGATACTGACGCCAAACAACCACAACCAGACCTACTTCTTCGTCCAAGCCGGCGTCCCAAACTCGATCTCATTCAAGATGTCGGTTGGTGGTCTCGGCATGGCATCCGTCGGCACTCTCATATCCTGGATCCTCATGAGCTATATTGGTCGTCGAAAGCTCTATCTGTGGGGACTTGGTGGTTTAGCGACCATCTTATTCATCGTCGGTTTCATCAGCGTGGGCGCTGGTGACTCCTCCGGCGGAAACTATGCTCAAGCTGCCATGATGCTCATCTGGCTTTTCTGGTACTACATGACCGTAGGTCCAATCTGTTATGCCATCGTTGGAGAAGTCTCATCCACACGTCTTCGGAGCAAGAGTGTGTGTCTAGCTCGCATCACATACTACATCGCCCAGATTGTGACCAACGTCATCAACCCGTACATGTTAAACCCTACTGCGGGAGATTGGAAGGGCAAGACTGGTTTCTTCTGGGGCGGAGGCGCATCTATCTTCTTCATCTGGACTTTTTTCCGGCTCCCGGAGACAAAGGGACGGACTTATGAGGAACTGGATATCATGTTTGCTGAAGGCATTCCGGCGAGAAGCTTTGCGAAGCATACTATTGACGCATATGCTCATGGGGATTATGTTGATCGGAAACCTTCTGCAGATGAACGCATTGAGTGAGAGCTTGGGTGATCGGTGAAACATATGTTAGATGCTATTTTCGTCCGATCCGGGACGAGAGCGCTGTCGTCAGTAGCAATTTATTCGTATGTCCTAACATGTATGAGAACCATGAAACTCTATGTACTTACACACAGGGGGGAAAAACTGAGAATACTAATCTCATAGGGTCACTAGCTGAAGATCAAATACAGAGGCTTGTCAAGGTCCATTGATTGCCCACTAGTGGAAGAGCGGAGATCGGTGCACATGACGGATCGCTGTTGTGCTGCTTTTTGCTCTGTTTGTACCGGAACCAATTGTCAGCTCAGCCTCCACCCGACATTGTTCTGGCTGTAACATCCTCATACACTGTAGCCACAATTCTAATTCCACTTCGGCAACATGGATACGTCTATCGACTTCCACTACCATGAAGTATCGGTCAAGAAAGGCAAGAGCAAGAAGGACAAAAGCGGAAAGAAGTCTAAGAAGGCCGAGACTAGGTCTAAGCGCGAGTCTGACCTAGAGAACCAAGGCTTCGCTGAGCAAGACCTAAGAACTGGTGTTTGAGACAGTCAGGTAAAAAGATATTAGCTTGTAGCGACTCGAGGAATCGAGTGACATGTATAGCCTTTGGTATCAAAAAAGTAATCTAACGATGCTCGATAGTGATGCGATGGTAACAAAACATGAAAATTGTAAATGATATAGTAACATAAATTCTTGAGAGTAGTAGCAGTGAAGAAAGTGAACGTCAAGTAATGTTTCACAGCTCGTCTCTTCCGTCTTTAGCCTTCACCTTCAACGCCTCGACTGTGAACTTTACTTCCTTATCTCCCGTGTTCGTATGACTGATCTTCCCAATCACAGCCCCGTCCTTCGGTTCGTTCGAGTAGTTCTCTAGACCATCAAACACACCCTCACACTCCTCTCCACCCTCGTCAGCATCGTCAACCCACAAAGGGAGTATCGGGTAAATCGCCCCTGGTGCGAAGAAAACCATATCGTCCTGGACGCTGTAGTGTCGTTGTAGCGACTCGCGCTTGAGCCACTCTCGTACTTTGTACGGCATGTCTGCCATATTCATCTTGATGAGTTCACGCCCGGTACCGTGGACGTCGATGCCCGCCCAGGAGCCGGCGTAAAGTTGCTTGTTGTAAAACACTTTGAGTTGGGGTGCTTGCTCTTTTAGATCAGGATACAGCTCATTGAGCTTGTAGATTTTGGCATTGTAGGTGTTTTTGTTGCGGCAGTGTTGGGTATAGGGTTTTAGGGTGTTGCTGTCCCATTGTGCGGTCCAGAGTGCGCCTACAGGAGTTGGCTCGTCAGCTGCTGGAGAGGCTGCGGCTGGAGGTGTGGAGGATGAGGATGAGGATGAGGCGTCTTCGGCGGCATATACAGTCGCTGCCAGGAGCGCTGGTGATAGCAGCGAGAGGAATCTCATATTGCAATCGGTCGGATTTCTGTGCGTCGAAGTGAAGCGATGCCAGGCGATCAGAATATGGGGTAGTAGAAGTTTCAGCGTTTTGACTATGTGCAAATGTCACGTCGTACCGCATTGCTACCCCAAATTATATATCCACGATTCAATTTTCTTGCGTTCTGTCCTTTTCATTCCGCGCGAGATCCCATGACGTCTCCGCGTTGATGTTCCGCTTTCCATATTAAGGGCCAGGGTTGTTAGCGACGCGACAAGAACGCGATAGATTAAAAGAACACCGTGGAAGAGCGCTGCAATGATGATCGGCGTGTACTTCGCCGAGAAATCGCCCACCGCACGCGCTTCGTTGTTGTAGGTTTCGTGCTTCCGAATAGTGGAGATTGGAGTGTGGAGGGACGCGGGGGCGAAGCTTCCATTGAAGAGCTACAGTGCCCGTGCGCGAATTGATCACCAACGCGAATTGATCACCCCCACCAACTCAACAAGCCAACTTCAACGCGTCATAACTCCACCAATATGGACCCGATTCAAGAAGCGATTAGAGAAATCGAATCGTGCGAACTAGGAGAACAATTCTCGTACCAACAACTTGCTAAGAAGTATGGCGTCAACCGCTGTACGCTCGCCCGAAGGCACAAGGGCATACACGAGGCACATGGCTTGCGCCGCCTCTCTCTCCATCCACATCACGAAACCGAGCTTGTACAATACATCGATACGCTTACCGAACGATGTTTGCCACCTTCAAGGGAGATGATACAACGCTTTGCTTCAGATTTGGCTGGAAAAGAGGTTTCGGAAACCTGGGTTACCCGGTTCCTCCAGCGTCATCCAAACCATCTCATCTCCGCGTACAGCAAGGGGATGAGCAAACTTCGTTGCAACGCCGATTTAGGAGCCAAGTACAGCTTGTATTTCAAGCTTCTGGCTGAAAAGATAGAGGAGTACAACGTCCAACCCACCTATATATTTAATATAGACGAAAAGGGGTTTCAACTTAGGAGGATTGGCAGAACAAAGCGTATCTTCTCTAAGGCACGTTGGGTGAAAAAGGGGGTACGCTAGCTGCTTGAGGATGGCTTAAGTGAGTGGATAACCGTTGTGGCTTGTATTTGTTGGGATGGGAGCGTTTTGAGTCCTTCCCTTATCTTTAAGGCAGCTAACGGAGCTATACAAACAAGCTGGGTTGATGCTGTACAAGCAGGAAACTACTTAGTATTTACTACGTCATCACCCTCCGGCTGGAGCAACAACGATATTGGGTTACATTGGCTTAAGGAGGTGTTTGAACGGGAGACCAGACGATACGCTTTAACTGGGTATTGTTTATTACTTCTTGACGGCCATGGATCCCATGTAACTATGAAGTTTATTGAGTATTGCAACGACTACAAGATCCTGTTGGCTATATACCCACCCCACGCTACCTATACGCTTCAACCACTTAATATAGTGATGTTTAAACCTCTAGCAAACGCTTACTTAACTGAGTTGACTTAATACCTTTAAGACAGCCAAGGATTACTTAATATAGCTAAAGGAGACTTCTTCCCGCTCTTCTGGAGGTCCTGGACTAAGGTTTTCAAACCTCCCCTCATTAAGAAGTCCTTTGAAGCAACTGGGATACACCCACCTAACCTGGACGTTGTACTTAAGAAGTTTGCTAAGGAGGGGTTGGATTTAGAAGCTAGTTCAACTTCTGTACTCTCCGCAGAGGATTGGCTTAAGTTAAAGTTAATTGTACGTTAAGAGGTGAAGGATCAAAGCAGCAAGGGCGTTAAGAAGCTTTAACGAAGTTTACACCACCTTGCAGCTTAAAATACACTCCTCCACGGCGAACTTAAAGGCCTCAGGCAATCCCTAGCCATTAAGAAGAGGCGGGAAATCAAATCCTATACTCTACAGCTTGAGGATCATCCTGAGTATCATGGAGGAGCTGTCTGGTGGTCACTAACAAGCGTCAAACGAGTTCAGAATAACAAACTTCAACAACAACAACAAGCCGAGCTTAAAAAGCTTCAAAAAGCCAAGCAAGCCGAGGCAAGCAAAGCAGCTCGTAATTGTGAGCTTCAACTCAGAGCTGCGAGGCGTGTTAAGCGGGAGAAGGGTTAGGAGGAGACCAGAAAGCGGAAGGCCGAAGAGAAAGCTGAAAGAGAGCATCGTAGAAGCCTCCGCGAAGCTGCTAAAGCTATAGAATTGCCCCAATCAGGTAAGCGCAAAGATTTAAAATCTCATAAGCCAGCTACAAAGCGTCAAAAGCGTGGTGGTGTTGTTCCAGCTGTGGTGGGAGCCGCAAGGGTTGCACGAGCTGCTCCGCCGCGTAGTCGACGGCAACGACCGATAACGCCCTCCAAAAAATTATCTGAATAAGCTAAAACGTCCGCAGGCCTGTATATAGTATAGTCCTAGCTTTGCGCAATTTTATTACGATTTGTGGTGGCTCTACAAGCTCATCTTTTTGAATATATTGAGTTGTTGGGGTGATCAATTCGCGTTGGTGATCAATTCGCGCACGGGCACTGTAGCGCCCGCACGTGGAGAAGGGGCTATCGCCTCTCGTTTGCATGAGACCGGATTGCTGCTCTTATCGTTTTCCTTGTTCGGCATCCCTCACAGGCCCACCGTGGATGATGCCGTCGACATGGCTTGGCCTAGGAAAAGACACTCGTCGCCTTTCAGCCGTAACACGAATAGTGTTTCCCTTGTGTATAACACCGCGAAGATATTGGCAGCCCGCATACACCCCCCGACCAAGATCAAAGTCTCCTTCCTAAGTCCAGAGCAAACAACGCATCTGGCAGTCTGTTTTGGCGACATATCGATATCGAAGTGCAGGCCACTCAAACTGCCTCACTCACAGGTAAAGCATGCAACCACGCTATGAGATTCTCAAACTCTTTGTAGAAACTGCTCAGTGATCTATGTCAACTTCTTGTGAAAGTGCGGGCTAAACCGCGCAAATTCTCGTCTCGAAATTTATCACTGGAGCTAATCACTTCGTAGACCTCCGCGGCTGGATTGTGTTTGCCTTAACCCTGATTTACGAGATCGTAAAGATCAGGTAGTGGATTTGTAATGCTCGCTATATCGTGGGTGACCCTGGCAAGGCGGAATCCTCTTTGGGATTGCGCGTGGCACGAGGATCAACTAAACGTCTGCCGCACGCGTCGCGAGGCTGCGATCTCGACGAGGTCGTTCGTAGTGCTGTGGGTATCGATTTAATCGTGCGCGGCCCATTTGGTATAGTTTCGAATGATCTGTGGATGTCTCAAAGCCTGTATTGTTGGTATATGACTTACTGAAGATGAGGTGTGCCGGTTGTGGGGTGGAATCTTGCGTCAGGCAAGATGGCAAACCTCACCGCGCTAGCTGGAGGGTGGCTTACACTCGACCCGCTAACAAGAGCTTAAACAACAGCTTTACCCGGACAATCAAGATGTGATGCACTTTGCAGCTGGGACAAACATCTGATACATCTGAATCTCCATTATGATCAAATATACAAGTCATATAGCATTTTATGTTCAGCTCTACCCGTCTTGATCGTATACGCACTATTCCAACACCAACTACTCATTATCTGGTTTCTATGCTTTTGTTTGTCTGACGAGCGGCTTCAGTCCCGGGAGCGCAACGACGATGATTGAGAGAGTCATCTCTACCATACTCAAAGGATCTATGAGTGAACACGTTAGCTTAAATGTCGTGTACATGAGACGTGGTACTAAAGTGGTGGACTTACAAACAAGGTTTTCCTGCCCTGTTCCAACCTTGAGGCAGACGAAGCGCACGATACCGGAGGCAATAGTAAGCGCTCCCAACGCGAAAGTAAGGCCAACACCGGTCGAGGACCTGAGTATACCCTTTACCAAAAGCACCACAGGAACGGCGTAAACCACAAGATAGCAAGCCAGGTTCAAAGTGAAGTTCAGAATGAACGGCTCCGGCGCATAGAAGACAGAACATGCGCCTTCTTCTTGAGACCACTGCACAGATACAGGCGTGCCGCAGAAGAAGGTGTCATCGAAGAGGATAGTGACGTAACTCGCGACGACAAAGGCTGTGATACCAAAGAGCATCTTGCGCAGTCCCGGGTGACCGGACAGATTGAAGAATACCCAGTAGAAGGCTAGCATGCTGAGTTTCGGGAAACCCATACCGACATCGTAGAAGTAATTCGAGGCGAAAGAGATCTGCGGAGCGGGTTAGCCGAGTATGAAGTGCGATAATATTAATGATGAACTACCTTTGACAGCTTCTCTGACGTTTCATAATTGTCCAAAACGCCCATCTTGTATGTGAGCGTGTCGCAGATGATCAGTCCCAAAGCAACCAGCGCAGATGCAATCAATAGGTAGTCCGACGCGTCCAACTTCGAATGGAGACGAAATAAACGCGTGTACATGCGCGCAGCAACGAACAGGTATGCGAAAATCAGGAGGATCCATTCCGAGATCTGTTACATTACGACTTGTCAGCATTGTGATCTTTCAGTAAACCATGTAGTGTTTCCTATGACATCGGCTTACCATGCAGTCTTTCCCGTCAATGTAGTGTGCCATCTTCGCTGCTGTAGTGTGACAGAACACTTGCGAAACAAAGGATAAAGCCAACGAAGAGTGGTTCGCTCGCTTGACCAGAGAATTGCAAGGCGTATGTATATGAACCACATTCCATCCCATGCAGGGTACTATATTTTGCCGAGCATACATCATGCCATAGCTACTGGAGACACCTCTGGGCGTACAGTTGTGCCGCCTATCATGCGAAACTGTTACCGGACATCAGTCCTGGACTGTCAAGATGCATATTAGCTCGTTCGCCCTGCATGCATGCGCGCGGAAAACTGCCTGTAATCGAGGCGCTTCAGGAGCCGTGTTAGATGGGCTGATCCCAACTATGACCCTTGTGCCTCGACGGCTGTACCGTCTCGGTGGGTTTGGTCGATAGCGGGAAGGGCTTTTTAGGCGGATCGCATCCGGTTTCATATCTTTCATGTTCCATTTGGCGTAGTAGATTGTTCCACGTCGATCGAGTATATGCACATCCTGCGTCGTTGTTGCGTTCGCGCAGCTTTTGGCTGTTAGCAACAAGCAAGATCAAGCATTGAAGGTGTCATCCCCTGTTCGGTTAGGCGAACCGGTGGGTGAAATTTGCCAAACGAGGCCTCCCACAGGCGAAGCCGTCGGCCAATGCCGACCCACAGAGTAACGGCAGGATTGCGGCACAGGTAACAAGTATTTTCTGAGGTGCGTGAGGACTCTTGGGTTCACGGAGTGATATACAGTTGCAGCTCGGTTGGAGGAGTCTTCCATCAGGCGTGGCGCTCGGTGGCTTGTGCGGACCGCTGTCAGCGGAATGAGGTGCGATCCTTCCGGCTCGATGCAAGCGGCCTGCTCGACGGCACAGGGTCCATCCAGATGTCTAATGTTGAGATGATCCGGCTGCTAAAACTCGTACAAATGGACCTGGCCCGATCCTTTAATTCTTGTTGCCTTGGCTGGTTCTAACTACAGCTCTACTGCAAACACCCACCCCCTGAACCGTTCTCACGGGTACTTTGCAGAGCTGTCGTGCTCTTCATCCTGCGACTTCGAGAACTGTACACTAACGCGATGAGTCTCGTAGATCACATCCTTCCTTGCCATGGTATTAAGCTCCACTTCGCTGCCTGAGTCTTCATCGGTGTGTACACGAACGCTGTGCTTGCCTCTTCTGGAAGGTCGCAAGAAGTTGTGCGAACCTGATGCTGGTGTTTGGTGCCCATAGGTACGAGACTCGGAAGAACGCGACTTCTTGTTGGAGGAAAATAGGGTGCCACGTCGCAGGAAGGATCTCATCGACGGTAACGAAACCACCATGATCGCGACAGCCATTTCAGCCATGGAAAGGACATCTAGACAAACGTCAGTCTGGGTCGTAATGTGGTAGATTGCATCAACCTACAGACGTTGGTCCAAGCATATATGACCTCTATCGTTGCAAAGCGGACCATACTCATAGCTATGGTAACGGCACCGAGTGAGAACGTTGCAACAAGACCCCAGATCTGGCGACGGCGAAGCTGCAGTGAGCGAAGAAGCGGAAATGGCAAAGCAAAAACTATCGTTCCGAAGTTAGTGTTCAGAGTGCTTCGTGAATGGTATGCTGCGGCTTACTGAACAAATCTGATGTGACATTGAGGCTCCAATCGATCCGAAAAACTTCTTTTGAACTGAAGGTGTTGCATGCTCCCTCATCAGGAGACCAATTCTGAGAGACCTGGCGCCCGCACCAGAAAGTATCAAGAAAGAACGTCGATATCATGGCAGTACCGGTAAACAAGGTTACCGCATAGAGTGCTTTTCGCAACCACGGCATCGTTGGCGGAATGAGCCTGAAGTACAGCGCGAGGATGGCCAGCTTTGGCCAGTAGATACCGGTGTCGTAGAACGCATTTCCAGCGAATTGTACCTATGAGTGTCAATTGTTCCGTCTGATCCATGCTACCAAGCTGCCGATTTACCTTCTTAAGCGCAATCACACGAGCTACCGATGGCTCTGGTACATCGTCCGACATGCCTCCCCATGTGTATGTCAGATAGTCGGTAACGAAGAGCCCGATGGCATCCAGGATAGATGCTATCAGAAGGCTATCGCTGACAGTGGGACATTGTCGTTGCAGAAAGCGGGGAACCAGCCGACCAGAGGCCACAAGCATCGCGAGAGCCAGAAGAGTACCCTCGATGGGCTTTTCAGGTGCATTAGTAGACGGAAAAAAGTAGAGTAAAGTACTTGAGACATACAATTACAGACTCTGGAGCAACGCCGTTCGCCATGATTGAGGAGAACAAACAAATATACCATGAAGTAATCAATAACAACAGGAATCGAGAGAGGAAGTCAGACAAAGGTAGTCTTGTGGTTTCTAAGAATCGAGAGCATCGCTTGGGTGTATACAAGCTCGTAAGACGGACATGTATCGGGTCCGTCTCGCCATCTACATAGCGACTGTACCTGGTTGCTGCGATCGTACCACACCTTACTGCTCGCTTGGCAATTTGCGCGGAAATAATCAGTATGTCTGCATGCCGGGACCTGCAGTCACAGAGTTGGTACGGAACGACATGGGTGTATATGTTAACGCAGGGATCTTTGTTGAACGGTAAAGGGAAGGCCGAGGCGAAGGATCACGGCGCAGCCCAACAGGGCGTTTACCTGCCTTCCTATACAATGCAAATTCGCAGCTCATGGGAGCTAGTATCGTGTTGTGCCGCAAGAGAAATAATGCGGCCTGCATGCGAGGACGTTGCACTAGGTTTCTCGACGGCCATTACGTTATGCTTGGGATTCTTCTTCTTCGTTGCTACAGCGTTTTGTAGAATTTCTGAATCCGAACGGGGCTGCTTCTTTTGCTTCTTTGAATTTATCATGGGATGGCTGGATAGTGTGAAACTGATCTCGCGTCGCGATCATGTCGCGCTTTCGCGGCTACGCTCACCTCTTCTTCAAAGCAGCCTCAGATTCTGCAGGCTTTCTTCAGCGATTGTGTTCGCTACCGCTTATTTTCCGTGAGTGTTGAGACAAATATCAGACGGGAAGACGTTCGGCCGTTGATGCAATGAGGATCGAGACGGTTTAGTAGAGATCACGCAGCGCGCGCCATCATAGCGCGCCGGAGCGATGACGTAACACTAACGCCAACCTCCCACGAGAGAACCCAACGCGCATACCACAACAGAACGACCCCGCTACACAAATATGCCTGACAATTCCGAATCAGTTCCTTCTACTCACAGCTTCCTCGCGCTAGTATTCGTCTCGACCCTCTTCGCAGGCTACATCATCCTCCCAGCAGCCTTCCCGCAACCCAGGACAAAAGACGAATACACAGGATGCATAGAATATCCGGAATATTGGGATTGCCCAGGAGATTATGTTGATACAGAACCCGAAATCATACAACTTCCTCTTTTACTCTATCTCTCTGCCTTGGCCTGCAGCACAGGCGTATTAGGTTGTTTGTGTCTATGGTGGAAATACCAGAGGAACTACAAATGGCTGATGAAGAGGATCTTGATGCCAGCTTTGTGTAATAGTTATGCGGGGCTTTGGTCAGCACTTGTGATCGCAAACGACGCGGAGAAGAGAGGATATAGCAGGACTATGAGGGTGGCTATGGTTGCTCCATCGGCTGGGTCAGTGGTGGCCGCGGGATTAGGTTTGGGGTATTATGCTGTGATGTCGTGGCTTTCTAAGCGAGGGCAGGACGTGAAGCCTGCAGCTTTAGAAAGAGGCAAGAAAAATAGGCAGGATGAGGATAGCTAGTCAGTGTATACGTAAGTTAGAGTTTGGATCTAAAAGACATTGGGTATCAAGGAACAAAACGCCAGCATCGATGTATAATGCACGACAACGCTTATCATACATTCTTACCCGCCTCTTGCTTCTGCTCGGCTGCTTTTGTCCTCTTCTTTGGCTCACTTGCCGCGTGCGCAATCGCTTTTACCATGTTGAAGAGAAAGATGCCGATAAAGACGATAGTCACAAATGCAAGCACAGCAACTACGGAAATCTGCATAGAGGGTCAGCTACTTTCTCTTGTGTATCATCGATGATCTGATACGTACCATGCTAAACACAACGAAAACATAACTGGCGCGAAGGAATGCATAGTTATCTTCGAGTTCTTTGAGGCCTGAACCGACTTGCATAGCGGAAAGGACGAGACTGAAGAAGACGAATACGATAAGGATCCAAGAGAAGTTTCGCTGGAAGAAGATCACGTAGCGATTGTATCCGTATCTATGCGAAATTGTTAGCCAATATATCCTATCAAAGCCTCTATGCCAACTTGTTCCCATCGGCAAGGATGTACTTACAGATATCCTCTTACAAAGTGCGTATGTGCATACCGTATCCGATAGGTGCTGTTGATTCTTCCCAACCTCAAATCGCCGAACTGATACCGCTTATTCACCTGATGTAGTGTGTTGATATCCACATGGTGCATGAAATCCCTCACAAAGTCTTTCCACCAGTGCCAAGTTATGAAACTTGGCAGGAGCGTGCATTCGTGTGCAATCTTCAAGTCGAGTGGTGTAGTGATGAGCCACACATAGCTCACCAAAAACCCTGCGGCACTCTTCCACAGCCAGCCTTCTTCTCTCTTGACATTGTTGTTAGAATCAGCATCGCCTGGTTGACAGATGTGCTCTCTCCAAAAGTCATAGCTGAGCATCCACTCTGGCAGCGGCTTGACTAGCAGTTTGTTTGAATATTTCAACAAATGTAGGTCCATTTGTTGTGTGCCTAGCACTTCCATGCCCAGCATCCTGTATCTGTGCAACGGTCTAGCGCGCATCGGCCGGCCTGCCATCCATAGGTGTCCATGTATGCGATTGAGGCGCGAGAGATCGAGATCGTGTTTCAGGAACTGGCGAGGGTCATCGTTGGCAAGGTATGCCTCGTTGTTCCTGCCGCTTATGGTGGGAAGAGAGTCTTCCGGCGTTAGCGGTATGGTTGTGACTGAGTCCAGCACAGGCTGCCCGCTCGCCAAAGCGTGACCCTGGTTGGGGTCGATATGACCATTTTGATGCACGAGTTCACGTGCTGTGGGGTTGCTGGAGTTGGCAGCCGTGGAGGGAGGTGGAATCGGACGAGAGGAGAAGGGTGGTCTCAATGCGCTGCTCTGTTACCTGTAAGCATTCGTCCAGCCTGTTCCAACGTCATTATGCAGTACGTACAGTCTGTTCAGTCGTCTTCTCGTTCATACTGCACATCAGCGATTATTTCAGATAGTCTTATGAGGGATGAAACGCAGCGCAGGGCTCTATATGATGCTTGACGCCGGCAAGCCTGCTGCGGCTGTAGCACGAGGCTCACATATGCAGGCACACCGCGCACGAGGCAGGCGCATCATGACACGGGCAGGCATCAACTCCGCCTTCTCGATGGCGCGCGGGAGCTACGCACTAGAATGTGGGGGCTGAAGACGGGGGCTAGACTGCTCCTGAGGCTGAGTCTTGGTATGGCAATGAAGATGCAGCCTGGGAGCTTGATTGGTGAGCAGATTCGTGCGCACTATTTATATCGGCGGACAGGTACCAAGCCACCACCACCACCACTACTACCACCACAAGGAGAGACGCGGTCTGCTTTGACATGTCACTCGCGTCGACTCCCAGTCTGAGATGGCTGACATTACACCACAACTACACTATCGGGAAGTGTTGCAAGCTGGCATACTGTTGCTGTTGGAGCACGAATCCATGCGCAATCTGCATCAAGACGCAAGAGCTGTTCATTCTGCCTTAACTTGAGTCCACCTTAGTCGTTCTGCAGCTGGTTCGTGACACCAACAAAACTGCTGAAACGCCATAACACCACCTTCTAATGCAGTTTTGGATATCATTGAAGTTCTTCTGTCCCCTACACTCGCACATCGCCCAAAGCTGGCCAAACTCATTTGCAGTAGTTGGCGGGAAAACTGCCCTTTTGTCCGTGTATCTCGCCCTCCCACCAGTCTTGCGAGCTTTCAGTCTTCTTCACCACGCGAATCCGGTCGCCCTCTCTAAAATTTAAGTCGCCAGGAGTAAGACTGTCGAAATCATACATGGCCGTCACGTACTCAGACTGAAACGATCCAATCTTCTTAGGGGGCGGTGGAGGCGGCTTTTTCTTCCCTGCTGCTGGGTTAGGCGATGAGGGATAACCGCTTGGAGTCGATCCATTCGAGGCAGGGGTTTTGTTAAAGTAGGAATCACCATTTGTTCCATTTGAGTACGAGGAAGCCTGGGAGGTGGAGGAGGCACGGCGGCCATACATGTCCTGACCAGCGCTCAGATGGGGCGAGCCACCTATCTTTGGCTTCGAGGCGCTAAGAGAGCTGTATGAAGGCTTGCTAGAGAGGCTTATAGGTGGACCGCTTTCGGAAGTGGACGAAAGGGTCTGGGACGGTCGCGCAGGTCGTCCGCCTCCGGTGATGGTAGGCACACTGTCGTTGCTGCTGGCTCTCCTACCAGGCATGACCTTATTTCTAATGCCTAGGCCTGTCAGTGTATCTCCCTTGTCCGGTAGTCGCATCGGCATGTGGACTGCCTTGCCGGTCTTGAGCAAGCCCAAGCTTGTCTCCATCTCCTGGCGCAGTGGTGTGAAGTTTGAGTCCCATAATGGTATGACTTCTTCCGGCTCAGGTGGTGGGTCGGGGTATCCTTGCTCGTGTGAGTACTGGTGCAGTACAGTATACAAGTTCCCAATCAAGTTATTCTGTAGGACGATCTGGTTCGCTAGGAGGTGTGGTAGGATTGAGAAGGTCGCGGCGTTCAGACGTGGTAGACGTTCTCGTAGATTCTCGTCAGCAAGCTGGTATGCGTGGGTAGAGCGCTCGAGATCGACTTCGTGTTTGGCGAGAGCGCTGTTTTCGCGCTCCGAACGCGTCTTCTTAGCCTGGAGGGCTTCGCAGCGGCTCTTGTAGCGCTCATAATCGACCTATTATCGCTTTGTCAGTACATCCGATAGCGCGACTCGGAGGCTGTCTGACCTTCGCATCTTCCCGCTTCTTGATAGCCTTCTCCATGGGCTTCAATGCATCTCGAGCGAGCTTCGCCGGTATGACCAGTTTCCTGTCGATGTCTTTGACCTCCTCCATCATATCCGTCTTCAGTTCCGAAAAGGCCTCATGGAGGGCGTGGACACGCTCCAGGACGGCAGACGGAGTTTCGGCATGTACATGGGTGCTGTTGGAGCCTTCGCCGCCGAGTGGTTTGAAAATGGTGTATAGTAGCTCGACCGAAGTGAGTTGATGGTTGAGGATGTTGGTCCACGCGTCCCGCCATTGCTTTGCTGACGCTTCGAGCTGGGCGACGAGTTAGTCCAAAACTCGGCAACGAAGTGAAGAGCCGATTCCTGTGCTGGATAGATAGGATGCATTGCGTCCATTGACGTGGATGGCTGGTGTAGGACTTGATGGGATTAGGGATGGCCCCACTAGTTCATAGGACCGAACAATGTGAGATGACAAGCCACATCGGACGTACCTTTTCCAACATAGTCTTGGAGTCGTTGAAGTCCTTCAACATGGATTCGACATCGGCTTCATTGGGCGTCCTCGTGAGGAAACGCCCCGTAATCCTCTGCATGCGCTGCATCTTGCGACGTGAAGGCAGCAATTGTGTGCGAGGTAGGCCTGAAGTAAGAAGAGGACAGAATAACCCAAGTAATGGGCAGCAGGCAGTAAGTAATGCTCGCGCGTCCACTAGCGGTGGCTGTGCTCAAAGCCGTGTGGTAATTGAGGTGAAGGTGAGCAGGGGTGATAGATGGCCCCGCACCAGTTGTCGCAACAACTCGCTGCCCGCTTAGACCAGTTTCTAGTCTAAAGGTGGATTGTGAAAGTCGTCGCGGAGAAGCTTAGTTTGCTAGAGCTAACTCGCAGCAACGAGAAGCGAATTGTGGCTATACCCGGTGCCCGCATTTGGTTTCCTCAGCTCGGCACCGAGAAGGACCGTGGATCAGACGGCATGGTGATGCAAGGCCACTCAGCATTGGGCTGCCGAGCACGAAGACGTGTCATGACTGAAGTGGAAAAGACTGGATACGGATACCCCTGGTATGTTTCCGGTGAAAGCTCAAGGGTCCTGGGGCTGGGTAGCCACTTCCGTAGTGTGCGACGCTAAACCACGTGCTCGCGCGGAACAGCAGGCGCGGTTTATCCCGCCGAGGCGCGTCACCGTCACCTCTCTGGCCTTCACCCTCCAGCACGACCCCGCCTCCATGTCGCCCGCGCACAAGACGACGCGTCTCAACCGAACCGATACGCCATGACGGCCCCCCGTAGCACGCAATATGCGTCCACCATCGCAGCCATCACCGCCTCCCAAAACAGCGCGCCGGTCGCCGAATTTCGGTGCCTGTACACACAAGACGTAAAACGAAAGCAAAAACGATGGCAGGATGGATATCTCAAGTTCCACACGTTCAACAGCCGAGTCATGGTGTACGACCAAGCAAGAAACTTTCTGGGCGATACATACCACAAGGACAGCAACCAAGTGCAGGAAGGCGATGAACTCACTTTGAATAATGGCGCGCTGGTAGAGGTCGCCGAGCCCATGGGCATCACACATACAGACCTGACACAACTACTTGAGAAGAAGACGAAAGAGCAGCCCCCACCCCGCCCGACCGTTCCTTCCCAACCGAAACCGTTCCAAAGACCGTCATCGGTAGCACCGGCCAACGCCCAGCGAAGCGCATCGCAACTGCGCCATAAATCACTCAATACCCTGCTTGGAACGCCGAAAGGGCCGATCGGGAAGGCCCAACCTATGAAGTCCCCGTACGAGGCTCGGAAGGAAAAAGAGAATGAACAGATTGAGGAAAGCGCGCCGAAGAGGCAGAAGACGGTCCAGCCACTCTCCAACCGGAGGGAGTCCAGACCGGTTCAAGAAGAAAGCCCTATAGCAAAGAGAGACTCGGCCATACCTCCAAGACAACCGGAAGCGAAGAATGCCCGAAAACCTGCTAAGTTTGTGCCGCCGACAGCGACCGTCATCACGATAGAACCCGAGTCCGACCCTCATTCGGCGTATTTATCAGACGTAACGCTCCCAAGCACACCACCAAAACTTCGTAGAGCGAGGGCACAATCTGGCGTAGTTCATACTCCAGCTCCGCAACCTAGTATATCCCAGCAATCATCCGTACAAACTCCAAAGATACCTAAAGGTAAGGTGCCGATACCAAGTGCAAAGGCTTTAGAGACTCCAAAGCAACGGGCCCCACCATCCTCACCCCCAGTGAGCGCCTCGAATCGCCTCATGAACGTCGATTTTGCGGTTCAACCGATAAAGGAGCCATCCAAAGACCCTACACCTACAGCGCAGCCTTCGCCTCCTCCTAATCGCAAAGTCAAATCGCTCCGGTTGTCTACAGGTGTAAAGCGCGGAAAGTTGCTTTGTCAGTCTTTGCCCCAACAGACAGTAAGAGCTGGGGGCGAGGCCAGAGCGACCAGCTTCAAAGCCAGGGTTCGGCCAACATCACGCATAACAAGCAAGGAACCATCGCCTGCAGTGTCGCAAAACAGTAATCCTCCACCACAAGAACTTGTCTCTGAAGCGTCCAGACGGATATCCAAAGACAAGCGAGGAAGGACAGATGCCGAAGATAGTGACGACGTTGCGTTAAAAAGAGCGAGGGTCTCCAAGTCCCCATCACTGCCATCGCTGAGTGTCCTGGAAGATCCAGAAGTCATACATGGCTTCATGGATCAGCGACTATTAGTACCCTCGTCTCCTCCACAACCTCAGATCATGTCTTCTTCTCCTCCAGAGAACGTTCCCCAGTCTAAACCGACTATCACCAAAAAGATGAAGAAGATATCCGCTGAATCATCACTTAAGCCCGCGACTGCGAGACCAAAGTCACCTCCATCAAAGGAAACCGTCCGGAAAGCGCAGTCACGAAACAGCACTGTAGAGAAGCCCGCGCCAGCACACAAAGTCCCATCGCCTCCCATACCCGCACTCGATCCACCGATACCAGTATCGAGAGACGTGTCGCCAGTGCATACCGAAGCATCAGAAGCACGATCACGTACGCCTTCAACCTCGCCTCGCAAAGTCCCCCTTTCAACCGGCGGTATCCCCAAGCGGCCAGCAAAGCGAACCAAGAAGCAACCCACCTCAACCACCACGATAGAGGAAGGCTCTGCTTTACCCCCTCGTAATGAGCCCGTAGCTCTGCCGCCACATCCCCTTCGGGCAAACAAGAAAGGTCTCATGATGAGCACAACCGAACTAGCATCTCTTCTCCAAAAACCGAACAACCTGGCTAAGGTTCTCGCGGATCCTATTGAAGATGGCTCAAATATCACCAGTGCAGGAAAGTCGCCGAGCAGAAACTTCAGACGTGTGAGAAGTGAGAACGATGCACCGATACCCAGTGCAGCAGACGATTGGGAGAAGCGCAACCTAGCAAAAACCTCAAGCGATGCTACAGATCTCGTAGACGAATCGACCGTGACCGCCGTGACTGAGGAACCAAAGAAGAAGAAAAGCAGTGGGTTAGATGCGTTGATCAAGCGAACGGATCCTAGACGGAAGTTCAAAAGGACGCAGAGCCTGCAGGTGGAAACCAATGTATCACCGCCGGCTGGGGCAGAGATTGAATTACCGAGCCCTGTAGTGGACAACGATGTTGGACCATGGAGTACGGAGGCTGGCGACTTGTTCGACTGGAGACCGCCCGGAAGGGGCTGAGGGTAACAAGAGTACATGAAGAGTTTGCGTTGATTTGTGAGTGATTGTTGGCAGCAATGTGGTATGAGGCTATGTAGCGACGATAACACGATATTGATACCCCACAGCATCTGCTGTTCTAATCGCCGCTTTTTGCCAACGGTGGTGTTCATCATCGTCATGCTTTCGCTAACCTCATTTCGTGGATTCTTCTAAACCTTGCTCTCCACATGAAACAACTGAGGTATGATTTCGAAGCTACGGAATCTCAGAACGAACACCTTGTGAGACAAATGCCTACTTGGTAGGCGCACTACCTGGACAGCCATAGGATACCCTGCGCGGTCTGTAGGCTCTATATGCGATGGTAAGTTCAGCAAAGTCTTCGAGTAGAAAAAGAGAGAGATACCATGATCTCATGAAGGCATATGCATTCCATTTGTTAGGAGTCAGGCGTCCAAGTCGAACGCCGGACACTGCACACACTGAAGTTGTGCGACATTCCGGTGTCGATTTTGGAAATAAGTGTGCAGGTATAGGGTTCTGAATTCAAAGAGCTAAGAGGAGCGCTGAGAGATGGATGTCAAGCCATCTAACGAACTTTCACGTCATGGCAACACCACTTAGTTTTGCTGTCTTTTCTCCTCTCATCATATCACTAGAAGCAAGATCAAGAATGAATATGCTTCGTTCATCGTTCTTCACATTGCTACCAAAAGAAATCCTGAACGCCGGCATGTTGACTGTGCGCCACACGACTTTGCCCTGTCCAGATAAATCCTGGACTCCAAACCATGGCTATATACACCAAGCAAATCAATATTGACCTCGAACACTTCAAAGGCCACTGCTCGTGCATACAAGAAGATATATACGCAAACACCTCGTCCTATCCAGAACAACCGAACGCCCATCCTGTAGCACACAAGTGTCGCAGGACCCAAAGTCAATCTACGTCTTGACAACCAAGTCTACGACGTCTTGGTCTGCTTCTTCGCCGTTCCGATGTGCGTGTTGTAAACCTTAGTTGCAAATTTGAGACTCGTAATTGTCTCTTGAAGATGTGCTTGTAGCGGGCTGACCATGACGAACATGAGCGTTTTTGAATTGCCACCCAACGAGTATTGGAGGAGGTATGTGAGCTATGAAAATGTTAGTACAAGAGTTACTCCAGATCGAAACTGTGTAACATACCTTCGAGTTTCTGTATGGCACATGTGTGCCTTCCTTTGCCGATCCAAGAGCGTTGATGACATCTCCCAGACAGCTCAAACTCTTGTTGATGTTTTGTGTCTCCTTGAGGCGCGCCCCTTCAGCCTTGGAGTGTTCAAGTCGCTCTGAGCCGGCAAGATCGACCAAATTGAGCGTACCTTCGCTCCTTTCACCAGTAATCTCATTGGTACCGACAAGCTTCAGAATGAAGACAGAGTGACTTCGACTGGAACGCATGTTGGCCTTGGTGGCAGCGACCGTCCTATTCTTGTCGGCGGTCGCTAAGATTTCCTCCACGCGACCTGGACCGTCGAGCTTCACACTGACTGCACCGTCAAGGTTCGTTTGCTTTTTCGCCGCATCATGTCGCACCTCGACCTTCTTCTTGTCTAGATCCTCTGAGCGACCGAGCAGATCGTTGTACGTCTCGTTGTAAACTTCGAGGAAAGAGCCTTCCATCTCGTATTTCCAGCCCTTCTCTTGCAATCGCTGCGCTTCATCCCAGATCTGGGCTGTCGCACGGGGGATCATACCGTCAGCTGACGACATGGTATGTGTTTTTCCAGCTCCTGTCTGACCGTAACAGAAGATGCAGACATTGTATCCATCAAGAGCGCTTTGTACAAGCTGACTGATCTCCTCGAAAACTTCGCTGTTCTGTGACGCTGGGCCAAATACACGGTCAAACGAGTACGCATAGGCGGATGTAATGTCCTTGCCAGTTGCGCTTTGCTTGCTTGGACCAAGCACTGCCACTTCTTTGCTGTCGGTATCGTTGTCCGGGAACGAGATTTGCGCCGGATTGCGTTCGGTTTCATGGGCGGGTCGCACACGACACATAACTCTGATGTTGCCCTTGAGTTCCTGCACCTGGTTGAAAAGTTTTCGGCGTAGTGTCTCCTCTTGACGAAGCTTGTCTTGCGCTCTTTCAGCAGCTTCAATCGCATCTTGCATTCGTTTGTGAAGGTCATTGAAAGCTTGCGACTGGGCCTGGCTGTCGGACTCGAGGAAGTCGATCTTCTCCTTCATCGCCTTGTTCGCTGCGTCCAATGTAAGGTTGTTGCTTGTTGCTTCTGTGAGTTGAACTTGAAGGCTATTCTTGAGCATCCTCTCTCGGTCAAGCTCGGACTTGACATTGGTGAGTTCGCCCTGGACCAATTGGGCCTCGCGGTGTTTTGCGTCTGCTTCCATCGCAGCTGCTCTAAGCTTTGAACCATACTCCTCCTCGATCTTTTGTGCTTCTTGTACGCGCCTGCTTCGCTCCGTTTCCGTGTCGGCGTCCAGTTTCTTCCGCAAGCCGGCAAGTTCTTCGTCGTGTTCTTTCAGCAGTTTGTCGATTCGTCCTTCGAGCTCGAGGCGTGTCTTCCTCTCGACCTCATCTCGTTCTCTCTCCATTCGGTCTGTGTCTTTCCGATGCCGCGACTCCAGATCCTCGACCTCAATGCGTAGTCTCCGCCGTACATCTTCAACTTCGTATGTGTGTTTCTGCTGCATCATCTCGAGTTCCATCTTTACTGACTTGAGGCAGCTTCGTGTATCGTCGAGTTCCGACTCTAGGCCCTTGTTTACGATTTCCAGACGCGCGCGAATAGTTTCGAGTTCCGTGACTGTTGGGAACAATATTAGCATAATGACGTCCACGAGCCGAGATGGAAGAGCGTTATTCTTGACCTACCGCGACTTTGAAGCTGCTGAATCGATTCCTTGTAGTCAGTAGCCTGCCGCACATCTGTCTCCATCTTCTCCTTGAACATGCGGAAGTCTCGTTCCATGGCCTCCATGCGTTCATTGTAGAAATCTGGACATCGATCGTTAGTGAAGCGATTCAGAAAGGGCTTTTGTGCTGATTTCCGCGGTGTGGTAGATGGAGGCCGGAGCGGCGACGGGTCTACTTGCTGCTGCCGAGCCATTGTCGGTGTACGCTGGGGAAGTTGAGATGGAGGTATCTTTGGCTTGAGAAAAGGGTTTGTCCCGTAGTCAGAAGTCATACCACGTCCGATTTGACTGTCACGCACGTCTGCCTTGGCCGCGCCCAATGTGAGTGCGCCAACCGCTGTGCAGATGTCGTCGCAGTCTGTATCGGCAGGCTCTTCGATGACCGGAGTGACGGAGCGGAAGTGGGAAGGAGAAGAAACCGCTCGTGGACCTGAGGTACCAGCGATCCTGTGTTGGAATATATTGAGGGAGATTGTGCGCTTCTTCAGATAAGAAGGCATCCCACCAGGCACTCTTGCACTGGTGGAGGGGTTTGTAGAGATAAGAAATGGTTGCACACCTTTGCGCTCTGCTTGCTCACTGTCGTCATCGTCATCTCGGTTTAGCATTGCTGTCGTAGGGCGCGGCCCTTGCTGATAGGACTTGCTCCTAGCATGGCTTCCATGGCCATAGGCCGACTTGGGTCTCACAGCCCCGGAAGCCTTAGGCGCTCCGCCCACACTGCCACTGAGAGTAGAGGCTGCAGGATGTCTCGCTGTCGGTTTCGTAGTGGCACGCGATGTGGACGCGGCGAGTCCACGCGGTACGATGCTTTTGATCCCACTCGATATCTTAGACGGCGGGGGCTTTAGTCGAGAAATGGGCTCGCCAGCCTGCTCTGCAAGAGTCTTCCGTTGCTTGAAAGCCGGCTCCGGCACTGGTGTAGTTAGCGACCTGTCCGGTGCTACTGATATAGGGAGGGGCAATATACAGCCGGAGGGCTTGTGTTTCGCTGTAGGTATCGGCATTCCGCTTCGCGCGTTGGCACCAGCTTCGTGCAATTCGCCGAGGGCGCGAGTCGGCGATGAGGTGATGTTGGAAAAGGTCGAGGGTGGTTTAATGCCTGAGCGCTTCGTGGTACCCTATACAATGGTCGCGAAGTCAGACTTGCGCCGGGCAAGGGATGGGGGCATACGTACAGTGTTTTCGTTCGCAGCGTCCATAATCGAATCTTGTCTACCTACGTCTAGCGGAGGAAGGATATCAGTAAAGCATACCCTGGCGCGGCCAAAAGCACAAGCGCGTCGTCGTTGTCGTTGACGTTGCTGTTGCGGAGGTCGGATATCGATTGTTTGGGCCTGCGCTCGGACGGTAAACAGAGGAAACCGCCATCCCTGTAGCCACATGCTAACTTCGGTTAGCTGGCATGTCGCGAGCAACGCCGTGCCATCTCGACTCCATGCATGGTTTTGTCTATGCCAACCTCGATATACGAAGCCTTATCGAACATAGACCGATGACCAACCGAGATATAGCTTCAAGTCGCGTTATCGCTGCCATCACCTAAAAGGACCAATACTATGGCATTCACTCATGTCTGGATCTCGTAGTCTCTTCGATTGGACTTGCAATAGACATCTCCCTGCGCCGGGACTAAACACCTACGTGCCCAGAAACAGGAAGTCGGAACGAAGAACATGAGAGAAGACAGAGGAAGCTAGATGTGGTCGTTTTGAAAGTTCATAGTGATATCATGTTGATATTGCATACTAGCGATAGATAACTCAGTGCTATCAGCTCTGAAACTTCTTACTCAGCGATCTTCCTGTCTCAACCACACATCCGTCCTGTCCTTTCCGTGGTTCATCACCACCTCCTCCCTCATCTATCGTTTCCTCCTGCCCCAAACCTTCAAAAATTCAACCTTATCCTCAACGCCTAACCCAACCCTCTTGACTCTGCCCAACCTCGCCAAGTCCTCCGCGACCCTTTCAAGGACCTTCTGTTCATCTTCGCTAACAAAACCATCAACGTCGTTCACAGCGCCGCCAACATCAACATCCATGCCATCACCGGCCTCCCCATGCTTGCCACTGAATCCGTTCCTAAAGTCAGGTTGATCGAAGATATTTGCATCGTAGCCTGATGCCTTGATCGGTGTTTGCTTCGAACTCGATGTAGGACGAGAGGGCTGGTCCTGGCTGCTACTGTTGTATACACGCGAAGCGATGCGTACTCGCATCTGATGTGACGGCTTGCTGAGCAGGCCCCAGAACCACGATGCATATCCACCGGGAACGGGAGTTGTGACATCTTGGGGTGTGTACCGAAGATTAACAGGGTAGATCTTCGTCTTGCCATCTGCACTCAGCAGACTGGGGCATAGCGGGAGGATACCTCTGCCGTTTGTTGTAGTAGTCTCGGGAAATATGCAAATTATTCTGTTCGGGTTCTCGTCGGTGAGCTGTTTGAGTGAGACGAGCTTGGAGGAGTCGGGTGGAGAAAGGACGGGCGGGGAGAATGCGTGGAGGATGGCGCCCAGAAGCGTTATGCGTTCGACTTTTCGGTGGTCGGGGTATGAGCGAGTGAAAATCGGTTGGAAGATACCGGCGAGGTAGAGCGGATCGAGGGGTGATGTAAAGGAGGACGCGATGATCGTGCCAGGTTTGGGGAGGTTGTTTTTCGCAGAGTGTAGTTGTCTGTTTGATGAGTTAGCAGCGACTCAGGATATTCGACCTCCAGACATGGCTTCTATCTGACTTCCACCACGATTCAGCTGCAATCGACGTTTTGACGTACCCTCTCTTAACACCATCAACCTGCAAATCCACCCACCACACACCAGGGATGCCCAGCATCAGCCATAGCACCGCATACTTCAGCCTCCTCCCAATAGGAAGCCATTCCAATATTACGAAGTATAACAGTGAGAAAGCCACGACAAAGGGTGCGCGCACGCAGAAGAGGAAGAGGTATATTGGTGACCAGATGATACCGACCGGCGGGGTAGGAACGGGGAGGAACGGCGCTATCGCCGTGCCTGTAGGTCTACTGTTAGCTAGATAGTTACTTTTTTGGGGAATATATCAAACGTTTGTACGTCGAAATCGACGGCGAAGGGCAGAATTAAACAAGACGTCGTGGGAAGGGGACGTAAGAATACATTGAACTCTCCAAGAATCGCGGAGGAGTATCATTAAACGCACCTTTATCGCGGAACTGACTATATCTCTCCATGACGAGTTATGTCTAGCAAAGAAAGATTCAGGTGTGGGCGTAGTGTCACCGAGCCATCTAAGGCGAAGCCAACTTGCAACAATCGCGAGCGGAACGAGCCTTTAGCGAGAATGAAGGATCGTCACAGCGAGGCTATGTAGACGAAGCAAAGACACAGGGCGCAGCGCTGCCGGTAAAGGCTGGACAAGCTTCTTACGTTGGACCCTTCCAGCGTGGCGAAGACGTAATGCGGAGTGTATTTGGGACGCTTTGGGCGGGACGCAAGATGAGTGGTCGTGCGAGTCATGTAATTTCGACATGTGAATGCCAAGACAGGCGTTCTGTTGGTCTGTCAACGTCATGTGCGCATATGACACTACTGACAAGAAAGACGTTGGACGGTACGGTCTACATCTAGAGCTTCTTGAGGGATTCTAGATCGTGGTCTGACTATGGGAAGTGGTATTGACTATCTAGTTACCAGTTGGCTAGCACTCCTGCCAGACCGTCAAGACAGACCCGTGGACATACATGAGCGAAGAAGGAACCGAGCCAAACGACGAGCAGCACTAATACACGCTCCAGTCGTGGGTATGAACAGACCATGCATGTTCCAGCCAGCAATGCAAAACCAACAAGAAAGCACACAAATGTACAAAGGAAATGGTATTGATGGTAAGTGCAACGCGACCCCAAAGAGTCTGGCGCGTCGCATATGTAGAAAGGGGGTATGTGCCAATATTACTGCTTATTTTCGTGGCCTCTCTAGCCAAATCGACGCCATTCTGCGCCAATGTCCTCCGGTTTTGTTGCGTAAAAGAGGAATGTGACTCATTGCAGCTCGGGCGCTGGCGGGGGTGGGTATCGAAGCACATTGCGCCGAAGCCATGCTCGCGGCAGTAGAAATCAAACACGCAGAGTCTGAAGCTGCAAGATGATCCTCAACCACTAGTCTCACATCTGCCCCCCTCAGACCGCCTCTTGATGCAGATTACAACTGATTACAAAGTACAGGTTCGAAGCTGCAAGAGCAGCGCTCCTACGGCTTCGACTTGAAGAAAAGTGATTATGTCGGCGCGGTGAAAGGGCATGCGCAAGGGTGTTCTCTCATCACTGTCGTCTCAATTCATGCTTACAAAGCAACATCAAGCACCAGACTGACATCGCTGACCTGCTGGCCAGCCAGATCCTCAAGCACGGGTATCAGGTCGAGAAGCTCGTTGTCGTGTGCGTCAGAGAACCAGCTGCTGATGGGAACGGCATGTTGCGGGTGGAAGATGTACGACGTGGGCGAGTTGTCGATGATGATGGTGTCCTTGAGATCGCGACCGATCTGTGAAAGGTCCTACAATGTGTTAGGAATTGAGAAGCAGGATGATGTAAGTAAACATACTTTGACATAGTTGCCCTGATGGTTGTAGCAACTTTCGCGGAACAGTCGGTGATGGACAACACCGTGGATGTCAAGCTGGTCGAGAAGTGGGTCACCGTACTGTAATGGTCAGCATACATCATGTATTAGGAAGAGTTCAGACCAAGCTTACCTTTGATACGGACGCAGTGAACACAACGACCTCGTAGAGCTCGCCCACTCTCTTCATGAACTGATCGACGCCAGGTCGCTTGATGACATAGACATTGTGGTATTGTCCTTCGATCTCAACAGGGATGGTGAAGTCGGCTTGATGCAGAATCTGGTGCCGCATTAGTAAACAGAAGCAAACGCTCTATGTATCACACATACCTTAAAGCTGCTGTGGACCAAAGTCTCGTCCAGGTCGAGAACCAAGCACTTCTTCCCTTGGAACCTAGGTGCAATGGGTCCCAAAAGATACTTTTGTGGCTCGGCCGCCTCAGCTACATCCGCAGTCTGGTGTTGCACTGCAACCTGCCTCTCGACGAGCGGCGGGGGTGGAGGTAGATCAACCTTGGGGTGCTCAGCCTCAGCCTCTGCATCCTTCTCCTCTCCCTCTTGATGAACATCATTGGTCGATAGCGGCACATCCTTCATCTCAATGTCGTTGTCGATCTGCTTCTGCTCCTCGGTCTGGTCCTGTATTATGCGCTCCTGCTCTGCTGATGGCCGAGGAAGTACCGGAGTAGCGGTGGGCGTAGGGTTTGTGATGCTTATCTGGGGATGGCCAGTCTGTAGAGTACCGGGCTGGGGTGGGGACACTGCTTCTGTTTGCTGCTTCTGGGATGGGCTTCTTGTGATGACCGGGGGCGGCGTTTCCACTGCTGGCTGTTCGGTTGTGCCATCGTTGTGGATGGGTTTCTCAGCAAGACCTGCTCCTGATGTCTCGGTTCCAGTCTTCTCATCAAGCGGGTCTTTTGAGTCCGTGTTGCTGGACTCAGCAACAGTAGGCTCCTGCTTCTTAATAGGAGTTGACTGAGACGTGCGGCCGGCGGGCACCTTCTGAGCTTGCTTGACATTTTCCAAAGGCGTAGAGTCGTCTCGCGATTCCTTTGGTGCAAAGCACGGCAGGCAGGACAACAGACCCCCAGACTTCTTCGTCTTACTCCGTGTCGATGCTGGACGGTTCGCTGTGGCAGGCATCGGAGGCGGTTGTTCGTTCTTTTCCGAGGGTGCAGCACGCGGGTGAGAGCGTTTGCTGCTCGCCGTGCTGCCAGCTCGTCGCTTGCCCATGAAGCTGCGCTTCGAGTGCTTGGAGCCTCGCCCAATACTTTCGGCGTCTGCTGCAGTTGCGCCGCTAAGGCCGGTGTTGGGGGTCTCGTTGGATTGCGACGCGGACTGGGGGACGTTCAAGAGGGTGCGCTTTTGGTTCGAATCGCCTTCAGCAGGGGCAGACGACGGGCCTTGTGACGAGGATTGACCTGGAGCGAAGGAGTTGGTGGCAATGGCGTTTTGCATGGCAGCTGCATTGTGTTAGTAATCAAGTCTTGGAGGGCGATGGTGGGTGATGGCGGTGGTGGTGGTGGTGTTGGTGATGATGATAGATCCAAAACATACCGGTGCCGTTGGCCTGCTCCGACGACCCTACTGCCCTGTCGGTAGACGGGCGGGTTGCGTCAGCAGAGAGCTGCGTCGGCTCGGTGCTCATGGCTGCGCGTCGAGTAAGTCAGACGCACAACGCGCAGGTGAGTTTGACGTGTAGTGATAGGCTTGGGTCGGATCAGAGGGCTCCTTGGGTCGTCGCGTGGTGGAACTCGCTCGTGGGTGGGAGCGGTGGATGGCTGGCTGGCAATGGCGTGGCCCGGTCGCGATTGCTTGGATTGATGCGCGAGATGGAAGGAGCGATCGCCTTGTCTCGCAGCTGTGGCAGTCGCTATCGTCGAGGGAGTCCGAGGGAGAGAGCGAGGGCGACGGGGAGCGAAGCTTGGATACGCTGCTTGGGATGAGGCTGGTTCGCTAAGGTGGACGGAAATGAGACGCCGTCTTTCACCGTCATCAGCGCCAAAGCTCCACAACAACCGCCAGTTCACTTGAGCAGCACGGCTTCTCTCACACGTTCGTTGGCGCGACGGCGACGGCGATTGCAATGTAGCCTTTGTATTCTGTGGTAGAGGCAATGCGCTCACAACGATGGCATTCTGCGAGCTGTATCGGGGCTGTGCAAGAGCTGCCACACTCAACAGCGACAGGGGCCTCTTGATGGGGGACCCCCAATAACCATGCCATTTCGCCCCTAGCCTGCAATCGCCCTAGCCAGAGAGTGCATGGCCAGGCCCATATACAATACCCTCACTCCACGCTGCACATCTCCAAGGGAGGACTATTCATCATTCATTTGCCCAATCACACCCTCCACTGCATCGCGGAGCAGGCGCGTCACACAGGGAAATGACAGCCAAGCATCTTGATCAAAGGCACATTAGCCAGAGCCCACAGCGAACACTTGCATTCTGCTTTGCCTCTAGACTCTAGACAATTACGCTTCGAGCCCTGCATAACCTCGTCTTCGCCAAACTTTTAAAGGCGACCGACTCCCAGGCCATGCGACCGTTCGTGCGGCCACAAGCTTGCAGGTTGACTCACGGCTAGGAACTTAGGCGCCATGGTACGGGGACGCGACGTCGCCCTGGCCTATCACAACCCACATCAGCCGTAAGACCCGATGCGCTTCTGCCGCCATATGCTGGTCCAATATTGAGTGCGCCGGCATTATCCTTTCATCGATGCGCAGGAGTCACCAGCCGACTCTCAACATAACCGTCATGGCCATCGTCGTCGCAGCATCAGCGCGCTGGAGTCGTTGCTCTTGCTGTCACATGTCAGAGCCTGTCGTGTTCCACAGTGGCAAGCGCTGTGCAGGGCGGCCCGTCGCACGTCTGCCGATCTTGCAGCTTCATGCGATGGCATCCATGTCCACAGAGTCACGAGTCGCCATCCTTGGTGTGCGCCTACACGCTAATCGTCATCGCCGCTGTGGTGGTGTAGTAATATACTTCGACGCAAGAGGCTCCCCGCAAAGCGCGCCATTGCCGAACGATTCCAAGAGATAAGATTCGCCCTCACAATATCCGGAGAATACGAGCCGACGATCAACCGACCGTTGCGTGCTAATCTCATCCGACCAGCCTCAAGTCGCACATGCGAGGTGGCCAAAATAGACGTTTTCGTCACTGTACGACCTTCTCGAACGGTGTTCAAAATAGTGGTAGTATTTACACATTCTAGCGGCACAAACTGTTGACATGTGCATAGCCAACGAGTATGCCCCTTGAGATTAGTCGAATCTCCTATGCTCAAAGGTGGTGTCTTACAAGTTCTGCACAATGCTTCCATTCCCTCCTTCGCAAATTGTTCCGGGACATAGGTAAATTCTTCCCAATTTTTCTGGCTGAACAAATTCTATTCTAGCCGTGCCGTCCAGGATGATAGTTGGCCATGTCGCCCTGCGTTCGCTCTGTAGTAGAGATTCTTTGGTATAATTCGCCCCATGTTCAGCAATGGTGATGAACCAGCAGGACATGTATGCGACTCCGGCGGTGTGCATGCACTGCTATGCGGCTCCTGACGAGCCAGATATAGGTGAGAAACTCTGATGGTGCACGCGTCTGGAAACTGTTTCGCATACTTTCTGAAGCTTCACATAGCGGGCGCATCGACTGCATATAGCTTCTGCAGCTCACCAACTCAGCCTAGTGCTAACGAAAGGGGGCCTAGGGGCGGGAACTACTGGCACTACGACTTCGCCGCACCAATCACGACTATTTTGTTTTCTGTTTTAGCTATTTGGGAAGACGACTGTCTCCATGTCACCCCCAAAAGAGCTTCGGAGTTGGAGCTAACAGACGGAGTTTTGGCGATCTGTGCTAAAACACAATCTCATTGGTTTCTCTAGACCAGAGTGGAGAATGGCGGGTGTCTCTGAGTGGCGCGCGCTCCGTTGATCGTACGTTGCTTGTTCTGCGCCAAATCCGTAGCCTTGCCAGCAACTTTGTTACAAGATCTGGCATAAGAAATCGATCGCCTTGGCGAAGGCAATTGAGTGACAAATGCGGTACCTCCTGTGGTAGACTTTGAATGGGAAAGCTACGGGCTTGCTCGGCTCAACAGTATTTCAATATTGTCGCAACGTTTACAACCAAGAACATCAATGTCGGCACATCAGTGGGGGGATACATTCCATGGCCTTATACTGAACTATGGCTTCATTGTCGGATGTCCAGACTCAAGCTTCCGGTCGCTACAACGTTGTCGCCGAAAACGTGGAGTATTCGTCAGAGCTCCACACCAGACATGTGCCGTGCAGCATTTTAGTCTACGGGTCTTCTCGAGCAAAAAAGCAAACACCGGCAATGCTTTGAAGTAGGTACTCGCCCGCCAGCCACACCGAAACAACGGTTTTGTTTATGTCGACCAAAGTCATCAACGATTTTTACTATGAACATTCTCACTCGTAAGACGCAGGTGGCACATGCATAGGAGTATAGTCCGAAAACTGGTTCCCGGCGATGAGACTAGATCGTATGCCTGTTTCGATGTATATGTCGGGAAAAAGCAGTGCATGAATGACAGGAGCGAAGGGGTTTAAGATACTTGCGAGAGCCATGCATTATTGCGATGGTTGAGGTGTGAGCTGAGCTGCCCAACTTCCACTCCTTCTCGTGATTGATTCACGTCGCCATTTGCTTCGACTATGGCGCTGGCTACTAATTTGCAGCCGCTGGCTTATGCCGTGGCCTACGTTACCTTCTTTTTGGGCACCACTTCGACTTTCTTGAGATTCTACTGTCGCTACATTGTATCGAGGATTTGGGGATGGGATGACTACTTCGCTGTGGTGGTCTTCATCTTCAGTCTCGCTCAGCAAGGTGTTTTGCATATGTTTTTGTACTGGGGATGCGGATTGTAAGGACCACAGCTACTTCAAACCGAGAAGCTAAGGCTAACATATATATGCAGACATATGGATGTTCTTAATACCATTCAGCAATTCGAGATTGTCAAGGTATGTCCATGTCCGAGACGATTCAGTAACAGTACTGTGCTGACGAATTGCATCAGTGGCTTTTTGTCGAGGAGATAATCTACTACTCTGTTCACTGGGTCATTAAATCCGCTTTTCTCTTCTTCTACCTCCGGTTATCGCCCGAAATTACCGCCTTCCGGTACGCCGTCTACGCTGGCGTGGGTTTGAACACTATTGTATGGGCGTGCAATATGTTAGTCATCCTCTTGTATTTGCCTCACACCCGTACAAGACTAATGTAGCATAACCAGGCTTCTTGCTTGCATTCAGTGCTTGCCTTTTGACGAAATCCTGCATCCAGGCACGCACGCAGACGCCTACTGTATGCACAAACTTATCGTCCTCATCGGACCATGCTTATTGGTAAGCACCCCTTCTTATTCTATTCTCAAATCCCCCCAGCTAACCTGGAACCCCTCTTAGAACATCGCCTTGGATCTATATATCCTCATTCTGCCCATTTCCACCATCTGGAGCTGCCAATTGCCTTTGCGTCGCAAGGTCGCCGTCCTCAGCGTTATCGCATTCGGTAGCATATCCGTCATCATCGCAACATTCCGCCTGATTCCCCTACTCCAACTCGGTGACCAGTCCGGTGAGCCCATTGATACCTCTTGGATTCTAGGTAAAATGGTCATCATCGCCTCACTTGAGGTGCAATTCGCCATCGTCGCCGTCAACCTCCCTCTACTCAAGAAACTCTTCACAAGCCTCGCAGACGACGATAGTCTAGTAGAAGCACCACAAGACTGGAAGTGGAAAGCCCGCAGACTATCCTCAAACTGCAGCGACGACTCGGAAGATGACGATTTCTATGTTTCTGGAGGGAACGGACGCGGTCACCACTGGCGGAAGAGCAAAGCTATGTCCCACGACAGTTTCAGGGCAAGCATCGCTTCGAGTCTGGCATCTGACGAAGCATCTCTTGAGGCTGGTGTGGCTGTCGCACTGCCAGTGCTATGGGTCAAGACCAATGTGCAAACGGTCAGAGTGGGAAGAGGTCATGTTAGTAGAGGACATGTGGTTAGGAGTCTGGTTAGATATAGTTTCGAGAGGGTTGAGGATTGTTTCCCTAGAGGCCACTTCTTGAGGACCTATGGTAGGCCCGAGTCGAGGAGACCGATGAGCATTTTGCCGACTTGTATGGAATTATGACAGGTTTCAATGAATGGATATGAGATCTTATCGCAGTGTCGTTTATGCTACGAATGCTTCTTGCATAATGTTGACTTTCGGAGTGCAATATCCCGCGGTCTCGAATCGCCGTACATTACACGGAGAAACTGTTGCCGGCTGTCTACGAAGGGAAAAGAGCAAGTATGACAATAGATACTACATCTTAGAGTTTGGATCCAATGGGCAGATTGAGGATCTGTGGGCAGCTTATGTAGAATCAGGAGGTCTTCATGCTCGTTCCGTGCATTGGAAGTATAGTCGTGGTCTGTCAAAATATGAGGTTATTCAAACTAGAACAAGATCCCTGAAGGCTAAATTCACTTAGGTATAAGGTTCATAAAAGTGTTTGCAGAGATACCACGCACTGAACAACTGTGAGCAAGCCTTGGTATTGTACTTGCAGTGCATTGATGGAGCACAAGTTGACGACAGTCATTCAGAAGTGAGACAAGCATTGGTTGTCCTTTCCACCGACTATTTCGCCAAGCATCGTAATTATTCAGCTGCCAAGTTCCATGAGGAGCATCGAGCAAAACTCAAAATTGCTCTAGAAAACGTTGCTTTGAGAATTGTAGCGGTCAAATCCGGCGCGCCTCGTGCGCCGATACACTAAACAAGTCGTCCTATCTTGTATATATTCGCATGCTGGATTCGTGCCTGTATCTTGTTCTGCTTCCCGCAATGGAGCGGCGACACGCCTCGAGACAATTGTTCGCAAATCCACAGCTTCAAGACTTGGAGCTATTGAAACAATTCTCCTATATCTCGCGCTGCATCCCACTAATGACACCTACTGTATCTCTTTATCGTCCGTACTATCCATCTCTTTTACGTACTTACGGGTTCTAGAACAACATGCGAGATTGGAGATTGCGGCGCAGCCACTACTACACCACCACCCGTCTACCACCACCCGTCTACCACCACCCGTCTGTCGACCCCGCTTCTCGATAGCTTGTTGCGACTAATCCGGCAGGTACATTCAAGATACGCGCAATGATCCCACGCAAGCTCCAAGGTATATATAAAGTACCGCAGCACAGCAATCCACTACTTGTAACACTGTTTACATCTTGCTTCCCTGATCATCCGACTTAGGTACAATGTCCACTCTCGCTACCCAAAAGGCAACGACGCAGACCGTGCTCGATGCATACAACGCATGGGACATGGAGAAGATACTAGCTTTTCGAGCGCCAGAATGTAAACAACAAGTCATTCCTGCATCCATGGGGCGACCAAGTATGAGCAATGGCGAATACCGCGAACGCCTAAAGCAAATACTGCCATGCTTCAGGAACTTCACTGTAAAGCACACGGCGTATTGCCTGGGAGACTTGCAAGCGGCTAACGTCGTCCTAGGTTACCGTTCACACAGCGGTGCATGATGCGGACGCGCACACATGTATCATGCATGCGACAAGTACGGCCGATACTGACATTGGACCATACGCAAACGAATACGCACTAATTTTGCATTTCACCGAGGATGGGAAGAAGGTTACCAAATTTCTGGAATGCGTAGACTCGGCTTATTCGATAAAATTCTTTGCGGCGCTGGCGGCGGCGGGACTTGGAACTTAGTGGGACTGCAGAATGACGATTCCAGACGTGGCTAGATCATTTGGATATGTAGCATTCGCTGTGCTCTACTACATTCAACCTCGGTCCAACCGCGGTTCAACCGATTGTCACCTACCTTGTCCCTCCGAAACCATGCTACCGCTTCTCGAAATCACCTTCAGGCTTCCCCGGTGAATGTGTTTGCACATGATTGTCAAATTCTTTGCCCGAGAATTTGCCCTCGCGAACTTTGTTCTGGTTCTTGTGTGCCGCGATGCTGTGTTTGTTGACGCTATCGCCATGGCGGTCTTCAACGGGCTTGGGGACGTCGGAGGCGTAGGCGGATTCGTGTTGGTGTCCCGGCCGAGTGGATTTACTGTGATCCGGGGGGCTGGGAGAAGTGGAGGAGGCTGGAGAGGGTGAGGAAGCCGGGGAGGATGAGGAGCTGGTGGTGTAGTAGAGGGCCGCGGCACCGACGGCGGCGGTTGTGGTGAGCCTTGGGTAAGTCAGCACGGTGTGTGTCGTTTGAAGGTAGGTAGAGTAGGAAGGCGTGTCCAGTGGGTTGTCCAGCGGGTTGTCCAGCGGGTGTTGGGATGCAAGTTGCGGCGCGATGAGAGTTTGTGATGGGATCTCGACTACTCACCACGTCAATCGCGAAGATACCTTCAGTGTTTCTTTGGTGCGCTGATCATAGTTGGTCGCATACTGCCTCCTCGCTGCTAGACAGACCTGGCGCGGTGCGCGGGATAGAGCTCGTAGTGACATTGCTTTTATGGAAATTATTGTGGAAAGATTGGAAATGGTATACAATGAGCCAGATCGTCCCTAGTAGAGATTATCGCGTATTGTAGATTGTCAATGGCCAATTTGGTCGCAGATACTTGGGTATGTATAAACGGTGTGTTGTTCGCGCGCTGCAAGGTACGCTACCTACGTCATCGACGTGTTTACGCGCCTGCTTTCTGGAACGCCGCGTCTGCAAACGTCCCTGGCGTGCGTCACCATCACGGCTATCATTGGTGGAACCCTGCGCCTTGCTACTGCGAGTCGTGAACGAGTGGTTGCAGATCGTGTATGTTTGTAGACAGATGGCGTCTCGTGTCGAAATTCCTACTTTACCCACAGGTCAATGCTGGAAACAACTAAAGCGCGCGAAGAGGCAGAGGGGGGTGGGCAGCACTAGAGACGGTAAGGACGAAGAGCACCTAGATATACAAGAATGCCTATGATATCAGATCTATTAGTCGATCGTGGCTTAACGCCTTGTTTGTAATTCCTTAATGGTGTTGAAACGGGGACCGCCGGGAGTTTATGCGTGGCAGCGCTACCCTGTAAGCCCTAGTCTCGAACGTTATGTACATCTCTCGAATCGAGCGTCCGCCAGTTGAGGCTCTGTTCTTGTTGTAGATTGTAGCAAAAAGATATCAAAAAAATCATCTCACAATTGTGGAGAAGGATATTTTGCATCCTCCGGGAGTCGAACCCGAGCCAATTGCTTGGAAGGCAATTATCCTACCGTTGGACCAAGAATGCTGGTTGGTAAGATAGTGGAGAGATCATGGGAGAAATCTATATCTCTACACCATTGCACTGTGGGCTGGGGTCACGATGCTCGGAAAAGCGTTGACGGACGCTCAAGTACCACAGCTGTGGGCCTTTTCTCAATACCAAGATGATCCGGTTCCAATGCTCGGCCACGACATTACAAAGAGCAACCAGCAATCACCTACCCCCACATCACAGTAGACGAGATCCTGTTGTGGAGAATCAAATAAAGGTGGTATCGTGTGCGTCCAAAGGGTCCTCCATTGAGGCATGCCGACGTGTTCAAGGAGTGCATATGCTCTTCGCCTTTCAAAACATTCCCAGTGAAACCTGGATTGACAGAATAGTTATACAACACCAGCTTCTCTTTACTCAGCTTAGAGGCGCACAGCTCTTTCTAAGCTTGCAGGTCGGTATGCGAAAGTAATGCCTGTAACGACAACATGGGCTGGATCACTTAGGGAATAGGCAACTCGAATGGATCCTGTTTCTGGTCAGTCGTGATGAATCAAAGCTCATGTGCAACGAGTGTGACTGTCTCCAGAGTGTAGCTGTAATGTCTAGCTTACACGTCGACGGCGGTGGTGGAGTGTTGGTGTTTCGATCGTCCACGATCGTCATCCCGCTGGACCCTTGCTTAGTCTGCGATTAGTTGTCAAACGACGTAACTTCCACCACCCCCCAGATCACGGCTGGTCACGCGGCTGCCTAGACATCAAATCTGCATATCAAGGTTTCCGCGTGTGTTAAGAAGATATCACAGTCGCCTCGTCAGATACCGACAACCTGCGCGCAATGACTGAGCCAAACTCTGCCCCGCACGACGAACGCGACCCCGCGGCCACGGCCGACGCGAACGAAACACGCGACGACGACAAAGATGGGCACAAGCCACGAGACAGCAGCGGCTGGGACGGGAAGCTGCGCATAGACAAGATGACTATCGGCGACGAACCTAGAGATCCACATGCACAGGTTGTGAGCGACCCGGAAGTATCAGACGATGAGGGCCCGCCCCCGGAACAGTTGGCCGCAGATGAGGATTTGCTCGACGATACGCCGGAAGACGAGGATGACATAGAGATTGTCCACTCCAAGATTTCAGACATGTCGGCATTACGGTTGGAGCGGTTCAAGCAGATGAAGGTATGCTATCGTCTGCGTCGTGAATGAATTTGCCTAATGTCACAGCGTCTTTGCTTGCGCCAAAACCGCATAGAAAGCATCGCGATACCCGAAGACGTCGCACCCACTCTCACAGAAGTCGATCTCTATGACAACCTGATAGCGCATATCAAAGGGCTCGATGCCTTTACCGAACTCACGTCGCTCGACCTTTCCTTCAACAAAATCAAGCATATCAAACGGCTAAACCATATGACCAAGTTGAAGGACCTATACTTTGTGCAGAACAAGATCAGCAAAATAGAGAATCTCGACGGGCTATCGAATCTGCGACAGATCGAGCTCGGCGCAAACAGAGTGCGAGAGATTGAAGGGCTGGAGACGCTGACGGGGCTGGAAGAGTTGTGGCTGGGCAAGAACAAGATCACTGAGATCAAGGGTCTGGATAGTCTCACCAACCTCAAGATCCTCAGCATACAGTCGAATCGTCTACGCTCGATAACGGGCCTGGAAAAGCTCGTCAATCTCGAAGAGCTGCACATCTCGCACAATCTCCTCACCGAGATATCAGGCCTGGAGAACAACGTCAATCTAAACGTCATCGACATCAGCGCGAACCCGATCGAACACCTCACCGGGTTGAAGGGCCTTAAACACCTCACGGAGTTCTGGGCGAGCAACTGCAAGTTGAGTGACTTCAACGAAATCGAGAAGGAGCTGAGGGATAAGGAAGAATTAGAGACAGTCTACTTTGAGGGTAACCCACTGCAAAGGTCACAGCCAGCGTTATACAGGAACAAGGTCCGGCTAGCGCTACCACAGGTTGTGCAAATTGATGCTAGTAAGTCTCTTCCACTTCTCGGCGTTTCCAAGAACAGAACCTAATGCCACGACAGCGTTCGTAAAACAAGTTTAGGTGGACAGGTCTCGAAAGAGATATGGGAGTAGAGGCAAGGCATTTACATGGCGCACTGGGAAGAAGCTACAGGCGTTCAGGCAAGCGTACATGTGGCACAGAGACGCGGTGATGATACCCAATAAATGCATGGTATTGTTGACTGGATTATTGCCCGTGCAGTTCAAGAATGACCAACAACACAACAGGCACGACGCAACGGGTCGAGAATTGATGAATGCAAGGTCTCTGAATTCTGCTTACTTGACCAGACAATCTAGACGACTTTCGCCTCTGAAGCCTGCTTGGTATCTATAACATTATTTATCTCCTCTGGGACCCAGTCAGGACCTTCCGCCTGGTAAAGCATCGGCTTCGGGTTAACGCAGAGCTTTCCATTTTCATTTGGCAACCCATCGACACTGCGTACGTTGAAAAACTCACTTCCCACTGCACCTGTGGCCCAGAAAAGGTTAAACGGGTCAAACTTGCGCTTCGCCTCCAGGAGACGCGGATAAAAGCTACCCCAGAACGACCACTGGAAATTAGGTTCAAGACGATCTCCCTCCGAAAGGTAGGATCCGGAGCCGGGCGTGATGTCGCGCCACTTCTGCATGACGCCGTAGGTCATGTTGAGGCGCTCCTCGATGATGTCCGCAGCTGGATTTGTCATGTTGAGAACAGTGCCGGTGATAATAAAACCAAGCATGTTGCGCCAGGCTGGGTTGACAGAGTTATCAGGGCGTCCACCCTTTTCCCAAGATGGTGCCATGTTGTAGCCAATCAGCGCCATACCTTCATCAACCGCCCCCCAGAGAGCTTCGAAAGTCTCATCAAAGATAGATTCGTTTGCCCAGTTGGAACGAGGGATCATACGCGAGGTAGTGGCGATGCCATTGCTGTTGACACCTTCCACAGGGAAAGAGCCATTATAGGCATCGTAGAATTCGTTATATTGTGTCCATTTGGGTTCGACGGTGATCCCGAGTGCAGCCATATCCTTTACCCAAGGGTCAACAAGAGCTTTGGCTTCTTCAACAGTTTTTCCGGGAGCGAAAAACGGCGACATGTCCATCATGATCGAGTCTGGCGACGGAAATACCTTCCAATACGCGTAAGTATTGTTGTCGGCGTTCTGTGGAAAGTACTTCATGTATGCCTTTAGTCCTTGCTTGAAGGCGTCGGTGCTGACATTCTTGCCTGTGGTGACGAGCCAGTTGGCGGAAGCGATAGGTTGATCCGGGTGCATCTTGACGGTGACCGAAGTTACAACACCGAAGGTCAGACCTCCACCACCACGTAGTGACCAGAACAGCTCAGGGTTGTTGTTCTTATCAGTAATCACATAGCGACCATCTGCCATGACGACCTCCATGGAAAGCACATGGTCAGCGCCGATGCCAAGGGATCCCGATAGAGGCGAGTGGCCACCACCTTGGATCCATCCGCCCATCGCGCCGACAGTAGGGCCTAGACGAAAACAAAAAGTCAGTATGCATCACACACAAGTATTGTAGGAAGCAGATACTGACATTCGCCTCCCATGACAGTACCACCAAAGTCTCTCGCAGCCGCGTAAAGCTCAAAGCCCTGAGCACCCGAGCCAGCTTTGATAGCAGGACCAGAGTAGTCATCCGACTCGTAATTCTCAATGAACGCGATGTCTTTCAAGCCATGAGTCCATACACTAAGGGAGCCAGCACCACCACTCTTCCCCTAGATACTGTCAGCAAAACATCGACAACTTGAAGGCGAAGAACATACGGCAAAATCTAAAGGTGGGTATACGAAGTCAGTACCCGTCTCACATGCATCTCGTACAGGGACATTACTAACCATGACCGGTGTTACGAACGACGAATCGGACGCCTGTGTTTCGAGCAAAGTTGAGTGCCAGCTGAATCTGGGCAGTAGTCGAAGCATTGACGACGTAGACAGAGTAGCCTCCTTGGGCACACTGTTTGCTGTTGTATATCTGAGGCGGTTGGCATGTACTTCCTTGGTACAATGGACTCAGCATCTCAATGGGGTCATCCAGCCTGGTCGTATATATCAGTCAACAAGTACTTGAAGGTAGTATGCCATATTTGACGTACTGTGAGAATGGATCCGTCCATGACTTGGTCATAGCATCGCAAGCGCTCCGGTCGATGCCACCTAAAGTACTGTTGTAACAGATGTGTGCCTGTGGAAGAGGCTTCATCAGAGCACCATTGGTGACATCATTGAGTGCTGACCAGCTTGCCTCCGCTGGCCAATCTTCGTCGCCAGGGAAGACTTTGCATTCGCGGCCGTTGAAGGTGCTGTCTGTGTCGAGCACGACGTCGCTAGCAATGTTGTGCGAAGCGAATTGGAAAAGAGACTTCGCGTCAGCTGGTACTGAATCCAAGGCTTGCTCGATGGTCGTGTCCGTCAGGAATGACTGTTCCCAATCGAAGCGAGGAAGGGTACCGTCAGTTGTCTGCTCGATGCGTGCAAATTTGCCCGACTGGCGATCGGCAAGACGCATGGGAGGTTCTGCGGAACGAGGCGCGAATCTGGCTGCAGCAGATGCTACAAGGAGCGCGCTAACAAATGAGGAAACCATGGTTGCGGGTGTTGAGCTGCAATGAAGATACAAGAAGTCTCCGAGAGCCCGGAGAACGGAAAAGGAAAGCGAGAGAATGAGGCTATTTGAAGAAGACAAATTAAGAGTCGTATGCCGCCTCCGCCACTGGATTGACTGCCGAAATCTCGCTCGACTACAACTGACCTCGATAGTAGTACACGATTCATGTTTCGCCTCACAGCAAACGTGCGGATTCTACGGGTTTTGTGGGGTCTGACCTAGATTTGGGTAACGGCCCGTGGTGCCTCTTGTCTATGCCGGCGTTACGAACCGTCTTCACCATGTGCAAGAGGCACAGTCCTAAAGATGTGCGAACAAGCGTATGTATCCTCGAAACCATGTCTTAATATAAGGTGACGCATGGATACAGAAAGCGCAGCCCTCTCGTCAGAATAAATTGCTCGAGGGTCAGACATGGGTGGTCGCGAACTTCTCGGAAACCCCTCCAGATTCAGGTGGCGGGATTCCACTCACTGCGTAGGCGAGCCGTTGATCAGGGTTCCGACAATCTCCGCGTGGGTTTGTGATTGTTCATTGACCAATGTGATCAGAAATCGCTACGAAAAGAGACTTGGACACCGTGCTTGGCTCTACTGCCACGGCTCGCTTGCATCCATCCAAGAGGCGGCCGAAGGTTCTGTATAATGTGAGAAGGCTCGGGGAAACGGCATGGCTGCTCGATAGGATCAAGGAAGCAACGTGAAAGTGAAATCCACGAATACATGATCCTGAACATAAGGAAGAGACCCACTATAAGAAAGGTGGGGTTTATTAAAAGGATTTGGCGTCAACCGTCACCACCTGGAGATGCGAACAACTGTTCGTAAGGTTCCCTAGGTTTGTCAGTTTAAACCCGATTCGGTTGTTTCCTCTCTGTCGTGGTTTCGTATCATTCAGGACCTTATTCTATTATATTCTTGTGAGCAATTGTCCCCGCCGTCGACAATGTGGGTTGGAAATTAGTCTGACTGTCTTGCGAACTAATAAGCCAGTGCTTGACGCAGGCGTGCGGCACGGGAGGGCCGAGGAGCTGACCCGCTGTTCGATAACCCAAATAGGAATAGCGTTGGCTTCGGATGCGGTCCGAGGCTTCGATCAACAGCTAAAAACTTCCGTAATCGGTGTATCTTTGCGCCAAAGCCGTCAATGAGGTTCCGTTGCTAAAAACATGTATTACGTGTCTAACGAAAGAGCGCTTGAGAAGACAGTTTTCGAGGCTTCTAATTTCTAACTTAACGTGCTCCAGGATGTCGCTGCAACAGAACCTTAGAACCCCTGAGGCTCGGCAGCAAGGATTTTGTTAGCAAGAAGTCACACTGCGTTAGATAACAACGCGGCTCGCAATCGAAGCAAAGGAATGATCTGCGTACTTGAGGCACAGTAATCTTCGTCAATCGATTCGAATCAAGGCATACCTATCTAGGTACTTGAGCCGCGGAAACGATGTAGGATGCGTATGACATCCCAGTGATTCATTTCACTCGTGCCGCCGTGGCATTGGTATTGCAAGTCACGCTTCATGGTATTGAATCCACAAAAACATCGTTATATGTTGATGCAGTCGGCTGGTTCAACTTGATCATAGTCTCTCCCTCCGTATCCCGATCTACACACTTGTCAAAACGACACGGCAGTCATGAATTCACCCTCAGATTCAAGGCAGCTTGCTATTTTCACCATTACCATTGTCTTTGCTTCTATTAGTACTCTTCTTGTGGGCGTACGACTGTACCACCAGTTTCTAATCAAACAGTTCCATTGGGACAAGCCGCTCGAAAGCCATCAGGCTATGCAATATATAGCTAACAAGATACTTAGATGATGGCCTCGTATGCATGGCATGGGCATTAGCAGTTGCGCAAGCGGGCGTTTTTCTCAAGTTCGCCGTGTTGACGAACCAGGGACATCACATCTGGAATATCCCTACCCCCACAATCGATCAACTCGTCAAGGCGGACAAGTGGAATATGGCTCAGTAGCTCCTATACAACCCAATCCTTTGTCTTGTGAAAACATCGGTACTAGTATTTTTGATAAGACTGGGCGACCAAAGAACTCTGGTTTATTGGAGTTTGCATAGGCTCTGGTGGTTCAACATGGGCCACATGATATCCGTTTTCTTCGCCGCTTTGACACAATGTCTGCCTATTCACATGTACTGGAACCACTACTACACGGACGAGACTATAAACGGCAAGGTTGTCAACCCGAATTATCAGTGCTACACCATGGCCGCCTTTTCTCTCGTCACTGCTGGCCTCGCGATTCTGACGGATGTCCTCATACTGCTCGTACCCGTAGCCATGATGTGGAACTTGCGCATGGCACTCCGCCAGAAATTCGCTGTCAGCGCCGTACTCTCTGTCGGCTGGATTGTAGCCATTCTCGACATTGTTCGGGTTGAAGTTTTCTATGACTTTTGGTACCCATCGAGTACCTCCAACGACCCTACGTACAAAGTTTCCATTACCCTCTCCGGCATCGAAGTCAACGTCGGGATCATGACCGCCTGCGGTCCCGCGCTTAAAGCCCTAGCAACGCGATGCGTACCGAACCTTTTCAGCTCCAAGAGCACCACACAGACGAATGCATACCACACACGCGAATACGAAACGAATTCAGGTGCTGGCACAACAAAGAGCGGCCGCTTCGTTACGACGGCGCTCCAGCCACGCGACAACAACAGTGATAGTCAAGCGCACATCGTGCGCGATAGCAGTTCGTATACAGACAACAAGAGCATAGAAGCGCCATCGATAAAGGAAGCGGCGGCGGTACCAAACAGCAATACATGGACGACCAGCAAGGGCTGAGAGTCACGTGTCGAGAAAGAGGAAATACATTTATGGACTCTGGAAAGCTTCCCAAACAGAACAACAAATGAGAAAGTACCTTTACCTCGAGACAGAATTGTGAATCCTCAAGTACTTGGATTATAGAACAGGTAATTCTCTACAATCTTAATTGTGAACATAGAAAAGCTTTCAAGTATTGTGTGCACGCTTTCGCAAACATTCTCATAATGCCCCACTCCTCAGTGCGGAGGAGGATGGCTTGATGTATAATACGCAAGCTTATTGGAAAGTACGGGAGCTACTCCGACACTGCATGCAGCTTGGAGATTTTGAAGGAAGAGGAGACGAACTTCTTCACAATCCTAGCGCGGTGATCACTTGTGCTCTGATCGGAGGAGCTTGACAATGACACCGGTCAGCTGCTCTTTCACAGCTCATCCCCTCAGCAACACCAACAACTGCGAACTAACTGACATGCTGAAAGGGAGCCTCGCTATATCAATACTATTAACGATGAGTGGGAGATGGGTAAGGCCGACAGCAGCGTCAATATCGTCGCATGCGGACAAGTTATGCGAGATCCAAAACTGCATATACACAACTTCTACCTTGGTGGTGAGCTGAAAGAATATCGTTCTACCCTCGCTCTGGACTTAACAAAAGCACTTTTGCTAAGTCTCACTAGCATAATTCAGCTGTTGAGACGTTTATCTGTATCTGCCCAGGTGTTCTGAGGACTTGGTCAGGCCCCGCAAGTATACTAATGTGAGAGGAAGATATCATGCATCCGGATCCACATCTCTAGGTATCAGTTGTCACAGTCAGTACACACGATGGGCAGAGAAAGCTTAATCCCCAGAGAGCCTCTTACCTGGATCTATAGTTGCACACCCGCTTGAAAGTTGCTTCGCACCCACCATGTAAGATTTGCTTTTTCCTTCACATCGGAGCGCATTGCCTACATCAATGAGATTGTAGCATTTCATTGGTAATGATGGTCTACATTCAGAATGTTGCCTCTTTTACTTCCTAGGTATCATATGCATATGCCACGTCAATATCGTCTATCGCCAGTTACTGCTTCTTCCGTAACTACATAAGCCTTTCCATTGAACCCAAATTTCTTAACTCCAAAAGCAAATCATCCAAGCCCAACTGATCACTACTTCAGTTACGTTCTTCCAGTTCTCCGTCGCTGCTGATATACCTGCTCAGCAGAGTGGTACCTGGCCTGATGACAGACAAATGCGAGGTTGCACCTAAAAGCTCGCATCGCCATTGATCTTCATGTCATTCACACCATTGGCGATACCTTCCGCACTGAGGCCGTTCGCCGCACCACTCTGATAGTCACGAGTGATCTCTTCAAGCATACCGGCACTGGCAGCGACGAAGCCCAAGTAAGGCCTGCTTGGGTCCAAGACGCGGGAGAGGTATTCCGGGTGGAATTGGACACCAACGAACCAGGGGTGGTCCTTGATTTCAATAACCTCCATACGTACACCAGCGTCGTCTTTGCCGACGAAGCTCAAGCCACCCTTTTCGAGCGTCTCGATGTAGTCGGGGTTGACTTCGTAGCGGTGACGGTGACGTTCAAGAATCTCTTCCTTGCCAGCGTATAGAGCGCGGAGCTTAGACCACTCGCTACCCGGCTGGAAGAGAGTCGGTCGGAGACCCAGACGCATCGATGCGCCCATGGTCGTCTTGTCGACCTCCGGCATGAACATGATGAGCTTGTTCTGGGCATCGCCGTTGAACTCCTCGGAAGTTGCGTCCTTGATACCACAAACGTTGCGAGCGTACTCAATGACGGCGATTTGCATGCCTAGACAGACACCAAGATATGGCTTCTTGTGCTCACGCGCCCAAGTAGCTGCCGAGATCATACCCTCTGTGGCACGCTGACCGAAACCGCCAGGCACAAGGATACCAGATGCCTTGACAACCTCATGCCAAGCCTTGTGGTACTTTTCAGGGTCTGTCTTTTGACACTTAGGCTCCAGGTGATCTGAATCAACCCAGCGAATGTCCAGTTTCCTCCTGCATCGCATCGTGGCGTGTTCCAACGACTTGACGACTGACAAATACGAGTCCTGGAGTTCAACGTACTTTCCGACCAGTGCAATCGTCACCGGGTCGTGAAAGCGACTGTCGTGGCCTGTAAGCGACTGCCATTGCGCCCAGATATGGTTGCCCTTCTGCAGCATTGAGGGCGAGATAGAGGTCTGCTCAAGAGCAAGGAACTGGCGGACCATGGGGATCAATCTCTGTTGCTCGAGAAGCATGGGTACTTGGTAGATGGACGGCATGTCACGCACAACCAGGACTTGTTCGTTTTCGACCTGGCAGAAGTGGGCAATCTTCTCGACCGCAGAGGCTTCGAGTTCGCGTTCGCAACGGCAGGCAATCTAGAACAGTCAATCATTTACTCACAACACAGGTGACAGTGCACTCCAAGGACAGATGCGCCAGCTAGTCGCCAACACAAAGGTCTTGGAGTTGCCCAGCGAAAATGTACGCACCAGATCCGGGATCAGACCGTTACTCCTCACCGCCTTGATGGCCTGCTGCGTAGGCTTCGTCTTCTGCTCGCCGTGAATAACAGGCACATACGAGACGTGAATCTGCATAAAGTTGTTCTTGCCCGCGCGTCTCCTGAGCTGGCTCATAGCCTCGATGAAGGGCATGCTCTCAATATCACCCACAGTACCTCCCAACTCGATTATGCAGACGTCAGGCTCCTCGCCTGAGTCATCGACGGGTATCCGCGCGACTTTCTCGATCCAGTCCTGAATCGCATCGGTGATGTGTGGGACGACTTGAACGGTTTTACCCAGATAGTCGCCCTTGCGCTCCCGTTCGATGACGTGCTGGTAGATCTTGCCGGTGGTGATGTTGTTGTCGCGTGTGAGGGTGATGTTGAGGTAGCGCTCGTAGTTACCGAGATCGAGGTCAACTTCGCCGCCATCGGAGAGGACGAACACTTCGCCATGCCTATAGATAGTTTAGTTTAGATATAGCAATCATGCTGGCGAGGCCTACTCCTTCGGGTTCATAGTCCCTGCATCTACATTGAGGTATGGGTCGACCTTGATCGACGAGACGTGCTAAGACGTCAGTATGGTCGGCAGAGCGCGTCAGTTCGCTGCACTTATCTTGAGACCGATCGTCTTGAGCAAGAGGCCCGTAGACGAGGCTGTGACGCGTCAATTAGCAGCGGTACATAAAACGAAGATTCCTGTGCATAAGTTGCTGTGCAGTGGTGCAGTTCGGCAACGCTCTAAGAGCCATGATCCTAGAGAGGATGATGTGCTCTGCATAGACCACAAAAGCCCTGCAGACTCGAACTCGCGTGAGATTTCTCGCGCACGTCACAAGAGCTTACCTATGATACCCTGTGTATACGCATTAGTGGTGATCAAAGGCGCGGCAACCTGCAGCTTACCTTCCCCACGCCGCTGATGACGCCGCCAGACACAAGCACGTATTTCATGATGTTTTGCTTTTGGTGCCTCAATCGGTTATGGGGAAGGGGAGGGAAGGAAGGAAAGCTGAGATTTTGCACGCGTTAAGTTGGAAAGAAAATCGACGCATGGACCATCTAGCGGGGCTGATCCCCGCATTAGCGTCCTCGAGGCGTGAGGCTTGCCTGGCGACCATCATCCTTCGGCGAATCTTGACCTCACAGCTTCATTGATGAGGCATAATGCTGCTAGCCTAGCTAGCGTCACTTTGTGTTATTTGCAAATACGAGCTATCAGAAATGGTATCGTGCTCCTTTCCATCGAATATCAAATGCATTACAATATAGCCGCCGCACCGAGTCGTCCGACCCCTCTTGTATTGCGCGAACGCCATGCAAACAGCCTCGTCGCCACCAGCTAGAAAATTAAGATGTAGATCGTCCGAGGGAATGTTGTTGGTTCATCATGTCGTCAAGATGCAAGTCGGTATCTGCGAAAAATGCTCCAGATAACCCAGGTAGCAGCCCACGCCGTCCGCTGTAGTTGATGCTTGTGAGAAAAGTAAATGCCGTAGAGGTTATGTTCAGATAGTTATTCCCTGCGCCTCCGCTTCAACTCATCCTCCTCTTTATTATCGTGCTCTTGACTTGCGGTAAGTCGTTTGCGCGCCAGTGCTTTCTCATTGCCTTTCTTTACTTGGATGTTGCATCCTTGTAACTTCAATGCTCGGGTAAGAGCACTGCTTGGTCTCATGCCAGGAAAGTCCTTGGCCGTATAGACGGTGAAGACGTCGCTCAAGACTTCGGTAAGTATTGGCGAAAAGCCTCCCACGTGGAGGTTCATCGGATCGATACGCATTAGGACGAATCGAAGTCGGTATTTGCCATGTGTACGACACGAAAGGTCTGGAAAGCAGAAGAAGCAACCTTCGGCATCATGCTCATCCTTTGCTACTGATGGCGATGCCACGAGCTGACCCATTAATCGCCGCGTCGTTCGCCTGTCGGGCTGTATGAGCGCTGTCTCTTCGTTCGTCCCCTCGGCATTCCAGAGTGTGCAATGAACCACGTTGAGCGAGTAACGTAGTTCTTCTTGCTCTGCGGCACCGGTTTTCGGATCTGTTACAAGGAGCTGGATGATTGGCGGTGGGTCAATTACCCTTCGGTCACGTTCTCCGAACCCACATGCTCGCGCGGCGATGGGTTGTTGCCGCACACGAAGTTCGTAGTTCAAGTTTCTGTATGCGTCAGTGGGAGATCGCTTACTTGGTCAGTGTGGAAGTATCCTTACAGCTGCTCGTTGTATACCGGCTGTGGTATCGAACCTGGTAATGGAATTGCTCGATGCTGTTTTTGAGGTGGAGGAGCCGTTGCAGGCGGCTCCGAATACGCAATGGCACCGAGTGGGGCTGCTATGGAGCCTCGATGTGATTGTGAATGCTGGCGGGAACCTACGGATCCGCGGAATGGAGTACTACTCGATGCATAGCTCGGTGTATACCCAGGTGACGGCAGTGGAGGATATGACCTTTGCTGCGAGGCCTCTACTGGGGATGTGAGAGATGAGTATGGCTGCTCGTGGTGTTGACTATGATGGTAGTGCCGGGGTTCCTCGTAAGGATAGCGGTGTTCTGTCAATCTCCGCGGTCCTCTGCTGTCAAACTCGGAACGTGGTGAGATGGAAGGGCCATATTGCTGAGGCGAATATGGAGGGTCTGATCTGGGTGGGGTGTAGGGATTTGAATGTTGTAGTAGTTTCTCAACAGGAGCTGCTGATCTATGTACGGAGGGCGGCTGGGGGTAGTCTTGTCGCGGAGGCAATCCAGCATGAATCGAGGGCAGTTGGTTGATGGGTGAGCGGAACTGGTGATCGGACCGGGGTGGTACAGCGTCTGGTGGGATCTCTAGCGGGGGAAGTCGGCGGTGAGAATAGTCGAGGAAGCCAGGGGGCGAGAAGATGGGAAGTTTCTGGGTCTCAGTCATATCTGGAGCAGGATGAGAAGTTGTTGTCAGAGGGAGCGACGGCGGCGGAGGAGGTGGAGGTGGTTGGGACATGCGTGTATTATTATTTGGCCGGGCCAGGACACGATGCACGAAGCCGCATTGGGATGATGTTTGTGTTCAGTTCGGAGGCTCTTTTCAAATTGGGAGCAGCAGGGAGTGGTGCAGTGTTGGACAAGACGTCAGGAATGGGGGCACTGCCTCGAGTGTGGCGGCGTTGGTAGTTTATAGTTTAATGTCCCTTGTAGGCGACCCTGTACGTATCTGGATCGCCAGCAGCCAGATCGACGGTCGGATGCTTGGATTCAGCAATGGCGACGTTGAAGTGGAGGCGCTCTGACGCCTTAAAACAACGGGCGCCCGGGAAGAGGAAAGGATGCAGACGGGGGTGGGCCCGCAGCACCCTGTTCACTCGCAAGCCTCACGCCAACCGTCAAGAGTAGCCGGCTCGGAGCATAAATTTTGACCAGGACAGCGATAAGTGCAGCGATGAGTGCGTGGATCCGAGCTTGGCGGGCAGCTGCTAGTCCCCAGGTTTCTGACTTGGGTTGGTGCAAGCGATATGAAGGCCGGGAGATGGGCACTATGTACAGTACAAGCAGGTGATTGTGTGGAGAAAGTAGTCATGTATGTTCCTCATGGTCTAGGGTTTAGGTGAGCTAGTCGGTGCATGTGGTCTCTGCGGCAGTCCACTCTGTCTTCTCACCGCGTTCGCAGCCCATGCAGCTGGAGACTTTGGGACGCGACTGGCTCAGGACTCGTGTCTAGCTCCGAACTGGCTTCGCAGTATTTTCGTGGGGCGTCACCGAATAGGCTGGCGGCCGGGTAAAAGAGAGACAAACAACGGCGTCCCGGTTTCGCAGGCACGTCTGTTTCGAATCAAGACAGACCAGGGTGTTGCACACTGTGACCGGGCGGCAGCCAATATGGAGCAATATGCCAGATATCACGTAACTCGGTCCATGGGCGCTGGCGAGCGGAGGGTAGCATCGCGAGCGGCAGACGCTTTCACATTCGGCGAGGGTCCAGATAGAGTGAAGGAGTGGCTGCAGCACGAACCTGGGAAAGGCTTGACGGGCCCATCTGTCAGAGCGGGCGCAGGCCAATGGCGAGGCTGGAGGATTGCGGCTAAAAGCGATCTGCCCTGCGACGCCTTTCTTGTCCGTCTCCGCGCACCCACTTGGAGCGGGTGGGGTCTGCTGCCATGCTGGATGAGCTATAGGTGGCCCAAACTCTGGTGGTGGTGAACCCAGTCAGGACGGCTACCGGGCTTTTGGAAGACGGCTGCCGTCTCATGCGCCCATCAATCAGTGACATGAGACATTGCCTCCGCACCTGGCTATCGGACTCGATAGTCAACGGGCACGGCCGCCCAAACGATGTCGGTGGCTTGCGCTTGCCCAAGGTGGGCGACCGTTGTCGTTAACAGCAGACATTAAGACACACATACATCGCTTCCATGGCTGCGACGCGAATCACGGCGGTTCGCTTGCGGCGCAACGGTTTGAAGAGAGTGGCAGGAGATTGGGAGAAGCGTCATGGGGTGTGTGTTGTTCAGCGGGTGACTTGGGCATGGTATGCGGCAGTTGCAACAGTCGCTGCTACCATGCAGACTGATAATATACAGTGTCAGGCATAATAACCACCGACCCAGCCATAATCAACCAGACTTTGTGCATCGTCTAGACAAAGGCTTAGAGTGCAAAGTCGATTGGCAGTGCAGATGAAGTTGATCTAGATGACGCCTATTTGCAAACCTCGGAACGCTCATCGCCTGAGTAACAGAGTTGCAATGGCACCCTGGCAGACGGCACCTATTTGGAAATGCTAGCGCCGCTCCTCCTATTGCCTCCTCTACTCATTCAGGTAGGCTCCAACTCTGATATTGCTGCCCGCACGGATCCAGCGTACCTGCGCTGCCCCCTAGCCTAGCCGCGTCCGCTGTGTGCTACCTCGAGCGGGCGCATGTCTGCTTTGACACACTCCTCCTTTTCCTACCCCTCACCTCCCATCGCAACATTGCCTTCGGTGAACAGGTCCGCCAATTGTTCGACCTGGCACGTGTGGCAGCCAATCGTCTGCCCGAGCACCTGCCGTCTCTGAGTTTTACGCGACTTCCCAACCTGCTGACCACTCACCTCCCACCTCGCACATCTCTCACCGCCCGTCCCCCCCCTCCAGAATACACACCACGCTGCTGCTCGACGGCGCATGAATCACGTCGCCACTCATCCACCACAGGGCCACCAAGAAACTCCCCGGTCGCGATCGACACGCAGCCTCGACGGAGCCGTCATGGCTACTGAGTTTGGCAACTACAAGGGTAGGTGCGAACCGATCTCACCAAGACGGGCTGTTGGCGTCCTGACATGTTCTCAAAGCGGCGTCTACTCGGCAATTGCTGCCTTGCTTCGACTCGTGCTGACTCGCCTGCAGATTATAGTGGGGTGTCAAAACTGCCTGCCTCTGCGACTCACCTTCTTGACCCACGTCTAAAAATCCTGGCTACGCTGATCCCCGGAATCTTTGCCGCCAAGCACTGTTTGGACATCGGCTGTAATGCTGGCAGCGTCTCAATCCAACTATGTAAGTGTAGGAAGGATACCCCTGCTACCTCCTGCAACCGACTATTACCACGTCTTGTCGATATTGATCAACTTGCAGCATTCGATTTTCAAGCGGCATCCGTCACGGGCATCGATATCGATCCCAAGCTGATTGCCCAGGCCGAGAAGCTCCTGGCCCTGCGTGCTTCCCGTGCGAAACCCCCCACGAGTGGCTCGGCACCCGTTGTCGACTACTTTCCTATATCGGCCGTGCTCACTCATGGATACCGGATTGAACCGCAAAACAAGGCTGCGCATAGCGCATCCACTGTGTCAGCTGCTTGGCCGCGTGTAACCTTCTTCTCTGCAGATTGGGCCGTACCCTCAGCCCACGACGTCGAGGAGTCATATGATGTGATCCTGGCATTATCCGTCATTAAATGGATCCACCTCCAACATCGAGACGCTGGTCTAGTTGCGTTCTTTGAGAAGTGCGCCTCGTCGTTGCGAACGGGTGGATACCTCGTTATTGAACTCCAGGGCTGGGACTCATATCAGAAGGCCGTTCGCCCAAACCACTCTCCGCATTTCCAGCAGGCTTTGAAGGAGCTCGAGTTACGTCCGGAAACTTCATTCGACACTCTCCTTGCGAACCAAGGCCTACGGCTCTGCGCTTCATCAGATGCACTTCCTCGTCGCATCAGTGTCTATCGAAAAGCCTGAGCACTTTTTGAACATATCGGTAGGGTTGAACAGTCTACCACCAGGATCACGTTTCATCGCCTTCAAGTACCCAATCTTTAGCATCGGGAATTACCATTTCATCTTGCTCGGGAGATGTTCAACACACCCATGGCATTCCCCACTTCGACTAATCGTTACACTCTGGCGCACGGTCACTCTGCAATTATTATCCGTCCCTTGCCGTATCAGCGCCTATCGCACCTGGGCTCTCTATTCTGTTGGTTGGTAAATTTTGGATTGAGTATTGCTATTCACGAGACTTCGACCACTATCCCAAGCCGCGGTCAGTTACTACAAACGGCTGGTCTGCGCTCCACTTTCTTGGGGTTCTCCGGGCCTGAACCCTGCATGCCGATCGTCCCTCCTCACCATTCCGGGTTCCATCCCTCCATGCATCGTACGATTGCGGCAGCTGTGTAAGTAAAGATCGACCAAATAACAGGATTTTCAAAGTTTCGGTCTGGATGTTCGCCTCAATATCGAGATATGCAGCTATAACCTGGCCTTGGTAGTAGCAGCGACCACGAAAGTCATCTCTGGCAGGCCACGCTGGAGCAGGTATGAGGTCGCGAAACCTGCATTAGCCGCCTCACTACATAATCCGCAGTACTAACCAATGATGGCTCGGAAGCTTTTCGGCACATACCGGATACCCAGTTCTGTGGTTCTCCAGACCGTAAGTCACATGTCATCCACTAATACAAACCTTATCCCACACCGGATCTCGTGCAGGCCGAGATTTTCTACTATACTATCATGTCTACTACGAGCCGCACCATCCCTCTTTACACGTCATTTCCTAATGGCCGGCTCTAGATGTTTCGATAATTGTTGATCGCCTTCTGGTCGAGATAATGTGACAAATGCTAGATCACTGAAAGGCAAGTTCGGCGAATCGATAGTACCATGATTTAACCTAGCCGGCCATCGGCGACCGGTTATGAACATCATAGAACCTGGAATCGTCAAACTCTCAGTGATAGGACGACTGATGATCCTGTAGAAGTGGAGACGCAATGTGACCTTCTCGTCACAATCGAACTATTTCCGCTTTCGTGACTTCATGGACACATAAATCTCTCAAGTTTCTTCCTGTTCTTCCTGGTTCTCCGCGACTGCCGCAGGGGTTCGAGCACTTGTCTTCCCTGATCAGCATGTAACGAAATACAGCTCGCAGATACTGGAAAAGCTGGCTGTTAAGAGAGCTCGCCACAGAAAGTGCCGTACGTTACTACAAATCTTGATCAAACAAATGGTCTACTACCGGACCTGCACTGTACCAAGCCTCACCTGTTAGACGCGATTGAACTGGGATCTTGTTCGAAGAGCAGATCCCATGCTCTGCAAGATACATCTACCAGTACATGAGTGCATACAAACCCAAGACTTGGAATTCTAACCACTATTTTTGCTAGGAACACCTTGCATAAGCTCAAGATCTCAAGAGGTGCTTGATCTCACAGTTGGAGCTAACTCTCGTAGAAGATTGATACTGCACAGCCAGACCAATATCCAGTTTCAACCGCATTTACTTAGCCGTACAGTAACAGGAGCTTGCTTCCCCGAAAGCTGTGCCATAGAACACCATTGCAGCATCTTATGAACTATTAAGTCCACCGCAGCAATGTGCGGAGACACGATCTTGTCTTTGCCATGAAGAAGACGCCGATGATGCACTCCCCTGCCAACCGAGCAATCTTCTGACTATTGTCGTCAGCAAGGCTAAGCCTATCGGGATCCAGCATCTATGCTTGCTTGCGTTGTACGGCGGCCAACATGGCCACCGATAAACGCACCGGCAGTTTCTCTCTAGCCGAGAGGGTAAACCACCATGGATGCTTTTATGCCGTGCTCGAGAGTGTCAGCTTTGGCTAGCCAACTGCAGCGTGGTATATCGATCGTGAACGGTATCGCTGTTCGTGTTCTTACGATCGCCAGTTCATTCAGTGTCTACTGCGCTATGCATGGCATGCAACTATCGAGGAAGATTGGTCGATACTGAATACGCCCTATACAGTGTTTGCGAGACTGGGGAATGCCGACTAAATGGGGCGCTCCACTGATGGACAACGCATCGACGGATAACTGCTTCGTGGACACACCACGTCCCGCACAGCAGCGCCTTGCACAAGTGATGCTGCCCAAGAGCATGTCGTGAGCTGGCTTTGAGTGACAACACAACCACTGCACGTTGCGCTTATCTCCTCAACTTGAACATTTGATGATAACACACAAAGAACAACGTGACGGCATTGGAAAACCATTGTCAAATGCAGGTCGCATGTGCAGCAAGTAGGGCGTACTACGATCAGCCACCACCACTACCTCCCACGTTGTTTTGTTTTCGTACTCGTTGTGGTTGTGATGCGCTCATATTTGCCATCTTCTCAGCAGGTCTTGCAGCTACTTCGATTACGTATGCCAGGAAAGCCCAATGACACCGAGCGTTCATGAATCTACCAGGGGGCATGCAGAACATAGTTTCTGTCGTGAAACCTTCCAGCACATCGCCCTTGCCTTGCCACGAACACTTGCATCTTGCTCCCGAAACACGAACTCGACATCGGCCAGTATGTTCGAAGGATTGCGCTGCAGGGAGCGCGAATTGACCATTTCCTGCGTTTCCTCGACGTGTTCAGACGGGAGAGCATTGTCGACGCTCTAAGTCGGCGAAGCGCGGGGCTGGGAAATAGCTTCTGGCCACCTCACCTTGCCGCATCGGAGACTTTTGTACCTTCGACAAATGCTCCTTCTTCCCTTCCCTGGGCTTCGCAGGGACCGAACGCAAGGCGATACTAGCGAAAGGACGATCCCCGTCCTTGGTTCGCGATGGCAATGATGCATAGCTGCTGGACTTTCTGCGGTGGCGGAACATCTCAGCTTGGATGAACATCCACTTGTAACTAGGCGGGAAGCCAAGCACTGCACCATACGGGCTATATAACTTCAAGCAGCGTGGAAGTAGGTCTCACGGGATTCCTGTCGTCCCTTCTGACGTGTACCGGACCACGATTCAAGCAACGTAGCTTGCGCCGGAACTCCAGGTTGAGCCGAACAAAAAGCAACCATCTTCTCTTCTCTACCAAGCTGCGACAGCCAGGTAAGCATCAGAAGCGCGCGTAACATCAATGTGGCAGCATGTGTGTTGTTCACGCCTCAGCTGCTGAGGCGTTAAGGAACGGGCGTCGTATAGGTCGCTTAGGGGGTATGAAACGGCTTCGTGCTGACCGTGCGATAGGCTTCCTTGACGAGTCTCGCGCGGGCGCCTCTCACGATCCCTCTTGCAGATCTCTGGTTATTTGACATCCTGCCGAAGTCAGACGTAAGCCGGATCCTTGCTTTTGCCAAAGCGAATGACCTTCCGAGCTTGGTCACACAGAGCTAGACAACACTCAACACGACTCGGCATCTTGCCGGAGCTACGGAGATCTACTACATATACATACGCCATCGAAAACCACTCGTAGAACAAAGCAGACCGACGCCGAGCGCTGATCTCCGCTTACCGACCGCGAGCGCATCGAGCGCATCACCGAGGCCATGCCACCCGCGAGCTCGTCCTTCACGCCCCTCAATATCCAAGACAATGTCGTACCAGAGTGGCTGGATGCCTTCACCCTGACCGCGCCCCCAAACACCGATCTATGGAGGAAACCACCATCAGGGGATATATCGACGGCTCCAATTCTCTACACCGCTCTGCGCAACCCTTTCATAGTAGCAGAAGTCACAGTTTCAGCAGACTGGGAGCTCGAATGGGACCAGGGAGGACTGGTCATATTCGCGGGCACACCGCCAGGGCAGATGCCGGTAGCAACAGCAAACGCGACAACGACACTTGAGGTCCCAAATGTTGCGAGCATATGTTTGAATGATAGCGCGGCCCCGAGTTCCGCCATGTCACTCTCGCAAACCTCCAGTATTGACGATGTTGAGAGGTACAACACCACAACTTCACAAAGCCCAGCAGAGGATTCAGATACCAGGCCCCAGTTAGAGCGTGGCCCTCCACCACCGTATGTTGCTCCTGCGCCAGCATCCAAGTGGGCCAAAGTTGGGCTTGAGTTTTCCAGCAACGCGTGTCATGCCAGTTGTGTGGTCGCAAATGGCGTAGGTGCAGACTGGTCATTGAGCGCACTCCCACCCCATCAACAACGACGCATGGACTTGCGAGTCAAGATTGAGCGCATCGGTTACGCGCTGTGGGTCTCATACGAGGATGAACTGTCAGGCTGGAAGAAGCTGAGAGAGGTCACCTGGTTCTTCTGGGGTGTGGAAGACAAAGCCGTACGCGTTGGCGTTTATGCGAGCCGACCTGCAAACTTTGGCATCTCCATGTGGGACCGAAGACACGCTGCAGGACTGAATAGAGGAGACCGAGATCTTTGTGTTGAATTTGAAGGTTTGGAGATTTTCTAATCAAGAAAGAGACCGCCATGTTTAAGATTCCGTCGCCATGTCTTCTTCTCTTTGATTCATCGCCGCGTTTCTCAGCTGTTCATGCGGTTTAGGATATCTGCGCGTGGTTTCTCTCCTTGCTTCACGGACTTCTTTCATCCCTCCATCTCTAATCATTCTAATATTATGCGCGTCGTGATCATTTTTACAATTCATTTCTTTGTATCTATTCGCTTTTTGCCGCGTACGGCGTTGCTTCGGCGCTTGCCACAATCTTCAGCTCGTAACGTTGCACTCAAGCTGTGGCGACTCTTCATGCACTGCCACCCCTCTTATTACATATTGTGTCCATCTCACCGCTTCTTCGTATCCGCTTATTGTTGTTTTACATGATGGATAAGGATGAGCGCTGGTGTGCCATCTCATTTCTGACTTTGTCATCATCTTCCACCCTTGTTCATTATCTAGCATCTATCTATCTACATAATATCACATTTATTCGGTATTATCCTAAGCATGCACCCGATTTTAGTATGGAGTGAGCCTCATGCAGTGGTGTAAGTTGGATGTGCCTTTCGCATGTGTGATAATCATGTGAACGCGATCCTGCGAAGCAGGCGCGTTTGTTTACTGAGCTCCACAACAACATCATACTCCTTACGGCGATAAACGCTCAGAGATGCAAAGTAGAATTGAAGAGAATGGCAACAGTCATGATGGTCAGATGTGCACCAACGACAGACACAAACGTTGCGTGCAAACAACGAAGCTCATCTTTAGTCTTGCGACTCCGAGAAACATGCTTCATCAGCAGACTGGAAGAACACAAGTTCCGCCTTAGGCGACGCCGCAATTTGACTCTTGACATTCCTTTCGTACGAAGATCTTTCACACTCGTCCACTCGCCACTTCGTCTTAGACGCAAGTTCTGGTACTCCCAGCTATCGCAATGTCCATGGAACTCCTGCTGCTAGGCCTAATGCTATTTGCAGCTTGTGGAACTAGTTGTACTCTAGTGGAATCTCAACCGGTTGTTTCTGCGGACGGAAACTCTGTCGAGGGCTACGCCACACGATCTTCAATTAAAAAACACGCTTCATTACCTCGGCGCTCATGCTCACAAAAGAGCATGCAGGTGAACACAGCCGGCATGCTGGCTCAGATACCTAGTGTAGATCCCAAAGTCGCGTGTTGGGCTACTCCTTTCTGTAACTCGATGCTTACAGATTTCGCATACTGCTACAACATGACGGGAAGTATGAAGGATCCCAACGCCGATGACGGACGGAGCGAGATATACCAACGCTGTCTTTGCAAAGGCAGAGGGGATACGTACAAAGAGTAAGCGTCCGCGCTCCTTCATTCACCAAGAGTTCACCATCTCTAACATTTCTGACATAGCATCATTTCGAGCGACGGAAAAGTCGAGAAAGACAATGTGATGCAGTGCTATGAGTGTCTGGAGCAAGCTGGCGTCGATATTGAAGATATCAATCAACCTAGCAGACAGCTTGAATGGAAGATACATGGCTTCTGCAACACGGCAACTCCAAACCTCTACGACCTTCTCTTCTCATTCCTAGTCTGGCTCAGGTCAACGAATGTACCGGTCGACCACGACAATGGATTGGGCAGGGTATCAGCCATCTTGACGCTTTCCAGCCGCTTCGGGAGCACAAGTGGAATGAACCAGGCTACTGGAATTGTCAGCCTGCCTACAAGTGTGCCAGGGGGGTGGTCGCCAAGTACTCGTACATCTGGAGACGCAATACCAACGCAGTATCTACAGCAGTTACCAAAGAACTGGCCTTACACAGCTTATGGTGTAGCGAGAAAGGCTGATCAAACTACCTCTTTCCCCTTGACGGATCCCAGTTCGACGGGTGTAACGACGGCGTGGCTCTACTACAAGATAGCTTGGAATCCGCGACCACTATTCACTCCGGCAATAGCGGGGAACGGCATGTACCAACCAGCGCTTCAAGACTGGGTGCCATCTCTTTTAGATGCAACAAGTCCCATGTTGCCCACACTTACGTCCACAGTCATACCCATCACGCCTCTGATAACGGCACCGACGTCCTTCATCGTAGGGCAGCAGAGAAGACAAGGGCTCACAATGGATGATATATGGAGTGAGATAGAGAGGGTGAGAGAGAGGCAATTCGACACGCAAAATGAGGGAACCAAGAGTATGTAGCATGAGACTATTTGTATCATAATTACGTATTAACTATACTATATATCAACCTTCCAAATTGAAGGATTTTCTGTGTCGACACGGTTTATCCGAGAAACGCCAACCCAATGCCCTATGTACAAGCCCCATGAACAGGGGCTGATGAAACGTATATACATTACCCGTATCAGTCTTCTTTTATCGTATACCTATATCTTGACCTCAGCAACAAGATACGGACCAATGACACAGATGGCTGTCCAAACAACCATAGCACTCTCAACGCACAGCGTGTATGGTGCTTTGTAGATTGGCACCTCCTGCAACCGAACCCAGATGGCATAGAAGGCGACGTAAAAGAAGTGCCACACCAACATCCAGGGATGGGTGATGAGACCAGCGAGCATACCACAAGGCTCACTGACACTCTTGCCGCCGCGGAGGAAGTACTTGAAGCAACCCTTCTTGATCAGCTCTAGGTATTGGTTGTTGGCGGCGAAGAGGCTGTAGAGAGCCATGGCCAGAATGTTGATGACGGAAGATCCGTTCTTGCGCTGCCAGTGGAAGGTGGACATGGCGGACAAGACGGCAGATGTATCCTCTAATGTGGGTACGTTGGCGGGCGAGAGGAGGTTGGAGAGGAGGACTACGTCATTGAACGCAACAGTCATGCCGCCACCAGTGAGGGGATGTCGCATGTTCATGGCATCACCCAGGATGATGAGTCCGGCCTGCCTCTGCGTCGAAGGAGGTAGGAAACTGTTTGGCATTGAGCGCAGTTTACCGGCTTCGATTGCTTTGCGGAAGGCGGGTTGGACGCATTCTGGGAGTTGGGGCAGCGCAACATTGAGCATGTGGTTCTTGACACCTCCGTTCTTGGGGCTGGCTGAGGGCAGATTCTCGGGTATGTCGACGAGGATGCGGGTTTCGTGGGTGCCGATTTGGTAGATGAGGATTGGAGGTGCGTCGGCGAGGATGACGTGACCATGGTTTGGCATGGGGAGTTGGGCGTCGATCATCTCGAGGCCCCAGAACTTGCTGCGTACTTGGGGCTGGTGAGGGATGAATTCTTTGCGGAACTTGGAGGCGTAACCATCTGCCACGAGGGTGACGGCACCAAAGTAGTAGTCTTGCTCTCCGGCGGTCTTGGATGATACGCCCACGACCTGGTTTGTGTAGTCACTCTTGACCATGGATTCGACGGTTGTTTCAACAACAGTGACGTTGGGCGTGGCCTTTGCCTTTGCACGTAGCTTGGAGATGAAGCGGCCGTGGTGGAAGGATCGTCCTTCGGGTGCTTTCGAGGGCGCAGATGTGAGGAGGTTGTCCGGGTAAGGGATGTGGACCTCTTCCTTGCCGTAGAGGATCTGGTAGCCGTAGCAGGGAATGGCGTCAATGTCGTCGAGGCAATCTGTGGTACCATGTCAGCGATGCATTCTCGACCTCGACAGGGAACGGGTAGCCGTACCCCTCATGCCCAACTTCTCCAAGGCATTGACGCCGCCAGGTTGCAGCAGCTCGCCTACAATCCTATCAGGCTCCTTTAGGCTCTTCTCGAGCAATATGACGCTCCTGCCCTGGTTGCCGAAAGCGACAGCCGCTGCGCATCCAAGAATACCGGCGCCAACAATAACGATGTCGGCCTCATGGTGCACGCGCCGCCTCTCTTCGCGGTAGTCGTTTGTGTGTGTGGATTCGGTCGTGGGTACGGATTGCGTCGACGTGGTTCGCTGTCGCAGCTGTGGAGACGGCGATGCAGAAACTCCAGGCGGCAGCTCTGCAAGCTTGGTGCCAGAGTACATTGTGAGCATGGTTGCGGTTGCTGGGGGTCTGTTGAGAGACCCAATCGAGTGCTGGTTGTTTGGTTGCGCGTGTAGCGAGGTGAGTGCCCGAGGAAGGTGCGTTCGGGAATCGATGGGGTGGTTAATGCGAATGCAATGGAGATGTAGGCAGCGTGGACGAGTGTGGAGATGGCGCTCAATCAGCCTTGCCGAAACGTCACACGGCTAAAGAGAGTAGAAATAAACTTCACGGGACGTCAAGACTCCTGTAGATCCAGGGTCCAGCAGGGCAAGCACGCAGTCTTGGAGACAAATCCGAGTGGCGACCTCACGATCTTAAGCCGCGAGATTGGTGACAGGGATCGCCCTCACCGCCATGCCATGTTCTGCCAGGGGTACCGTCGCCGCCTGCGCGACATGGCGTGAACATCATCTCATCGCACCCGATGATTTCTCGCTTTTTTTCCTCGAACGACTGTCTGCCCGTCCTTCGGGAATTCGGTACTTTGCAGCGTCTTCCTCCTGCCGCGAGGCGCCGTTTCTGGTGAGTCAACAGCTCGCTGTACCTGCATATCTTCACATGCTCGGCTCCGAGCTACCACATCTGTAAACTCTTCAGTCACACATCCACAACGTTTAGCTGCTGGTGATCTGTCGCTCTAACCACCCTTTCATTTCGCCCAAAACTCAATCATTTGGAATTGAAGAATCGTCTCTTTCGAGCTGTATATATTCAAGACGCTGCATGAGCAACGCCGCGTACCCAAGGGTACTGTCTAATAGAAATTACGAATAAAGCTAGTGAATGATGTGGTGTAGTAGGTATGTAGCATTGATGCAAGAAACATGCGTCTCGTCGTAGTAAACCTTCTGCCTTTTTGTTTGCCCCTGCGTGCGCGAGTCCGATCCATCATCGAACCATATAAGCCATTGTTTTGTCGTCAGCGCGTCCGAGGTAATCCGCCCAGGTGAAGGAAAGGTAGAAAGGAAAAAGTCGAAAAAATAATATGCACGGGTGCAAGTCGAAGCCCGAACCAAACGCCTCGTCGATAAAGGCTTGCTCCTACGCGAAAGGAGAGAGGCCTGTTTGTATGTACAAATATGTACAGCTATTCACAAGATCGTACTGTTAAGCGTCTTCGACATGACGCTCAACTTGGGTCGTTTGGGAATGAGCCAGTCTAAAAGGCAGCGCCAGGGTTCTGGTTGTGAGGAAACATGGGCGACGCCACGGGTGTATCGACCTCCATGATGGTTGACTGCCTTTCAGCATATTGTTTCTTGACATCGACAGGCTGGGTTGAGCCCATGTGTGAATTGCGGTAGTATGCCTCGTAGAACTCGCTCAGTCGCGTGTCCTTTCCTCCCTGGCCCGGAGCAAGCAGAGTGCTTGCGTGGCTGGGACGGCGTTCCGCCTCGTCGTCAGTCGATGCAAGGATTGAGGTGTGGCCAGATTCGACTGTTGACGCGGCCGAGGCTGAGCGCCGTGTCTGCTGCTTTTGCCAAGCTTGATCGTACGAATCTGGTTTTGGCGCGTCCTCCTGAGAAGCTTGGTATGCTTGGAAAGTGCTTAGCCGATTGCCGCTGCTGTAGATGCTGCTCGCTTCGCTTCCGTCTCGTTCATGGTGTGGCGAGTAGGTTCGTGCCTGTAGTTGAACTTGGGTACGAGCAGGCGATGAGGGTTCAGAGTCTTGCAAGAAAGTTAGGGATGGCCCGATATATATCTACTAAATGCTAAAAGTACAACAAACAACGCACCAGGAGATCGTGTTACCTACTCGGCTCGTGGACCTGCACGCGAGGGTAATCGTACTCGGGCGATGGGGAGCGCGACTCTTTCCTCAAAGCGTGGCCAGGAATAGATGGCAGCTTGGCCGTAGGCGGGTTGTGAGGCGACAGCGGCGTTGGTGACTGGCCAGGCGAATTGTGGTAAGATCCCTGCTGCGACCTGATGCCGTCATCTCCTGTGTGGTGTGAGACTGTGAGAGCCGGAGCGTATTGCTGACGGTTCAGGTCGGCGGGTGACATGGATCGTGGAGATGTAAAACCCTCGCTGTCGCTGTCGGAGCCGCCAAAAGTAGGAGAAGGGGGACCACGCGGGTGACCAGGGGAAGGAGGAACTTGGAGAGACATGTCGACAGCGCCGTTGTGGTTGCGTCTTCCACTAAGCTCAGCCTCGGAGGGACGGAGCTTCATTGTGGGCGGGGAAACTCGTTTTGCGTTGGGTTCCTTGTTGGCGTTAAGATTCAGGCTGAGCATGCTGTTGTTGGCAGATTGTCCCTTCATGAGTGGCGAGTTGACGCTTCCTCCGACCAAGGTGCTGGTGCTCATCGTTGGGTTGTCGCCCATGACAGATCCTGCTCTTGACGTAGGTCGCGATTGAGCAACACCAGCGTAGAAACCAGCCTCGATGGCACGAATACCGAACAGATCACCCTCATCCTTCTCACGCTGATTCAGTTCAACAGTGTCCTCCTTGGGTCCGGCCTCTAGCTCAGTTTGCTTCGCCTTCTTCAACCTTCCTATCGTTAGTTCACGTAGCGTTTATGTCGACATGGTCACTTACTTTTGACGGTTGTACATCACTTTGATGAACCCAGCGAGGATAGTAAGAGCCAACAGCGACAAGAATACAATGCTTTTTAAGATTAGTCTTGGACTACCATTGTCCCTAGGAAACATACACATATTTGTATGCCAACTGCAGGTTTCCAAACCAGTTCGACATTGTGGCGGATAGTGTTCTTGAGCTAGATCTATCGTGTGTCGAGTATATGTAGTCGTTACAATTAGGGTCGGTTGAAGATGCTCCGATCGATCCGAGTACTAATTATTGTCGTATGTATTGTTCTAGCGGAATGAGTGTCGGGTAAAAGCAGATGATATCCTAATTCGGAAGGCGCAGTACAGGACGATATTATGAACGAAAGGACGTGTATACAAGATACACAATAGAGAATGACTGGGGTTGCGAGTCCTTGGAAGAGCGAAGCAAGACGAGCAGAGCCGCGGGGGATGAAGAGTAAAAGAGCGTAGCTTCCACAGGCGCGCGCTGACTGCCTCAGTAGTATGGCGCTACCCATACGACGTCGGCACGCATGGTTAAGATCTAAAAGCGGAGGCGACAGCCTAGGTCCTAACGCCCGCCCGTCAAGCGAGTCTCCAGACCAATCAAAGTAAGCACGGTGCCATAAACGGAAGGCTGATTCAGGTGGACTAACGAATTTAGTTGTGGTTTTGTTTGAAGGCGTGGTGACCCGGCATGCCCATGCAGTATCAGCCCTGCACTCGTGTCAGTGCCCTCCGAAAATTCGCATCGATGTCAGTCTGGCCGCTCGTACAGCGTAATGACCAGATCTCTTTGCTGATGAAGGCATATCCTCTTGTATTGCGCAGCGCAGAGTACAGCGCGCAGCGCTTGAGAGACAGGCCATGGCGATTGGGTCGGCAGTGACAGCATTCAAGCAGCCAGAGCCTGTGACGGCACAGTTGTGGCGCATCAGGCATTGAGCCCGTGTCGTGTTGACGGTTCACGAAGGCATGATTCGCCTCTCGTCCCGACGAGCCCCTGACGGCGAGTTGGGATAGTGAGAGGAACAGGAATGGCGGCTATTCAGGCGGCCCATTAGGCCCCACTCTCGCATGCTTGGCAGGGGAGAGGGACCCCAAGTTGGACATGGCGGCTGAGGAACTGGCCACTGCACATGCTTTTTTCAGCACAGCGAGCCTGATACCCACGCACGGCATCCTTTTCTCGCTTTCTCGCCATGCGACGGCCATCTCCCGGAGTCCCTCCGCTTGTTGTAATTTCCCGGAGCTCGGCAACAATTGTAGAGTGATTATCGATTCCGTACCTCCACTTTCTCGAGATCAGCATGGTCTGTTCAACGGTCACCGTTGATGTGAAGACCTCGAACACCCAAGGTGTGTGCCAAAGATGTAAGCGAGCAGCAGATGCAGGGCGCTGCTGCAGTGAATCCCACGCTTGCTCTGAAAGATGCGTGACAGGAGTAAAACCTGTCGCACCAGGATGCAATGGGCCAATGTCCGTGGAAACGAAACGTTTCGTTACTCGCTTCTGACTCCTTCAGCGGCGCGGTAGCTTTTGTCACGACTGATGCATGTAGAGGATCAGAACCTTGCTCCGCGGTAGAGCGAGTACGATGTGGCAGTAAGCATGCGGTTGCCGACTTCCGATTCGATGCGGTCTGCAACTCCCAACGGACAACGAGCACGAGATAGCACACAGTTGTGGAACTGGACGGACCGTGGCCATTGCCCAGCGTTGAGGTTTTAGAAACCTTCAACTTCGTACGGCGACCGTTGGCGGAAAAGGGTTCAGCATTGGCTTGGCGGGCCCTCAAGTTGGGCGGCTCCACGGTAGTTGTCCACCTCGTACTTTTTTTCGCGCCGGCGACGCCGCCATGCCTATAGTGTGCGCCTTAGGAACCAAAACTCATCTTACTCCGTCATGCGAAAAGGGATAAAGTGCTAGATAGGAGATTGCAGTTTTTGAAGGTGTCGCTTGTGGCTAGCCAAGGACCAATTGTGGACATCTGGCGAGATGTCCGTCGCGCTATCGATTGTAACTTCCAGTCCGCGGCTGCATCGTCTCGAGAGGCTCTGTGTGATGGTGTCATAGGGAGCATCGGTCCCATCGTGATGTAGGTCATGCCCAAGCCTCCGCTCTCTCTTGTTGCGGTAATGCCAAGATTCCACTCGTACTTGCTTCCTACCTTGTGAGAGACTTAGAGCAGCTTCTTGTGCGATGCATATGGTGAGTATTGAGATCTAGAAAGCAAGTGTCCAGGCCTGCTCGAGCTTTGCGATAGTCAAGTTCCGTCTTAGGTACGAGGCCAAGCAAAGAGCGCGCCTATCTCCGACCTGACCTCCCATTGTCTGCGAAGACAATTAGGAATGCTTAACAGGCTGTCTTTCAGAAAGGACTTTTGGCATCTGTGATTCTTTGATAAGCAGCGTAATTGGATCGCGCTCCTGGAGAATCTTGACAGATGGATATTGAAGATGTTGGGTGTGGGTCTTGGCAGCTCGCGACGATGTATGGCGTCATACACGTCCTGTCCAGCGGTCACCCTTCCAAAGAGCGCTCCTCGCATAGCTTCAATACTATTTAGCACGATACTGTCAAGCAGCCTGGTCTACTCCGAATCATACCACTATCATGGCCTCGAAAGACGAATCGTCCGACAACTCCAAGGTAATCAAAACTGAGCCCCTGGACAACAAAGACGCCAAATGGGCAACGCTTGTGAAGTAAGTATTTAGCTAATGTCGCACCCCGCACATGCTCGGATTCTCTTGGGTCGTTAGACAATCTCATGAGTTTAGAAGCACAAAAGGCACTCGCACTTGAGCTAGAAGAAGAAGAAAAACACACCCACTCTGCGTCAAAAGTTGACTGACAATCACTAGAATCACCTACACTGACCCCAAAGGTGTTGAGCGCACATGGGAGTCTGGGGAGCGTCTCACTCGACCCAAGGGATCTGACATCGACGGCGTCGGTGTTGCAGCAATTCTTCAAGACCCGGCGAAACCAAACGATGAGCCTCGGATCATCCTCCAAAAGCAATGGCGCCCACCAGTCAATGCGACCGTCATAGAAGTTCCAGCTGGCTTGATGGATCCCGATGAAAGCCCGGAAACCTGCGCCATCCGCGAGCTGAAGGAAGAGACGGGGTACATTGGGGAACTCGTGTCAGACAAGACCGTATGCAAGCTCTTCTTTTGCAGACGCAACTTGGGCTAATTCTATATCTCTGAAATCAGTTTCAAACTACTCCAATCATGTTTAATGGTAAGTAAAGCCTTTGAGTCGCATTCGCTATCCACTGGATCTTGTGTCCTGTCCATGGTGGTGTCCTCGTCATACCGCTACGCAGGAAGCGCATGTAGCGCTCGCCCTTCACCATAATGTCCACCAAATTACAATCACTGCTGACTGTCTCTACTTCACATACTAACATCTATCTAGATCCAGGTTTCTGCAATACCAACCTCAGAATGATTCACGTCACGGTAGACATGTCTCGGCCGGAGAATCAAAACCCACAGCCGGAGCTCGAAGAGAACGAGTTCATAGAGACATTTTCCGTTCCGCTTAAAGATCTCTATGATGAATGCATCAGATTCGCGGAGCAAGGATACGTTATCGACGCAAGAGTGGGCACACTGGCGGAAGGGATAGAGTTCGCAAAGAGATGGAGGTTGGCATGACAATGCGGAAAGACCGTAAAGTTCTTCCATCTATGACGTGAAAAAACCCACACGTAGATGCCCGCGGACACTATCATGTATTTGCAGATACCCGGCGGGCTCCTGCTGCACCAATGAGTTCGGCCCCAGCTTTGTCTCGTAGCCTGCATAACACAGTACAACAGCAAAGCAACATCCACTTCAAAAATCCCCTCACTACTCTCGATCTCACCTGATCTTGGTGGATGTTTATTGGCCAGAAATCTGTTTTGTTGGCCTGTCACTAACTGCATTGCAACATTGTCCGCTGTCCAGATTCTTGGTCCTACGCCACATCGACGGCTGGCTCGCTTATCCCCGCCCCGACTCTACGGTTATAGCATCGCTTAGTATAGTGGATAGCCACCGAAATATGATCTATCACTTACGCGTATAGATGTTCCGTTCGTCCTGCGTTTGAGCCGTGCTCTTGCATGGATTTGCATGTCGCAAGCTCGTTAATGTCGGGAACTGCTGGTAGGGCCTCCATTTACAAACTTTATGTGACCTACCGACGCTTGTGTATACTGAAGGCGGGTAAGTTCTGACACAGACGAGCCGCTGGAATGTCTCATATCCTTTAAACAGGCCGTGGCCTCGAAGAGTCGCAGGTGTGTTGCATTGCATCAATGTTCTTGCTTTTTTTGTTTGATTGATACCCGATCCACACCACAATGGGGCAGGTAACCCAAGACATTTGCGTAGGAGTTTCTACAGCTCTAACGATACTTTCAAGTAAGCAAAGATCAGGCAATTGAGCTCGTCTTTGTATTAACCGTTATCAGTTATATGTGTCGCTCTCCGACTCTACACCCGTACCTTCATCGTGCAACATACAGGCAAAGATGATTATGCCATGGTATTCGCGCTCGTAAGTCAACACACCTATCCTCTACTCAATTATTAACTCCAGCAGCTGTTCACGGTCGCCTATCTTGTCGCCATTTTCATTTTGCGCGATAACGGTATGGGCTTCAGTGGTGAGGTTCTGCAGCTCCAGCAGATGTTGAACCAAATTCAAGCGACACTTGCGATAGAGATAGTCTACTATCTCATCATCAATGCTATCAAAATCTCGATTTTGTTCTTCTACTTACGCATCGGTCAGTCTCGTTCCTTTTGACAAGAAGACATTGCTGATCAGTTCTACAGCCGTCGAGAAAAGATTCGAGTACCTTTGCAAAGGCACAATCTACTTCCTAGTCACCTTCGGTGTCGTCTGCGTAATTGTATGTCTGGCACAGTGTGTTCCACTACATAAGATGTGGGACTTGGCCGGGCAGGTTTCAGGCCGATGTATCAACACGACAGCGTTCTTCTACAGTAGGTGCATCTGTCTATTATCTAGTCACTTCCTAACAATATTTCCAGCAACGAGCGCTGTAAATATCATTGCTGATATCTGGATTCTGCTTCTTCCTATAACTACACTGCTCAAAGTCCAGCGCCCGAGACGAGAGAAATTCGCCCTTGTGATCATCTTCAGCCTCGGTGCATTCAGTTGCATTGCATCGATCGTGCGCCTGTACTCAGTTGGCGTTTACACGGAATCTGAGGATCCTTTCTTCGACAGCGTTCCCATCAACGTATGGAGCATGGTCGAAATTAACGTGGGCATCCTCTGTGCCTCTATTCCCGCCACCAAAGCCCTCTTCAGCAAAGCGCAGAGACATCGTACGCATAATGGCTCGTATCAGTACCATAGTCGTGAACGCAGCATCATGAAAAGCTATGGCCATGGTAGCGGGAAAAGCAATAGCAACAACGGACAGGAGGGAACCGCTGGAGGCCCCACCGGGGCCGTTATCCAGAATGAGTCGTATGAGCTGAAGGATGTGGAAAGTGGGGATCACCAACCGTTTGACGCGAGAAAGCAAAATGGTGGCGGTGGGGCATGGCGCGTTCCTGACTCGGATGTGGACGAACAGCGTCTTGTATGGCCAGAAAGCAGAGTTTAAAGTTTGAGATCGCAAGCCACAAATCGTCCTGTCCTAGCCCCACTATTACGTGCTGCTCCTTCTGTGCCATACATGACATGTTGTAGGGCTGGGATTTGGACAAAATGCCATTTCCAGCGTTACATTTGGCATTAGAAAGGGTACGAGTGGTGGGTTGATTATACTATGAATGTACCAGGTTCCGGGTTCTCGGTTATGCGATCGTTGCCTAGACGTTTGACTTGGTACTCGGAGATCAGGCGTGCTGCAGCTGTCGACTTCCCGTGTTCTGTATGGCGTTATTAGTATACGCAGGAACCGGGTAAGCTACTGCAACCGGTAACGTCTCATAAGTGGTGTCATTCGTGAGCAATGTCGAATGTCCGCAGGAAGCATGACGGCCCTATGCTCCGAGTTCCTCCTCTACCTAGGTACCTTTGAATTAATGGATCCTTCTGCATACCTAGGTAGTCACCGTGCGAGTTGCAGGTCCATTCACGCGTGAGGACAGGCATCGAATTTTAACTCGGATGTCGGTTCCAAGGCTCCAACTTCCATGCGGTTAGTGAATCCACCATAACGATGTCAGCCCGGATGAATATAATGGCTCGGCTGAAAGGATGGACGAATGAGAGTAGTCAGAGAACTGCGGAGAGAATTGGGCGCGTGCAGCCATGGCAACACTGTCCCAGACTCAGACGCTTGAAGAATCGACCCAGAACTTGCTTGCACAGGGCAGTCCAGTAGGATATAGTTTACGCACTAGACAGCGAAGTTTTACAATACTGCAACCTGGTGATGGTTCGTGAGCACTACCTACTTCACCATATCCTATGCGCCGTCAGGTTTCCACCAGCTCAAGCATCGCCGATGGCCTAACTCAAGACGCCGAACTCAATCATCATCAAGATGACAGCTTCATACTATCATTAGGTGTCATTTTGGACAAATGATATGAGAGCGAATGAGATGGAGGCTCACAAAAAAATGGGCAGTATCTAGATACCAATGAGACTACCTCTTAATCGTAGTCCGTGTTGGTAGCAGCGCCCTCCCACTCCTTCAACAACCTCAATGTACCCTCACACTTCTCTCGAATCACATCATGCGCATCTTTCCCTAGAACTAGTCTGATCGGTATCTGCTTTCCTGCCGCACATCCACTCATCGTCAATACATCGACGATGACCCTACATGCTTTTGCTGTATCTCCTACCTGTTTACCATCTGCCTCTGCCAGAGCCTTTCTCAGTTCTCCGATCTCGCCATTCTCATACGCATCGATGCGCTTTTCGCTTTGCGCCTGCACGTCCTTTGAAAGAATAGCAGTACGATACCAACCCGGCTCAACAACAGTGACGAAGATACCCAAGGGTGCGAGCTCCGCACGCATGCCTTCTGTAACACCTGATACAGCCCATTTGGTTGCTGAGTATATACCGTGGCCTGCACCACTGTACCAAGATGTTACTGACCCGAAGTTTGCGATAGTGCGATGACCAGACGTGGCGCGCAGATAGGGTAGAAAAGCTTTGGCGACGTTCAGGGTGCCGAGAACGTTTGTTGTGAAGGCTTTCAGGTCTTCCTCTGGACTGAGGTTTTATTAGCACGCATGGTAGCCTAGACATCAAGAACGACGTGGTACGTACGATGTCTCCTCGACAGCGCCCACAAGCACATAGCCTGCGACATTGACGAGATGGTTGATGTATCCATATTTGTCATAGACTTTTTTGGCCACTCCTTCAAGGTCCGTCAATGGAGAAGTGACGTCTAGGACCACGGTATCGGCGCCTGCGTCTTTGAGATCTGCAATGCGAGGGAGGCTTCGAGCGCTGGTAATGACTTTGTGACCACGTGATAGGGCTTCAAGGGCCAGGGCTCTGCCGAAGCCACTTGATGCTGCTGTAATGAACCACACTGGAACTGGGCCGCCCATTCCAGAATACTGTGTTCCGGGCATGATTTTCACAAAACAAATGGAGATAGGGGGTGCAGTCGTAGGTGAAGCGCGTGCTGGTGGCGTCTCAGAGCCTTATCCGAGTCGGGAAGTCAACCTCAGACTTACAATCTTAGAACAGTGGTACCAGATGCTTGAAATTAGAATTATTGAATGCTCTATCTATACTGGAGCTTCAAGATGATCAGAGACTCAAAGAAAGGATTGAAACAGTCCTGGAAGCGATGTAAGAATTCTGCAGTGTAAGCAAACTGAGGGTGTTATCGGTGACGGTGCTGCACATATGGTCCATCGAAAGATATGCCATATGTCTGCTGATCGCTATTGTCCATTAAGGATCCATTCTTGGGCCCGGTGAGAGGGTTTGGCACATGCTTGTAGATGGTTGGTGGGAGTTCCCGTGGATATGCGTCTTGGCGATGCACAGCTTACTTACGCCCTGTAAGTTGGAGCACCATCATAGGTTCGCATACGGAAACAATAACAATTTATCAGGCTAAGAAGCTGGAGACAAGAGTAAGGCGGATGAAGCATCGATTCGGGCACAATTGGTCGCCTTGTACCACAGTGGCGTGCGACACTTCAGCCTTGCAGTCGAACGTAAACCTACCGCAAGACTAAACTGGTAATTCTTGCCCGTGGGTATGACAACCAAGCATCCCATTGAGATCCGAGATACTTCTCAATGATTGCCAATATATGAAGTCCCGCATCGCCAACCTGCCATAGATGCCTGCCAAAGTGTAATAAGATTGCGTAGTGTGCAAGCACTACCAAGGCCACAGGCTGCTTCGCGGCCAAGAGTCCGGTGAATCCCGGGGGGATCAACATAGTCCATTCGCAGATCATCTGGTACCGACTGATTGGCGAATCTTCGTCCCTTCGTACTGCATCGAGCCCGACTTGCAGGTAGTGGACTGCGATTCGACAAGCATGTTTTTCCTCTGCGCTCATACCATCCGTATCTTCAATAAGACTGAAGACCGTTGAACAATCATCGCCTTCGGACTGCCGAGAAGTGAACTCCTTGCTCATGGACAGTATAGGCTCGAGTTCCGACTTCATCAGCAGTGACCACGCGGACGTAGCAATGGTGTAGATTCCTCTGTGCATTTCTATACACTGAACATAGTGCGTGATAAAAATCTCCATGTCGGTCGAAGGCTGTACTGCGAGTATCTCCGCCAGTAGATGCTGACCCAGCATGGACGAGAAGAGTAGCATCGGTACGCAATTCAGCTGGTTCACTTCGGCTCTAGTTGTATTGAAAATCGAAACAGCGCGTGTCTGCAAAGTTACAGCCTGATTCCGGTAATAGGCTAAACAGTGCGGGTTGGCATGTGCCAAATGGCAGGAGGAGAAAGCTAGAATTTGGTGCATAAGATATGGTGCCTTCAAAGCCGTCTCCATACCTAGGGCGAGACCAGCGCGATGAAACTTCTCAAACCCGATCGCAAAGTTGTACATCTCTTCGTTGAGCATTGCGTGTATGAGGAGCTCCATGTGACCCACATTGACAGGTTCCTCACAGTAGACATGGCCATTATCGATAGATTCATCAACTGTCGACTGCCCAGCGCAGAGCACAGAAGGTTTTGAAGGGGCTTTGCTTCGCGTAATCGCAATAGTGCGGCCATACTGAATTCCTGGGCTCACAGATCGAGAATGTGTATCTGGAGTCGAAAGAGATGAGAAGCTGCACTCCCGGTCGGAAACAGTGCATAGCCTGCATTTGGGGCGGTTCTCGTCGCACTAGAGATAACGAAGCTTCGGTCAGTATAACACAACAAGACTCGGAGAGTAATGCGCACTTTTACATGCCGTCGTTTACTACAGTTACGTATCAGTCAAGTGAGGAATGTAGAGGGGGCATTGTTGGAGCGGAAAAGGAATACCGAGAACGTACCACTCCGAGCATCCGCCTCTCGACTTCCTATGACTGCGCCGAAGCATCTTAGTCCCATGGCTGCGAAAGACCAGGATAACACGCGTATTACATATTTGCAGCGGTTGAAAGTCTGGACGGCCAGTGCGACTTGGCGGTGTCGGAGGCCTGATGTTTCGGGTGACGTAACACGCGTGTCGACTTCTTTGGGTAAGCGCAAGACCCTCCGACCCATCTCCCCTACACACCCAACGGCAACATACTGGATCTGATGACTACGGTGGTCCATCCTGATCGAAACGGGATACTTGCACGGACGAAGTATGAATACCAGCTCGCAAGCTCCACTGACTTCGGTTAGCCACCTACTCTCAAGCCATGCGGCTATGCGTCAATTGCTGTACAATTTCGCCTTGTGCGTATCTGAGCAGAATCGCCATCAGAAGGCAAGCTCTTGGCTGAATCAGATATAGAAGCAAGAAGGCAAGGAAACGCTTGGGTGAACGTATTCATCTCATACAAATACACTTAGGCTTCCCTTACTTGAGGTGTTCTCTCTCATACTACTCACCTGTTTTTTCAACCCCCGGATAAAGCTTGGTGCGGTACATTACTTTTTCACTTCCGTCTCTTTGTCTGGCGCAGCATCCGATCATGCCTGCGCTTGAAACTTACAAAGGTGCATACCTCTGGAAATATGTGCCTAATTTCGCGGCAGCTATTACTTTTGGTGTTCTATTCTTCATTTTAACCCTGGCGCATGCCTACAGAATGCACAGGTATCGGACGTGGTATACTATACCCTTCATCACTGGTGGCTTCTGTACGAACTGATCTACTGTCGAATGTGACACGTCTAGACATCACTGAACTGACTTCTCTATAGGTGAGCCCATTGGCTATGCATGCCGCGCAATAGCAACCTACCATACAGGCTCCCTCATTCCTTTCCTCCTACAAGCAATATTCATACTCCTTCCACCGTGCCTGTTCGCCGGGACGTTGTACATGGTGTACTCGCGCGTGGTACGCGCTACGCACGGCGAACGGTTCTCCTACCTCTCCCCTCGATGGTGCACACGGATCTTCGTTGCAGGCGATCTTCTCTGCCTCAATATACAGTCGACCGGAGCAGGATTTTTACCCAAACCAAAGCTGGCGAATGCTGGCAACGGTGTCATTGTAACGGGTTTGGGGTTACAAGTTCTTATTTTTGCAGGTTTCATGTGGTGCTGCATACTTTTCCACCGCAAGTTCTCGCTTCATCTGCGCAATTCTGGTCAACATGTTCATGTCCCTTGGCAGAGTCTGCTTTGGATGTTGTATGGCACTTCTGTAATCATCTCTATTCGTAACATCTTCCGGCTAGTCGAGTTCATCGCTGGGCACGATAGCTACCTGTTCTTGAACGAGTGGCCGGTATATGTTTTCGATGGTGCTCTGATGCTTCTGGTCATGATCAGCTTCTATATCTGGTACCCATTTCAGCTACAAAACGAGGAGATTGGTACGGAGAGTATGATTGAGCTCACGAACGAAGACAACAGTCCACCGGGGGATGAGCCATCTAGAAAATAAGGTGCGATCAAGAACTGTCAACGCCCATAAATTTTACAAAGACGATGTTATCTACTATACCACAGTTTCGCTCAAGTTGAACATTACAGGCCTCGTTTCTGCAAACACCTTCCTCTGGTCTAGTTCCTCAAACCACTGCGACAATACCTCATATTTGCTCTTCCATCCAGGCCTCATCTCGGCGAATTCGATGAATCCAACAGTGCACACAACCGCAATATCGGCAATGGTCAACTCATCGCCAACAAGATAGACCTTCCCTTTCTCTTTCGTGCTCCGTATCATTTCATCAAAAGCCCGCATCGCACCGTCAATTTTGCGATTCTGCCTGCCGAGCCAAAGCTGAGACTGCTTTTCTTTTTCGCGTCGGCCTTCGAATCGAGCTATCACAATGGCGTCCATACATCCCTCGCTGAGGACGACGATCTGTCGAATTTGCAAGTCAAGGTCGACGTCGTCGGTGATTAGTTTTGGTCCCTTGTCGGCGTACTTGCGCACGATGTACTCCTGAATGTGTGCACTATCGTATACGGGTGGTCGGCCATCAGGCAAAAGTAAGATGGGTAATTTTTCCAAAGGGTTGTATTTGGGTGTTTCTGTTGCACTTTGCCAGGGTATCTCGTTTTGAAGTTCAAAAGGTATGCCTTTTAAAGTGAGCGCGATGCGGTTCATGCGTGCAAACGGTGATGGCGTTGCTGATATGAGAGTTAACGGGGACGTTTCGGTGCTGGAAGTAGACATCTTCGCTGAATACTCTTGTATCTGTATGTCTATGAGGAGCTCAAAAGGTACAACTGGAATGTAATAAGAATGGTGAGGACATGATGGGACGTGGTTTGGATGATGTATTGGCGTGTGCGGAGATAAGCCCGATGCTACGTCATGGGTCTGCAGTGGTATTTGAAATCGTATAGCTCCTCTGGTCCGAAGTATGCTTGATAAAAGATCTGATAGTACTCTTCTGCGAAAGCTTTGAATTACCCATTGATGACATGTTTCCCAATCTTCTTGCTCCACCCCTTCACGTCGCTCTTGCTGTCTCTAATATCTTTCGCATCCATCCTCCGTGCCCTCTGCACACTGTCCACCAGGGCTTGTACAGCATCCTCAACCTCTTTCCTTTCATTTGAACTGATTTCGATATGACGGAAACCCTGGCTTGAAGCCCACTGGTCTGCCATTTCCTTCTTCACTTGCCTCTTCCCTTCGTCCCTGTCGATGATGTCCTTCTTATTACCAACTACCACGCACCCGAACCTCTTCTTCAATCCTTGCATCCTCCCTTCTGCGCCATCTTTGATGAATACGGTGTTGCGACACTGCCAGATCTGCAGATACGTATGTTGGATAAGGTGATCAAAGGAAAACAGAGACGTAACATCGTATAACAGAACAACGCCATCCGCGCTGGCTATATAAGTATGTAAGACTTCGCGGTATCTGGGAGAGATGTCGCTGTTGAGGTTCAAATCTATGAAAGAAAAGCTCCAGGTCTCGTTTGCATACGAGATGGTTCTTGAAAGTGGTTCGGAGTCGACGGGACCATGACTGATAAAGTGCTTGCCTTTGAGGAACTGCAGCTGGAATTGGTGATCTTGACATTGAAGAAACGATGCTTGTACAGGATGTTGACGAAAGGGTTGCGTACCATGTCAATAAAACATGTCTTGCCGACAAGCTCCTCACCAAAGATAATTATCTTGAGGGGGTTGGGTTCCTTTGGTCTCTTAGAGCGCAGCATTGTCAAGCCTGAGACAAAAAGCAAGTGTGACTTCGAGATGGAACTGGATCATGTTAATTGTCAAGGCGTAAAGGAATCCTTCCAGGAGTCGCGACTGCCTAGTCAGACACGCTAAGCTTCGAGAAGAGGCAGGCAACATATCATCATGTGTCCGGCCCTGCGTACTACTCAAACCACAGGGTGAGTATCGCTAGCCTAGCTCGTCTCGTGTCTTTCACGATAATCCCGTGAAGTGGCTTATTACCGTACAGTAGCTTATTGGCATACGTGGGTTACGCGTGTACCCCTAAATGTAGGCCCACATTTCTGCCAAGTCTGGGTGCCGGCAGCCCGGCACGTGTCTGGGATCGACGCTGGGGTCAGCCAGGAACGCTAGATGGTCTTCGAGAAACGCGAAACAGCAGCGGCCTTATTATGAGGGCTTTTCGCCCACGTAGTCGTGCGTTGCAGAGATTCGGACGCACTTCATCATATTTCTGCGTCGACACTGCCCCTTTGAGCCCTCAATCGTCATCTCAGGAAGGATCTGAGCAACAAACACCACGCGGAAATGACTCTTCGGCCAGCATAAAAGAAAGGAGTGCCATAGCGCTGTCACCACTTTCGCATTATACACCGCCATACTCGAAATCTGCACTCTACGCTGTGAGAAGGATTTTGAGAGACGCAGGCAGTTTGAAAAATCTCCCTCGATCCACGTATTGCGATGACGTCGTATCGTGATCACCCCTATGCGCATGCGCAAAACCGACCACGACCCCTCATCGAGCAGATACCAGACTATCGTGACGACCTTGACGTGTCAGACGAAGAAGACGGTTTCTACGCACGCGACGACGATTTTCTGATTCCGCCGAAGTTTCAGGCGGCAATCACACGCACAACCGATCGAATCCCGCGGCGGATAAAGCGCCATAGTGGCACATATCTCGTAATCGCTATTCTCTTCATAATCAGTTGGTTTACATACCTGGGTCCCAAGCGGACGGCACACAAGATGGAGATACACGCCATGGACAACGTACCAACTATGGTTTACGGCAGCAATGTGCGACCGGAATTCAAAGGCATGATACAGGTCAGCGACATGGATGAGCAGCACCTGCCTAAGAAGCATAGCAGACTTGTCTTCGTTGGCGATGTCCATGGCTGCAGGAAGGAACTGGAGCATCTTCTCAAGAAGATCGACTTCAACCATAAGCACGACCACCTCGTGCTGACTGGCGATATGATAGCCAAAGGCCCCGATTCGCCAGGCGTCATCAAGCTCGCCCAGAAGATCGGCGCTTCCTGCGTACGCGGTAACTGGGAAGACAAACTGTTGCTCTCCATTGCCGAAGCGCAAGATCGTCATGTGCTCAAATTCAGCCCTGACGACTCTCCCGATGCGAAAGTGGATTTCGTAGACCAGGTCAGCCAATCGCACGGCGACTACAAGCTGCGTAAATTAGCAAAACAGTTCACAAGGAGGGAAATCGAATATCTCCAACAATGTCCCGTCATCCTCCGCGTCGGCACCGTCCCGACCCTAGGCAACCTCGTAACCGTACACGCCGGCCTCGTCCCCGACACGCCTCTCGAACATCAAGACCCGTTTCATGTTATGAACATGCGCACTATCGATCTTAAGACGAGGATCCCGAGTAGCAAACATGCGGGCACACCGTGGGAAAAGTTCTGGAATCATCGTCAGGAAAAAATAAAGCAAGAGGGCAGAGCCACGGTGGTTTATGGGCACAACAGGAAGAAGGGCCTCAATATACATGAGTACTCTTATGGTCTCGATACGGGGTGCGTTAGTGGAGGGAAGCTGACGGCGCTTGTTGTCGACGGGGAGGGCAAGACGGAGTTGGTACATGTCAAGTGTGAGAAAGCGAATGGGTATGCTAGCGACTAAGGCCATACCGCACCTCGTGGCACAACACTGGGCGTTTTTGGCTGGGAGTGTGGCTTGAGATGTACAGCGGCACGGCTTATTAAGATTATGGATATTTTTGTCAGTTTAGCGTTAGGATAGCACTGTTGTAATGTCACGAGAAGTCATCATGTCTCTTGGAATGTGTTTTAGTTGAGAAACACCACCGTAAATGCCTTGCTCATGGAAGACAAGTGCGTCGCTACGTGTTTGCAGCGCAACTAAGATACCTTGCCCCCCGACCTCCATGATGAAATATCAATGGGTGCGCACTACCATCTACACTAAACGTCTCCACAGAGAGTAGTTATGACCGTTGCTGGATGTCGTATTGCAGCATATGCGTCGTAGTGGCGGTAGTGCTGGAGGTGCAGACGCTGCCGTTCACAAGGTTCAGGATGTAGAGATGGGCAACCGGACTTCAAACCCTCCTGCAAATAACACTAGCGCTTCACATTTCTTAGATGAGGAGGTGTGAAGTACATCATCGAGAGTGGGTCTTGAGCTTGCTCCCAGTCCCAGTGAAGGGACACGAGAAGCCATATTGCCACTCAGTCCGCTCCGAGCAATTCATGCAGCTTTATCCATATTCCAGCCATCATCGCCGCCGTTGGGGCCTTGGAGTAGAGGAGTTGAACCATGAGCAGCAAACTGCGCAGGATGCATCTTAGGTACACCGCTTTCCTGGAGATCTGGTGATGTCTTGAGTGCGCCACTATGATACACAGGAGAACGAGCTTGCGTTCCATGAGCAGATGTTGGGAAGCGATATTGCTCGTTTGATTTCTTCAATGCGATATGCTCGGTAGGTTGGCGAACAGCTTCTAGGCGATCTAGAAAAGGGCTATGCTGATCTGCTGGACCACGTTGAGAGACAGTACCGAGACTAGCAGTGTATTGAGCAGTAGAAGGGAGAACGTGTCCAACACGGCGAGTTACACGGCCATAGTTACCCTGTATCAGATCATTGTTGCGCTTGACCAGATCATGGAGCATCTCGGTTTGCTGCGCTATAACTGTCTTCTGAAGCTGATTTTCCTGACTGAGGCCGATAATCTCACCACGTAACTCCACCATCTTAGTATCAACAAGGCTGTGCCAGTTTGCGATGGTGCCAGCGTTCTGATAGATCGGAGTCTCTCCGTTGATGATATCGACTTGTTCTTCAGAGACTGGTGAGCCGATAGGCGATTGTGGAATCTCTATTCCATCATGACTACTCTCGAACATGACTGCCGTGTGGGACTTTGCTTTCATGACCATGAGGGTGTCCATGTCACGGAGTTTGATTTCGGGGCGCTCGGTGTCTTGGACGTCGTTTGGAGTCATGTCGTAGTCAATGTTGATATAACGTTCGCGTTGCGCATCCCGAGGCCCACCCAGAGCATATCGGTAGATGAACGCCCAATCTACCCCGTACTGTTTGTTTCGCTGTCGACAATAGGCGTCTAGATGAGGGCCGAACTTTCGTGATGCGCGAATCGTGAGGATGGAGAAGATGGGGGTGTTGTTGATATCGTACGTGTTGCTGTGGATGCGAAGACTTAGAACGGGATGGTTCTCGTCAGCTATCATAGGCGTCGAGAGTTGCAGGGAGATGGGCCGAGTGATCTCCCGACCAACGTGTCCCTCCGTAGTCTGAGACACCAGATTCATTCCTCGAGACTGCTCAGATGACGGCAGACGTGCCGGCGCGCCTAGATGTGGGGATGGTTGAGGCGATGACTGACGAGACGGCATACGAGATCCTGGCGCACTGGCAACAAAGTCTTTTGATTGCAGCTTTCGACGAGCAGCATCTTCATAGATCTTGAAGTTGGCTGATTGGACAGGGCGGAAGCGGTCCAGGCGAGACACTGGGGGATGTGCCTCGTTGAAACTAGTGCGACGAGCGTTCTGTTGTGGGAATACTGGATCAACTGGTGGAGGCACCTGGTTTACACGAAATGCGTCGTCATACCGAGCTGCCCATACTTCAATACGTGCTTGTTGACGGTGTACGTTCTGGAGGAGCTCGTTACCCTCGATCATGGACTGATTCAAGACCTCTCCATTCCCATCCACGATATAAAACATACGACCGGCACTATTGTGTGTTTGTGGCCAACGACGTAGAGCTTCATCGACAGTCACGACATCGCGACCATCGTGTTGCTGACCGGGCGTCAAGCGTAGCATGCCCGAAGGCAACGACGACTGTGACAGTCCTTGACCTTGTTGCCTGCGCTGGGGCATGATTGTTTGTCGAGATGGCGGTGCGGTTGGAACGTAATATCGTAAATCTTGATCGTTCTGAACATGATTGCCAGTGACCGAAACGTTCTCCTCAGCACGTTTCCGTTCCTGGAGCTTCTCGTCTGCAGTGAACTGCGACTTGTCCAATGGATCTGGACGTAGGGCGTTATCATCCGGACCGACGATTGCTCGCCTCTCTTCCCTGTCAGCAGCAGCTGCTGCGCGTTTGACGACAGGTTTGGAGTTTGGGCTAGCGCTTGGTGACTGGGTGGCTTTGCGTTTGCCTCTATCTTGCTTCGAAGTTGTACCGGCACGGGTAGCCCTTGGAGTTGACTTGTATGGCTGCGGATGTACACCTGTAAGCAATTCAGGAACACAATCTGACACTGGTTCGGTATGTTTGGTGCAATTCAATCCCTGCTTCACACAATGTTTGCATGCGCCTTTGACGTAGAAGGCGTCGCACTTAGCATTGTTGGATTCGCAGCACTCGTCGCAGACTTTCCAGCAGGAGTCTTTGATGTGACGCTGCTTATACGTTAGCAGTATACATCTATGGAATATGACTGAATTATGGACCTCTGTAGAATACTTCTTAGACATATGGGATTTGCAGCGTGGACAAGCATATACATTGTCACTGATAGTGCCTCCAAGGCGACCCTTTGCGCATGTGATTTTAGTATGCTTCAGATTGCGCTGTGGTAATATCAGCAAGTGAAGATTGAGATGTCTTGGAACTTACTTCGGCCTCTCTCTGGTCATCGTATGTGTTGTTGTTGTTGTCGCTTCGGTACTCGCCTGCAGAGTCTTCATCCACGTCTGCAACACCTGGGCCATCAAAGCTCACACTGCCCACCTCCGAAGAGGGGGTTTCTGAAAGCTCTGATAGAGACGAAGTGTCAGTAAGTGGAGTCGACACAGCCGACACAGCCTGAGTCACACTATATCTTGTAAGCTTTCATCCAAAAAGGCTCGCCCTAATTACAAACCTGCTCTGCTGTCGATCAACATCCTTGATATGTTCCATAATTATCTGCTACTTGTGTAACCCGCAGCTGGTTGATGTAGTAGTGATTATTGGTTTCTCTTCTGCTCTGTTCAAGAGTAATTGCTGAGGATGTAGAATCTAGACGCGCTAGGCAGAAATATTTTCATGTGTATACACACTGGTGAACTGTGAGGCTCGCTATAATGGGCCGGAGTAGACCCTGAAAAACGATCGCAAACGCTCACCGCCACTAAAAGGTCAGATATAGATAAATGATAGTCTGTGCATGTTGCGATTCAGGAACTTTGATGACGCGGCTTCGGTACATGTGTTTAAGGAGCAGGTTGGCCAAACGAGTGATACTTGGAATTGTTACATCATGCTCCTAGCATTGTCCGGATACGGCAATATTGCCTGTGGTAGTCCGTCTCCAGCTCGGCTTGCGGAGCAAGAAGTGTCTGTGTGCAAACTGTGCGTGAAATATACACCAACTCCGTACATGCACCTCTTAGGTAGCCGTGCAGCTTAATCGACATGCGGATCATGGAATCTCAACGAACCATCTGGGTAGTACAAGATTGGCATTGTCGAGAGGCGCCAGGTGTTGTGGATGTGATTGGTTCAATCCGTAAGTCAGTCAACGTACTGCCGAGCATATAGACGGACATGTCGATCCATGAGAGAAATGAGTGAATACGAAGGCAGTCTGACTTAGAGAATGAAATGAGATTTTACAGGAATCTGGACGTATCAGAGTTGCTAGACGTGACTTTGAGCACGCTGAAGTACTTCAGATGGGTTTTGTCGTTGCGCGGAAGAGAAAGGCTAGGACCATAGAAGACTCGAATCTGAAAGGAGGGAACGAGATTTTCACTGGGTATGAAGGCAAAAATGAGAACACATAAGTGCGATGTGATGATCAGGTCCATGCAGATACGGTGACAGTGGTGGTTGACTGCAGGTTGACGCGAGAGATGAAGTGGAATCAAATCTGCGGCCTGTGCTCGTCGGCCCACTCTCGGTCGTCATCATTTCACAAACATCCAAGCTACCACGTCTGAGACATCTGACCAGCACATGCTTCCGCTTCTAACCTATGGAGACTTGTGCTCTCGATTGTATCGACACCTATTCGCCGTTGATCTCTAGTGTTGGCGGCTTCGGAAGGCTGATAGACTTCTCACGAGCGATAGTGGCTGACCTGACATGAGAAGGCGATCGTACGACACATAGACAGTGCTTTTTTATAAGCATCACAATAAGTTTCCGTGTGATTTAGGTCGGTAGCAATGAATGCAGCAATTTCGCGGATGTACCCCTAATACCGCCGCCTCTTAGACCCCTGTCGTGAGAGTTTTAAGGATGAGAATCTTGAGTTGTCGCATGTATCGCAGCCATAACTATCGAGTATGGACACTGGTGCTGTGAAGCATCGATACAGAGACCTTGAACACGTCCCAATAAACCCAAGGCAGCCCGGATATAGTCTTTTGTGTCCATACCACATACGGAGTCTGTTGAGCGATCGATCAAGTCTGCAAGATACATACCTGCGTCTCGTCTACGGTACGTCATTACAAGCTTTGTGACAGCTGCTGTCCATCTTGCTCATCCATACGCTATCTCCAGAGGCAAAGACGCTAGCTCTTCGGAGTCCATGTCAATTGCATCCTGAGCGTAGCCATAGAGCGCTTGTAACGAGGTTTCAAATTGCCCACCGGCTATCGTAATTTTCTTCGAGGACATGCTAGCTCTTGTATTGTCTGGCGTAGGACACCGTCATTCAGTCTGTCAGGACTGATCTTGATGAGGCAAAACTGATCCCGTGTGAGACTGAGAGGATGGTGCCGGTAGTGATCTGACTTTGTGTTGGCTGGAAATATGGCTTTGCTCATAGTGCATGTGCTCTGGTGAAACAGGGCGAAGGAAGCTGATCGCGGTGACCGCTCCTCGAGTGATAATGGTAGCTTGTGTAATCCGAAGGTCGATGGTGTATGTGTCAAGGTAAGCATACGGGCAGATTGCTCAGCCTCAGCCTCGATCATAGCCTTGGCTTGCATAGTCTAATATTGCGCCTTTGCCAGCATAAGGCGGGGAACATACAAGGGATCAATCGCTAAACCAGAAGTAATGAATTTTGTGCCATACAATGCCGCTAACCCAAACACCTTGCTAACGAAAGCAAGTTCGACAGACAGACAGATATACGCATACACAAAACACCCCCAATCATCATACACGGACCCTTACTCGACACTAACAGCTCTACTATTCGGATAACGCAGATCGTGCCCGTGAGATCTTATCCAAGAAGCGATGTTCTGTGGACATATTCACGAGTGATTAAATTCACGTAATCCTCGTTCAACTTTCTGAGATTGTCAGCACGAAAGATGTGGAAGCTGAGATCTTGATGTTCAAGACCTAGCTTCCTCAAGCTCGAGCTCCAACTGCCTGATGCGCTCATCCTTCTCACGGTCGGAAGGTTCTGACGTTGCAGCCTTGGCCTTGAGTGTTGAAACTTCACGCAGCAGAAGTGCGATTTGATCAGACTGGTCCGACATGACTCTGTTTTGCTGCTCCATGACCCTGTTCTGCTGCTCGAGCTGAGACTTGATGTCGCCTAGCGCATCGCGAAGGGCAGAGGCAGGACCACCGGCGCTAGGTGTGGAGGCTGGGGCAGAAGCGGCGGGCGTAGGAGTAGGCTCGGCGGGCGGGGCAGACCTAGCCTGGGAAGGCGCTGGGGTGGGTGTCGGAGTAGTCTTCGCGCTCTCGGGCTCCTTGGTAATGGCAGGGCCCTTGGTCTTCTCTTCTTGACGGGCAGCAGTGAAGGTGCGGCGCTCCGTTGGCTTCGGGATTTCCTCGAAGCTTGATGCGCTCTCATTGTCGGAAGTCTCGTCTTTGTCTGCAAACTTGGAAGCTGCTGATGCCATGGAGTCCTTGTTGTCCTTCATAGAAGGGGGCGGCCCACGAGAAGCTAATGTTGTAGGAACAGGCTCTGGCGCAGGCTTACTCTTGGGAGGCTCGGCCTTGACTGGGGAAGGCTGGCTGGTCGCGGGCTCGGAGGGCTTGTAATCGTTCTCCACCTCCTTGGGGGCCTCACCTTCGTACACGCTCTCGAGCGAGATCTTGGGAGGCGCTGCGGTCTTACCGCCGAACCACTCAGCTGCTGAGACACCAGGCTTGAGACCAGTTGTGGGAGGGTAGATGTCGCTCTGGAACATCTCGGAGCGGCGGGGTACGATAAAGGACACGGGCTCGACGTAGGCATCGTTGACGGTCTTGAAGCAGCGAAGGACCTCGTTCTCGTGCAGGTTGATACCTCGCTTGGGAAGAAAGGCGATACCACGTTGTGGGTCGCCAGACTTGTATTCGGAGAGGTATTCGAACTTGTCGTTTTCGTATTCGTAGTATCGGATGTTACCGTCACTGCGCGTGTTAGTAAAGTGGCTACTGGATTGGAATCATGTACGCACCCCTTGCCAGCAAGGTACAGACACTGTGTACCGTCGTCCCAGAAGGGCATGCATACACCAGAGATGGAGTCAAGGATCTGGAAGCCGCCAATGGGCTCCTTGGGGTTGCGCGGGTCCCAGAGACCAAGCTGACGGTCGCTCATGCGCGAGAAACCAGTAGTCGCGATGCGGTCGGTCTCACCCATCCATACGGCGCGGCTGTTCTTGGCACCAGGGTGGCCAGGAACTTCCTGGGCGGGCTTCTCCTGTCGCACATCCCATACGCGCAGCTTCTTGTCACGGCTCGTGGTGACGAGGAGGGATCCATCGGCGCTCCATGACAGCGATTGGACAATGTCGTTGTGCTTGAGAGTGAGTTGCGGCAGACCGGCCTCGACGTCCCAGAGCTTTACGGTGTAGTCGCCAGATGCACTAGCGAGGACGTTCTCGGCGGCGGTGTTGAAGAGGACGTGGCCAACCTTCCTACGGCAGTGTTAGATGCGAATGCAGACTGGAGCGCAACGTGGTACCTCATGTGGCCGCTCAGCTTGGCGACAGGAGCGACGTCAGCAGGCTCGTCAGCGTCGGTCCATAGGGTGAAGTTTTCGGGGACCTTCCAGATGCCGACTTTGCCGTCGTCGGAGGCTGAAGAGATGAGCGAGTCGTTGAAGGGAGACCTGCGAGCAATTAGCGCCGTATCCCTTGCATCCCATGCCGTGTGCGACCATACCAGTCGGTGTCGAGGACGGCAGCAGTGTGGCCGCGGAAGAGAGGAAGCTGGTCGGGAGCTCGGCCGCGCTCGTTGATGGGGATGACAGCAAAGGCGCCACCGCCGCTAGCTTCCCAGTTGACTGAGATGTATTCGGGGTTGGCCTGGAGAGGGTGAGCGCATGTCCGACGAGGTCGCGTGTGCGGATGGGCTGACCTTGATCAGGTTGGTATCCCAAGCATTCTTGGAGATGCGGAGGTTGTCGTAGCATTGCTCCTACGAGACTGTAAGCATACGCCGACGCATCGCCAGACGGCATGCAAACTGTACCTTCTTGGTGCCCTTGCCAAAGACGTGGCCTGGTGCATCTTGTTAGCATGGTAAGCTGGGCTGCAGTTGGACATCAACACTCACGATACTTGGAAGCTCGCACAAACCGGCCTGCCATTGTTGCGATGTGATGTGACCGGGAGAGGTGGCAGATGTGTAGGAATGACAGACTCTCAGGCCTCGGGCGTTGGACTATAAGAAGCGCTGAGGTTGATGAGAGGGCTATGCGACGGGTTTCGAGCGCGTGTTTCGAGTAGTCGCCCAGCAGCGCCTTGGCGGGTGGACCCTTTGATGCCCGCTCCAATCTCGCCAACGGTCCCTAGTCACTTCTTCACTCCACCACTCCACCTGCAATCCACCAATTTGCAGCTGTTTATGCAGCCTAGCCCTCGCTTCTACCTGGCAACCGCATGTTCGCAGCAAGATCTCCAGCTAATGAGTTAGCACTTGGTACCTCGAAATGGCAGATACAGGTAATACTCAAACTTCCTTTTTTTTCTGCCCATGTTTCTTCTTGTGCTAGTTGCATCTACATTTCCAAGTCTTTTTGTTTACTATCAAAGACAGCACACAAAACATAGACGCGTGTCGTGCTACAAGACCTACACTTCTGCAAGTACTTTTCTACCCGCCCTCGCTTCAAGCATGCCCAGCTCTTCGCACTTCCCCCGCAGCCATATCGCCCATCCATCCTCGCCCGCGTTCAAGACAACATTTTCTTTCGGATAGACAACCCACTGTATTCCCGAGAGCGCTTTATCGACACCTTTGTTGAAGAGCTGCGTTTGTTCCTGATTCCAGGATTGGAAGACGTCGCAAAGCTGTTCGCGGACATGGTCCTTGTAAGCATCTTCGACGAGGTAGGTGTAGCGCTCCATATACTTGCGCCGTAGCCGTCGACTCTTGCGATCAACGGTTATATCATTCGGAAACTTCTCAGAACAACCATCCATAAGACGTAGATTTGCGATGCACCCATCGATCGCTTCCACGAACCCGGTCGCCCATATTAAGGCTTCTGGAACTCTGTTGCGGAACTCAACGGCATTTTCCAAATGTGTTGAAATTAGCGGGACGATGTAATAGTGCATCATGCCGAGTGCCATGCCTGCATTGAAGGGCTGATCGGTCTTCATCTGCATTTTGGCGATGATCGCGGGAATCTGGAAGTGGTATCCCATCTTCTTGACTGCAAGTGAGTTGAGTACAAACCTTCTAGTCCGCTTGATTGCCGCCTCTGGTGGGCTTAAAGAATCAGGAGCAGGCGCTGCCTGTTTAGTGCCCTGTGTCTGTGGAGTTGCCATAGCTGACAGTGGATGCAAAAACGAACTACGAATACTCAGGTTAATAATTTGTACACAGAGTACCTGGAGTGTCCGTTGGCAGCCAACAAGTGAATATCATGTTTGCGTAGTGTTGCGCTAACACTGTAGGAGTACGTCTTTGACGCTTCACGTTGAGCGACACGGTCGGCACAATAGCTTTGTAACCTCATTTCTCATCATGTCTTACATAACACCAATACCACTTCAGATACTATGGAAACACTGAGTCTGTCCCGGGTTTGGTAAAGCCAGGAACGCCAGAAGTTTGCCTGGGTATGCTCCTACCATGTTTTACATGACAAGGCTGAGCACATGGCGGCTGCAGGTGCTTACCCGCAACCGAACCAACGGTTGCAAAAGCCGATATGCAATCCAATATCGCAAGGAAATCTGACCAGGTAAGTATAGAGTGATTCAAACATCTCCAACCTTTCTCGAGTCGCCAACCTGCCATCTATCAGACCCATCTTGGAATGTCGGGTATCAACTCCATGGAAATCCCGCTCTACAGCACATGTGACTGCCGAGATAGCACACCCTCTTTTGTCGCCAACGTTCTTTCCATCTTGACGTTTGCTTACATCCTGCTAGCTGGTACCCTGTACCAGATAGCGGCCCTCTATCGGGTGAAAGGAAGCAGTGATTGGGCCGCAGTTCGGACGCGAGCGGCAAGACTACGAGACTTTGCAGGGCCGATAGAACGCAGAGATGCCATCAGCATTGAATTCTTCAATCGCTTAGATGACCTGGAGAGAGAGATAGCGCACAAGATTCCGGGAGACAAGACGACTGGAAAGTGGCATCTGATGTGGCGGCAGTTAAAGAGCACATGGGATAGAGCTGAGATCGAAGAAAAGCTATCCGGGTTGGCACAGATGCGGTATGTTCCAGCCCGAATCCAACTGGAACCCCTACGGAGACGGAGCGCTATAAGATAGCAAGATGAAGACTGACGCAAACAACAGTCTGCTTCTCGTCGAATGCAAATTGACTGATGCTGAGCAAGACAGCAAGGCGACTAAACAAGTGCTTGACAAAGCTCGCATTCAACTTGAAGAGTCTAAACGGCTATTTCTCACTCAGCTTAGGAACGAACCCAAGGAGCGGCGAAGGCGAACATTGGATGCGATCAAGAGCGAATCTGGCGAAAGAGAACGAGCAGCTTGGGAAGAGATTGAGGATGTGATTAGGAGGCTTGACGTAGAAGATGTGCAGAGGCGAAGTATGCGCAGTTTTGTTGAGGGCGTCTGACAATGATTGTGTGTAGTGAAAGCTTGAGTATTCGATTGCGTTTGGCATACCATCAAGTATAGTGACCAAATGGTAGTGAATCACACCTCTCGTCCAACCCATGACCCACTTTTTGTTCTTGGCCCACATCTGACTTGGAAGACGCAGCGATTCAGCGTAATGCACTCCAAGAAAAAGATGTAGCTGTCTGACGATGATGACTCGCGGCTAAAGCGTGTTGGTGGACAAATAAAAAAGTGAGCTGGGGCGATGTCAAGGTTGCTGGAAAGTCGCTGGGGCCAATGCCTCGGCTCACGGGGACAGCGGCAATGAGGTCCCCATGCGTGGCTTGCGTGCGGAGAAGCACAACCCGCGAACGCGCCCTTTACCTTATTCTACCCAGATTTCCTGGCATCCTGCATGCTCAACATTACATATCCGACCCAAAATCGCCATGTCTGACCAAAACGAGAAAACCATCCAACCTGAAGCGCCCAATGTGGCCGACACACCTGATGTCAAGGAGGTGGTGGATAAGATAGCGGATGCCGCCCCCAGTGCGGATCCGAGGGACATAGACAGGACCGACTTGCTCGCAGGCGTGAAGAAGGTTGACCAGACAATCCTGAGGCTGAACAAGTGAGTGTCTCGTTATTCTGTCGCGACGAGGGTCATGGCAACAAGCTAATGTAGGGCAGACTCCTAGCTTCCCCAGGCGGCCTCTCCGCATTCCTCTCCACATTCAACTACACCCTCTATATCCTCGCGTACGTGCAAACCAAGTCGCCCTCCATCTCCAGCTTTGCCACCAAGCTGCTCTCCCTCATCCGCCCGGCCTGCGACGACACCAAGATCTCCGCGGCCACACTCCTGAACAATGGCACCGTGCCGCCCATCGCTGCGCTCGCAGTCCTCATCTCCAAGGCGCGCACAACGCTGAGACTGTTCGGCCTCTTCCCGCTATACGCGTGGCTGCGCTCGCTAGCCTCAGGCCCCAAAGCTGGCACAGATGTCGTTCTGCATAGAATCGCCATGCTGCAGGCGAGCAGCTACTTCTCCTACCAAGCGCTAGAGAACATCTCCCTCCTCGCCGACTCAGGCGTCATCGGACCCCGCTTCATATCCACCCTGAACCGCGGCGACTCCAAAACTGCGCGTCTATACCTGTACGCCTACCGCTGTTGGCTGGGTGGCGTGTCATGCGACTTCCTTCGCTTGATGCGCGAGTGGCAGCTCGAGAGTCGCAGGAGGGTGACTAGGAAGCAGATGGTCGCTGATGGCCGGGCAGTAGCAGAATACCAGGAAGAAGAAGATAAGAAGTTTGACAACCGGTGGTGGACCGACTTTGTCATCGCGAGTGCGTGGTTGCCCATGGCGCTACATTTCAGCAGCGCCACCGGTGGTCTGCCGGGCTGGAACCTGGGCTGGATGGGCGCCTGCGGTTTGGTTGCTGGCAGCACGAGGTTCAAGGCACTCTGGGCGAGTACGGCATAGAGGACCCATCATGGTGATGCGAGGTACTTGTGAAGACGATCGATACCATATACATGTATTCGAGTGCTTGTTCAGTTTGAAGTTGGAGGTCTGCATGCAGCGTTTAGCCTTGCTAATTCATGGCGTTTTCTGCGTTTCGAACACGAAGACAATGTACCCTTGTTTGAACGCTCAGACATCAAATATACTCGTTGCATGCACTAGAAGTGATGCAGCCCGGTCACGGATCGGGTATAAAGAATACCTGCATCCTACATGAACTAGCTGTACGGGGCAAGTCCAACCGACTATCATCCAGAAGTGGGGAAGTGACTATCTCCCGGGCACGATTACGTTCACCAAACCAACCTTACTCCCACTGTGGGTGACCGAAAATTGAGCTGGTAACAACGGTGCCATCGTCGCTCAAGCACCAATTCAACACCCTGTTTTACAAGTGTTATTCTCGCTTAGTACCTATAGCATCCAAACGCGCCTTAGAGATGGATGGCAATGATGTATGTTCGCAACTGCTGACAGCACAACACTGACTAATTGACGTTCAGGATCTTCGAGATGCGAGATTGCAGAAGCTCTGGGATACGAGGCTAGAGGGAGATGGTTTCAGCATTGTCGAAGCCAGTATCGATGACTACCGGAAAGCCTTCGACAAACAACAAGTCACCAGCGTTGACATCGTCATCAGCTGCCTGAATCGCATTGCGCAGTATGACACCATCCAAGGTTTGAATGCTTTCACAGTCCTCAACGAGAACGTTCTCCAGGATGCAGCAGCATCGGATGCACGCCGAGCACAGGGACTGAAGCCCCGTCCACTAGAAGGCATACCATACACAATCAAGGACAGCTACAAAGTGGCTGGCATGACAGTCACTGATGGCTCCCCTGCTCTCAAAGGCGTCATGTCAAGCGGCGATTCTGCTATTGCGGAGAAGCTTCGGGCTGCTGGGGCAATCTTGATTGGAAAGACTAACATGCCACCGATGGCTGCAGGTGGTATGCAGAGAGGCATGTATGGTCGTGCGGAATCACCTTACAACTCCAAGTACCTTACTGGAGCCTTCTCCTCGGGTTCGTCGAATGGCGCCGCAACTTCTATAGCTTCAAGCATGGCAGCTTTCGGTATGGGCAGCGAAACTGTCAGCAGCGGTCGAAGTCCGGCGTCAAACAATGCGATTGTCTGCTATACCCCATCGAAAGGACTACTCAGCTGTCGTGGACTCTGGCCGTTGTACATTACATGCGATGTGCCCACGCCCTATGCGCGATCGGTCGATGACATGTTGGAGATACTGAATGTTATCGCTACCCCTGACGAAGACACAACCGGAGATTTCATACGCGAACAGAAACACGTTCAAATACCTCAACCGCCTTCAATCAACTACACAGATTTGCGCAACACCGATGCGTTACGGGGGAAGAGAATTGGTGTGCCAAAAATATACGTTGGTCAAAAAGATTCGGATCCGCATGCAAAACACACTCACGTCTCACCAGAAGTGATCGCATTATGGGAACAGACAGCCAAAGATCTCGGCTCTTTGGGAGCAGAGATTGTTTACACCGACTTCCCTCTAATAACGAACTACGAAAATGACTCAGTATCGGGTGAAGCCAACAACGTCGATGGTCGGCCTGCAAACTGGAATCTCCTCGAGCGAGGTATTCTTATCGCTCAGGCCTGGAACGCTTTCCTCGAAGACAACAATGACCCCAATATCAAGTGTTTAGCCGACATCAAAGATCCGTCAATGCTGTTCCCAAAACCACCCGACTACAAACCTGACCGCTTCCTCGAAGTAAGGAACTGGATTGATTACCCCGGTCTACCCAATATGGTGCAGAATGGAAGTATACATGACATTCAAGGCATGGAGCAAGCTCTAAAAGCCCTTGAAGCTCAAAGAAAACGTGATCTGGAAGACTGGATGGACAAGAATGAACTCGATGTTGTTGCGTTCCCAGCGCAGGGCGATGTCGGTCTTGCAGATCTCGAATTCGATATTGACAGCACGACGCATAGTCTCCAGAACGGTGTCAAGTACTCCAACGGCAACCGTGCCATCAGGCATCTTGGTGTACCTACTGTGAGTGTACCGATGGGTGTTATGAGTGAGAAGAAGATGCCTGTGAACATCACTTTTGCTGGCAAAGCATACAAAGACACCAAGCTACTAGAGTATGCGTACGCTTTCGAAAGCGCTACAAAGAAGCGTATACCTCCGCCCCTCACGCCCGCTCTACCCACCGACACTATTGCCCATGCATTTCCCTTGCCATCTGAAGACAAGCACATCATCGAATCTGTAACAGCCGCTGTCAACCCTTTAGGAGACTCTAATGACGTTGAAAACAAACTTTCTCTGAGCATGGACGGAATCTTACCTGAACCTGCGTCCGAGTCTCTGCTCCAAGTCTTTTTGGACGGTCATGTGGTGCACACTTCGGTGATCGAGAGCGCAAAGTGGAGTTTCTCAATCTCATATGCACTCAAGAGACCGGAAATTCTGGGTTGGGATCTCAAACCACTTCCAAAAAAGGATCTTATGGTCATCGTGGTTGTGAAAAGGTTGGATGGTGATGAAGGTATCAAGAAGGAGTCGAAGTTGCTGACGGTACCTGTTGATAGGGCTGCCGAGGTGTCTGTTCGGGACGGTGCATGACAGGCGCGTCTGTAGAGGCTATTTCATTGCGGCATGAGGTTAATCAGATCATGTTGATAGTGTATGGTAGAACAAATGAACCAGTCCTTAAGTATAAGCTGACTCAAGAACGTTCAGCGCTGCTTAGGTAGTCAGACTTATCTCCAACTGTGGAAGGTTAGTTCTAGGGACACAGAAAGACGATTGTACTTTCGCTGTACTGGATGCCATCTCACACAGAGCCGCGGTCGAATAACTATCACTGACTTTGGTCACTGGGGTGAGAATGCGACGCGCCTTTGCGGTCAATCGAGGTGCGCAGAACTCATTGCCATGCAGTTGGCTTCGTGAGCACGCTACAGTATGCCACGAGTGGTTGCCAACTCTTGAGTACAGGCACAGACATTGTAGTGTTGACTATGCAATGGCGTAGGGTTGCGCTGATGTGATTGCGTACCCGGGTCACGCACACGTAGGCTGTTACTTAGATGGCACTGTCCGAGGGATGGGGAGATATCATCTGCCATCCAAACTTAATACGTTAGAATTAACTCGAATCGCGCTCGAGCAAATCTATTCGGCCCCCTAATTACGATCAAATGCACCTCTGAAGCGCTTGCAAAGTGTCTGATCTTTCCAAGCAGATCCTTCCAGTACCTCAACCGCCCGCTTTCTGGAGGCCAGATCAACGATGAAGACAAAGTTGCGTATACCGACTGTGCTCTTGCTAATTAGTAGGATGTTGCCAGCGCATCATATAACTAAACTCCAGGACCCACATAGTCAGCAGATGCCTGTTCCTTCTTGATAACCTTGGAAGGCTACATGCCCACTCTGAGTATCGTGCTCCTGCGTGATCTCGACAGACGTCATTGGGAGTTTGACTTCTACAGACCACGACGAGGCGGAGTTGATTAGAACAAGTCTAGCTATTCAACTGACTGGGTAATCATAATCCAAACAACCCTTGACTGGTGAGTCATGACATGCTGGTACGTGGAGAGGGCATGGCAAAGTTCCGGGTGCTGTGGCAATGACACCGCAACCTTTCGATCCAACGTAGTTGATGATGAAGAACCATTGCTGCCGAACACCCCGCGAGCACTTCAAAGTATTGTAAGACTATGTTGTGGATTCTAGGCCTCGTCCTCTTCGCAGCATCTAATGAAGCGGGCAACATACCCAGACGTCTTCAATGCGATGCGAGGAAACTTGAGTATGTGCTTGTTGCTCACGGGCCTTCGCTAGCCTTCTTTATGATCATAATATAGACGAAAAGGAAAGCTGTTAAGAATTAGGACCCAAGTCATGTAGGTCTCTCCGCTATATACCACGCTAAACGAAAGAGTCGATCCGCTTGCTACGGATGCAGAGCTCAAATGGACGGTGAAATTCCATTGATTACCGCGTTCCTCTACATTCCGGTGGATACGCTAAGAGTTCAACGAGTGAAATGAACGCATTGATCGTGGTTGTCGCCATCCCAGGGGTGTGACAGCTCAATAACATAAGATTAACGTTCAGGAAACCGCCCTTCAATTCACCTGCATACCACCCGGCAATGCTGTGAGCCAGCCATCAAAATTCTCGCCGACCATGTCCTTGACATTACACCTGTTTTGTGTAGCAATGTTCTGCTTCTTAAGCGTTGGAGCTGACACGTAGTTGTTCCCATCCATGGCTTTCTGTAGCGAGTTATCCTTCCAGCCGAAGAGGTAGTCCGCATGGGTCGAAAAGCCGGTCGCATCGCCACTAGACCACAAAAATGGCTGACTGCCGTCAGTGGGCCAGTCTGCCTTGTTGTTGAACTGCTTCGTGTCCCAGACAGTCTCAAGCAGAATTTGAGGAATACGAATGGGGTGCGTTGATGGACATGCGCCGCCATTCTCGAATGTGCCGGTTGCTGGGTATGAGACGTGCTCACGGTGGTTTGGTGAATCGAGGTTTACACCATCCCAGCACTGTAGGAAGTCAATAAATCTGCCAAACACGCCTTCTTAGTGTATACTCAACGGTTGGAAATCTGTGATTGATCATGATACCCGCTGGGCACGGCTGCTTAGGAAACTCGAGCGTTTCCGGCTCCCGAGTACCCTCATTCTGCATACATATATAGGTTAATTGGCGAAAGTCGCGAGCTGCTTCGCGTGTACGGTACGAGACATCGCCAATTAGCATGCGGAAACCTGGCTTGAAAGCTGTTACTTTTGTAGTTTGCGAAGTGCTGAAGAGGGCGTCTGTCATATAATATACGACCTAGATGAATCTTAGACAGCGAGTAACATGATCATGGGAAAAGGTATGTACCATGCCGCCATTCGTACCCTCCATGCCTTGTTGCGCTCGTTGAGGGACGCGTTTGAAAGTACCGTTTTTTGCTTTAAAGTACACTACTGCGGTCCAATAGTTGCCTATAAGTATTTCATCAGCGTTGGGTCAAATCGGAAAAGGCGATGTAACACTGACTTAGGTCTTCGGTAAACTCGCAGGTAGTGCAAGTTGACTGCGCCGCTAGATCGTGACCTTTGGTAGGGTCCATCGTCACGTTGAATGAGTTCTGGTTTTATCAACAATTGTACATATGTCTCGCCGTAGGGGTTTCTTACACCTCCGATGATCTGATGAAGATGTGGCGACGGATTAGCTCCTGGGTTGACCAATGGGTCGAGTCGCTGAACGGTCAACTGTGCGCATCCGAAGCGTAATAGTCCTGCATTTACGCTAGCAAGCAACCCAAAGGCACTGATGATGGGTTGTAACCTCATGGTGTTTGCACCCTGTTTACTTCTGTGTGTTGGTGCTGGCGATGATCTCTCTGAGTGATATTGTAGCGAATTCCGTACTCCATCTTTCATAGATAGCACAAGCGCAGTGTCTCGATGAGGAAATATCGAAAACTGCCGTCATCTTGAGGGTTGATGTGAAGAGCCGAATGCCAGGGTAATGTAAGCTAATATCGCGCAGCGAATGCGCGCTCGCCTGCCAAGGAGAATTGAACAACGTCTCCGCATGAGCGAACATGTTCATCAGAAGCCTTCGAATGGAAAGATATTTGTGAAGCATGCATTCCGGGCTTGGTCTGGGATGAAGAGCGAAAGTATGGAAGACTCGGGACTATCCGCCCGACTATCTACAAGTGTGCCAGCTGACCACGTCTATGACGATGACCTCTGTGTATTCAATGTACCATCGGGTGTATGAAGTTACAGAATATAGTACTGTGATCATTCAGCGCAGTCTGCGATCGGATATATGAGTCCGCGCTCCTAGGTATCAGTCAGCTTTACTCGCATCGTCAAGCAGAGCAGATCAATACCATCCATCAACAGCTTTTGCACAGCGAGAGTTTAATCATCACAAACCCATCATGAAGTTGATTATCACCGCTTTGATGTCTCTTGTCACCTCGGTTGCCGCCCAAACATATCCAGAGTGCACTGCCGAAGTCGCGCGAAGCGATGATTGCGCCGCTGTCATCAACGCAAACGCGTGCTACAACAAGTTTCGATGGAACGCGCAGACCTTGACATGCATAGATGGAAATGACAATGCAGTGAAGCAAAAGAAGGTAGAATTGAGTACGGTTGGTGACAAAGAATGCGAAGCTAACGAGAGCGGTGTTTGATAGGTGTGTGCTTGTTGCAGCTGTGTTGGAAAAGTTATGTGTGACTGGGCAACGAAACAGAAATACTGCTGAGAAAACCGAGAGCAGACGGACGGATTGTGTATATAGAAATAGATGTTCAACGAATATGTACACTGAACCATATAGTCTACACGGTACTTCGCGTTTTTTGGTTGTCGCATATTTTGCTTTCCTTTTGTTCCTTGGTAATGGCTCTGGACACCGACAGGTAAAGTGACTTGTACGCAATGCATCGCGGGGAATAATGCAGAAGCATGTCTCCGTCAGAGGTTATATCGTCGCCATCGTCCTCTTCAACAGCAACACAGAAGCAGCGTCCACGAGCATCTTGAGCAGTACGACGAGTTCATCCGAACCCATGATGTCAATCGAAAGTAACCCGCAAGTCAACGATGGTGGTAAGCGCAGCACCAGTCCCGGTGCAATCGCAGGTACCGTCATCGGCAGTATAGCCGGTGCTCTGGCCATTGTTGGAGCCATCGTCTTGGGCTTGAAGAGGGACAAAAATATGAGAAAGGGCAAATCGGGTGTCAGTGACTCCGAGGATACGCCAGTTTCCGCGCCGGCTGCACCAGTAGCGGTGCAATATGACAACGAGAAGTACAGAACGAGTAATTTACCGCAGTGGGTCGTACGGAAATGAGCAGAGCCCCAATAGCATGTCGGTCGTCGAGATGGTATCAAACACCGTACATCAATAGCTACTTTCAAATTTCTTCGTACAAAACCATATTGGAAGTACCCTCACCAGATTGTATATCCACCATCCACGATAATCTCGCTGCCCGTAACGTAGCTACTAGCATCACTGACCAGCCAAACTGCCGCACCCCGAAATTCTTCAGGCTTGGCAATTCTCTTCATCGGGATATCCTTCAGCCATTCTTTACTCAGTTTCTCCATTTCTTCGCCCTCGTTTGCCTCTGTCTGGATATACCCCGGGCTTAGCGCGTTGACGCGGATACCATGAGGCGCCCATTCAGATGCCAGTGATTTCATGAGATGGGCGGATGCAGCCTTGGAGGCGTTGTATGCTGACTGCTTTTGGGGGCGGTTCACGATAGAACCAGACATAGATGAGACGATCAGGATGCGGCCGTCGACTTGGTTTTCGATCCACCACTTCCCTGCTGTGCGCGAGAAGAGGAAGGTTCCGGTCAGATTGACGTCAATCATGCGCTTGAAGTCCTCGAAAGGGTAGTCTTCTGCTGGTGCGCCGCCAGTGATCCCAGCGTTGGTGACAAGGATGTCGACTGTGCCGAACTCTTGGATGATCTTGTCCCAAGTAGACTTTACACCTTCTTCGGAAGAAGTGTCGCACTCGTAACCATGCACCTTTGGCGGAGGTAGGCCCTGAGTCTCAGCCTCCTCGATCAGAGCCTTGGCAGATTTGTCGGCGCCTTCTTGTTTGAGATCCACTATGGCTCCATGGGCGCCTGAGAGGGCGAAAGCGGCGAGGATCTGTTGACCGAGGCCTTGAGAAGCACTATGTAATACTTTAGCTTCGTCTCAGCCGTGCTCTGTAGTCTCCCAGGAGACGGCAAAGACCACTCACCCGGTCACTAAACGAGATCAGCATAGTTTGCAAAGAGACTGCCTCCATATTGCTTACCGACAGCTACCTTGCCTTCAAGCGAGAAGTCGGGCAAAGTCCTGCGCTGCGTGTGAGCGAATCGAAGTGCCGGTTTTGATAGACGCGAGAGCGTCTGTGAGGTTCGTAGGAGGGCATTGCGGGCAACATACGGAGGCATCTTGAACGTTTGCCTATGCTATTTGAGTAACTGAGGAGGCGACTTGAGCGTTCGGGGACTGAGAAGCTGTAAGTTTGCAAGAGATTCTAGGACCAATGGGTCTGTTTTCATGTCTGTGATGTTTACCAGGTACGGTTTTGTGATAGAGGAATTACGTCACTTTTGCGTACGCCGGTGCTCAAGCGAACCATGGTCACCCGACTGTTGCCATCCAGTTGATAACGGGACGAGCATATGAAAGAACATATAGTCAGATGGGAAGGTGTCTAGACAAAATTGGTAAAAACACCAATGCAAGAATGATTTGAGTGCATCATAGTTTTGTTTGGGCCAGGAGGTGGTGGCGGCGGGTATATTTGAAGGATATGGTTAAGACTGCCTACTGAAACTGCCCTTTACTGATAGTGCTCGGTTATCCTCCAAGGTGGTGATCGTGATGTTCGTATCGGGTATAAATTGTCCTCCAGTTTACATGACGGTGCACCAGCAGGACTCGTCACAACCACAGCAATCGCACGACTCACCGCACTTCGGGGCTGGTGAGGGCTTGATGATAGTCGAGACGGAGGAGGCAACGCTGGCAGGCATCGTGATGGTGTTTGTCGGAAAGTAGTGCTATACAGAGTGTTAGTTGCGTAGCTAGCAGCAAGCGTAGAACACCTACCGAAGCAGCTGTTTTGAACTTGGAGAACAAGAACTGAGAGCTCTGGAGTCTGGCGGCGACGGGTGTATGTGTGATGTAAGTGTTTCAGATGGGCGATTCAAGGTGCAGTGGAAGATGAAGGGAATCGGTCGCAGACGTCCAAGGCTCTTTATATCAACTCCGGTACGAAACAGCAGGGTTGGTCTACTCCCCGAGGTTAATGACTTCAGAGATACGGCTTCCGTCATAGCGCTTTGTTTACCCTCGTCATCCGCCCTCGTTGGTCACACACATTGAGCCCTGACCCTGAGGCATGCATACCGATGTTTCAACGTCTGCCAGTTGTCAGGCATAGGATTGGTCCGGCGGCCTGTGTGCACCGCCTCACCGACATTACTATCTCTTGAGCCAGCCCCGGACGCGAGTCTGGACGGCGTGATAGATGGAAACAGCCGCAGCTGTGGTGGCTCAGCTTGTTCGCGGCCGTTCGTTCCGTCGTTTGATTGGTTTATGAGCAGGGTTCGTCGTAACATGTCTGCATTGAAGCATGCAGACCCTTGCATGATGCATGGGCTGATTGCGTGGCTAAGCTCCACTAAGCTTTGTGGCGCCAACAAATGCCTCACGAAATCAAGGAATAAGCTTCGCCAAGCTGCAACCGAGAAACTTGGCTGTGAATGTGTCGCTGACAGGCTTTGTAGATCTGTTCGCTCGTGCACCTAGACCCTGAGTGTGCCACAAGTGATTTGGCGCATGATGTCGCCCTGCAGTGGCTGCGTAAGCGTTTGACATGGCGTTGAAGGTGGAGGGTCGGCCTCATGTATTGGGATACGAGCTGAACGGCGCTTCTAAACGAGAACGAGGAAAAGGCCTGCGCATCTCACATCCATGTGAGCCACGCATTCTCGCGGCACTTTGAGCGGTACTGGTGCGAGCTGGATGTTGCGGGCCGATGTAAGTAGTATAGGAAGGCCTTGAATCATTGATGGACCAGCACCGCATGTCGGCACACCACGATATAGCTTGCCTTAATAGGGAAATATATTTGAGATGCTTGTAGCAGAAGGGTCTAACGTTTCTTCGGTATGGAAGCTATGTGGGAGAAAGCTGAGCGTTTGAAGCTCCCGGACGTTCCGGCGAGAACTCCGCGTAACACGAAAGAGCGCCCGATTCCACTAGCTCACCCTTCCCCTCATACGTCAATCATCAAACCTTCCTTGTTCAATTTACACCACTCGAAGCTCTTGCGCCACAGCGCCTGTTGCATTTTTATGTCCAAGCTGTCCGGCGAGCTCTCGACTTTCTTGTCTCCTTCAAAGTAACCCTCTTGTCCTGCAAATTTATCTGATACTGCCACATCAACAAAGGGGATCGCAGCCTGCTCGACTGTCTTCAACCGAGGGTCAAAGTACCTGAGCAACGGCAGCATCCAAGTCACAACTGTAGTCACGATCTGGATAATCCGTGGGACATGTGACTGGTGAAAAGCCCGCGAATTGATCAGATCGAGAGGATCAACCGCTATTGCCCTGATGGACTCAGTGTCCCTTTTCTAGATTGACGGTCAACGAGGGTATGCCTGGAGTTATCTTAATGAGGTACTTACGGTCTTGAGACGACGATTGAGTTCGTACATGACCATAATGGGAACCAGCTTGCTCACAGCATATCTCTGGAAACCTCGTCCCATCTCCTCGACCTCTTTGTCTGCTTTGGGATGAACCAGTAGCTCTAGGTTTTCTGGCACTTGAGTTGGATATCCCTTGGAGAGACTAGCTTTCTCTGGCCAATGCGCGCCACTTCCTGAAAAGATGATGCGACCATGCACCGGATCCATAGCGCTGAGAAGCTCGCACGAGAGAGAAAAGTGCGCAAGATGATTCACAGCAATCGACATTTCGTACCCATCCTTGGAATACTGGGGTCCACCGGCCAGGTTCCAGGTCATCGCGTTACAGATGATCGTGCGGATGAGTGGCAGCTTTTTACTCTCAATCTCGAGAAGCAGCGCCTTGCTGAATTTACGGACGTTCTCCAGCGATGAGAGGTCGAGTTGCCGTATAGACACTTGTACATCAGGATGTTGGTCCACAAGAAAACGAAGTTTTGTTGAGTTCACGTCTTCTTCAGAATCGTCTCGGACGGTGAGAACCAGATTGAAGGATGAGTATGCCTCCAACAAGTACTTGACTGCTGGCAAAGCCAGCGAGCCGTTCGAGCCAGTAATGAGAACTGTGCCTGTCATGGCGCCAGTAAGAAATCGACAATTGAAGAAGATATTTCGGGCGAAGAACGCTTTGCAGAACGGACTACGGAAACCTCATCTGTTATTGTTATCTACCCATGACGCATGGTTGCTGACAGGCGTATACGCCCGGTCGCATGCCTTAGCGCCAGTCATCCATGTCGAATTCATCAAAATGCATACAGATTTTCGCAAGACAGATTGTGGTTTCCTCTATTAGCACGCACAGCTCACATATTTTTCCATGTGCATTTCTAATAAGTCTGAACTGTAAAGATCGTTGTTTGGGAATTCACAATGCGTAGTGTCGTAGCGCAAGGGTATCTGTGTTCGCCAGCCGTTCTTCCCCTCACCTCTAGTTTCATGCAGCTTAAGTTTCCGCTATTCTTCTTATGTCCTTTCCGCAAGGAAACTCGTGATATGTAGCAGTGACCGGAACCTGGATCGATTACCTACTGCCTTTCTGATGCAGTTCCCGACGTCACAGCATGTGCAGCAATGTGCTTTACCCCGGCTCAAATAATTTCAAGTAATTCCCCAACGGTTGCACCTGATTGTAGTGTGCCTTAAAGATATGCGGTATGTATTGACTTATTCTCTTGCTATTGGCGGTCACCAACTACACCTTTAGGGTATATGTTTGGTACACTTTTTTTTTCTCCAGCTTTCTTGCAAGTCGCAGCAGCTGCAATCACCACTAATTAGCTTACTGTGATGGTACTACTTCCACTCGGCAGTAGGGTCCCATTCGCGAAACCTTCCGTACAAAGGATCATGTAATCGTGACCACCAAGTCTCATTCCCGCCTTACTCCATGCATCAAAATGCTTCTGCGTAGTAATAGTACCTCCAACCCTCTTCTCTGTTCTCACTGACCAGAACTGTGTGAAGGTGCGGGTACCTTCGATTGACGGCTTGTTCACGCGCTGACTGGTGTAGAGCTCGTAGGTGCCTTCTTCGAAAGTGAAGTTGCCTTTGCGCGTCCAAGGTTCACCGGGTGCAAGGATGTCATACGATTCGATGATGTAGTATTCGATGAGGGGATTGCGCGTCCAACCGTACAGGGCGAGATAACCGGGTCCTTTGGCATCGTATGTACCTGCGTATTTTACGGCCCTAGCATTGTTTGTCAGTACAGTCCTCAAAGTTGCGAAATTTGTTTGCCAATCTAACCTCGAACCTCCGGGCTTGAAGCCTGTACCAGCTACGAAGCCACCGCCGGCCTGGCCTGACCAGTTACACGTGTACTTGCCGCCGCCTTGTTGGCTGCAACGGAATGAGCCGCCTCCCTCAGACCAGAAAGAGTAGTAACCTCCTTGACGGGCTTCGAGTTGCTTCCCTACAGTTTCGTGATTAATGAGCGATGTGACGCCTCTAGGCGCTGCAAAGGCAGTGGGAAGAGAAACTAGCAAAGCAGTTGTGAGGATGGTGAAGGATACCATGATGGCGAATTTGCACTGGGAAATGCTTTACATCGCCCATAATGGGTAGTGTAGTATCCGCAGCTTTATATAGATCGGCGAGCAGATACTTGGGTTCCGTCATCGTCATTTACCGAGCTTTGGGGGAAGCGCGCGTGATTCTTCATTCCTGTGTCTCATTAACCATCGATCCTTGAGAAGCCTTTCGTGTGGGGAGCCCATTGGCAACGGTATCTGTCAATGACTGATACGCTACCATCAGTAGCCCAGATGCTCTGCCAAGACCGGGGTGCATCCTGTTCAATATGCTTGATACTGCTGCCCCGGCTCTTTACTGCCGTGTAAGGGTGTTTCTTCGGATACAGCCTACACGAAAAGGTCCGAAATGGTGATAGAGACCGCTCGTCATTTGCCGGCGGCACTTGTCACGACGGTGCTTATGATGGTCATATTAACCAGCAGTCACCAATTACGGACTGTACGAGTGATAGGCATGTTGCTGTTAATCTACACGAAGATACGGGATATAGCATATGATGGTGACGTATCAAGTAAGGCTTATAAAGGTCATGTATGCCGACAAACTCGACAAAGTCTGATAGGGTTCGTGGGTGGTCGCGGAGTGATGATAGAAGGAAAGAGCGCGATGTGCGGCATTGAGCCAGGGACATGCGGGAGCAAACTCGTCGGAACTGAGGTTGACGTGTCGCTCGAGCTACTTTCACCAGCGAACACAACGTATCCTCGCATGTACAAACGCCCAGAAGTGCTCAAACATCATCTTTCAACACTAGCCAGCAAATGTAGGTAATGGCAAAGCGCTACGAACAAGCTCCGACTCAAGCCTCCATCTCGTATCCGGGGAGATGATCCAGCCATCCCTCCACATCTTCATCAACGGAGCTTTCAACCGCACAAGCATTCATCTCTTCAACAGTCTGCGTTTTAAGCACACCTTGCATGCCTGGACTTCCACAGTAATGGAACATGCAGCTGTCGTTCATCACCCGCTGCAAGCTGTCTCCTTTCCATCCAAACACGTAGTCAGCATGAGTGCCGTAGCCTCTACTATCGGAGTAGCTCCATACGAATGGCTGCGAACCATCGGTTGGCCACATATCAGCGAAAGCAGTCGTGTTCCACATCGTTTCGTATGCTAGCTGCGGCATCTTGATGGGGTGCGAAGCGGGGCAGGGATCAGCTGGGCGGAAACCACCCCGTGTGGTAGAGAACATATGGGACTGGTGGTCGGGGGCGTCAAGGTCAACTCCATTCCAGCAAGAGGGAAAGTGGCTAAACGAAAAAGACGCGGTTAGTGAGTCTTATGCGAAGAGGAGGGAGTTTCTCTAGGCAAAAATCATGCAGCTTCGAAGTGCGCGGCATATCAAGATACTGGATACACTTACTGTCTTGTGGTCAGTAAACTGATTACAACATCTGCTAAGATCGTCTCTTACCTGAATAGCCATTATACCGGCAGGACATGGCTCTTTCGGGAAGTCAGGAGTCTCGTAGCCTCTAGTGAGGATGGTTTGCAGGCACGTGTATGCCAGGCCTTTCTTGGTGCCGTTGATTGTGGTCGTCGACGGATTGCCAACAGTCATGCGAAAGCCCTTGGCCCAGTTAGAACCCCGTTTGAAAATAGAACGGACTGTGTTCCTTACCGGAGGAAAAGCCCTCACTGGGTTCCCGAGGTCGGAACTGTTGAAGTCTTTTTGAGTATAGTATATCGTCATACCTCCCTTGATGTGGTCTGCATCTTGACCTTCATATCCTGGATAGAACAAAATTAGGCTACGCATCGACATGAGTAGAGTCAGCATACCTAGTTGAGCGTTCGGGTAGATGGGCACGCGCTTATACGACCCGTTTTGATGTTTGAAGTACATCGCAGCTGTCCAGTAATTGGAAAAATCTACAGATAAGTCAGGGTTGACGATTGCAACGGTTTGAATGATCATATCCTGCCTTCGGTGTACGCGCATGTCGTACAGCTTCCCTGTTCGCCGATGTCACCAGTCATCGTAGCATTGAAAGCATTGCCACCTGCGCAGGCGTTAATGGGGATTTCTAAGATGCAAAAATACATCTAGCTTACCAACGATCTGATGTACCTTCGAGATTCTGTAAGCTTGTCGTCAATTGTATTTTAGTGGTACTAACATGAGAGGAAGGTACGCGACCAGGCTCCACAAGTGGATCGAGGCGCTGGATGGAAACGCTGCTACATCCAAAGCGAATCGCTGCTTCTACAAAGACAGCTTGGAGAAGGAAGAGATGTGATTTCATAGTTTCGCGAAGACTTGTGTCCTCTTTGATGATACAGAATTCTCAATGTTGAGATTGTGAGTGGTAAGAGACCTTGAAGGAACACAAACTATCATGAGGTACACATCGCGTTCCGGGAGAACAGCTGAGGACTCTTCGCTTCAATGTATCCGACGCGCATATGAAGAGGATCCAAAAATGACTGCCGGCTGGTAATGCCAAGTCGTTGATGTTGCTCTTCATATACACCGTTCAGCCGGGTAATGTGGAGGTGGGGCGTGTTCGCGCGGAGCATCGCGATGAACTCTCTAGACCTGTGAGGTGGGTCATCATCATTACGCATCGAAGCCGTATCCCACTCATGTGATTATAGGCCATTGGGCATGATTGACAACAGAAGCCATAGCAATGACGGCCGGCGACACGGCGTTGAAGTGACAGAACCTCCTGTCGTGGCTAGTGAAAGAAGTAGGGAGGAACTTGAGCTGAGTGTTATCATGTCACAGATCTCTAAGCACAGAATTACTCTAACAGGTAAGACAAACGCGCAGGTGATTGTGGGTGCCCACAGTGACAGTATAATGTCTTCCCAGCAGAATACCACAGATGTACCCGTAGAGAACTACGACCTAGTCAATGGTAAGATCTCGAAAGTGCGTCTCTATACCTGGGGCTGACGATTGAACCATCGAGAAATGATTGTGGGCGCCGAAAGTAAAGCTGTCCGACCTTGCTGTACCGCAAGCACTTCACACTCAGCCTACGTCTCCATCCGCCATGTTCGCGTCTACCCCCCCTACAACCTCTCAGGGTACTCCATCGGTCCCCAACACTTGTCCGCATCGACTCTAGTAAGCACGACATCCGACCACTCCGTTCGCAGCCACCATGCACCCATCTCATCTTCGTTCTAAGCGTACCTCTTTGTCTCCTCATGGTCTACACCATACGTAAAGGCGGCAATCTGACATACAGCATGTTTCAACGCCACTAGATATTCTGAGCCGTTGACGAAAGTGTGGCCTTCAAAGTGCTTCGAAGGATTATCAAGAGCCACACCGCTGTAGCCGACACCGCCTCAGTGCTAGGGAAGAGCAACGAGTGAGAGAGATGGCATGTAGTCGCGACCTTGGAAGCGACTCGTGGGTTCAAGATGATAGCAGATGATGTCCTAGAAGACAAAGATTACCAGCTAGCGATCGTACAGACCACACAGAATCCAGCTCTGCGCCGGCAGCATCCCACTTTGGGCTCTTTGGTAAGAGCCCAAGCTACATTATGTCCCTGTTCAATCTTCGTATCAATAGACAAGAAGTCGCAGACCAAAGATTAAAACCACTCTTTTGCATCTTCCTTGCCTCGCTTCTCCCTCCATACTGGTCCATCAAACCCAACATTCCACTTTTCCGCAATTTCTTTCGATGTTATGTAAGCGGGTTTAGCATATGCCGAACTGAAAACATATGCGCCATACTTGAGTACCGTGTTCCTAGTTGATGATCCGCGTCTTTGGCGTAGTATGTGGTGTCCTTCTGCACGCTGTACTAACGAGAACTCGACCAGACTGTCTGGTGGCCCAGGTAGGAAATCAGGGGTAGCGAAGGTATCATATTGTTGTTCGGGGCGGGCCAGTTCAGGACCTGAGTTGTGTTTGAATGCCACCCGAACATTTGACAAGTGCGGAGCTTCATGTTTGATTGCTCCGATGAGTCTTTCGATGCTAGCCCACATCTCAGCACCAGGTACATAGCTCCTTGATAAAGCGTCGATATAAGTGAGAAAAATTGTGATGTTTCGAAGGTTTTTGAAGGCACTAGTCACTCCTTTCGAGAGAACGCCAAGGTCAACATCTTTGTCGGTGCTCACATTTGTGTATATCGAAGGATACACTTCAATCGTCGCCGAGAGATCTTTCATAGGCGCAGATTCGATGTATTCGTGGCATAATCGAGAGTGTGCGCGAATGACATTGCTGCAGGGTGCATTGTGGAATCGTACAGAAACTTGGTTGACGATGTGACCCTTGCGACAGTCTTGCCCTTTGCCCCAATCCCACCACAGACTGACCTCATGGTAAAGGTATGTGTATACGTTATTTCGAAGTTCGCGTGGTATAGTGAGGAGATGCGGCGCCAGAGTGTCGTTGGCCATTTTTCGAGAGCGAAGGTGGTTCAGAAGATTACGATGATATTGACGGCAAGCGATGATGCCGACGAAGAAACTCAAGAGTACACAAACGAGTTGAGAATGACAGGTGGAGGTAGATAAGGATTCGTGTGGTACACGCCGGGGCGTAAAGTAGGCTGCATCGTGAGCCAATCGGAGAATACATTTCGTTGCTTTTGTCGTACACGAAGCGATGAACGCGAATCGGTATGTACTGGAGTCCCTGTTCAGTTGCGGGTACAAGGATGGTAGGGCAGTTGTGGAGATGTGCTTTGAGGATGGTAGGGCAGTTGTGAAGCTGTGTTTTGAGGATGGAAGCAGGCTGCCAAGCGCTCATGTACTTCGAGTCGTCGGATAGCTGGCATGATCGAATTGATGTTCCGGTCATCCAAAAAGAGAGTAATGGTCAGTCCTAACGAGACTCTAGAACCAGACTACAGCTTCTTCGTGACCGCGCTTTTCTCTCCATTGCTTTATTTGATGCCCGAGGATCGAAGGCGGCAGCGGTGTATTCCAATTACCAATCGTGTAAGGTTGCAGCTTAAAATGATCAAGAACGTCGGAAGGTTTCCAGAAATGAGAGTCGTTATTTGCGCCGCCCCTAATGTACAAATAGCAGCCATGCTTCACGAGAGCATGCTGAGGTCGAGGCTGACCAGGCCATGGCTGCACCTGTTCCAGACGGTACCCCTCGGCTCGCTGCACAAGTTGCAACACTTCCAAGCAGGGTGGTGGGGAGGTCAAAAAATAGCCAGCTTCGAATCGTGGATATGTGTTGTTGTGATGCTGCAGTCGAGTAGTGGCACGACACTGGATACCAATCCGCAGTGTCGATAGATATGGGCCCCTCTGCAGCAGCACGCAAATCAAACGTTCTGTATTAGTCCACCCTTTTTTCACTCCGTCATACTCACCAAGATCTCCAGGAACAGTTTCAATGAGGATCGTGACATGTTTGACGAATCGGGCAAACAGTGTGTCCAAGGGCAGCGTATGGAGTCTTTGGTGTATTGGCGATATTCGTTGACCTGGTAGTGCATCAACAACGAGATCGCTTTGAAGAACATCTTCATCGGAAACTGTCATAGAGATTCCATCCTTTTCGATGGCTTCAAGATACTCTTCTCGCAAGCGAGGATGGGTATGGAGCAAGTTGAGATTGGGCGCGTTATGGACACGGTAATGAAAGCAACATGGAACGAATAGCCTGGTGAAACGCCATACAGGGTCGTCCTCAGCTTTCACATATGAGTAGATGAGATTTCGCAATTCGCGAGGGAGTGCAAGAAAAGGTGGGAGTGGAGGCGCAGGGTCGGCCATGGTGGGAACGCGACATTGATGGTAGAAGGAGCAACAACGCGTTCACGATTTTAGCCTGCAGCTGGGCACTAGCCACGCGCAGCGTCATAGTTAGTGGCAAGCGTCATAGTATGCAGCTAAAGAGCGAATGAAAAATACATAAGAACATTCAATTGTGTCAACCCGTCTTGCGCATAACGTTTCAATTAACCTTCAACTGATTAGACGGTTTTGTGGTGGTTGAAGATGTCACATAATTACTACATACACATAACTATACACTTCCATTAGGTACCTGCACCGCACCGTTCTCTTTCGTTCCCTCCAAAGACTCACCCCAGATTTGCTTGACAAGCTGTTTCTTATTAATCTTGCCCATCGCATTCCTTGGGATCGTGTCCACAACCTTCATCTCTTGCGGGATTTTGTAATTTGCGAGTATTTCCTTCAGCGCCCGCCTCATATCCAATGCAGACCACGCTTTGCCGCCCTTGCCGGCGGTCTTGCCTTGCTCAGAAAGCACTACTACTGCAGCAACTTTCTGACCCCAAGCCTCTGATGGGAGGCCGACAACGGCAACTTCGTCGACTTGGGGAAGGGAAAGCATCTCGCGTTCGATTTCCAAGGCAGAAACCTTCTCGCCACCAGTCTTGATGATGTCCGCTGATTTACGTCCGTGGATAAAGTAGAGAGGGCCTTTAGCCCAGGCTTGGTCGCTCTTGCCCGCTCCGCCAACATTCCTCCGGACAGCGACATCGCCAGTCTTGAACCATTTGCCTTGTCCGTCCGCGTCCTCTGTGAACTCTTTAGACGTGGCTTCGGGGTTCTTCCAGTACTCTCTAAAGATGGTCGGACCGCGCAGTTGAATTTCACCCTGGCGTTCGCGTTCTGTCACAGGATCGACTTCTTCACCCACTTGTATAACCTCGCCAGTCTCGGTGTCTACCAAACGCGCTTGCACCGAAGGAAGCGGCCAGCCTACAGAGCCGTCGACGCGATCTGTGAAATCTAGTCCACACGAAAGCGCCATACCTACTTCGGTCATGCCATATCGCTCTAGCAGCACGTTGCCTCCACTGAGCTCCGTCCATGCAGACTTGACCGGCGTGGGTAGGGCAGCGGACCCTGAGATATTTAGGCGCATGTTGGACGGGTGGAGGGCGGTCTTGGTCGCGGCTTGGAGTTGGGGCGAGAGAGTAGGATGCGATGCGAGCAGGCGCGTATATATGGTTGGGACGACGGTAAGGAAGGTAATGGGCTTCTTGGCTGGATCGGGATTCGGCAGGAAGGGAGCTGCCAGGCGATCCCATACAGCGGTTGCGTTGAAGGGAAACTGGAACTCGATAGTGCTACCAGCGAAGAGAGGCGTAAGTAGCGCGTTAACGGTGCCGTGGATGTGATGCAAGGGAAGTACATGTAACAGCACGTCCTCTTTGCTGTAGTTCCACGCTTCCAGCAGCGATCGCGACTGAGCCGTCAAGACGTCCTGAGGCAGTAGAACGCCTTTCGGTCTGTTTGTTGTGCCAGACGTGTAGAGCATCATGCCGCCCTTGTCACTTGTGGGCTCCTCGAGCGTGACATAGTCGTCTGTCTTGCCCATCATTATCTTCTCCTGCTTGTAGTTGATGGGCTTGGTCTCCATGCCCTCTTTGAGCACATCGTCGGCTTGGCTTTGGAACTTCTCAGACGAGAGAAGCATGAGCGACTCGCTCTGGTCGATGATGTAACGCAACTCGTGAGCTGGGAAGGTTGGCGATAGCGGTACGGCGATGGCGTGTGCGGCCAGGATGGACAGCAGCGTCACTATGTGCACATTAGCTTCTTCTACTCCTCGTCGTCGTCGCTGCACACAAGGCCAGAGGAATGCGCACCTACATAGTCGTATCCGTTTTCCACCAGAAAGGATATCCGTTGGCCCTCTGCGCTCTGCCCACCGCAATTCCGTTGCAGCTTGTCCTTTGCAGCAGCGACATCGTTTACAAGCTCCCCGTACGTGAAGGATCGCCCAGACAAAGAGTGGACTACAGCGGTGCTCTGCGCATCGTGTTTCTTGATGGCTTCGAAAACGGGTAGGCGGGGTAGCGTGGATGCCATTCTCACGGTATACAGGGGAGTGTGTGCGAAAGGTTGGCAGCAATGGCTGGTGTATGTCGACAAGGATATTTTGTGTCGTGTGAGGGTGCGAGCGAAGAGATTACGCGCCCACATCGCGGCAGAGAGATGTCCCGGATCAGCGCAATTGATGCAGGTTTCGAGCCTTCGGAGTACGGCAAATCGGTGGGAGATGTGCTGTGTTCAGGGCCGAGTCATGTTGATGATATCACTTGGATTCCGGCCCGAAGCACCAGAATTGCCTTCTCGAGCGCTGCTTGGAGAATTACAGATGCTCTTATAGTCGTCAATCAAGACTCATACACGGTCATCTGGTCGTTGCGTGGCTTCAATGGCTGCAATGGCTCGTCTGACCGCGCATCAAACTTTCGGAATCATGACGTGACGCCTTCCGATTTCGCCTTGGCGCGTGCCTCGGCATGAATTCTGGGGCCGACACAACCCAAAACTTCCACCACTACGCTCCAGTATTCTCATTGGTTCTTCTTGACGGACCGTTCGACTAGGAGATACTCTCGTGGATGTTCATTCCAAGTACCGGCCTCGCTGCAAGGCGTTTCATGTCAGCCATGGCTCAGTCCATGACCCCAATGGAAGATGCTCTGCGGACCAAAGTATGTCAGACATCAAACACGCGACACGTCAGTCGAGTGTTCGAAAGTGCTTTCTGACATTCATAAGATTACAGAAGCTTTGAAGCCAACTTCGCTCGAGATCTTCAATGACTCACATAAGCATGCGCATCACAAAGCCATGCAAGGAGTCACCAGCAGAGAGACGCACTTCCGGTAACTATAGGTTCACGCTTTTACACCTTGTGAAGCCATGATCCTGACCCGCATAGGGTTTTCATCACCTCACCAGAGTTCAAAGGCAAGATGCAACTTGCACGCCACCGCATGATCAACTCCTTGATGAAGGAAGAACTGGCCAAAGAAGGCGGTATCCATGCGCTGCAACTCATTACCAGGACACCCGAAGAGGAAGAGGCCAGGAAACAGAAGGAAGCAGTCCAGGCATGAGTGCAGATTACTACAGATACCCAAAATGCACGACCATGGAAAGGGTTGGCGAGAAGCGACCGATGCAGCTGCGTGGGTAGACGAGAATACGACGGGGATTTGTATTACCTAGCCGTCACAAATAGAAGCGAGAGTGGTATTAGGGACACTGGTGTAGTCTAACCTGACGCCCGCAACGCTCATAGGTCACTTCGTATAGTCGTTCCTACGTAAAGCTTAGCAATCAAATACGATGCCTCAACAGCTCAGCAAAGAAGAAGACACAGACACCAGACCGCTAGTACTAGACTGCCAGTAGAGCATGCTCCAACTCCCTTCCCACTGCACAGCAGTTTCTGAACCTACAAAATAGCGTTGTATCAACGAGGAGGTGATCAAGCTTTTAGAAAGAGCTGTGTTGTATGCCACAAGGAGCGCACTTAGCTACCCGGATTGGCAACTTTCCCGTCGTGATGGACAACAGGCCACACAAAGCGGTGGCGATCATCGTCAGCAGCAAACCGCTAATACAGGCTCCACACTAACAGCAAGGGGATGCATCAGCCCTGAAGTGGCCCAATTGCGTATCGACCGGTCGATGCGATCTAACCAACCGGAGATTCCGGGCCATTGATAGTGAGATAGGTCCTAGCTTTCGACCAGATCCTAGCATACTCTGCAGTGTTTAGATGGCATCCTCGGTGATTCTTGTTGAAAAAATTGAGGAAGTGGATGGCAGTATTACCAAAATACAACTGAACGCGAAGGCATAGCACCACTATCACATAACATCCAGAGCAATACATGATGACATTCCTAACTCTAGCATACTTGAGATATGCGCATATCCATAAGCACCGACTTCATTTTCATCTGATGCGCTTCACTAGGGTATAAGTAAGAGAAATCCAAATCCACCTCTATTCTTTTTTTCGCAAAACCTTGTCCCGACTTTTAGACTGGAGAGAATCCCAACGAGCAATATGACCACCACACGTTCCCAGTCCTGTGACGTGAGTGCCTGTCGTACATACAAGAAACTCTCATTCATCTTCACCCACTACTTCTTTTGCAATGTTCCCTATTTTGTCGCCTGAATCAAGTATTTTTCGTGCCGCTGTCTGGATAGAAAAGCTTTCGCGTCGCATGTTCTGCACTGTCGACTCGAGTGTATGTGTCCTGGAGCGAAGACGACTGATTTCGGAACGGAGGACATTGATGATCTCTGTCTGCGATGGGATTGGGGTGTTCATGGTATCTGTCGAGTCGACAGACGACGGGACTGAATTGATACCAGGTTGCTGTTCCGCGACTACTGTCGGGGTAGGCTTCGGGGTACCTGCCACCATCGCTTCTTCTAGTAACCGAATCCTTTGTTCTAGCCCTGCCTTCTCCAGCTCCCATATCTTTTTGGCCTCGGCACTTTGTGACTGGAGCCGGTTTGCCATGTCCATGATCCGCACGTATTGTGCTCCATTAGCAACCAACTGCCGCCGAGCCTCGTCCCTACTCTGCTGTAGCTCTTCGATCTGACCTTCGAATGTCAAAATTTGCGCAAGCAGCCTTTCTTTCTCTTCTTTCAGGCTATTTATCTCTATGCCGCTAACTTCAAGCTTCTTCTCGAACGTGGCGCATTTAGTCTTCTGTCTCTCGAGATTCTGGAGCAAAGCGTCGTACTCGCGCTGCAGAGTCTGAAATTCAAACGTCTTGACACTGACCTGATGTTGGAGGTCCTGCAAGTCCGCATTTTGTATCGATGTCTGCGACGTTGTAGGTGGTGACATCGGTGGGAGGCTTTGCGAACTAGGAAATTTAAGTGAAGCCGGAGAAGGTAGAATAATCGAGGACGCAGATTGCGCTACCTGCATCGGGGATTGTGGAGGCGGATGTGTCGGCCCTGAAGACAGCGTGGTATTTTGTGAAGAGTTCCCCCCGTACGACGTTGTCCGGGGACTACTAAATTCGTCATATCCGTGGGGCGTCGAATGTTGCCTAGATGATGATGATTGTTCTTCATGGCCCTCTAGGTAGTCTCGAGCTCTTCTCATGTTGGAAGCGTTGTAAGGTGGCGACGGTGATCTTGGGTGATGCGACGATCGGTGCTCTATGTGCCTTTGCGGTCGAAAACCACCCTCATGCAATGAGCGAAGCGCCCGTTGCAGTGGCTCTTCACTCCGAGGACGTTCAGTTCCAGGCGGCTATTAGAACATATCAGCTTTGGCCTTGTAGATAGAGGAGGCGGGTGCTAAAACCTAGCGGTAAAAGCAGAGCTAGATAGAACGAACAACTTACTGAAGTGGGTAGGTCATGCTCTATACGCGTCAACTTTCGGACTCTATTGGCCAGCCTTCCCAAGTCCGCGGCAACCTTTTGGGGTGATGAGCACGAGTCTGTACATGCTTGTTCCTGGCAGTCCGGTGAGCAGCAAGTAATTGTCCCTGCTGCATGCGCCAGCTCAGGCCCGTGACCGAGACGCAAGTCCAAACCGCTATGCGGGAGACTGACCCGTTCAGTATCTCGGCAATGAACTGAAGGATCTTCTGTAATCGGCTCAGTTACGAAGACTGTCTTGGAAAGTGAGTATTGGCATTCCCGCACACCAATGAAATGGGAGCATCATGCGCCGGCTGTATGTCGGGCACCGCGCTTCCGCTTAACGCGCCAGATAGGTCAAAGCTAAGAGAGTTGTCATACCTGCGTGACTCGATGGCGGGATTTTCCTATGCCGGTGTTGGAAAACATCGTAGAAAGACCGGGCTCTGGGTTTCAGTATGCCTAGCGACACGACTGCCCGTACGGACGGCAATTGCTGCGTACAATTCGAAATTACAAGCTCTGCTAACGTGTTTCCGGACGAAACAGGGCGCGGCAGCAATCTTTGTTGGTCCAGGACGTAATCGCCGTGAGTATAGTGGCCGGCTCGTGGCGGGAGCGGGGATGGGTGCTGATTGATGAAGGCTGTAACATTCGGGCCGGCGCGCTTGGGCTGCACATCAATGGCGTTTCCATCCTCCCAAGGTCGTTTCCTGTTCGTGCGAGAGTCCATAGGTGAGGTTTGACTTCAAAGACCGAGTGCCGACGTTGTTGTCCGCCATTCGGAACCGTGGACTGTTGTATTAGCAGTGTTTTTAATGAGTGCTCGAATCGTGTGTCCTAGAGGACATACTCAGCGGCCAGAGAAAGCGACAGACGTAATACGAACTGGCGCTGGGTACCATTCGTGAGCTTGATCACTTTGAAATCTGCCGTGATTTCAAGATCTTGCTTCCAGTGGTTCGGCTTCTGAGACAAAAAACGGGTGGACAAGCAGGCGTAATGCCCACGAAGTATCCGGTGGCTCTTTGAAAAGAGGCGTATTAAAGAGGCCGAAGGTCAGCAATGTAGTATGTCAATGCATACGAAATACTCCGTCGGTAGTACCAACAGTCAGTCAGCGCCATTGCTACATTGACGCCTCTTCGTGCTTGATGGTCATGCCAAGTGAAAGCCAAGTTGCAAGCTAAGGAACCAACAAGAAGACGTACTATCAATGCTCTGGTAACGTCAGGCGCGGGTTGATGCAGTACTTCGATGGCGGCGTCGGAGCCGAAATGCCGATCCGTGGACGGGAAGCCAGGGACCTTCGCGAAGAATTGGCATGGACGACTTACAGCCAGCAACAGGGGAATCATGTGGGAGGATGGAGGCTGAGTAAGACGGATAGTTGATTATTGGTAATAGTGAGCGGAACTCATCCGAGATTAGCGTGGTCAGTCAGCACAGACCGTGTGAAGCTCTCTGTCACACCATCTGCGGAAGCTAGACTGGACATATCTCATGTCGTGTGATCGTCATGCGCTTGCAGTTCCACTGGGCAACTTATTGGAATTTAGAAAGTAGAAAAGGCCGACGTGAATGAAGACTTGAGCAGAGGCTATAGAGAACCTCGTATCATACTAATGAAGAGGCCGGTTGCGGAAATGTCGTAGTGTTCAGACCAAAGTAGAGTCCTCGGAGCATATGTCGATGTGTACTGCTATACGCAACCCATGTTGACGTACACAGTAAGTCTAGCTCACCCAGACAGGAATCCAACAATCTTTTGTCGCTGCGTCAACGCCAAGTGCCGTGCTTCCAAGTCTGCTCTGGCAACTTTCTTGTTTCACATCCGCCAAGCAGCATTCTGTCCATCAGCATCCACCCACTGTGTCGCGACATCCTGCGCAATCACTCGAAGCCGATTCTCGACCCAGTCTTTCTCCCTTGACACCACTTCAGTCTCAATTTTTTGCATTGTTTGCAACTCATCCAAGACCCCTTGTAGGATTGATGTGCATGCTTCGATTATGCATGCTATGCTTGATCCGGGTGTTGGTGAAGCTAGTCTGTTCAGGTCACGGGCGAGGGCAGTCAATTTTCGAGATAGCGTGGCGTTTTCGGCTTTCCACGCATCCCCAAGACCTTCAATCGTACCAAACGCCGTCTTGGCTCTACCATGGTCTTGTCGAGCGGACCGAACATCCTGGACCCAAAGAAGCCAGTGTTCGAATTCACCCACTAGACGTTGCAGTCGACCACCGGATTCGACCAATGACGGCAGTTCGTGAAGAGGCTCCGAGAGAATCTGTATGTGCTCAACAATTCCTAGAGATGAGCCGCCAGCACTCCACTCTAACAAAGACTGAAGATTCTTCTGCTCCTGTGCTGCACGTTCATTCTCTAACATGACTCCATATAAGCTAGCCACTTCTTCAAACTTTGTGTGCAAGCTACGCTTCGCGCTGATCTCCCAGCGTCTGCACACCTGCACCGATGATTCGTGCAGGAGGTGAAGTTGAAGTAGCTCTGATTGAAGACTGACTGTCTCTGGTGAAAGCGAGTACGATGGCGCTTGGGGCGCAGGGTTGATAAAAGTGGCAGTTGGGGCCTTCCCTACCTTTCGCGGTGTAAAGTGCTGTTGAAGCGTGCTGAAAGCTGGTCGATTAGTCTTCTTCGGCTCTTCTGGCCCAGCTTCTTTACGTCTCGACTGTGTTGCAAGAGGCTCTTCCGCCCTAGGCGTAGGACCGCTACTTGGTAGACTACTTGATGTTGCTGGTTTGGTCCGAGTACTGGCAGTGCGACTAATACCGGTGCTACGTATTGATGTCCTGGTGGCACCAGGGAGCGCATCTGAGGTTGTGCTGTTGGTCTTGGTGGTACGACTTGGTGCTATTTGTAGCGACTTTGGTCGTTCGGAAACTGTGTTTGACCTAGCAACATTCTGTCGTGGAGCTGATATGGTACTCGTCGATTGCGTCCGAGAATGACCGGAAAGACCTGATGGATGAGCTGGTTGTGATGTAGCAGCTGGTTTTCGCAAAGATTGCGATCGGCTCAGTCCTGCCTGTGGCCCCGCAAGCTTGCTTATTGAAGTTGGGGGTCGCATAGAACGAGCAGCACTCGTTTTTTCCGTATTTTCGGTGCGCTGAGATGATGGAGTGCCAGTTTGATACATTGATCGGGGTCGAAGACGTCCCGGTACTGCAATAGGGGCCTGGATTTCTTGTGTTGTTGATGCAGCTTCGGGTTGATCTTGCGACTCATGTAAGTTGTCTCCTGTATCTTCAGAGCCAGCATCTTGATCAGACACTTCTGGGAGTATACTCGACCGAGTATTGTATCTATGTTGACCAGGTTGGGGACTGGGTTGGGAGATGGTTAGTGAAGCCGGAAACATCGTGTGCCTAGGGTCACCCACAGTAAGCTACGACGAGTCTCCGTGTCACCTTGGAACGACGGTAGTTTACTCGATGAAGGACGCACGATACTACTCGTGCCCTGTCTTGCTGCTTGTTGATCGTTCTCAGCTGGAGTGACAGATGCAGCGGTCTACCTTCTGTTAGACGTTGCCTGCAACAGTACGGAGGCTAGGCTTACCCGGGTTCGTGCCGGCGCATGGCCGATCCTACCTATCTGCGAGCGTGGCTTTGCGTTCATCTTTGATGCAGGTCGCGGCTCGATTGTAGACGCGCGTTGGTAGCTTGGTTTGGTGTTGTTAGGTATGCACAAACACACAAAACATCGGGTGTTTACTTCCCGCCATGAGCGCGGACCATTGCGCTAACACCACATATGGCTAGAACCCTGACATATGGCAAGAGCAAGTCTGGCACAATATGGAAAGAGGAATGTCGTCAGAGTTCGTTATCTAGTGTATCTAAGCTGAGTGAGTGACCCAATGCATACTTGGAGAAATGGCTTTGTAATTCCATTCAACACGAAAGCGCAAATGATCGAAGGGCAGAATTGCTACTCTCTCCAATGTCCTCACAAGCTACCGCGGCGCGCTGGGAAAGAAACACCCTCGATAGCAGCATAGTCGACAAACCAGCTAACTCGGTCTCCACCCTTGTGGTTCACCAGACCGCATGGTAGTTGTTGACCCTCGTCGGTATCGAAAATTTGACGCATGATGTCCTTCTTTCCCCCGCCAGTTGCAACAAAGCCAATCTTAAGTCCGTGTTGCGCGACAGGAAGGGAGATGGTAATGCGCTTCGGGGGTGGCTTTGGAGAGTCGGAGATGGAAAGTACCCACGCCTCGGATTCGCGCAGGAGATCAGAGCCGGGAAACAGACTGCACGTGTGCCCGTCCGGTCCGCAGCCAAGCAGGAGCAGGTCGAATAGTGGCAGCTTTACGCTATCGCGCGCAGCGAAGACACTGACGAGCGTCTTTTCGTACTGGTCCGCCAGCTCTTGTACGTCATCGAGGTACTTGACGTCGATTGGGTACACCTTGGGCGTTCCCAACTCAGACGGTATCTTGTCGAGAAGCTCCTCCTTGACCAGCCTGTGGTTGCTATCCTCATGATCAAGGGGCACGGCGCGCTCGTCGGCGTAGAAGATCTCCCACTTGTCGAATTGTACCTTTCCCTCGCCATTGGTTTCCTTGAGAAGCGCTTGCGCAAGCGTCTTGGGCAGGGAGCCGCCGGAGACGGCAACACGGAAAACTTGGTGGCGCTCGAGCGCAGCGTTTTGGGCGTCGAGAACGTAGGTGCGCAGGCTCGGGGCGAGCTCAGCAGCGCTTTGAAAAGCGTATAGGTTCGGAGGCTTGCCCATGATGTTGATGTGTGTACTTGGTAGGTGTGGTGAAGATTGTAGGAGCGCGATGGAGGGGTTCGGAGAGGTGGGGCTCCCTAGCGATGTGCCGTTGTTTCGTTCGACAGCGGGCCGGTGACGATTGCCACGATAGTGACGTGAGCAGCTTTTGCGCGACGGTGCGACCTTTGTAAAAAATTGCGCAGGACGAAATGAACAGATGGCGGCTAAGGCTGCCTATGGGATCATTCTCATGGGCGATCGGGCCTCGATACCGCGTCCATTTTGAGCCAACCGTGCAGCTCCAACGCAGATGTCACCTTGCTCGTCTGGCCTGGAGTCTGCGCCATGCTGAGGAATGGTGCATGGCATCAGGGCATGGTATCAGAGGGTTATTGACGAAGAAAAGGAACGATATCCACAGTAGTTATGTGTTCACGCACATTCAGCCTGCGTGCACTGCACATGACCGTCGCTATCAAAGTGACCAATAACGTTGTCTGGACGGCAACAGAACCATAAGTGCTGATCCAGATGTGGATAAATCACCCGCGTATGTATCAGCTGCGCGCCCATCTCGAGACAAGAAGTTTACCATCTTGACGTCGCGTTCAACCTTCGTTGAGCCAGCTGCAATCGTGGAATTGACTGCACTAGTAACTGCTAAATCGATTTTGCATTTCTCCATATTCTAGGCCTGCAATCGGATCTTGTAGGACAAACCTATGGATGCCAAAAAGCTGATCTTTCCTAGGTAGATCTAGCAAAGCACCTGGAGGTGTTCGCGCTATTTCGTGTCAAGAGCGCTATTGGACGCTGTAGGATATGCTTCAGAGCACAGTTTAGCATAGCCGAACTCCTTAAGGTTATTTTGGCCACTTGCTTCGAATTGTTATAGTACTACTAAGTCAATGCGACTTGCAGGAGCTATGCCTGATTTCTCGTACGAGTGTGTCTTGGAATCGAACACGATCGATCTGAGCAGGTTTTCAATTCTGGGTCCCATATCAAGTTGATCACTAGTACACGCGCGGGGTCATGGCTACGACCGATGTTTTCTGCGCAAACCCGCAAATCACTCGGTATTTCATCCCCAGAGAACCTTTCTTATGCGCGTGAAAGACGCCATTTGTCACGTTACGGTACTGACGGGTGTGTCTGGCTTCGAAGCCCAGTGTCCGTCGCGCAGCATCGGGCGAGCAGGGCCATGAGAATGTGTTGCTTTTTCCTTCCATGTGTTGAAAAATCGGTTCTCTTTGTTGGCGATGGTAGCCTGGCCCTGATCATATACGTGGCCCTGCTTTATGCGGTACACGTCGGTAACTCCGTTGCCCGAGGCTTTGCTGCTGCCTGAATGGAGGCCCGGAACGCACACTGGCCAGGCAGCTCAGCTGACTATACCGACGGTGGAGCTCCGGGTTGTGTAACTGGCTGGTTCTCCACAGAACCATAGTATTAGCGGACTAGACAAAGTTCAGAAGAACCACGTTTCTTTTGCACGATAAACCCTCACCAAACCCGGCCGCCCCAATCTTTAAAAGAAAAAAGGTCCATCAGAATCTTCGACTCTTTGGCCCACAATTGGGGTGGCGATTATCTAGTCACCGGGTGCAACGTGGTCGCGGCCTGGACTCTTTGGGTGTCGTTCAGCTACGGCCATTTGGTTCTAGACCGCCCCCCGGCGGGATCTTGTGTGCACAACGGTGTAATGCAGGGCTGGTGCATTGTGTAAGATGCAGCGAATCCGGCTCTTGTCTTCGCAATGTTTACCGAGAGCGTTTGCTGTTACCTGGGTCGGAAGATGGTAGCACATGTATGCAGGTCCACGACTGCATGCTGGCGCTGGGGATGATGGAACTCTCCGGAACGCAACGTAAGCGCTTGTTGGACGGAGTCAGCGGCGCCGCACTGTGATTGTAGACTTTTGGAACGGGAGTGTATCTCTCCGGCGATTCTCGTGTGACGAGCACATTGTTTGCGTTGTTGTGCATCGTCGTGCGTCGTCGTCGTTTGCGAAAAGGTAGATTAGCCTGGCAAGAGGGTGCTGTAGTCGAGACGAGAACAGAAGAGTTTATTAGTAGAGTTTGCAACAACAGCGTTTCATTGTCGTGGCTGCAGGGCTCTGGAAGTCAGTATCAAAGGTTACAGGGTCCTATGAAGTTGGCGCGGTGGTTCCCCCAGGTTAATGGGGGGTTCATGGCCTTGATCTAGACCGCCAGCCCAACGGTTCGGCCCGCTTGACATCGACGATGGGCAGCAACAGGCTGCGAGGATTGCGGTTGCAAAGTCCGCGGTCAAGAGCTACTTTCAACGGATTATTGCAGAAACTGCCGCATTGGGGTGGTTGTTGGATGAGGGGCGTGAAGGGATCGTGATGGCATGGTGATGGATAGGTAACGAAGCCGGTGCTCGGCAGCCGGATGATGATGCATGCAAGGCAGGAGGCCGCGAGCTCCGGGGAGGCTGGCGGGCGGACACGTGACACGACACAGTCACAAACAGTGATTGCAGCGGAAAGAGAGACTGTGCAGGGCAGGAGCTGTTGCTAGGCGACACGCACACAGTCAGCGCCGGTGACGACGCGTGCGAGGCTCGGCAGGCAGTAGGCACCTCCTGTGAGCTCATGCAACGGCAAAGGCAAAGGCAAAGGCAAGTGCAAGAGGTAAAAATGCCATGTTGCAGCTATGCGGTTTCATCGAGCGATGAGAATGTTAATTATCAGTGTGATCTCGATGGGTGCCGGTCGCTATGCTGTGGGCGGGCAGGATTGGCTCGTGTGCGGGGGGGCAAGGGCAGCCACGATCGGGACCCAGTGGCCGATCGCAAACTGACTGTCTCAGCTCGGGCAAGGCCTGCAAAGCCTTCGGACCCAGCGTCTTGGGTGATTGAACTCACGTCCACGGCCCAAGCCATGCGCCAATCAGCCCGGCGCACTGCCCCGCCCAGCAAAGGGCCTGCAACTGGCCGATCTTGCATCGCTCGATAGCCGTACGAGCATATAGGCGACGGCGATTCCACATACCCAGCAGTGATTCAGACACCCGGTCATCCTACTCAAAGTCACCTACAAGCCCTATCATGAGCGCAGATCACCTAACACCCGAATCTCTCCCCACTGCTCCTTCCTGCTACTTCAGCATCCTGCCGGCCGTCCACTTCTCTCTCGAGACTCCCTCTCACAGCCCCATCTCCGACTACCAACCCTACACTCCCTCGGACCCCACCCATCCGCTGCTGGCCTTCCGCCCAGCACCACCTCTCTACATGACGAGCCCTTCAGACGCATCGCGTCTGCTGCAGCTGCAAACCCAGGCCGCCCACCGCCCGGCCCCTGAGCCCATCCAGCAACAGCGCACCTCGAGCACCTCGTCTTCCAGCTCAAACAGCTCCACCTCCAGCATGGGTCTTGGCTCCCCCTCAACTCTCTCCTGCTGCCGCTGTCGCCGCGAGTGCCTGGCGAACATGTACCAGATCGGCACCAACCGCTACTACTGCAGCCACTGCGCACGGATGACCGGCTACAGCGCTGGCTGAAACCCACCACCCAGCCTCCTATCTACTTTCTCTACACTATTATTGCCTAGCCAATAACCGCGACTACCGACAACCACTCCCGTCGCCCAAACCATTACACGCATACATAGACATCCGCTGTCACCCCTCGCCTCTATCGCCGTTTTGCTTTCACGCCGCGGCCGGGAGCTCCACAGGAGCCACGGGGAAATGTACCTGCAAGATTGCCCTTTGGCACATCTCGCTGAAGACGCCCATGGGCGCACTGTTCGCCTTGTCCGAATTGCCGACGTCTCGAGGACATCGGCCAACAACTGGCATAGTCAATCGCACTATGAGGAGGTAATCATGAAGCTGGCCTTTAGGTTACCACGCTGCAACAGCTGGCCTGCACGGCGATTTGAGCATATGATACCCCATTTGTACAATATCCTAGCATCAGTCGCGCAATGCGCTAATAGCAAATACGATTTTTCGCACCCACAACATTCCACGCTATGCATCGTGATCGTTTATTTGCCGCTTCAGTTTCCCCTCGACCTTCCGGACTATAGTCTTCTAACCAACATAGCCCTAGGCTGTTTACGGCACGTTTTCATGCTCGCCAAGGCTCTCTCAATATACAGCAAACTGCGCAGTACGATCCGACGATCTTCGGAAAATGCAAAACCCCGCGTGCACACAATCCGTTGTTTGCTAGTTCCCAATCACGTATAGCGTGAACTGTTAATCTGAACCTCGTCCGTCGAGCGCGCGGTCTTGTGACCTCCTGTCTTAGGAATTTACTACCCAACGCGGATAACAATAACCTCCATGTAAAACACACATCTTTCGTATTGTCGCACATGCTAGCAAAAGTCAAACATTGCGCAGAGTCAAGATGCAGCCTCAGGATCCGCTTGTCCCTTTCCAATCTGTCCTCCGCGGCGCACGACCCCCCGCTGTCATCCAGGCGTGTGGATGACTTACTCAGTCGACATGCGATTTTGCAATGTCCACGTCGGATCTTTCTGGGGATCTACCAGTCTCCTCTTTTTCCGCGTCAGCACTATTCTATTTGCAGTAGGGGAGTCGAAGGGGCGGGATGACATCGCTCGATGCCATGCGCCAGGCACGATGCAGGGCACGCTGATCCCCATGGCTGTAATTGTGGGTATGGGTTTTGTTGGAAATGCCATCGGCGGTCGATGGCGCGCCAGACGGGTGATGCACGGAGAGTTTGTAATTGACCGGTCAATAGCGTCTGCTTTCTTCTCAAGTGGTCGCTCGGTGGTTTTGTCGCACATTAATCAGGAGAAAAGAATACGTGGGGGGCCCCAGAGCCATGCCTTGAGGATCGAGAGATCGTGAACGCGCATGCAAAAGAACCGTTTTACGGGGTAAACCGGGTCGAAGGCCGCTGGATTCTGTTGGCTGGGTGAGCTCTGAAGTTTACTGACCCAAGGTTCCTGGACTGTTTGACACATGCGTGTGGCTGCGTCGTCTTTGGTTCGGCAATAAGGTTCGTTATCAGTATCAGTTATCAACTTATCGGCCATGGAGAGCGCGGAATGATGCCTGCGAGGTTTCCTCCAGCATCATCCTGCCTATTTCCCGCTGCGCGAACATCATCGTGATGATCTCTTCGCATACCCAGCGGAACGCCGTTTCGCATTGCCAATCACGCTACTTTGCTCCAAGGAACATCCATAAGGTCACACACCCCGTATTCCCGCGATCCAACGCCGCATCGGCCTTGTTCCTCTTAGCGTCGGCACTAGCTGCACATAACGTCTGGCATGCATCGACGATGCTGGCATGACATCGAAGATCTCCCGTGCATGATGCAGTTTGCAAGCTTTCTCCCGTCCACCGTGCACTTTGCTGCCACGCCCTTGGTGGCTGAATATGCGACTCGCGTTGTTTTCTGTGGACCAGCATCGGATCAGCATGGCATGAGCGATGGTCAACGTAAACATATGGGTAGATCAGTCGCCTGCGGGTAACGCACCCGCGGGTTCCTTGTGGAAGCATCGACGATGACGGGCAAATCATCAGGACAGACCATCCCGTCCAACGTGTGTCATCCCGTTCTCCCTTCTTTCGCGGAATGCGCAATGCTTCAAAAAGCATCGAACGCTGCGAAAGCCAACCAGGATGACGAGAGCCCCTCGTCAGGCAAGGGAGCTAGCCGACACATGCCATCCGTGCACACGGAGAAAAACCGACTCCGCTATAACCGTTGCGCCATGAAACCTTGCAAAAGAACCTGCTTTCTGGCCGCTCCGCTGCGTCTAGACCCTTCAGACCCTGCCGGGTAGCTTGACGTAAGCCCTTGCATCCTGCGCTATATAGTGGGCTACTCTCACGCGCTGTCGCGTGCGATCGGTTTGACACCTGAGGATCACCTGTTTCTGGCATCTACGGACCATGTTGCTGCGGGAAGGTAGCAGTAAACACCGGGACACGACATGCCAGTTGCGTGCGCTCGATGCCGTGCAGCATCATATCGCGATATACCGGAAGACTAGGTATTATGGGGAAGAAAAAAGCCTGCAGTCACCCACCCACTTCGCCGACTCCTATTCCGTTGCCCGGGGAAAAAACACACGATGTGTCTTCATGGCGTAGTGCAGCAAGATCGATCGATGCTGTCAATGTAGCTTGCAATGTCGACGTCCAGTTCCCCACGCTAGCAATTTTCTCTTCTTTTCACTTCTGTAACACCGGAGTAAAAAAGCACATGTCCGTTCCCTTCGCTGCATCGGAGAAATCTGCTGGAGATCATGCTACTCGGACATTCGGATATGCTTTCTTCTCGAAGCGCTCTGTGCGCGATGAACAGAAGGAACGGCAGAAAGAATACCACCGCGAACACTATCTAATGAGCACAGCAAGCGGGTAGCTATGACAACCCGAAGGATTGACGTCGTTCCCAGAACAAATGTACATATGCTAAACAACATGTTATTTTCGTTGCGGACAGTTTTTATCCCGACGCGTGAGCCGCAACGCTCTTGGTGAGATCGATCGATGCACCTTGCGTCGAGCAGACTGAACGTCCTTGCAATCTCTTCGCTTCGAGCTGTTCGTCGATCTGATCCACTCGCTGGCTGGACGCTGGCTGCCAAGAATATAGTCGGTCAGACTGGATATGCACCAGTCTGACAAGGCCTTGTCATCGTTACGAGCACCACGCAATGATGTCTCTAATTCTATGAAAGCTGACGAACGACGGTTGCAGACTGTAGAAATTGTATTAGATACGCTAGAAACATAACGTTCATTCGTCATATGAATGCTAGACCACGTTCACCGTACATATACCGCTCGTTATCTATGGCCACATAATGCCGTTTCCATCGAAGCTAACTCCACTGAGGTCAGTCCTGACATCAAGCGGGTAGTCAGCCGTCTTGAGGTCTCTCCTCCAGGACTGCATCCTCTTGCTGTGCGCCCTCTCGGACACGCTCAGCTCACGTTTGGCCATGCGGGATGTTGAGTAACCACCAAGGTCTCCAGCGACACAGTGACTTACGCCACCCCAGGTCGAGTCAGCCACAGCCTTCCAGATAGCAGTCACATCAACTGTCATAGCTTTGGTATACAGAATACGGCAGTCAGAAGGCTCGTAGACGAATTGGAGAGGGGTGTTTGTCTCATCTCCATCGCGGATGCCGTCACGGAAGTTGACGTTGATAGCGTTGTTGGAAGAGCGGTAGAAAACTGTATTGTCATAGTACTCGCCTAGTTCAGTGGTGTTGAGTTGAGCACCCTCTTCGGGTGTAGAGAGCTCCTCGACAGTGTACTGGGCGAGAGATTGGATGTAGTTCCAGGGGAAGTTGTTCGTTCCCTTGACACCACCGACGGCTTGGGTGATACCCTCACGTGGGCGACCCCCGAGAGAGATATACTTGACGCCGGCGCGTTGACGCATGAGTTCCGAGAAGATGGTACAGGTTGACGCGCAGTACCCATCGGTAACGACGACAACGTCCTCGGCGGCGAAAGGAGCCTGGGTGTAGTTTGAAAGTGGACCATAACCGTGGACGTAGATACCGCCCGAGTTTAGTGGGATGAGTGTATCACTGAGATTCCACCGGAAGAGGTTGGTGAAATTGTCGCCCTTTTGCTCGAGACCAGGGCCAAACTTGTCCTGCCAGCTCTCGAAGTTCTCGCTGTTGACATCAAGATCAGATCGGTAGTTGAAGACAGACGAAACCACACCATCAACCAGCTCAGCAAGTGTTTCGTTCTGGCTGTCGAGCACGCGCGGTACACCCTCAGCAGCTTCAGAGAACTTGCGGTTCAGAATCTCGGTGGCCTCGAAAGCACGGTAACGATCAGCAGCCGCGTGGTCGATGTCTTGTGGGAAAAGAAGTTTGTACAAGTCGTAGCCGAGCAGAATGGTTCCACCTCCGTTAGCAGAAACATCAATAACGAGCTTCTTCTTTCCGGCAGACTTGGCCGCGGCGAGGAAGTTGGCAGCAGTAGCTTGGAATTCCTCCTGTGCGTCGATACCGACGAAAGATGGCACGGAGAGTACAGCAACATCGGAGTAGTCGTCCTCGAGGAAGTAACCGCCAATTAAGTTATGAGCTTCGCGGAAAACTGGTGGTGGGTATCCAGGTGCGGGGATAGTGGGCACCGGTGTAGCCGAAGTAGTAGCGGAAGGTGTAGGGGTGGCTGAGGTCGAGTTGGAAGGCGTTGGCTCCTCAGTTTGGGTTGGGCCAGTAAACCAGAGTTTGTACAGGCTCTCTCCGTCGGTGATACCATCGAATGGGATCAAGACTTTAGCAAAGTTGTCGTAGGTACGGCTGGTACCGTTCTCGAATGTAAGCTCGGTAGTGGGACCTGGGTAAATCCAGCGACCACGACCAGAACCTGCAAAGGTACCGATACCAGATCCGACAGGGCCAAGAGACACGGTCGCGAGCTCGTAGAAGACGTTATTGTACAACGCATCTCGGTCTTGGAGAGATCCATACTGAGCCCAGTTCTCCAGGAAGTCTTTGGCGTCCTCGCCATCAATATGTGTGATGGGTGAGGGTGTGAAAGTGGCGCTGCCGAGTGACTCGGCCAGTACGTCCGCATAGACATAAGGCTGAGGAAGCTCCTTTCCGTCGCTGGACACAGATACAAGCGGCACTGGACGGGCGAAGTTGAAGACTGTGCCTACAACGTCAGGGACGTACACAAAGTGACCATCGTGGGTGCTTTGCAAGAGAGTGTAGAGCTCAAATCCGAACTATCCTGGTTTAGCTCATACTCTTGATATCAGATCATGGACAGAAACTTACCTCGTACTCATTCTCATACGCTCCAGAGGTAACCTTGGCTCTGATCTCCTCGAGCTCGCCCCAAATGTCGACTGGTGGCTGCACCTTCTCGGCATACTCGGCTGGAGGGTCCTTCAGCCAGACCGTGTTACTCTGCCATCTGAAGTAAGGAACAACGCCGTCTACCAGGGCGAGAGCAGCGCTCTGGTTGAAGGGGACAGAGTTGATACAATCCCATGCAAGCTCAGCAGGTACAGTGGCAGTACCTGCAGTAATGTTCTTGCCGGCAATCGCAGCGCCAACTTGGGCACAAGGACTTGCCGCATTGTATTGTCGCGCATGGACGTGAGGTGCAACTGGCGAGGAAAGCGCAACTGAGGCCAGCGAGAGGCCCGCGACGGCATTGAAAAGGGAAGCCATGATTTCAACCCAAGCAACACGACAAACAGCTTAAAAAGCTAATTCCAAGCTCACCGTGCCATCTCGTCAATTGAACGACCTCAACCATTTTATACCTGCACAGCCTGTCCCACGGACCTGGTAGCAAACTTGCGCGTTCAAAAGGCAATAGACATCATAGCTGCAGGTGCTACCCTGTACTTGCCATCGCTAGACCCGTGTAGAACGAGGCGAACAATGCTCTGGCGAATCAGCGAGGCGGATGTGATAGGAACTAGATTAAGAGCAACGGGCCTTGCATGCATGCATAGTTGCTCAAAAAGGAAGGCCGTGGTATGCTTGGTACTCTGAGCGATTGACGATCGCCTCCGGAACGGCATCGCGGTTCGGAGAAAAGTCATGTATGTACCCCAGGGTTACCTTGATTGACTGATGGCAAGAGCTTGGGATCGGAAGAGATGCAATGGTAATACTGCGACCCTGCTTTACACGCAAAAGCCACTTAGAACGTTGAATTGCCCGCCGTTGTAACGCCGATTGAAGCTTCGTGGAGTTGCTGAAGCTTTACACGCCTTGGGCCTCGCGACGCTAGTCGACTTCGCTACGCTGGAAGAGGCAGGCGCGAACTGCGAGGTGCCGCTTCGTCCTATCAACAATTTGAACATTCATCCCCGCTCTTGCGATATCAGTTGCCGAAAGCGACTTGGTCGTTCGGGCATCCATGAGTCATGACGGAGATGCAATGCATTCGTGTGGCTAGTAGAATGTAGTACCGCTCGACCAAGAGAATGGCACTAACTCCGCAAAGACCAAACGGCGACATCTCTCTCTCGAGATGACGACATTACATTTCCGGCTTGCGACAATGTATGAAAACACAATAGGCTTTGATATTCAGACTGACGCTCAGATCCGTCGCAGTCCGAACTGTAGGTTCCCAGTCTTAGATGAACAAGTATAGATTGGCACGGCCTTAGATTCGACATCTTAGGTACCAAGGTACTCGCGGTGAAACCTCCAGCACAACATCCTCGATCTGAATCCAGAATTTCAGTAGCTCGTTATATCAGTAGCTTCTTGTATACAGCTAGCAAGAGCAAGGTATCAGATCGAAACAAAGAAATTTGGTTTGCCTGTCGGTCACATTGAAACGACGCTCGTGCTCACACTATACGGTGTTATTTGTGTACAATGTGTGAAGACTATATGGTGACATAAAGGGATTTCAATTGCGCCGCAAATTCACAGTGCCGAGATGCAGTTAGCTTAATATACATTTACATGTAGCGTATATAACTTCCCGGTCAGGTAGAAAATAACATGTCAGACTCTTTTGGACATGATATACTTACCTGCACAGTCGCGTGAGCAATATTTTATAACCCACGTCAAACCTTCAGGACCTTCCGACGATCCAGTGTGTCCAATTTGTTTCGATGATTGGAATCCCGACACCTCGGCCATTGTTCAGACTATATGCCGCCATACCTTCCGTCACTATTGTCTAGCGAGATGGTTATATGGAATTGGCAGTGAAGCCTGTCCAAACACATGACCAGGCTGTCGTGCAGTGTGCTTTCCAAACCATTCAGAACAGGAAGTCTACCATGTCGACTTCGATTTGAATCCCGAGCTCTGGGCTGATTCGAACTACGCAAGTAATGACACCTTTGATGCCATAGCTACACATATCGACGGCATAGTTAGGCCGCTCCTGAGTCTCGACACAATCTGGGCGCGGTTCGGTATTGACCTCGAATGCTCAGAGGATCCTTCGCGCTTCCTTCAGGCTATGCGCCATACTGTCTCTACAGTCGTCGCCGAAAGTCGAATCTCGCCGAGTTCTCACGAAAGTTGGATGTCTATGTTGGCGCTCAACCTCAACGACCGGCTCACGATTGAGTTTCTGGTAATGTCACTATTTATCAAGACGCAGTGGGCGCTGATGACACCGACACAATGGGTCCATATACTTAGAGTACGGAATCGAGTCGGGCGTGATGCGTCCCGTTCGACAGATATCGGAACTTCCACAGCTACTGCTTGGTTGGATCACATCAACGACCGCTACAAAGTGCGGTACGAAATCGAAATTCCCCGTTACTTCGCAAACGCTACTGTTGCCCATTGGAAGGAGACTAATACAGCAGGTCAGGTAGTCAACGAAGGTTCTCACGATTGTACAATAACTGACGGCAATTCGACGACTTATATCAATGTCCAGGGTACAGGTTTGAGTCCAGGACCGGTATTGTACTTCCGGAACGAATCACTCTGGATTTATGAGAAAGTGATCGGTAATATTGTTGGGTTCAACATTGATGAACACGCACGTGTTGTCATTGTGCGTGGCTCCGCTGGTCATACGTTCAAAGTACACTTCCTTCAAGGTGAGCGGGGTGAGATTGCTACGACAACGGAACGTGAAGGTATACCCTCTGCATGGGATTGGTAGCGTGTTAATGGACAGAATAGAGTAAAAATCTCTACGCTGCGTCGTTGTGAGAGGTACGTAAATACATATCTACAAGAACGAGCTGAAGTCGCAAACACGCTAAGACGTTCCCCACCAGCGCCCGTGGCACTCGTACTTTCCCCATCGCGTCTCTGTTCTAACCTTAGAACATACCGACCCCACAAACCACGGAAATGAGAATGTTCGACTTTCGCTCTAGATTCTTTCACTTCCACTCGTAAAGTTGCGACACGTTGTGGTAGGTGTTAGCGCCCAAGGTCGGCTATTTCTACACATAGCTCTCCTACTCCAGCCAGCTGTGACAGCCTACCTCCACCGAATAGACAATATGAAATATAGCGGGTAACTTTTTCACTCACCATAATTCTCCGTACATGCTGGAGCTAACATGGCAGGCTGTACTTCGTTTCTAATCCGTCTACGAACATCGACGCCTCCCTTTCCACCGTGAACACCCTCATTCAAGGCATCGAGACCAGCTTCCAAAACGCCACGCGTCAGCAAACACCATGGTCGCTCTCCTACCGCGCATTTCGCGATACCATACCTCCAGGCTACCAGCCACCTACGGGCGCAGACGGTAAACCCAAGCCATATACACATTCATACCAGCACCTCCTCCATCTCTCGAGCCTTTCGCCTAACCGCACATATGTCTTCGCGCAACCGCTAGCGCAACAAGAAACGATCACGTCGATACCGCTGCGACAACAAGATGCGCATGCTTCGATACTGCGGTACCAATGCTCCGCTCTGTGGACGCCGAGACATATACTCGCTGTGCGCGAAGGGACGTCTTATAGTGCAGGTTTATGTACGATACAGATTGGGGAACTACGAGCAACACGCGAAGGACCGCAATCAGGCGCTGTGTCTTCGCCGGGTATCGTGGTCTACATCAGCACACCAACGGGCGCTGAGGATGCAGACAACAGCATGAACTCAGGTTACGACACAATGGGAAACGGTACAGCAATGGATGTGGATGAAGAAGAAGTCGATATCGAATATGCGCAGACTCTAGTACGTGACTGCTGGAGTACGATCAAAGATGGGCGCGATCTGGGCCGGTCAGAGGTTAGGGAACTCATGATGGCTCCAGTTACAACAAACAACAAGGGTCGGGAGCAGGAGGCAATAGTGCGCATGTGGTGTGAAGCTCTACGCATGCGCGGTTGAGCATGTCGACCCAATCTCGTTTTCATCTTATTTATTACCAGATACCCAATGCATTAAGATACAGACTGAGGGTCAGTCGCAACGTGAAATCAAATCGTGACACATGCAAGTAGACGTGGACAATGGATAGCTTTACAGTTCGACAGATTATGCCAGGCCTACCCTACCCAGACACTCGTAAGACCGTCTAGTCTCATTCCCTCCTACCAATTCCCTAGGTATCCCTACAGGTATCTAAACTACAACAACGTAAAAAGAAAAAGCGAATGAAGAAAGAGAAGAAAGCGAAGGTGGTAAGGTCAAGTATTAAGGCAACGTTTCGCGCACATTCAGATTACAACACATAGTTGAGAATCGATCCCTAAAGCTGGATCAGCTGCGCGCCATAAACCCCAGACCGGACATATGCAAAAGAAAATTTGTGCGAAGATGAAGGTAGTAGTAACAACCAACCAGTAGATGAGTGGAAAGTATCGGACAATGAAGAAGATACACAACATCTACGATACGCTTACTGCGCACCGACCTCCTCTTCGGCCCAGCCAGGAAGACCACCGTCACCCTGGATGGCAAGACCGTAACCACCGTTACCACTGCCAAAGCCACCGATGCCGGAGCTCAGGCTGCCAAAGGAACCCTGCTGGGGTGCTTGAGTTTGCTGCATAGAGTGGTTGAAGGGACCTTGAGTGAAAGCAGGAAGGCTGACGGCACGGGAGTGTTGACCACGAGAGTTGAGGTTCGAGGGCGCAAGGAGACCACCAACAGTAGTAGTACCAGAGCCACCGGCTGAGGTACCGTTAATCAGGCTGAAGCTCGAGGTGCTCTGATGGGAGCTGTGAGAGTGGTGTGGCTGAGGGGTGTTCAAGTCAGCGCCGTAGAATGCAGCTTGCGGCGACTGGAACGATTGCTGCTGCTGTTGCTGCTGATTTTGCTGCTGTTGCTGTTGCATGCTGGCCTCAACCTGTTGTTGCTGCTGCTGCTGTTGCTGAGCTTGCAGGTACATCATGAGGGGATTGTTGTTGCCAGAGTTCATGATGTTACCTGAAGCAGGTGCTTGAACAGAGGGAAACTGTCCGTTAGTGCTTTGGCCAGAGCCTGGGGCGCCAGAGCCAGTCGGCGAGACTGAGGCACCAGCACGATTAGGGTGTAGTCCGTTGATCGGCGATGGTGACTGAAGGCCGTCGCTACCAGCTTGCTGGGCCTGAGCCTGCTGGCTGTTCATCTGGCGGGGAGGGTTACCGCATCGGTCCTTTCCGAAGTTGACCTTGAATCGCTTGTATTCATCGCGACCACGGATCGCTTCGATTGCCTTGATAGCATTGGCAATGTTGGTGAAGTTGACAAATGCACAGCTCTTCTCACGCAGAGTGTTGACCAGCTCGATTTCGCCATACTCGGAGAAATCCTGCCTCAGACGGTCCTCTGTCCAGGACTCATCCAGGTTGCCAATGTATACATTACGGGAAGCACCACCACTGACAGCAAGGGCAATCGCCGGGGGGAGAGCACCAGAGTGTTTACCCCAACCAATCTTCAAGCGACGGTTATGGATCATCAGTCCCTGCAGGTTGCTGAGGGCATAAAACGATGCGGCCGATGTTGGGTCGATGAAAGTAACGAAGCAGATATGCTTGTCCGGGATGTACCTAATGTGATGAAGGAGACCACCACGAACAACGTTGCAGATCTCTTCGATGGTAGTCTCCGGGTGGATGTTCCCAAGGTACACTGTTCGGTTACCCAAGTTATTGACTCCTCCAGCAGACGTCGCGACAGCGGCAGCAGCTACGGATTGCTGAGCAAGCGCATTGGAGATCATATCGCGGTCGGCACCGTTCAGAACATGGGCGTATCCGGGAGCGATGCCAAGGTATTGCGCAGCGTTCTGTTGCTGGGTCTTGGAAACGTATGCGCATCGGTCCTTGCCATAGTAGACGCGCCTGGGAGCCTGCCACTTGGGCTCTTGGGGAAGCTGAGAAACAGCCTTGATGGCATTGCCAATTGACAAAAAGTGAACGAAACCGATAGCCTTCTCCCGGACGATCTTGACAGTGTCGATTGGGCCAAATTTGCTGAGGTCTTCGCGAAGTTCATCCTCGGAAACATCCTCGGACAAGTTGCCCAGGTATACGTTGCGGGAAGCGCCTGACTGCTGTACTGCCAAGGCCACAGATGTGGGAACCTGCGACGGTTTTCCCCATCCAATCTTAATATCCTGGCCTCTGATTGATAGCTTTTTGAGGATTGCGTCAGAGTGGAAGTGGGTGGCGGAGCTGCTGTCGAGGAAGGAGATGAATGCGCAGTTCTTGTCTGGCAGAAGCCTGACGGACTCGATTTGGCCACTGCGTACGTGGCCAAGGATCTCCTCTGCGGAAGTCTCAGGAGGAATGTTGCCCAAGTATACGGTCCTGCTAGTTCCGGAGACGAGACCAGGCGCGATCGGCATGGAGGAGCCAAGTCCACCAAGACCCTGCGCGCCGTAACCAGGGAAACCTCCGGTAGGCGACTGCGGACCACCGAAGAAACCGCTGGTGGGAGACACCATGTTCTGGTAAAGCTGCGGTGAGAGGGGCTGCTGCAAGGGGCTGCCAACATGGTTGGACTGGTGGTTCTGCTGCTGCGATTGGTTCTGACCGGCGAACTGTGCAAAGTTCTGGAACTGCGGGGAAGCGAAAGCGGAGGGCGAGCCTGGCTGGAAGGGGCTACCAAGAAGCAGCTGGGACGGAAGCAGAGGAGTGAAGTTCATGTCGAAGCCGGTGCCTGGGGTTTGCAAGTCGTTGCCGTTCTGGTTGCCCGGATTAAGTCTTCCAGTATTGATGGACATGTTGTTTGCCCTCTCCGGGTGTCGGTCGCCATAGCCGGGCTGGTTGGTCGCAAAGGCGCCGTGGGAAAAGCCGTGGTGGCCACCGCCGTTCATCTGCCTGTGGAAGCTTGACTGGAGACGGGGCCCGCTAGGAGCGTTGGGGGCGCCCTCGTGTTGCTGCATACCGAGAAGATGCGGGGGCAGACTGAAGCTGTCCCGCGCGCTGTGAGATAGAACCGCCGTGGTGAAGGTGTATTATTGCGTCCGGGACTCGTTGGACCGGACGGCGAAATATGTACTGCAGAAGGTGAAGTTGCAACCGGTTGCAGGGTGGTCGCTAGGCTTGCGAAGATGCTGCTGTATTACAAGATGTAGAGCGGTCTGGAAGTGTTAGTCCCATCTCACAGTGCAAAAGACATGGTTGCGGAGACGTACATGCAAAAGCACAATGGCAACGGGTTGTTTGCAGGTCTAACAATACAAGACAGGCTCCCAACACAGGCAATTGCAGCCCAAATGATCCAGGTACAGACGTCCAAAAGGGTACTGTCGCGGGCTTGAATAGTGAACGCAGCGGGGACGCAATTAAATGCAGTGTGCCAGAGTTGCCGAAGAACAAACTCGCGTGGCTTGTTTGAGGATGCGTGCACTAAAAGAGCGAACAATAAGAATGAAGTGCAAAGAAGCAAGCTTTGCCGGGAGCCTCGATGCGGGGAGAAGAGGAGGTAATGAACGAAGGGGATCGAAGAAGAGGGATGCGACCTGAAGTCGGAGTGGAGGAACGAAGAAAGAGGTCGGTGAGAAATGCTAACTAGCAGGGCACATTAGGAGGCAGGCGCAAATGAGGCAGCCCAAAGCGGACAGCTAGCGCACCGCTTATTTTAAACGCGCAGACCACGTCTGAATCGTGCAAACCACCGTCGACACCAACCGCTGCCCTGCAGTTCTCTGGACCCGTAGACGCCTGTGCGAGGCGGCGTGGTATTTCGTGCAGCGACGCGCCCCAATGCCTGGCGAAGAGGGTGTTGTGCTACCGGCGGTGCAGCTCGGAGCCATCCAGCGGATGCCGACGACGGGTAATTGCAGATATGCACACTCCGTCCCTGACTAGATGAGCCGCCTGATAGTGCTGCTCTTAACACGGGTCCCTTTTTCCTTTGTCGGGCGAACACGAAAGGGTCCAGATCGTATTGCGGCGGCTCCAGTTCCAGACGTAAGGATGGCCCTTAGTGCCAGCCTGCCCATCGCCTCGTCTCAGCAATCGATAGATACATAACGTTTCCACATGGTCTGCTTCCGGCGGTATACTACCGTGCACCGTCGCCGTGTGTGCAACAAACATGGAGCTCTCCCCATTATGGGTATCAGATGTCAAACGTGATTATGCGAAACCTCCACGTGTGTCATGCCTGCCAACCCCTGAGTTTGCTGACTTCTGGAATGACGTTTGCGCGTCCGTTTGACGCGTTCTGTACATGCCATACGTAGACGCTTCAGCGACCTGGGTACAGGGATCGATTCTAAGCGAGCACGTGACGCCGAACTACGAGCGACTGGTCAATCTGTGCTTTCCGACGATCGTGCATCCACCCGCTGTCAATTCTCCCATGGCAGAACTGTATCCGTCCATTGCGCAGTGCGCTGTTGTGGCTACAGCGCTCAAGGTGCTGCTATTTCCTGCTTAGTACGTTTACTTGCATAATGTCCATGTTTGATCCTTCGTCCATGCTGACCATATCCGGCAGCAAGTCGACCGACTTCGAAGTTCATCGCAACTGGCTCGCTCTAACGCATTCCCTGCCCATTAAACAGTGGTACTATGAAGTCAGACACCCAGGCCATCAACACCAGTCAAGTAGTTCAGTCTAACCCTGTCCACAGAGAACCTCAGAATGGACTCTAGACTATCCGCCCTTTTTCGCCTACTTTGAGTGGCTTATGTCTCAAGCCGCTGCATATGTCGACCCGGGTCTACTAAACGTCAAAGATCTGGGATATGACAGCTGGCAGACTATATACTTTCAGCGTACTACAGTCATCGTTACCGAGCTTGTCTTGGTATACGCTTTGCATCTGTACTTATATGCCACCCTGCATGATATTGTCATTGCTAAATGCTTACCAGCTACGTGAAGACATCAAAGTCCAAGGTGACTGCCCATGCCGCTGCACTCTCCGTCTTGCTGTCTCCAGGACTCCTAATCATCGACCACATCCACTTTCAGTACAATGGCTTCCTCTACGGCATTCTTGTACTGTCTATGGTCCTGGCCCGGAACAACTCGACACTCTTATTGTCTGGTCTGCTCTTTGCAGCTCTTCTGTGCCTCAAGCACATATACTTGTACCTCGCACCTGCTTACTTCGTTTACCTTTTGCGCGCTTACTGCTTAGGACAGCGGTCGTCCTTCCCGTACTTTACTATTCGGTTCTTCAACTGCGTCAAGTTGGGAGTAGGTATCGTTGCTGTCTTCGCAGCCGCGTTCGGTCCATTCGCGATATGGGAGCAGATACCGCAAGTGTTCAGTCGCTTGTTCCCATTCTCGCGGGGTCTATGTCATGCGTACTGGGCGCCAAACGTCTGGGCGATGTATTCGTTCTCTGATCGAGTTTTGATTTACCGTATGCAAAACTCCACCATCTTGGTGTATCGGGCTAACACATGCAGTTGCCCCGCGTCTTGGGTTACGCGTTGATCAAGAGGCAGTGAACAGTGTCACTCGAGGTCTTGTTGGGGACACGTCCTTCGCGGTGCTACCAGATATTAGCCCTTTGATCTGCTTTCTTCTTACACTTGGCACACAGATAGTACGTATACTTGCGGAGCAGGAAATTGATTGCACTAACCTCACTCAGCCTGTTCTCTTCCGCCTCCTATACAAACCCACCTGGGAGGCCTTTATAGGTGCTGTGACGCTTTGCGGCTATGCATCTTTCTTGTTCGGCTGGCATGTTCATGAGAAGGCGATCCTGCTCGTCATAATCCCATTCAGTCTGATAGCACTCCAGGATCGCAGATACTTCGGCGCTTTCCGACCCCTAGCTGTCGCCGGTCACGTATCGCTTTTTCCTCTACTGTACACGGCAGCTGAGTTTCCTGTGAAGACAGTCTACACTATCTTCTGGCTTGTACTCTTCCTTATCGCGTTCGATAGGCTAGCTCCTGCGTAGGTGCCGTCTAGTCTTATTCGATCATACACTGACATGCCATAGTTCGCCCAAACCCAGGATCTTCTTGCTTGATCGCTTCTCTCTTCTCTATATCGCTCTTTCAATTCCACTGATTGCATACTGCTCTTTGGTTCACGGGATAGTGTTTGGCTCTCGATACGAGTTCCTGCCGCTCATGTTTACGAGTTCGTACTCAGCAGTTGGTGTGGTAGGCAGTTGGGTCGGCTTTTTGGTAGTGTACTTCGACTTGTAGATATACTCATCTCAACTATACCTCCAACACAGCTCTTCCAACTCCTATTGTTTCAGGTCAACGACCTCCCACTAAAGGCTATCATGCCTGCGATGTTATCTAGTCGTTGACTTAGCTTTCGTCTCATGTGCAATGGCACAGAATTGGATGACGGTAGGTGAAAAGTAACTGAATTGTGATTGCCAGATCACGCTCAGGAGCATAGCGGATACTTCGGAGAATCAAGTCGGATCGTATGCTTGACTGCTGTTTAGCAAAGGATAGACAGGACAACATCAGTCAGAAGTAGAGGCCAAACAAACACCCCGGAGCAGACTTGATATTGCAAAGATATCGTGACTGATGCCTGAATCTGTACCTGAAATCATGGCCTCTGGCGTGCGGCTCGAGGTGGGGGTAAAGTTGGTGACTTGCTGTGTCTGAGCAAGTGGGTCAGGCTGCCCCAAGGGTTTGCTTGGGGTGGCTCAAGGCATGGGCTTCTCATGGCCAACCTTCACTTGATCTTGATAAAACAAAAGGGTCATCACAGCAAAACAAAACGATGCATACGTATCGCAGTCTGAAAGAACTCGTTTTGAGGGTTTCAGAGAGTCCAAACACGTTGATATTTTGATGGTAGTGGGGTGCGTAGCTTTGATGCGTAGGTGGTAGGGTGCGAACGCAGTCCTTGCCGGATCAAGTATGGTATCTAGTGCCAAGGGACTACGGGCATCTTCTACTACCCTCCGCTCGCTTTTCTCCCCCATTGACTACTCTTCGACTAATTCTCTCCACCCTACCTTCCACCTTCGCAACTATCACGCCCTCGACATCCACGAACTTACTTGCAAGTCGCTTAGACGCGCTTTCGGAACCGACAGACGCGTCTCGGAACGCTACTCGGACCACCGAAGACTGCGACGACAATTTCGAGAGACCTTTGTCTGGCGCGTAAAGACAGGTCTTCGCCCTGACGCCTACGGAGGGGCCATTGCCCCCGTCTCTTCCCTCAAAGTACCTCTAGAGAAGGTATTCGGCGCGTTTGGATCGTCGCGACACTTCCGAAGTTTGCGACGCGGTACAGCAAACACCAAGAAGGCTACATGAGCTAGGGTCCGAGCCAAAATGGTATGTGTCGGGTCGCGGTCTATACACGAACATATACTAAGAAGGCTCCAGGTTCTCTACAAGCGCAAGCCCGTCAAACACGAATCCCTACCCAAGAACCTCGACGACAGCACTGAGGTACGCCACATACTGTGCCGAACCACAGAACGTATTTGCTAAAGTTGCTGGATAGGTGTGGCATATCGAACAGACTGGAGAGGTCTTCACAGACTATGAGCGATTCCTTGAGCGGTAAGAAAACATATGGAATGACGTCAGGCATGAGGACATATCTGATGAAGAATAGATATGACTTTTATCAGCAACGGAGCTTTACATGCCAGGCCACTGGCCATTCAGGCTACACGTATTTCGAGGCCCAGGAGAGCGAGGTAGGCTCCACGTCAATACTCGTCAAGGCCGATGAGGAGGTAACATCCGTGCAGACGGAAGCCACCAAGGAGATCAACAGCATTTTCCCAGATGGCTTGAGGTCTCCTGTTCTTCACTATGTCCAGTTCCAAGATCATCATCGGATGGATGATTTGGGTAGGTCAATCCCGTTTTGCTTAGTCCATGAATCTTGCTAACCACTTATATAGTAAATGATGTCTACGATGTATGTTCACAAAGTGGATTCGAATCTTCACACGAGAATGCCATACTGACATGTTATTGTAGCATTTCAAGGAACAGTTCATGTTGGGCGATCGGGTTTCCGTCGAAGGCGATCACTCACGCCGCTTCGGCAAGATCACTGAAATCACGGACAATAGCCGATTACACAGCATGTTTACTGGTCAATCGATGGACGATAGCATCCGTTCTTACACCTACGTTGTCACTATGGAAGACGGGGGTGAAACTGTCACCAAATACAAGGCCTCGGAACTTCAGCGGGATCGAAAAACCTACTCCAAGCTCATCTTGAAAGCTTTTCTGCGCAATGCGCTCAAGCGCGAGTCGTGGATCGGTGCGCCATGGATGGTCAAGGACAGTTTAGCAAAGCGATACGACATCCCAACCAAACTTCCTGACAAGAAGACTAGAGACGCTCTACTAGCCGCTAAGCGGGCTGCGAATGCTGTACCGAACGGTGTGACCCAACCTGTTCAACAGCAATATCCACAGCAGCTGCCAAACGGTCATGGCCCACATATGAATGGTCACAGACAGCCTTTGCCACCAGGGCAAGGTCAGCCAGCCTTTGTCAACTTCTCGGCCAGCGGCCCTCCACCCTATGCGCAGCAGCAAGGCGTCATGCCTCCATGGGCAGCTGCTAATGCTACTAATCGCCCGGCATATTTTATCAACGGTCCTCCAATTTACAATAGTGGACCTCCGCCGATTGCGAATGTTCAGCCACCACCACACATCTTGGCTCAGCTGCAGCCTCACCTTGCTGCGCAATTAATGCAGATGCCTCCCCATGGTCATGGCCCGCCCATCAACTTTCCGTTCCAGACCAGCTTCAATCACCATCAAGGTCCCCGTCCGACAAATGTTCCGCAGCCTCAACAGGCACCTCCGCCGCCCCGTCCAGTGGAGTATATTAAATATCCATGCGAAGATCTAGAGATCAAGCAACCTCGTCTTCAAGTCAACCGGCCGCCGCTTAAGTTCTTCTCCGACGACGTACCCGAAGGAGTTGAGCCGCCTGCAGAACAGAAAAAGACGGGTATCTTGATGAAGAGTATCGGCCCATTACTCTGTATTTGGGAGACTCTCAACGTTCACGACACCATCTACATGCTAGACTCGTTCACTTTCGATGACTTTGTTGATGCTATGCGATTCACGCATGAGACTGTCGAGTGTGAGTTGTTTGTAGAAATGCATTGTGCAATTCTAAAGCAGATCGTCAACGGCTCTGGTAAGATTCAGACCAACCTACCCAACCTAGCCGATGAAGATTCGTCAGACGAAGAGTCGAGTGAGGAGTCAACGCCTACCCCTGAGCCTGAACCGCCAGTCCGAACTACTCGTAGTAGCTTGAGGAAGTCGGGCGCAGCGCAACTTGTGGTCAAGCCACGCACACCAACGCCTGAGCCTCCAAAGGAACTCCACAAGGCTGAGGAGTTCGTCACTGACTTCGACTGGGTTGAGCAGTGTAAGATTCGCAATTTCGCTGATGGAGGATGGCAAGCAATCGTTGTCGCAATCATTTATCGCCTATCATTCGACTCTGCTAGAAAGGAAGCTTGCGATGAAGTTCTTGCTGAGCTGTGCCCACCTGAGGAGGAGCCTACCATGGCCACCATTGCCAGTAACTACACTACGCTTGATGTGAACCTACGCATCTCGGCACTTGAAATGATTCTAAGCTTGACTGTCGTCACTGAGAACTTCCGCGATCAGCTTGTTGCTGCCGCTCAGGAGATGACACGCCTGCGCAAGGAAAAGATTGAGTATCAACGTAAACGTAAGGAGCTGGCCGATGAGCTATTCAAGTTGGACTTGGAGCGCAAGATTCATCTTCCAGCAAACACACCCGCCTCGCCTACGGATACCAAGATGACCGAAGATGCTGACGTGTCTATGACTAGTGTCAATGATGCTTCCAAGGAAGCAGATGCTGAAACAAATGGTGGCGACGAGGTGACAGCATCGAAGGGCAGAACCCGCCCAGCTAATAAGAACAAGCGCAAGGCAGCTGCTGAGGAGGCTCGTAAAGAGAAAGCCAAGAAGGCTAAGGCGGAAGCAGAGAAGACCAAGAAGCAGAAGGAGTGGGAGAAGCTACTGCAGGCGATCGAGAAGAAGAAGGATGAACTCAAAGATTGCGAGGACAACATCAATGAACTCGACGATGATCTGCGCGAGACTCTGGTACACCGTAGCAAGATTCTTGGCAAGGACCGGTTCTTGAACAAGTACTACTGGTTCGAGCACAACGGCATGCCCTTCGGCGGTGTTCCTAACAGCTCTACTGCCGAATACGGATATGCCAATGGTCGCATCTGGGTACAGGGACCGAGCGAACATGAACTTGGACCGAACCTAGAAGAGCCTGCCCTCTCCCAAGATATGCAGCGTTTTGGCTACACTGTTCCGCAGCGCAAAGAGCGAGAAGAAGGCCCGACCCACCTATCGAACTCCAACCAGTGGGCATACTACGACGATCCAGAAGACATCGACAAGCTGCTTGTGTGGCTCGACGAGCGAGGTCACCGAGAGCGTGTTTTGCGTAAGGAGCTACAAGCGTTCCGTGACCGTATCGCTGAGTACATGCTCAAGATGCGGAAGCACCTAGAAGATTCCAACAAGCCCCAGGAAGAGGAAGAGGATGACAACAAGACTCGAGTGTCGACGCGCAATAAGACCAACGCCGATAAGGATGTTCCCAAGGATCGCTGCTTGCTCTGGACCAACAGCATCATGCGTGAGGAGTTCGGACATAACCATGTCGAAGAGTACGAACCACCGAAGAAGGGCAAGGCGAAGACAGTGAAGGCAACCAAGGCTAAGGGCCGAGGACGCTAACGCAGTCTCTTGGTGCCACAAGCTCACACAAGAGGCGAAGCATAACGGAGACGACCACCGGCTTGCTCTAAACCACGGCCACAGATCACTACATATGAGCTTACGGGGCAGCAATGCCTCAAAAGCTCGCCAGCTCAGAGGAGCTACAGAAAAGAGTTGAGATACCGGAGCATATTCACGAATGATGATTCAGCATATTTTGGCGATTTACGGAGTTTCGATACCATGAGCATAGGCACTCAAAGTACATTATCGTGCATTTCCAGGCGTTCGGAGAGGTGCGTAGCCGACTGTCACTGCGGTGAGGTGGCTCGCTGGGAGGTTTGATTCAGCAGAATCTCAAATAACTGACTGCGGCCGGTCCTTTGTGAGTGTCCGTGTTTGGCGATTTGCCGAACTTGATATCCAAATGCTGTTTCCAGCAGGAGCATCTTGAGTAAATGTGTAGCACTTAGCATGTATTATAAGCGTATTGTTAATACAGTTGAAAATGCCAAAAAAAAAGTTTCAATATAACTATCGCGTGCAACGCGATGCCTGAGAACATGGTGAAAGCTAACCTTGAGACGAAGTGACGAAGACGTGTTTGTGCACGATACATAATCATCATACGAGATAATTAGTGTTCGACATCACTGGGAATCGTACAGTTTTATCAGTCTTACCATTGCAATCCATGCTTTACTTCAGTTCACGGACTGTTGATGTTTGATTGATAGCAGCTGACCGGTTGGCCATTTCGGGTTAGTACGCGATGCGCGGCAGCTTCACGCGACTGGAGCCCATCAGCGGCGCATGCCTCCAGACCCGTCGCATCCCATCAACAAGAGACATTTCCGCATCTGGAACATTTGCACCGCACCTAGAAAGATCCCTTGAAGGGATCAGAGGCACGCCGAAGCATTCCGCAGGCTTCATAGAGCTGCCAACATGGCTACGAATGGCGCGCGAAAGGGTGAGCTCAACTCCGCACCCCTCCCCGGCTCCGCTACGAACGGGACTAACGTACCGCAGCATCTTCAGCCACAGAGTCCAGAGGGAGCTCTAGCCTACTGGAAACAAGCGCAGTAAAAGATGTCGTCAAATCGGAGAAACCAAGAATCAAGTTGAAGATCAAGAAGCCGGTCCCGAAGCCATCGATCCCTGGGAATTGGAAAGAAAGCGATGCGACAAGTACGTCTGCCATAACGCGCTGTATGCGTACATGCGCATGAGTCTATGGGATTATCTGACGTGCTACTAGATGTCGAGAACAAAGCGACCGCACCATCGACTACTTCGCCAGTAATCAACCCTCTTGACGAGAAAACTATAGCTGGTTTTCCCAGCGGCCTGCCCCTAGACGACAAGGTAGACACAGTACAGTGCAAGCACTGTCGTCGACCTGTCCTCCGTGCATCTTCGGCTGCACACATTCGCGACTGCTTGAACAAGAAGCAAGAGAAGCTCAAGAAGAAGAAAGAGGCCAAGGAGGCTAAAGACGCAGCTCTTAGGAAAGAGAAAGGCGAAGACGACGAGGGTGGCAAATCACGCAAGTCAGCCATCAAGGGTGCTTCGATAGACGGCGATGGCGCAAAGAAGGGCAAGAAGCGGAAGCTTGATGGAGATGCAGAGAAAGCACCTAACGCTAAGAAAAAGAAGAAGGATGAACCCAAGCAGAAGGGAGCAAAGCCTAAGGGCCCAGTCGATGTCGAGAGGCAGTGTGGTGTTTCTCTACCAAACGGTGGATACTGTGCAAGAAGTCTGACCTGTAAGAGCCACAGCATGGGTCTCAAGCGGGCTGTCCCAGGACGAAGTCTGCCGTACGACATGTTGCTGGCGCAGTATCAGAAGAAGAACCAGGCTAAGATCCAACGTACGTATTACACTGTCTCTAGCTGCCGTATATCGTGTGCTGACGCATTTCAGGATCTCTTATCGACGCAAACGCGCCCCTTCCGGAAGATCTCGAGCCATCAGGCGCTGTCGATTCGGACGAAGAAAAAGATTCTATAATGGCTGCCCTCGCCCGACACCGACCGCGACCAATGGCAACGTACACGCATACCTCGCAACGCTCGAAGTACCAATACATCCGCATGAAAGGCATGATCCGCTCAGCACTTGGCGCACCTCCAGGCGGAGGTGGATCCATGTTTTCAGGCGGTGACAACATGAGTACCGGTCGTGGCATGGCTCTCGGCATGATGGGCGCACCACTTAGCGCAACCAACGAGCACTTCCCACAAAGCGCTGGATTCGGTGCACCACTGAGCGCTGGTCTGGACAGCGGAGCAGGAAGCAGGAGACCAAGCGCTATTGGTGCTGGTGGGCCTCGGCAAATACTGCCCGGTCAACTACCAGGTCCTGGACAACAACGGAAGGGCAGCATGGCGAGTGTTGGCGCTACCTAGGAGGATATACTACTAAAGGCGATCTTGTACAGGGGCAAGGACCACGAATCAGACGGCCAGCAGAGTTAACTAACCGTTTTTCTTTTTCTCCCAACTATGGCTGGAGGTTTGACGGAGTACAGATGTAGTCACGCTCACGGATGGGATATGATGATTACATGATGATCCTTGTATGGGTCAGGAAAGGTTTCTTGGGTTTTGGTTCCTGTATTACTATCTGGGGTTGGGAGTTTGACATGATACCCTCTTTGTTTTTACGTTCACTAGGAGACCGTCTAGAGTAGACAATGGTAATGTGATTTTATCACTTGGATTCCGTATAATTCTCATGATTCGTCGTGAAGCCGTGGTCTGCCGAGATTGAGACTATGAAAAGTTTGAAAGGCAACAAGAGAATAGGATGACCCATACACTGCGAGAGCAGTTATAATCACTCCGAGACAGAAAGACTACGACTCGCCTTGCACACCCCAATATCCCGCTCTCTGTGGTTTTGGTACCGTCATCTTGAAGTGCAAATCATCCTCGTCCTCGCCACTTCCTAGCGCATTGTCATCGTCGTCTTCAATGTTGTACTCTTCGTCGTCACTTCCATGACGATATTTGGACTGATACAAATTCCGATCAAACTCATCGTCGTCGCTCATCTCATCTTCGGGATAGTCATTGGCGTAGTAATCTTCAGCATTCTCATCTTCATCGTCGGTATCAAATTCTCGGTCGCTAGTCTCTTCGTTATCCCACCAGTCTGCGTCCTCTTCGCTGATGACCAAGAGACCGACTGTGCCTGTTGGTGCTGGGGCGTCTGGTAGAACGGGTTCGCGGACGTAATGGTCGTATACGTATTCGCTATCAATGTCCATTGCATCGCCATCGACGGTTGAATTGTCTTGGGCAGCGAGAGCTGCAGCCTTGTCTGGATGTCGTTCTGCAAAGCGTTTTGCTGGAGCTTTGGGCTTGTGTTTTGAAGGAGAGGGGATAGGAATCTCGAGGTTGTCTACTTTTTCTACCTCTTTTGACAGAGCCTCCAGGTTGCGGACATCATTTTCTGAGGGTTCGGTGACAGGGGGTTTCCGGTGTATGGAAGGCTTCGCTGAGTGGTGGAGTGCGCTGCCTGCGCCTGGTCGCTTTCGTGGTCGCTCCGGTAAAGCTTCTGGTACTGGTGCTTGCACTTGTCCACCTGTCGGTATGTCTTCCTTCTTGGTGACTTCTTGTTCTTCTACGAAATGCCGTTTTGCACCAATTCTTGAAACGGGGTCGAGGCGAAATCGTCGGGCGAGCGTCGGTGTTGGCGGTGCTGATGACGTCTGTTGGACGTCGTCGCCCGGCTTTGTGAGACGCCTGTATGCGAAGTTGCTACTCCTCTGCCGCTTGATTTCCTTTTCGCCGTGCTCGATCCTAAGGGAGTCGACGGGGGTATCGGTGCGCTTTCGTTTGATAGAGATTGTGTTGGGTGGAAGTTGTTGTGACGACATTGTGGCAGCAGTGGAGGAGGACGTGATAGCAAATGAGTAGTCCAAGCCTGGATCGATATTTCGTATAGATATCTTGGTGGTGAACGGGTCCAGCGAATCGGAGGGGCAGCGCGGGGAGGTGACATCAAAGCATTCCAGAAGCCGCGCAGAGCCCCAGTGCACTAGCGCGATCTACACCCGCGTGTCACGCCTCGAGCTCACCCACGCGATATGATCATGAGTCTTACTTGTACCCACACGACTTGAACATGTCTGCCTGTGCTCACTCGTACAGTCCTACTATTGCTCTTAAAGACGTCCCTTGCTTGTAGACGTGCACCGTTATATCCGCAACTCCGCAATACATCCCCGAGCACACCTCAAACGCGACGACGCCTGCTATCATGGATCGGGTGCGGCAGATATTCGAGCGCGAGAACTCGTCAGCCGCGTATGAACCGCTACAGGGGGGATCTGAGCGGCCAGATGGCGAGCACATTGAAGCAGAGGAACACGCATTCTCATGGACCGACTATGCCGTCTTCACGCTGCTGGGCGTCTCTATGCTATGGGCTTGGTTGGTAACCCAGACATCACGGCGTACATGATACTGACTGCACTAGGAACATGTTCCTGGCAGCAGCCCCGTACTTCCAGCGACGCTTCGAGTCCAGCGATAATCTGCTCCGCAACTTCCAGTCTTCCATTCTATGCGTCTCCACTGTAGGCAACCTAGGCTCCATGATGGTCTTGACCAAGCTCCAGGCCCGTGCCAACTACCCCAAGCGTATCATCGCATCCCTCGCCCTGAACGCCGTTGTCTTCACCTTGCTCGCTATATCCACAAAGTTCTTCTTGAACATATCCGTTGGTGTCTACTTCGCCTTCCTCATGCTCATGGTCTTGAGCGCTAGTCTGGCGACAGGGCTCTGTCAGAACGGTGTCTTTGCATACGTATCGGGATTCGGAAGAGAAGAGTATACACAAGGAATCATGTCTGGCCAGGGCATTGCTGGCGTCCTGCCTTCCATTACCCAGATCATATCCGTCCTATCAGTGCCCAAAAAGCAGCACGCCCATGGAGCACCGCAAGAGTCAAGCACATCTGCTTTCATCTACTTCCTAACCGCTACTGCTGTTTCTGCTGCAACCCTGGTAGCATTCTTCTACCTCCTTTCCCGGGCTAGCTCCAAGCAGCGCTTATCGCACGCCTCACTCAATGAAGGACCAGAATACGACCCGGCTCACAGCGAGCGCAAGAGCATACCACTAACGAGATTGCTCAGGAAGCTCTTTTGGCTCGCCGGCGCCGTCTTTCTCACTTTCACAATCACCATGTTCTTCCCAGTCTTCACGCCACAAGTGCTGAGCGTGCGCGACCCTTCAACTGCACCTCGTCTTTTTCAGCCGGCGACTTTCATACCTCTAGGCTTCTTCTTCTGGAACCTTGGTGACCTTATGGGCCGAGTAGGACCCGCTCTGCCTGCCCTACGTCTTACGCATCGCCCGCGCCTCCTATTCGTCTTGTCTATTGCGCGAGTATTCTTCATACCCTTGTACTTTCTCTGTAATATCGGTGGAAGGGGCGCCGCTATCAACTCCGATTTCTTTTACTTGTTCGTTTTGCAGTTACTCTTTGGCATAACAAACGGCTACTTGGGGAGCAACTGCATGATGGGTTTCGCAGAGTGGGTTGAGCCGGAAGAACTTGAGGCAGCAGGGAGCTTTATGTCATTGTCGCTAGTTGGTGGTCTCACCACGGGAAGCTTCTTGAGCTTCTTTGCTGCACAGTCCTCGTGAGCTTGGGCATTCTCATGAGTGTGGCTTACCCACGCGACCAGCATCAGCGGGTTCGTTGATAGCTAACGTTGAATATGAAATCTCCTATGAGCCACGCAGAATCGCTTCTTTGAATCTTCTTTAAATCTTCTTTCAACTTTGCAAAACAATGGCTACTAACATCATCTACATAGTTGTTAGATGCCAGCTCCACCTTCGCACTGCTCAGCAGAAACAAAACGGTGGGAAATTCAAAAAACCCAAATTTAGCTGGACGGAGAAGACGGCACAGAACAATGCTTTCCTCCAGCCCGAAGAGTCAGGGAGCACATACGAGGTGGTAGAACTAGAAGCTGCAGATGGCTCACGATGGAAGACCAAGCTAGTCCATAGCACGTCTTGTGAAGAGGACGTTCGTATCGCTGGTCACAGCCATATCAAAGAGGTCGCTCTGCAGCACCGGATGGAAGAAGCTAGGAAGCATATAGACGAGCTCAAAAAAGCAGAGATCACGGTAATGGGAGCTCCAAAGTCTCTATGGAATGACGCGGAACCGGATGATGACTTATTTGATAGTATCTTTTACATTGTACACAAGCCGGTGACGCTCGGTGATGGGACTAGGATCATCATGACTAGGTATTGGTGGGACGTGGTTGTTGTAAGTTTGGGGATATAGGCAGATAACCTGAATGCCAGATATTAGCAAATGCTGAAATATTCTTTCAGGTGGCTCGTATTAGTTTGTTCTCATCGAAGGCTCGCAGAATGAAGCTTGCTCAATCCAAGGTCTCGCTATAACTTTGTCCATACCCCTCCCAAGGCGCTATGGAGAAAGCGAGACGGCTGTTCACTATGCCTCCCAACTCCGTCTACCTCGTCATTCATTCCCAATTACTCCTTACAAACCCAAAAGATAAACACTGTTTTCGCGTTGTTACCGAATTGTCCAACCTCCATGCTCGCTTCACCAGCCACGACCATGGCAATCATAAATACACCGATGTTCGCGTCATAACTTCCGGGACTAGGCTCGGAGAAGAGTGGAAGGTCGAGCTCGAACACGATGTTCAACAAGACATCGAAATCGTCGGCTGGTGCAATACGCTAGAAGCCGCTGCAGAGAAGTTGACAAACAGCTTACTGGATAACAATAATGCACATGAGCAACGTACAGCGGAGGAAAATGGCGATAAGCAGAAAGTACGAGTGACATTGGAAACTTCTCTAGACGGGAACTTAACCGCGTTCTGCCGCATCAAGTCAACCCAGACGAACTTTGACGGGTCAACATTGCAAACCACGACGTCCCACTGGTATGAAATCATCCGTGTCAATCTTGAACACGAAAATATGTATGACGTGTCATGGCGCGAGAAAGCCCGTTCGTCTCACCTGGAGGCCTCGAAAAGAATTGGTATCCTCTCGATGAAGATGAGAAGCCAGGGGCTTAGTCAGTCGGAGTTAGATGAGCTAGACGGGTTGCGCAGGGGCTTGGGATACTTAGTTGTTGCAAAGGATGATTTAGAGGAAGTTGTAAGGTATGTAAGGGAAACGGAGGAGGAAAGAAAAGGGGTGGAGGAGTATATTTAGATTAAGTTTGTGCCGACTAGCGATAGCGATGGCCAGGATGAGAGACATAGGGGAAAGCGGTATGTAGAACTGGAAGTGAATGATGACATGATCATAGGGCCGAGTGGCTCGCGGTCGTGCCTCGAACACTGTGCGGATTGTTTTTTTTTTTTTTTTTTGATTGTATCTTGTCTCTTTTCTTATCGTTTTGAATATTCGGACTTCTCACAAGGCACCCAATTCCTTGAGTTTGCTGATCATACCGTCTACATCTTCAACCTTGACACCGCCCTTCCGTGGCGGTGGCTCGGTAACCTTGACCGTCTTCAACCTGATCTCAGTGTCCAGCCCGTAGTCGCTCAGACTCTTCTTGTCCAGCTTCTTCTTCTTCGCCTTCATAATGTTGGGTAAACTGGCATACCGGGGTTCGTTGAGGCGCAGATCCGTAGTGATGACCATGGGCAGCTTGGCCTTGATAGTTTGAACACCACCATCGACTTCTTGTACTACCTCGACAGTTTGGTCGTTGATTGTGACTTTGGACGCTTGGGTTGCTTGGGGCCAGTTCAGCAGGCCTGCGAGCATTTGTCCTGTTTGGCCGGCATCGTCGTCAATGGCTTGTTTCCCTAGGATGACCAAATTGCTCTTTTGCTCATCTACTACTTTTCGCAGAAGCTTCGCGACACCAAGGGGTTCCAGGGCGTCCTTTTCTTCTACAACTACGTGTATGCCTCGGTCTGCGCCCATGGCCATGGCTGTGCGGAGAATATCTTGAGACTTGGGAACTCCCGCAGAGAAAGCGACAATCTCTTCTACGTTGGGGGCGTTTGCATGGTGGGCCTTCTTTTCGCGCATGCGGACTGCTTCTTCGATGGAGAGTTCGTCGAAGGGGTTCATTGAATGTTTTACGTTTGCGGTTTCTACGGCGGTTTGGGCGCGGTTTACGCGAGGCTTGACCTTTTCATGGTGTCAGCATACTAGCCGGCATGGGGGCTTGTGTGCTCATCGTCTTGAGCATCTCGTCTTCGAACACCATCTTTCAGACACCCAAGCTGAACACTCGAGCGTCATGTCTAAAAGTTGGGTCAATGAACGTACCGCATAGTCAATGACCCGCTTAACGGGTACTAATATCCTCAATCCTGACATGGTGTTTGTTTTGCCTCTTTAACACCTGGCAGCGCAATGTTCTGGGGTATCACAGGTGATGATGTAGAAGAACCAGGGTGGGGGATAGCATCGGAGCTCGTCCTTGAGTTCGCGATACTTAGCCGAGGCTTTTTCCGATGTCCGCGTCGGCCTTGGCGGGGATCGTCGTCATATGGTGGCGCACGCGAAATACATCTAGAATACATGGAGGACAACCAGAGTGTCGTTCATACAACTAGCTACTTCGTGCTTCACATTCTCATCATGATGCTTGCAGATCATTCTCGCACGTTGTTGGTAATATCCTCTGACGGCCCCCTCAATTGTATCAACGAGCAGCGATTCACGAGTCACGAACATTCGAAGACACCACTCTCAACATGTTGCCCACTGCGAACCTGGCACCAGCTGTGCGGACAAAAGCGCCCTTCCTCGGAGTTATTACCAACGAGAAAACATCGAGTATATGTTCAAGAACCAGTTACCCCCTCGGCAAACTGCTTACAACTCGCACAAAATCCAAAAGTTCTAGCGGCGTTGTACTCCCAACACTGTTGCGCGTATTCTGGCGTCGTAGTCCCGCAGCCATCACCTAGAAGTACACAATCATATCCATTGCTAAACGCATCAGTCAGCGTACCTCCCACACACTGAAGATGTGAAGATACGCAGTCAGTGTATGCCTCATATGCGTTCCGTACAGGCACAACTTACCTGATCCGTGTTGACACCAGTAAAGAATAACGTTCTAATGCCCTCTTTATCCAAAAACTCTTTGAGAGGCGTCGTTGAACCCCACATTCCACTCATTCTGTTCTTATGTATCCAGACATCAGGTTTACTTTCTAACTTGCTGCCTTCATCGAATATGGCATCGAGTGGAGGTTGGAGTGCAGCGTTCCAGGAATCGCGCATGAGTAGTTTACCTCCCTCTACAGTTTTCCCATCCGGAAACTTGAGAGTCCCGCAGTCTGCCCCAATTCCACGGTAGAAGGACTGATTTTCCTTGCCATGACGATCCACGCTGATACTCTCTTCGTGATGCCCGAAAGCGTCCTCAGCTTTGAAGTCGACGTCTGCGGGGATAGAAAAGAAACCAAAAGCGCGCTTCACTGCTGGTGGCATTTCTTCGACTTCCTCTTCCGTAAGCCCCCAGTTCACCCATATTACTCTGATGCCGGCTTTCCGCGCCGCTGGTATGGCATGTGCGGCCAACTGTTCACAAGCAGCGTGTCCCGGACCTTTCTGGTCGCGACCAAAGGCTTCGGAGAGAAAGAAGTTTTGCATATCAATAATGATAAGGGCGGACTTTGACGGATCGATCGTAATGGGTTCAGTTGATGTCTGTATGATATGTGTAGGACCAGTAACTGGCGACGAATGTACTGACGGATGGGTGAGATCAAACCCATTTTTGGAAGAGTGTGACCAAAAGTTCGAAGGCGAGCCTATCAAGGCTTTGCGGTGTGGTTCTGTTGGTACTGTAGAAGACATGGTCGCGGCAATTGCCGATATGATAGGTTTGGGCGATCGGTGTTGATTCTGAGCGTTAAACCTATGCAACGTGACAGTAGGTTTCGAGACTCATATTCAATAGGTACTGGGAAAGCCAGCAATGATATAAGTCTTCAAACAGTCATCAAATGGTGTGGCCACTATCAGAGTGCCGGATAAGGAAGGCCAGTATCTCATCTGCCGAGGCGGGGTAGTTCGGTGTAGATCCGAGATAGTCGTTTTGTAGAGAATATGACCAAGAGGTATTTCTACATGCATATCTATGCCCCTAGACATATATTAAGATTGAGCTAGGATACGGTGTTACCGGAATCCAGCAAGTCGCTTCCTCGCGACTTGCAGGAGCTGCGACGACCCTTCTTTCTGATTGGTCGTGTTCGGAGTCTCAATTATCTGATGCAAATATCTCCTGGCTCGTTCGTTGTTACCGATGGAGTCATAGTAATCCGCAAGCTGCAACATTGAAGGTTTGTGGCCGATGACAGACGCGACTTGTTGCCACTCTCGCGCCAACGCAGCAGTACTGCCTTGTCTCCAGCTTAGCACCCAGTTGAGCGCTTTTCGTATGCTGTCGCTCTTCAAAATAGTAGGTTCTACTGTCGCCACTTCTTGGTAGAAGTCGGTAAGATTTAGTATTGCTTGTTCATGGCCGGATGCTGCTGCTTTGCTGGTATATTGCAACCACTTCTGACTTGTCCTCGGCTCAAACGCTGCAAGCTCATAGTATGACAGTGGATCATCGCCTTCAAGAGCGCCCTTTTGAAAGTAAAACTTGGCTTCTGCTTGTACTTTGGGGTCTTTGTCTGCTTTGAGAAGATAGCCAAGCGCATTCCATGGTGCTATGAGAGGCAATTTCATTGCATGCGCTGATTGTCCAGGCTGATATTTGAGAGCTGCAGTTGTGATGACTTGTTGATATGCTTTCTTAGCTTCCTGCTTTTGTCCTGCTTGCTCCAGGAAGAGTCCTCGTAGAGTTGAGATTTCCAGAACCAAGCCAGGATCCTTTTCCAGGGACTGTAGGTCGATCGCGTCGAGAGACAGACGATACTGGGCTATTTCTTGCTTTGGAAATAGTCTCGTGATCTCTTGAGCAGAACTATGGCCTGAGCCGCCAAGATAGACGGCGGTCAGGATGTGTGTTATCGCTAGAGGGTCTCCACTTTGCGCACATCCCTGAAGCAGCAGTCCAGCGGTATTCTTGTGTTGACTTGGAGGCAATTGAGCTCTTTTCGCCGCATCGCCAATATCAGGTATCTTGAAAGTGACGATTGCAAGAGACGCTACATCGTTCAGCGGCACGTTGTATTCTGCTTGTGTTAGTAACATCTACGAGTGTACGTATGGGGATAACACCCACTGTTCACTATGCGCAAGACGTTTTTGCCGTGGGGCATGGTGTTCTTATGCGCAACGAAATCATCATAGATGCTCATGGCAGTACGAGGCTCTATTTTGTGTATTCCTTCATGCTTCGTCAAAGTGTAGAAGCCAAGTCGACCGCGTGCATCGACATCAGCGCGCAACCTCGGAGCGTCAATTCTTTGCTTGGTAGCATAGTTCTGGACTCGCATGCTTGTTGCAAAGTCGCACGAAGATGTTGGATATCTCGTGGCATTGCGACGAATGGCCAGAGCGAGTTGATGCGATTGACACATGATGCAAGGTTCCAACCTCGCAATTGCTCTGGCTGAGCGTAAGGCTATTCGGGAAGCCGCCATGGTGACTCTGTGTCCAGTCGATAGAGTTGTGTGGTGGGAGATTGAGTCCACCATATGGTGGCCGCCGTTAGCCTCGGAGGTCCGCAATGACCGCGAAATCTTGGCACGCCAGAATCTTTTTGCATGTCGCGAACGATCCACAACCCAGCAACGACGAGCACAATCGCGGTTCGTACACAACGCATCCAAGCCCACAGAAACAGAGTCGCAATGGTCACTACACGAGGCGGAACGGAAACGCCAGGCGCGCCGACGCCGACACCAACACCACGCAGCTCGACGAGGAAAGCAGCAGGAAAGCGAGAACTCGAGTCGCTAGAAACACCGACACAAGCAAAGAGGCAGCGGAAGTCTGCATCTACACCCTCGTCCAAGAAGAGAACTACTAAAAAGGCGTCTGAGGCGGACGCGCCTTCGCAAGAGTCTGCAGACAACACCTCTGACACCGTCGCCATCAACGCGTCTGCAACAGAAGACCCCCAGACACCAAAAAAGGATGACCTTGCACCACTCGGACGTCGATCCAGCCCTCACGTTGTAGTCAGCAGGAAGTCACCGGACGACTCTACGGCCACAGACAGCTTCGGGGAGAGCAAAGACGAGGCCCCAGCAACTTCACAAAACCCGTCTTTCTACACACCCGCACAGCAGCCTGGCTCTGGCTCTGTATATGCGACACCGGCTACAACATTTAAACAGCAGCCTGAAGGATCACCTACACCGAAGGCCAAGACGGCAACTCGTCAGACACCCGCATCGACGTCAGCGAAGAAGGGCAAGGGGCGCCCCAAGAAGGTCGCAGAAACACCATCCAAGTTCCCCGACGAGATCCCAACGTCCTCATACGAAAGTAACGCTGCTCCGATACCCTCGCAAGATCACGTTTTTCCTTCTGCACAACCCAAGAAGGCGCACAAGCGCTTTGGTAGTGAGGAGCTTGCAGAAGCGCAAGAGTCGCTCGTCGTGAACGAGCAGAGCGATAAGCGACACGAAGAGCCTACTACCCAAATGAATCAAGTGGATGAAGACGAAGCTAGCGACTCGGACGACGAAGCGCCTGAGGTAGTCACAACAGCCGCTGCAAGTTCCAAGGCACAAGCTGTGCAAGCCGAAGCTGATCGTGCACAAAAAGCCCAGCAAGAAAAAGAACGGGCCAAGCGACAAGCGCGCGAAGAACTCATCGCCGCCCAACAAGCTGCAAAGCGCGAGCGTGAGGAGAAGAAGGCAAAGAAACTAGCAAAGAAGACTGCCAGGGAAGCAAAGACCAATGCCGACTCGGACGATGAAGAGTCTGAGCCCATGTCGCGCATGGACATCGATATAACCAATGGTCTACTACCCACATCCCTCCTCGAAACCATCGACGACCAACGTCCTCCCACACCGCCGCCCGAGCGTCGCGGAAAGACCGAAGAAGAGCTCAGGAAGGAGAAGCTCAACCATCATATCAAGTTCCTCGAGCGTGTTGACAAGCCGGCGAAGGATGTAAAGAAGGGCAAGCTCAGTGTAGCGGTGTTGGCCCAGCAGAACAGGGTGCTACCGCCCAAGGTCAACAGGAATACAAAGAATGTGCGCGAACACTGGTTAAAGGGTCGTGAAGTGGAGAAGACACGCGGGAAGCCTGGCGTTAGGTTCGGGAAGAAGATGGAGAGGAGGCCGCATGCTAGCCGGGGTTTCTTGAGAAACGGTGATGACTAGACAACAGTGTATTATCAGTTGAGCTTTAGTCGTATGCAAAAGATATCCAGTGTCTTTCGACATGTATGCCTTGGATGACGGACATTTTTTCGTCTTTCGTTCTCCTACTCTATATCCCTGTTATGCTATTTACCGCCTTCCAGGCCTCTTGGGCTTAGCGAAGCCTTTACTCTCCTCCTTCTTTTCCACCTTGAACTCATCCATGATAACCTGCTCAGTGATTTCTTCAGGATCTGTCGCCTCAATCTTCTTCTCCACCTTCAACCCACCTTCGTTCTGCGCCAGACTGACCACGTTACCCCTACTTGCCGCGTACAACATCCTCTCCCTGATCTTCGCTCCACTAGGACACGTCGATATGAAGACGATACTCGTCGCAGAGTCATCGTGGCGGTAGAACGAATACCGTGGCTCCTTTGCATCAATAGCCTGGGCGATGGTAGAAGGCGTTGCGGACGACGAAGAGACCAACTCGAGGGTCTCATTCGAGCCGTTCATGCGCAGCTGCACGAGATTATCGGTCCCACTTTGACCCAACTTCTTCAGCGCGCCACCAATCTCATCGCTAGCACGAATGGCAATCCTGCCTCCTTGGGCCAGGCCCTGACCGCGCGTCCCTCTACTCTCCAGCGCCTCAGCAGCCTTGATATCTTGCAATGATTGTTCTTCCGCCGTCAGCGGGTTTTCCGATTCCGTATGCGCAATGTGCTTCTCCCAGCCCTCCGACGTGAGCTCTGAAGCTTCGGTTGTGAAGACGCTCTCGGCAAAGTGTTCTCCGCCCAACTCACGCACAAGTGTAAGGCGTGTAGACGCGAAGAGCATTTTTTGACGTACAGGCGCAGCATTGGGGACGTAGGTTACGGCCACGAGGGACTTGTCGGGTGAAGCGAGCGAGTCGGCGCGGCGGAGGAGGATGTAGAGGGCGGCATTGGGTTGGATGTGGGATTGGAGGTTCGAGAGGTCGGCATTGAAAGTGGATGATGACGAGGATATTGTGCCGCTGGGGACAATGGTTTCGTTCTGGATTGTGGCTATGATACCGCGTTGTGATGTCGACGTTACGAGGCTGCCGAGGGCAGACTTGAGCTCTTGGGAAGCTATGAGGCGTTGTTAGTGGGGTTGTGAGGTTTGGACGCGTGATCTCTACCGGAGATACCGGACTGCATCTTTGCAAGTCTCTACTACAATGTCTTGTGTGGCTGTTGCAGTAGTCCAAAGTGAGGGTTGCAGTATTGTTGAAAGGTCGGTTTTGAATGTTTACACTGACGTTGAACCAGCGGTGATGTTGTACTATAGTGGGGCAAGTGGGCTGGAAGGCGGATGCACCTTGGCAGCCCTGCTTGTATCGTCATGCGTAATTTCACATCTTGTACCTTTGAGTTGTACTTGTTGTGAAACTTCATATGCATTTACAGGCTGAACTATGTTATCCAAAAGAGCACGTGGATATCGTGAGGCGCTTTCTAATGAACCAAAAGATGCAATCAGCGCTCACTCCTCGTATGCCCCACCAGGGAGCATATCTCTTCCTTTCTCCAACACACCCTTCAGATACTCGTACACGGTAAATGTAACGGCTTGGCCGGGAGCGACTCGCATGACACGCGGTGTGATTCCCTTGTAGAAACTGCGTACACCTTCCTGTTTCCACATGTCGCTATCGATGGTCAGCCAATTCCTATGAACTTAGATTCATTTGAGACTTACTTTCCGATGTTTACTATCCTCTGGACAGCACTTTGACCCGCTTCCGCCGGTGTCTTCTGTAACCTCGTCTTGATAGTGTCGATCGGCGCATTTGTGAACGGACCAACAGCACCACTGATCAACCCAATCAGACTCGTCTCATAACCTGGCAGGTCCGTAGTGCCGTGGTACTTTTGCAATTGCGCCCTCAGTTCCGAGTATGCAGTGAAGTTTGCCGCTTGGTTCGTTCCCTGACGCAATGCTGTGAGCGAGACACCCCGCCATAATGCGCCAGCACCTTCCTCCTTTATGACAGTGTACATGGCATGGGCGGCGTTTCGGTACTTCGGTATATCGAGCGGATCAGCCATCGAGTGGTGCTGTGCTTGTAAACGGATCTTGACAACCTCCATTGGTGTGACGACAAGGACGGCTTCCGTGATACCAGCAGCGAGACCAGCTGTAGATTGTTAGAATGTAGTCTTGCTTCAGCTGGGTCTCTCCTGGAACAATGCGTCTGCGTGCGCCGTGCGCTTTTCAAGATCGTACACGTACCCATGAATGTTGATTTCGACGCGACATTACCCTCCTTGTCTGCCAACAGCTGCTTATACCACTCGTAACTCGTAAATCGTATAGCCATCTTTGGAACAATGCCTGTGAGCACGGCGCCTAATCCCTTATATAGACCTAATGCTGTTTCCCTCTTTACGATCTCGGCTCCGGTCGTGATGAAACCACGCTTCTTCGCCTATGACATAATCAGGTCAGTGACATTCTGAATAGCGCATGTTAATGGCGAAGGTATGAGTCTGAACGTACTCCTGGTGCACGAGCTCGTCTTGACAGTTGCATTCGGACTTTGATTGTGTCTAATCCCAAATTAGTCTCAGGGCACCTGCGATGCTGGCACAAAGGATTAGAAACGTACCTAGCGGATGGCACGCGAGTGCCTCCATCATTCCAGCACCACCACCGGCTTCGTACTAAGGTCAGCATTCTATTGCGGACACATGCCCTCCGAATCCATGTCCAGAAGCTTACCGATCAAGTTTGTGGCCGCCGACGCGGGCTTCTTGCCGCCAGGCCCTTGCACCGACTTTGCAGACATGCTGTGTAGTGTTGTAGCTCAAGAGATCAGGAAGATCGGAGTTGCGCGAGATGGAGACCAAGAGGACCGAGAACTTGAGCACGTGGGGTTACACGAAGTTATGACGCTGAAGGAGCAATCCTGAGCTTTACCCTAGTTTTGAAATGGGAGCTACAGCGCGTGGTCAAAACCTCGGCTTTTCGATATGACGACAGAGGACGAGCGCTATTCAAAAGCAACAACCGTGTAATGGGTATCAAGAAGAAGACTTGAAAGGAAGTTAGGAAAGCAAAGCAAAAGATGAGCGCAAGGAAATTCGTCAGTCGTATTCAAACCATCGCTGATCAGAAGCCTGTCTACCCGCGGGTGTGAGGACAAACACTCATTTGCTCCGCCAGCCTCGGCCCTTGCGTGAGCCCAGACCGCGTGTCATTAGTGTGAACTGGCACGCGTCTGTCTGGCACCTGGCGAATATCGGGGTACCTTGGCATACCCCGGATTTTGCCTTGGGTGGACGAGCGGAAGTTACGATGCGCTGATGTCGTTCGGCCGGCGATCGGCTGGTGGAATTACGTTACCGAGCCACAGTTGCCCAGTTGTCCAAGCATTTGGCCGTTCATCATGACCTGCTTGGGATGATAGCACATGAAATACTGCATTTATGTCAAAGTTCGGGTCTCGTGTGAATCCGGGTTCACGCTTTCACAAGCTCGCGTAGGTAGGCATCTGTTCGTGGATGAGGGGTGGAATGATCAACATGTGAAAGTGTGGAAGATGACGTTGGAGGGGCTGTCGGAAACTCTCCGCTGCAGGTCCCTTCCGAGAGCGGCCGACCTGCACGTGCGCGAAGATGCCTCGGAACGTGCCTAGGTAACGAATCACTCTTCTATCCTGTGTTATCCGGGATGCGTTGAAAGACAGATGAAATGGGTATATTCGTACTACATCCACGCCCCCTAGTCGTAACCTACAATCAGATAAATCTGACCTCGTTAAACAAACTGGACCTAACCTGCATCAACGCGACAAGCTCCAGTACAAAGTTCTGCAGTATGACTACGTTCGTAATGATGTGTAGTAAACTCGCTTCTCGAATATCATCTTCTTCAGTACTCTCAGCGCCAGCTACCGCGTCGTCGGAGGGCTCCTTGGGTGGCGGCTGAAACTTCGATAACATGACTTCGACCTCCTTTGATCCAGCCGGTCGGCGGAAGCGGATACGCCTCTTGCCGAACTGACTCATCCTGATCTGTGATATGCTAGCGTCGACATCTGACATCAACGAAGGCTGTTGAACCGCGTATGTTGATGACATAGGGGACGAGGCACGGGCAGGTGAACCGACAAGTGTCTGGCCTCCATATCTTGATGGTGCGGGCGATGCGCCTGGGGTATTTCTGGCTTCGGACAGCGTTTCTTTCCTGCCTCTGGGAGACTGCGCCCTTAGAGGTGTCGTCGGCTGATTGCGTACATGTTGTGGTATCTGCGGTGTCCATGAACCAGCTGGGATATCCGAGGGACCTCGCGCGGGCTTCGACTGCAGTGTTGACATTTTCGATTCTTCCACGACGTCTTGGTGAAAGCGGAAAGCGTTCTTCCGACTAGCAACGTGCTCATCCCAATCCTTGATGTCACTACGCAGGGCATCAACTTGCGCCTGGAGTTGTCTCAGGCATGCGAATAGCTGAGGGGTAGCAGAAGATTCCCATGCCGGGAACCTCTCAGCCATGAACATGGCGCGCAGATTATCATTCGTGAACGACTCGACTTCAGAATCGTCGCTTTCAAAATGGTAGTCGGCGGGATCCACGGATAACCATCCTTCTAGACGTAACTGGGAGCAGGTGCCAAGCGTAACGATTGCCTCAGTGAGTGCTAGATTTGTCTCGACGTCGTTCGTCAAGAATCTTAGCAATAGTTCCATGAGAGACTGGAAGAGCGGATCTTCCGGAAGCAGTTGGTGCGGATCAACCTCTCTTGTTGCGGCTTCAGTTGAGTCAAAGTACCCTGGAGTCTTCGAAGACGTCGCGGGTAAGGCGATGGTCTTCAACGAGCAAGGGTGCGTCTCCAGTAGGCTCAGAGTATCTTTCAGGTAGCTCTCATACGCCTCATCGACACCGTCCATGCCAGCGAGGTCAATAGCGAGGTTCAGATACAACTCAAGCTCCTTGTTCAGGGATCCGACGGTTCTGTTATGCTCTTTATGATGCAAGTTCATTACCTTGACCAGAGATCCGAGAGCGTATCCATGGCTTTTGCTCAATATAACATTGGTCAGCTTCAATGCTGCAATGACTGTCTGCGAATTGCGCGACGCTGTGCTTCCTAACACGAGATCGACGAGGTTGAACAAGGATGGGTTCAGCTTATCGTCGTCCTTGTCGGAGGCGGTAAGGAGCATAAGCGACTGGCGCCGTTTGACAGCCGCAGGTGACCGTGGTGTCTTTGAGGATGCGTAGTCCTGGAGGGCAAGTAGATACTGGAGCATCATATGGACAAGCTCTGGATGATCCAGCGCATCTAGAATATGACGAAGATATGTGAGTACTGCCACAGACGAGCCGCCATCGGCGTCAGACGACTCAAGTAGCGAAGGATATCTGGACGGGGTCAGCTATGTACGTACTGAGGTTATGCTAGCCAGACGCACAGAAGCTGCTGGAGGAATAAAGCCTGGAAGTGATCGATCAACGTAACCCTTACGTCCAGGGATCTGCAGTGCTCAAGCACATCTTGCCAGAAAGCAAGGTATGACAGGAACGTCAGAAGATGACTCTGGAAATCGGGGGTAAAGAAGTTCTCTGCTTGCGGATTGGACTGCATCTCGGTGTAGTCGGAGAGTAGTAGGACAGGGGGCAGGTTATGCGCAGGGTGGAGTATTGACAATTTTCTAGTCAATGTTAGCTCTGTGGTCATGTATATGGATGGTGTCATGCCTGCTCATCTGACTATACAGCGCTCCCAATCCAGTCGCCATGAGCGTAGGCAGATCACTGTTAACAATCCATTGTTCCAGATCCATTGACCTAGATGCAGACTCGAATATGTAGAGCAACCCGGTGCGTGCAAAGTCTCCGATACGGCCTTCGTGGTGGACATGATCGATGAGCTGATAACACAACGGAAAGTCCTCTTTCTGCGTGACGCCGGCGAAGTCGGTCTTTTGGTTCAGCAGCCGTCCCTCGCTATCTGCAGATGTAGTGGTGAACCAGACATGCAGAATCTCGGGCTGCAACCTGATCTTGGCCGCGATGCCAAACAGCAGCTCTACGATGTCGGCTTCGATATCTTCTCCTATGCCCATGCTTCCTGACCCAATTGTGCGGTCGATGAAGTTCATCAGCGACACGGCAAAGACGTCGTTTTCGAGAAAATCCTCCTCTTCGCTGTCGATGAGCGCATTGTAGAAGGCCACGGCGTCCCTAACTGTGCCCTCATCGTGTGCCGTCGCAGCTATCTTGGAGATTGCCGTGTATATCTGCTGGGCGGCCGAGAACTGGAGGCACATGTGCGGCGCCGGGGAACGGGACTCGTCGCTGAGTATCGCTGTGAGGGCCTGGAAGCCGCGCCGGATGTTGCCCAGGGCTTCGCGGTCGTTGGCGAGGTTGGTCGACTTTTGCCATGTTTGCTGCAGCGTGTCAGATGCTAGGCAACTCTTGGTAGCGATGCAGCCATACCAGTATCTGATTGTATCGCTGCCGGAAGCGTGCCAGCCGCTGTTGGGGGTTGTTGGGGGCGGCCTGCTTCTTCTTCTGGGACGAGCCGCCGAGTAACCTCACCCACTGGCTGCAGTCAGTCCTGATATCGCGCCTAGAGCCGTGCAGAGACGTACGAAATCCATTTGATCTCTCACTCACCCCGCATTTGGGCCGTGTACGTGGGGGGTGCAAGGGTGGAAAGGAGTGATGTCGACGCGGAGCGCGCCGTCGTGGAGCGAGCTCGAAACCAATCGCGTTGCATCCTTCTCCGCAGCCCAGAGACCATCACCCTCTTTGCGCCAGCCCTTCTCCACGTCAACGTGATTTGGAGCCATGTGCTAAACTCGAATCCACCAGGGAGTTTCTGTCTTTTGCAGAAACTACCAAAATGCACGTTGCACACGCCACAGTGTGTGTGTGTGTGTGTGCAAGAAGCTATTACTGTCATATCGTTGGTAATAGCGGATCAAGGTCACAATGTGGACATATCAGAAAGGCGCCATCGTAGCAAGTCTTAATTATATTACTAGTATCCTGTAGACGAAGAGATCAAACAGACGAGAAGCATCGCAGGCTATGTGACATAAGAAGAAGACTCCAGCAACAACAAAAACACTGCTCATCAGATAGCAGCCTCCTCCTTCGTCCACTTGACCTCCTTCTTGACATTCTCACCATGCAGCGTCGGCAGGCCACTCATTCCTAACATAAAATCTCTGCCCTTGAGCATCCACACAAAGAATGACGGTACCTTCCATCCCATGATAGCGCCAACACCGCCTCCACTTCCGATTGGAACAATCATGGACTCTTTTGTATCAGGCGTGTACAATCTGTCCTGACCCTTCGGCTTCTCTTCAGGGAGCAGGGAGTTGAAGGAGAGCAGGTCGCGCTTGAGGTTGGTGGCCAGAATCGGCAGAGCCATGTTGATGTCCCAGAAGTTGTTGCGCGAGTACGATGCAATATCGCCGAAACCATAGACGCGAGGGCCTGCGATGTCGACGCGAAGGGTGGAGTTGTTAGTAACCAAGTAACCTTTTTCGTTGAGGAGTTGTTCTGGGAGCCAAGTAGAGTTTGGTTGAACACCATATGCGGGAACGTAGAGATCTGCTTCAAGCTTATCACCGTTCTTCAGAGTGAGCGATGTGTGGCCGTCTTCCGTCTGTGTTGAGTCGGTGACTCGCGTGTTATACACGACCTTTACACCAAGCGCGTTGAGCTTTCGCTCTGCTGTTCTGGCGATTGCAGGGCGAAGACCTGGAAGAAGCTGCTTGTCCGACGTGATCAAGGTAACGTTGACGTTTGGCTGCACCTTGCTGAACCATCCTGGCTTGCCGTTACGATGCTCGGCAACTTCGCCTGCGAACTCAACCCCTGTTGGACCACCACCGACGATCACAATCTTTTTCGCTGCCTTGATCTGATCGTTCGTCGAACTGATCGCGTCCACGGTGCTTCGAGCATCGGCACTCATGGAGAAGGCTTGGAAGTATGTCTTACTTCCTGTAGCAACAACGAGGGCATGGTAGCTCAACGATTCATCATCTAGTCCCTTGTTGCTGCGAAACAGCACACGCCGCGCTGATGGCTCGAGACCAGTGGCAGAGGCTTCGATGAATGTAAAGTCGTCCTTGGAGTATTGCTTGAAGCCCTCGTGTAGGTCAAACAAGACCCTGTCCGTCGACATGCGCTCAGTGGAAGTTGCCACACGTGGTGAGGCAACCCTGAAGTACCATTGCGAAGATGGCGAGATGTTGTAGACATGGTACTTGGCATCATTCCTGGCCTTCAAAGCAGGCAGAATATGCTTGAGGATGTAATGCGTTGCCTGGAGGCCAGCGCCTGACGCGCCAATAACGACGATATTGCGTTGTTCTGACATTGCTGGTCCGATTGTTTATGGTATTGGGAAGAGTGAAATGATGCGGTGCTAGATGTCGACTTTAGATATGTCTACTGGTAACCAAGAAAGGAATATTTGGATATCATGTGTTTGATGAGCTAAATGACGAGGCCGCCTTGTTCTACATATACTCGCCATTTCCACCGTATGGACACCGAGCGCCTGCGATCATACAGACAACGGACCAAATCTCTACGTAGCCCTGTACTGAAACATTGAGATTCAACCACATTAGTGTAGAAATTTTCAAAGATGCTTTCGTTGTATTGTCCGTAGCGGCGTCGCGACAGCAAGAAAGCGAGGTTTGTAATGCTAGGAAGGACCGACCCCCGGCCGGATATCTGAAGATCCGCGGTACCGCAAAGTTCGTAAGCAAGGTGCCAAGGTACCGAGGGTTCTCATTGGCCAAAGTCGTTAGGGACGCTACATTTCCGCTGTTCGGCGATACAGAAATGAGACCGAAATTGTAATTCACCCAGCTCTTATCATCTCATGCCTTCATTATTGTATGGCGTTACCGGGACAAGGTCAGATTTTGCCAAAAGTGCAACACCACGTTCGATATAGCGCCACACAGTTTCTCACGTAAGAAACTCCAGACAGGACTCCTGATTCGGTCATTCCTGGTCCATTGAAGGAAATTCTCGAGTGGCAGCAAGAGTACGCAGGTGACGATCGGGTTCGCCAAGTTTCGCAGCCACGGCTCGACAAAATCACGGAGGCATAGATATTCAAGGCAAGATCGAGGCATATCCGATTTGGACGGCTGGCTCCCGTGTTGATTCTTACGGTTGCCAGGTTCGGTATATCTGCTGCTAATGTGGGTGATGTGCTCCAGCAAACGTGACGTGCAGAAGTGCAATCGACAACCACAATAACGATGCGATGGTTCGAAAACGGGCTCAACATTGAGTGAGTTGTAGTAGCATGATGATAGGCGAAACAAGGCAGGAATGATGGCTTAAGTCATAACATTGAAGTTGGTATCCGAGTGGCTAGAAACAAGGAATTAGTCCGCGCTAGTGACACAAGCCGCCGCTGTGGCACGTCCTGCGAGCAGAGAAGTAACGCTTAACAGCTACTCAACATGTATGATTCCAACGTTATTTCCAGAACCTGCTGAGCAGCTTGTCATTGGGCTGTCTGTCACTAAGACTCAGTAAACAGCACGCACATCACTGATCATGAGCACGTGGAAGAATACCGCTTTCGCCTTCGTCGTTTGCAACCTTCATCACCTCTTGTAGCCCTAGCGAAAAATAGAAGAGCCGATACGAAGACTGCATGCGTCTGCCCAGCCCAAATTTACGGCGAACATGTTGCCAGTAAATAAGCTTTTCTAACACCCATGAACGTCATGTCCAACACCAGCAGCCTTCATGCGCCAGTAAAGACCTCCTGATCTTGATAACTCCCTACCTCCTCGCCAAGCATGCTCGTCTGAACCCAGTCTTCGGTGCCGAACCCTTCGTTGAGACCGTTGAGGTACTCGTTTGTAATTGATGACCATACTTGGCTTTGCTTTTCAAGGCTGGGACAGGTCGCTGGCGGCATCTCCAAACTCTCTTTGGATAGATTGTGAGCCATCGGCGCAATAGTAGAACCATGGTACACAAAATCGTCGTTGGTTTGGTGACTGGATATAGCATATAGGTCATTGTTCAGATCATGTAGAGCGTTTCCTTGGCTTGCGAATGGCGCGCTGACTGTGACGGTATCCGAACCGGACTGAGGTATATGTTCGTGCGATAGATCAAAGTATGAGTCATTTTCTGACGGCGTGAAGCTAGCTTCAGGAATAGCCTGCGAAGGCTGAAATCCATTGTCTCGTGCCCTGTCGTCCGCTGGAGTCATTCCTGCGATACAGCCCCACTGGCACGGCCACGAGGGCGCTGCTGGTTGTGAGTGCGCATGAGGCTCCCCAATAGCTTTCTGAGCAAATTTGGGACTTTGCTCACTGTACGCCTCATCGACGGTTATCCGAGAAGAGCCTTCGTAGGGCCCGGGTGGTGGCGTTATAGGCTCGTCCACCTTTGTGACCCTCGAATCTTCCAACTCGAATCCTACCGCTGAGTCGACCGATGCTGACCTTTCAGATCGATTCTCTTTAAGGTCTCGCGCGATTTTGATGATGAGCTCTTCAAGACTGTAGTCATTCCTTATCGAGGCCACCCTTTTGGCAACTCTGTGCAGAAAGGCATCAGAATCTTCTTGTTCGTTGGCGTAAGGAGATGGTATCGAGGCCACGTGAGGAAAAAGACGCTTATAGACCAATCTCCACTTAGCCCCTAGAGTGTCCAGACTACTATATTCCTTCTTCTTGAAATTGAGGTCGGCATCGTGAACCTCCTGTGATGAGCCATGAATTTGTTTGAAATGATCCTTCATCTTGGCAAACTCATTGAATCCCTTCCCTTTACACGAAGACATCCGATAGGTTTTCGGATCATACTTGTGAAAGGGACAAACAACACGGCTCTCATCTCCGGAACCACCGCCAACGTATTTCGACTGTACACGCTTTGCTTTTCTGGGCGCGTTGAGGTGATCGACAATAATATCCAACGGACACGTTGACTTGAGCGTCTGATTCTGCATGGAAGTTTTCCCGCGCTTCTGGACACCACTACCGCCGTGAGAAGGGTTGACTGAACGCGTCGCCCTCACTCGAGTCTTGGGATAGCTGATTGAATTGCTATGGCCGAGGCCGCGGTCCGCACCAGACCGGGGGATAGGGCTTTGCATTTTGATTTCTGTGGCAGCGTGAGAGAAGTTTTCTGTACATAGTCAGCTTTGAGAGCAAAGAAGTAGTTATAGACCACACACCGGGCAATCTGTATCAGTCAGTCGACTCTCTTCAAACGCTTGTGAGCCGTACGAGAATGCAGACGTCTTTTGTGCTCGAGTTGGTTATGCTTCGCTGCCGGTCAAAGAGCGAGACACTACAACCTCTTGCGTACGTATATCGTATGTGTCATACGTATACATCATGTGCAACGTTGATAACGTTGTTGACGATATTGATTATCGTGCCGATTGTAACAAGAATATCGCTGAGTTCATTGAGTGATCTTTGAAAAATTAATTGGTACCATTGGTAGAACAACCAATGTTGGCAGGAAACGCGACTAGTCCTCGTCTTCTCGTGTTTCGATCAACGCATTGCATATACGGATCGATGGCAAAGAAGTCGAAATGACCCTGCCATGGCGACATCTGCAAGTCCCCGACCGATCGACAGACATGTGTTTCTCGTCTCGCCCCTTCATAAGGGCTTGAACGATATCCTGTCGAAGTCTAGATAACGTTGCAGTTATAGATTGTCCAGAAGAAGCACAATTATCCTTCTCGCACCAAAGGTGTGCAGGCGTACAGGCGCTGACCGGCTGTTTGGAGTTGCGTTGGTCTTGTGCAGGAGTGAGACTTACGAGATCGAGCAAGGCGATGAGTTGGATAATGTCCCCATGCACAGCGTCAATGATATTCTCAAGGCTATTACGCGATTAGTCAAAGGGAACAACACCGTTTGACGATCATACCCGACTCGATGACGTGTTCGATGTCTATTGTATCGTTGCATGCACGACGACTGAACCAAGATCAGTGCCTGAGGAAATGATGGAAATAGGATAGATAAATGGAGCATAACAAATATACGGCTTTTTATACTTGACCAGATGCCAAGCCAGGATACGCGTCCCCTGAAAATGCTCAGGTAGGCATGAGGGGAAGCGATCTGTCGCATTTCCTACAGTCCAACTGTAACACAATTGCGGATCTTGTCCTATTCGAGCCAAGTGCAAAGACGGACCGCATGATCTGTGGAAGCAGTGGGGCCCGATGCATCTCGGGTAGCAACATCAATCGTACGTACCAACCAGGCCCTGGAACGGGGTGGAATAAGGATTAAGATGGCTGTAGTGCTAGGCAAATATCGATGACTTGTGCATGTTCTTGGCTGAACAATGGCGTTAAAAACTAATATGCAGTGCACAGAGCCGCTCTCGCAAGGAAGAGTGATCAAATCACTTTGCAAACTGCAAGTCCCTATCCAACCCTTGCTCGAGATAAGACCGCTGCTGATTTCCGCACAAGGCCCGTTTGTGAGCTCAGACCTAAGCCGACAACAAAAAAGAAACGTTATGTCTTTAGCCAATAGTAACTGATGGACGAACGGCCTAATACTAGATTGAGTTGACAAGACAAAGATAGCCCAGAGCCCAACCACGTGAGAATCCTAAACGCTGGAGAGATGACCACAGCCGCTACAATATTGGATATATTCGGCCAGAAGAAACCTTGAAGCTGACAACCAAAGTTCATGATATTTGCGATACACAAGAAGTTGAACATGAGAAGGTATATTGAAGGTATCATTCGTCTGATGCTTCAACAGCGTCTAGTCGATGTCATTATACACTATCGCTCATACCATCAGTGGAATCTAATCATCCTGGTCCCAGTTGCCAGGCTGCGCCTTTCCAGGCATCTTGGGTCCACCAGCTTGCCTTGCGACAATGATCTGGTCGACGCTTAGAACCGTCCTCGCGGCCTCGGTTGCGAGTTTGATGGCCCACATCTTGCTGACCCAAAGATCCAAAATGCCCTCTTCCTTGGCATCGAGAGTACCAGTATTGTCGTCGTTCTCGATATCGACACCGACTGTCCACTCGTCGTCTTTTCTGCCCTTCTGTGCAGCGTGTGCGACATAAAGCTTAGCGAGAACTTCAGTTGCGTCCAGACCGGCTGACTCGGCGAGCGTTCGTGGGATGACCTCGAAAGCTTCGGCGTACTTGCGGATAGAGTATTGTGCCAAACCTGATGTCTTGTCTGCAATGGCCTTGATCTTTTCGACCAGCTGCATCTCTGTTGCTCCCGCACCTGGTACCAGCCGGGGGTCGCGAGTGATGGCCTTGACCACATTTACACCATCGTCGATTGCCCGCTCTACGTCGTCGAGGTGGTTTTGAGTAGCACCACGGAGGACCAAGGTCGCGGTCCGTGTCTGTTCGTTTTCCTGTCTGAATACTGTGACGCGGTCACCGCCAATCTCCATAGTCTCAACGACGTCAATGGTACCCATCTCATCTGGCATAGGTGCACCAAGACGAGCAAGTGGAGTAGCACCGACAACCCTGCATAACCGTCGAAGCTCGAACTTGGAAAGAACCTTGATGACAAGAATGTTGTAGCGGTTGAGGTAGTGGAGGGCCAGCTCTCCGACGGTCGAGCCAGCGACAACAACCCTCATTCCAGAGTCGTGGAGCTCCTTGATGATCTGCTCCACTTGCTGCTCCTCGCCCTTTGTGAAATCCATCATCTCTTTTGCGTTGTGCAGCAGTACCGTGCCCTTGGTCTCGGTCTGTGAAATGTCCACTGGACATGAGAAGACACCGACCTTGGCCTTTGTCGCCTTTGTGACAGTACCGTCTGGCTGCCTTGCAAAGACCATGCCCTTGACGACCTTGCTCTGCTCTAGGGCGCCACCCATAATCTTGACCACGCGGACATTGTCGACATTGAAGTTGACGGGGTTCTGGGGGAGGACGGCGAGGACGGCTTCGGCGACCAGGTCAGCGAGAAAGTCTTCGCTGCCGGACTGCTTGGCTGCGACTACAGTGCGGATGGCTTTGCTGAGTTCCTGCTGCGAGCGGATGTCTTCGACCTTGTCACATACCAGCTCTGTTTTGGATTAGCCTCTGTTCGGTCTCGGGCAGATATACGTGTAGCATACCCTCCAGTGTCTGCAGAGCCGCAAGTTGTGCCTTCTCGTAACCCAAGACAATGTCACTTGTCTTCAGGCCCATCCGTATTAACTCCTCGGCCTTCTTCAGTAGCTCACCGGCCAGAACAATGACCAGATTTGTCGCATCGCCCATCTCAGCCTCTTGTTGCTGGCTGGCCATTACAAGAAGCTTCGCCGCAGGGTGTACAACCTCGAGTTCTCGCAATATGGTCGCGGCGTCTGAGGTCAGGATCATCTTTTGAAGGTGGTTTATGACGATCTTGTTGCGGCCGTAGGGTCCGAGAGAGGTCTGAACGGTCTGGGCAATAGTCCGGCAGGCATCGATGTTGCGAATAACAGCGCCATCCTCAGCGTCGTAGCTGTTGCGGGGTGGTTAGTCGAGTGTTTATTGTGATTGCGGGGTTGTAGAGGGCCGTACTTCTGGTAGCCTTGCTTGAACAAGCCGGCATTAGGGGCGTTGGGTATTGAGAGAGACATGTTGGCGGTGTGTGAGGGGTATCTTGGTTGTGGTGGTGTACCTAAGTCTAAGCTCTGCGCGGCGAGAACGCGTCCAGTCCCAAATTTCGATGCCAAGACTTGGACATCGGGGGAAGGAAATACCGACCATTCACGAGCAGTAGTCTCAAGAGCAGATCATCAGATGCTGTATATCATAGAGACATGTGTAGCTTGGCTAGAGCACCCGATATCACAGCTGTGCGCCATCCCAAGGCATGAGCTTGACCCTAGGGCGCAAGTTGAGAGTCACTAAATTGAATCCAGGCTTCACGCAATAGGCACCTCACTTGTGAGTTTCGCAGACGCGCATGGTTAAGCATCAGCGCATCGACTATTCGCTGAACTGTCCTTCAGACGTTGTTCTGTCGTATGCATCATCGAGCCCGTGGGCATATAAGAAACTCGTCGAGTGTGCAATAATGTGAGCAAAATCTATCTAGCCGTACACCTTAGGACTTGTGAAGGTACCGCTAGCGAAAAAGACTGCTCAACTTCCTCTGGGCACCGTTAAATGACCAGGATCTCATGACAGTACGAGTATGCTGGGGATAAGGAGGTGCCGTAAAGAAGAAGAGAGGTTGTTTGCGCCGAAGAAAAGTTAACTTGGGATAGCTGCTTAGGTAATGCCGCTAGACCCAAAGCACCTCCGTTCCCCGAACTTTTCTGAGATCCTCGAGATGGCAGCGGCTGCACCGTGATACTGCGGAGGGCATCGGGAGAAATGAACGCCGGACAGCAGACAACGAGGCGACTGGCCTCAAGAGCTGGTATGCATTGCAATTGGTATGCGAGGCATTTCGAGTGCTGACGAATCAAGGTCAATCAATATGCCGTTCATGTAGAGACACCATCACCCGCACATACGCATCCGCCGCTGCTGCAGCCATCCAGACCGACGACCAAGCTGCCCAACATATCCCCCCCGTTGCCCAGGCTTCGCCGTCAGCCTCTTACGCTGTCAACGCCGGAGTTGTCCTGTCCCGCCCCCCACAAATAACACGCGACCTCCACCCATTCGAAGCCGCCTTCTTTCTATACCAAAGACGTCTGAACGAACGACTTGCGCTGCCCTTCACAAGATATTTCTACGTCAAGAAACGAACACCTGCAGATCTAGAATGGAAACGAAAAATGAAGCAACGGCTGACCCCCGCCCGCGATATCGGACGATACCAAGGTTACGGAGAGGAAGCCTGGAACGACGAAGTTCTCGTGGGAGCACAAGAAAGTGATTTCGAACACCAGGTCGGGAAGCTTATAGAAGATGCTGAGCAATCTGGCCTGGAGGACGCTCCAGATACCACTGGCGCAAAAAAGATGGAGCGCGAGCCCGTAGAGAAGCCGATGCCGAGGATAACAGAGGCGGATCAGAAGAACGACACCAAGAGCTTGAACCGCGCACTGCAGAGAACACTATACCTGCTTGTCAAGAACAAGGAGGGGCAATGGCAGTTCCCACAGGATCGCCTAAACGAGGAGAACCTACACGGTGTACGTAGTACCATGTCCCTCCATAAGTCTACTGAGATGCTGACGTTGATTAGGCGGCAAACCGTATTATCACACACACTGGTGGCGTCAACATGAACACTTGGCTCGTCGGCCACGTGCCAGTTGGCCACCACCAAGTAGACTACCGCGAGCCCAAATCTGCAGGAGACCTCAAGGAGTACGGCGCAAAGACTTTCTTCCTCAAGGCACGCATCATGGCTGGACAAGTTAATCTCAAGGAAAACAAGCTTGGCCTCCAGGACTTCAAATGGTTGGCCAAGGACGAATTGCAAAAGGAGGTGGATGGCAGCTACTGGCGACAGATTAAGAACATGCTGGCAGAGCGATGATTGGCATCTACGACATGATGTACTCTAGAGTCTCACATTGAAAGTGGGTAGCTTGTTGCAATTCGTGTAGCATTATGTATAGTATCTCCGATGGAGGGCACTGCGATTAGCACAACCATGAACTCTGCTTGACTGCGCACATGCACATCCTCAGAATGCATCGTATGAAGTGATTGGTCAACTCTTTAAGCCATTGAAGCAAGTCCCGATCTTGCATCCCTTACTCACACTGCTCCCAGTCGTAGCTAAACCCCTGCTGCGCACCATAATACTGGTTTCCAAGCTCCTCACTGTACGAGTGCTCACTATCTACGACACCTTTCTGACCGTCTTTTCCTTCAACCCACATCTCAGTGCGGAACGAAAACGTCCCACTTCCGCAGTTAGACTGGGGGATGAGCTCAGGTGGGTAACTAATGTTAGAGTAGTGCTCTTGAGCGTACTGACCAGATGAGGCAGGACCAGTCAATGCAATAGTATCTGCGACCTGTTTGAGATGTCAGTGAAGTGGCAAGATGTTCTACATACAGCGTACCTCTGCTCTTCCACTCCCCTCACCCACGTAGTAAGCAAAGTCCCAGTAAACCTTTACTCCCTCATCCAACTCGTATGTCATGATTCCCTTCGTCCCATTCTTGTGCAGCCTCAGCTTATACTTCTCCGCCTCAGCAGTCTTGTTTACATCTTTGTATTCCTTGTATGATAAAGTCGCCTCGCACCATGTATGGCGGGGGCCAGCCTGAAGGTCAACACGCATCCATGGGTATGCGATAAACCAATAGTAGATTTCACTACCGTCGACGGTGTTGGAACCGAAAGTTAGGCGTGTGGTGCGTGAGACCGTGCCATTTTTGCCCGAGTCAGGACAGCCGGGACCGCGTATAGACGAGATGGTAAAAGACCAATTTGGGGGGAGGATGCGAAGGGGGTTGGATTGACCAAGAGCTGTTGTGAGGCCAACAAGAGCCACGACTGTGTTTGTGAATCTCATCGCAGAGATTGGCACTTGATGTACATAGGATATCCAAATGCACTAGAAGCGGTTGTTTGTGGAGAGTTACTTGCTCTCGGAGGTCATTTCGTCAGTCTTTATACATGCGTATGTGACTTTCTCAGCTTGTATGCCTAGGTGAGACCCGGGGGAGTCTGCCGTCACGATGTTCGAACAATCTTTTGGATACCATCCGCAATTCAACGAGTAAATTACCCTACATCGTCATACATGCAGTTCTATATTGCTATATCGGTGAACTGAGGGGGTTCGCTGTGCAGACCTAGCGCTCGCTATATCGAAACCAAGCCACGGTGATATTTGGCGATATTTATGAGGGTCGGTAGGACGTACGTGATAGGAGAAGAATCTAGGTGGCAACAATCAGAGTTCCAATTAGCTAATACTCATTTAAATTTAACTTGTGTCACCCGGAAGCCCGATATCTATAAGACCAGTGTGCTTTGGTCGCGCATATGCAGAGGCGACCCCGTTCGTATGGAACTGCTGCATCAATATGAGCATGAAAGAAGCTGTGGGGGAACCCTGGAAAAAGAGGGTATGCAGTCCCTTGCTTAAGGTGCTGACGCTGTGTAGCACCGGCTGTGTTCGTCAGCAACGTGAAACATGACGAATGAAGGCAAATCAATAAGGTAACTGCTTCTCTATGCATAAAGTAGTATGGGTGCCTTTAGGCTGTGTTGCTAGTTGTACGTGAGTAGATGTGAAATTGCTTAATGCAGTCCCTGTTGCTCAGACTGCTGATGGATTGCAGGAGGTTGCGACAGGAGAAACTCGACAAGAATGACCCAGAAACGCGCTATTGGCAAGCAATGTAGTTGATGCTACGTGGAAGATGACCAATACCAAAACCCCTTGAATGCGGTAAAAAAGCAAAATAGTTCCTAATCGCTCAATGCTCGAAACCGATACCCAGTGCACCATTGAGGTCCCGGAAGTCGCCCCTCAAGATCTCAATTCCATTACGCTTGACTTCTTCAACTAAATCTTTGATTTTTGGTGTCATGACAGATGGCTGGAAACCAAAATATTCATAAGCCGTCTTGCTCGGCAAGCTCTTGCCAAAGCGGCGCATTGAGATAGCAGCGTCGGCATAGCGCTCCCAGCCGTTCGCCGCGTAAGCTTCGATAACGACGCTAGGCTTGCCAGCTTTTGGCTTCAGTACAGACTGTTTGTAGTCACGAGTCTGCTGTTCGAACAAGCGTGGGCAAGGGAAAGATACGACACGGGCTGTTATGCCATGCTCAGACTTGAGAAGATCGCGCGTCTGCATAGCGAAGACCATTTCGGATCCGGTACTGATGAGGGTAACGTCGAACTCCTCCTCTTCCACAAAGACGTAGGCTCCTTTAGCAAAACCCGACCGCGATGACTGGTTCCACTGAGGTAGGGCTTGGCGAGATAGAGAAATGATGCTGGGCGTTTCAGTGGCCTTGATAGCAACCTCAAATGCACCGGCTACCTCCTCAGAATCGCAAGGACGCATGTATAGCAGATTGGGCATAGCGCGGTAAAGCGCGGCGAGAGCAACAGGCTGATGTGTAGGTCCGTCCTCTCCAGTACCGATCGAGTCATGCGTCGCGATATGGATTTGCTGTAAACCTTGCAACGCGCCCATACGAACAGCCGGTGCTGCGTAAAGGTAGAACATGAAGAAAGACGACGTGATTGGAAGGAAGGTGCCTTTGTTGAAAGCTGCAAGACCATTGGATATGGCACACATAGCGTGTTCGCGAATGCCATAATGTATGTATCGCCCAGTGTAGTCTCCGTTCAGGCCGCATGCGGTCTTCAGCTCAGGCTGAATGAAGTCAGTAATATGATCAGAGCTTGGTTGGCTAAAGGTTGGCTCTTACCGACTGGAAGTCCACCTTCTTCTGATATGCAACATTGCAAGACGGGGTAAGGTCCGCAGTGCCAACAAGAAAGTTGCCCATGCTCTCACCGAGAGGGTTACCAACCAATCCAGCCGACTTACGCGTCGCGGTCGGCTCACTAGGAAATTCCCCCTTCTGCGGGATGTACTTGGTCCAATCAGCAGGCATCTTGCCCGCAACACGGAGCTTAAACTCCGCAGCCAGCTCCGGGTACTTCTTCTCATAGTCGCTAACAGTGGCAGACCAGTCAGCTTCAAGCTGCTTGCCACGAGGAGCCACGTCTTCAAAGAAGCTGTACATGGCCGATGGGAGAACGTAATGTTCATCTGGGTTCAGACCGAATGACTTCTTGATGTTCACAATGTCGTCGAGCCCGAGCGCAGCACCGTGGGTCGCTGGTGTTCCTGCCTTGCCCGAGCCAAATCCAATGACGGTGCGAATGTTGATGAACGTAGGCTTGTCGCTACTTCGGGCGTTCAGGAGCGCATGGACGATGCTGCTAACGTTCGAATGGCCATCAAGGATATCGACAACATTCCAACCAGTTGCCTTCATCTTTTCGTTCATGTCTTCCCCAGCATTTGCGACATCGGCGGTGCCATCGCACGTAATATTGTTGTTATCATAGATGATACAAAGATTGTTGAGCTTCCAGTGACCGGCTAGCGACACTGCTTCGAGACCCACACCTTCTTGAAGGCATGCATCACCAATCATGCACCAGGTCATATTGTCGACAACTGTGTAGCCATCCCGATTGTATGTGGCAGCAAGGTTCTTCGTGGCCATGGCGAGACCGACGGCATTAGCAACGCCTTGACCAAGAGGTCCAGTTGTGACTTCGACTCCCTCGTTCTCGATCTCGGGGTGCCCCGGGCAAATTGAGTCATATCGAGAGCTGTGATAGGACTTCAATTGCTCTGTTGTCATGCTTTCAACTCCGACGAGGTGCATGAACAGATATTGCCACAAGCAAGCATGGCCTGGTTGAAGCGTTAGCTCACATGCTCCGTTCCAACCGCTCGTTTGTAGCATTCGAAAGCCGCAACAAGGATGCACATACCATTTGATAGAACGAAACGATCGCGGTTGAAGTAGTTGCCGTTTTTCGGTGAAAATTTCATAACATACTTGTATAGGGCGACACCGATAGCAGCCATGCCCATGGCAGAGCTATAAGACTCTGTGTTAGGTTCGAACCAAAAATGAGTGTGACTGGAGCATCTTACCCTGGATGTCCGCCATTGAACTGTTGGCAAAGATCTGCGATATATGCGCGGAAATATTTGAGTACAAGATCGTGTTTATCCGACTGATCGAGCTCCACAGCAGCAATGCCAGTCACATCATGAATCTTGGTTGCTACTGGTTTGATAGGAAGATCATTAGAGACCTTGTCGTAAAATTCGAGAGATGGTGACATGGCGGATGCAATGAAAGTGATAGTTGAGAATGTATGCTGTATAATATCATCAGCAGGAGATTCAGTCTTTAAATGTCATCGTCGTTGTCGATTACGACTGCCCAAGAGGCCGCTGCAAGCGGGCTTCATCGCGACGAGATCGATTCGAGCACTTCCTTGTGGCCGTACCGGTCACTGTAAGATCGTTGGGTACTCCATTGAAGCTCTGCCGTACAAGAGCGTGACAGTAATCACCAGAGAAACCCGAATAGGCAATTCGGTGCGCTAGCGCAGTCAAAGCTAGCTTGGCTAGAATCCGATTGGAGCTCGATGCGAGATGTCGCAGCTACCAAGTTTCCTCAAGGTCTCATGGATGCGGGGCCCCAGAATCGCGAACCTGGGGTATGCGATAGGCAGGCTGTGTTGAATCCTAATAACTAGCATGATGGCTTCTGGAATGAGAAGCTCCGTACATTTGAAGAACTGCTTACACTGTAGATGGGCGTCACTCTCCAATATGCGTTACTTGAGATGCGTCACTCAACGCCATAGCCATTCATGTACACAGTTGTAAGACGATTCCAGGAGTTTCGCATGTATCATGAATTTGTGTTGCCACCCCAGACGTTTACTAGATCATCTAGTATTGTGATCGACGGAAACTTGCTGATACTCAAGACCATCCTAAGAATTTCGAGTATTTCTGCCTGGCGATCTTTTGTCTCCGTGCACAGTGCCGCTGATACCGATTCAGTTTGCATAGTATACACGGGGTTGGGTGAACAAACCTGCATAGATAGCCTGGAAGCAAACAAAAGCCGAGGGTGAGTTCTGCGATTGCTGTGCTAATGCTATACCGCAAATTGTCGAAGTGCTTTCGCGTAGGAGCTTGAAGCGTGTCTGATACATGTTAAGACCTCCGGTAGATGGCTGATTGAGTACCATTATGATTCGTGCAAAATGGTACATCTGAATAGCAGCGGCATGCGCGGGAGGATGTATCCATATTGGCGTCAGATTCGCTTCGAGCGCTGGATTCGGTGAAGATACATGATGTCCAGATTGGATGGGTATGGGCTCAAAGCTTGGCGGTAGAAGACTCTTCCATGCGTCTAGCATCCGCAATAACGTTTCTCCTGCTTCGATGTATCCGGCGATGTCACCCTGCTTAGGTGTTGCAGCAAACTGTACGCATTTTGCTGCGATGTATATAATACGTGTAGCCAGCCCTTCTGATGTAAGTTCAGCCATCGGCACTCTAGGCTGGTGTATTGTCAGTGCCGGCCGCCCAGTACGGAAAGCCGCCCAGACGTCTTGCCGTAGCCATGCCCACCAGACTGCTCGTTGCAAGCCATCGTTAGACTCGCCGCTTGTGTCTGAATTTCGTTGTATCCAGAATGCTCCCCTTAGATGGCGATCCCAGTTACTATGATCCGAGGTGCTAGCTGTCCCAAACATTTCTTGTCTCCGTTAGTATACTGAGCAAATATCACTCCCGCTGCTCGTACAAAGGTAATACGTACCATATGTCGAGATCATGATAGCAGTGACGAGTATTTCGCGAGACTTCGTATACGACTGATACAGTAGATTCTGAGATAGGTATTGCAGTGTTTCATAATAAAATTGCTCAGCAAGCGTTCGAATTGTCGGCGATGCACTGGAAGATGAAGCGGGCGTGCCAGGCGGCGCTTGTGACGCAATATCGTTGTTTGCATCCTGATCCTGAAATAGCGCCATGTGACAGGCACCCACTGCCAATAAAGACTTCAGCAACCCTACATTATGCAAGGCAAGATGAGGCACAACATTAGCGAAATGCTTCACCGGGTCGAACAAGTCCAGTATTGGTGCTACCACGCTGACGTAGTGTTCGAAGTACACCAATTCTTGTCGTTTCAGCTCAATCTTCGTCTCTGTGTTCCATGGTTGCTCAGGTATCGCAATAGTATGCACATCGACGTTGCTGAAAGGGTTATCATTCGTTTCTAGAGAAACAGACTGTCGAGGTGATTGTCTTCTTGAAAGGCTAGCAATGTCGAAATTCCAGCGATTGCTATGCGTTTGTCCTTGCATATTGTTGATCGCGTCTTCGGCGAGTAGATCATACCTATCAAGTCTTAGTTTCTAGTAGCTTTCGTAAACAAGTTGGCATCACCATTCGACTGGTCCAAAGTTGGGGGTCAGACTATCCCCGAAATTAAAAAGACTGTCGTCAAGGAAGAAGTCGTCGTTGGGTATCACGCTCTCGGAGAGCCCTGGCTGTTCTGCGGGGAAAGGTCCCCACGATTGTATCGGTTCTACGGGCTCTGCACTTAGCGCTGAGACGCCTGCAGATCTTGGCTCGGTCTCATTATTTCCTGTCACAGAATCTGTGGTAGCTGAAATGTCGTCGGGGTTATACGCGCTTAATGCTCGTGGCCGTCGGGGTGTAGGAGCTTTTTCAGCATATACACACTCGCGGTGGACTCTCTCGCAATTTTTGCAATTTGGATGACTCTCATCGCACTTGACTTTGCGCTTGCGGCACGTCAAGCTGTTCCACTCGTTAGCATTGCGCTCATGATGCGTTGCGTTAAGGTAGCCTGGCACCTGCCCTCACAAAACACTGACGATCGGGAAGTTTGTGACTTACCAGCCTGTCGAAGTCCTCAGTCCACGTGATTTGGAGGGCATATTGATCTGTGCTGGGGCTGAAAGGCAGTGTGCGAACTGGTCGTCTCGAGCGAGGCAGCTCGATGCGGGCAGGCGAACTGAAATACCAGGCACGCGGAAGCTAGCCGCAATTGCGTGCTAACATTGGCAGAAGCTCCACATGCCCGTCGCCATCAGAGGCATTTGCTGCGGGGAACCCTGGATGCATTGGCAAATACGAGATGCTGAAGCACGGGGTGACGGGTGTCGTGGGTATGACGCGGATGAAGATCGTCCCGAGCCTTGTTGGTGTTATGTAAGCGGCGGTCGCGGCCTATCAGATGGAGACACCCTAAACCTGGACGAAAGATTGAGACTAGCGATATGTTGTAACATGTATTCAGTCTCTAGGATAAACCTACTGTGTTGTACTGTTACTCTAACGTACTATGCGCGACTCTGATAGCCTCAAGACCTTTAGCTTACATCTAGCCCGGCCTCTGATAGCACCGTCCTGTCTTCTTCCCATTCTCCCAGAACACAAGCCGTTATGCTGTTTTTCTGTCCTTTCTCACATTATGCTTACCAACGCCCTTCGGAACCTCATACATAGGATCTGACTGCGTACCGTCTCGAACTCTTGTAGTGATACCCTCGGCTTCGTAGTTGGGCTCATAAAATAGGCTAGCATTGCGAAAATGAATACCATATAATAGCCAGCGGAAGCCACGGGCGGTGGCGCAGCAGTAATCCCAAGGACTGGCCGCCTCCAGCAGCGCTTCATTAGGTCCACACTCGTACACTTGCTCCGGAAATTTTGGAAGCCGCTCAATGTCGTATTGCCTCCACGGAAACGCCCAGTAGTGTAAGATAGCAAACACCAAAGTCTCAGCGCATGTAAGCAGACACGGGATTCCAAGATGAATATCGGAAAGCGAAATGAATCGCGTTTCATGTAGTACACGAAACCGGATGAGCAGGGAAATAAGCCATGTTTGCCAGTAAGTAAGGAAGACAATCAGCTTGACGCATACCATCTTGAGAACAGGTTTGTTGGGCGCGAGATCTTCTTTGAGCTGGTCGTAGACTTGATGCATGCAATACATGGCTACAAGGATAGAAACGGCGTCGAATATGGCTGTCCATGTGGATGCGTATCGTGGATTGTGTTCCTCTTTGCAAAGCCGACCGAATAATTGCGTGACGCCGGATATGATGGTTACGATGGTTCGAAGGACAACGTATTGGAAGATGCCGATATAGTTGATCTATAGATACATCAGCGAACGTTTGAAAAATGCGGGCGGCGCTGGCGCTAACGTTGAACCAAGTGACGCCGCATCTGGGCTTCCTCAGCCAGCCTTTATGTTCACCACCACTCAGCTTCTGGACCCAATTCAATGGCCAGCCCCAGTTCTTCGGTTCGGCACTGCGAAAATAGTTTTTCTGCTCGTGAAGATTGGGTGCTATGTAGTGACACATAAGCGTGAAGAAGCTCACAGTAGCGTAGGCGGCGTAGCATTCACGGATAAGTTCCCAGTAAACCGCACCACCGAAGAAAAGGTAGGAGAAGAACGTGGTCCAAGCATAGACAGGGATGACAGCGAGGATGCGTATGATGTGTTTTTGTTCCCATGAGCGAAGGCAGTGCAGCGCGTGTTGCATGATGTGGAAGACGGAGAGGCCAACAGCTAATGAAGCTAAAGTACAGCAAACGTCGAGAGAAAGAAGACGGAATGTGACGTCCTCATCGCTGAAGGGTAGAGGCTCTTTGAGTACTAGAACTTTAAGATGGTCATTTCCACATGAACCAGCCATGGTGAAGGACGGTAATGGGCTGTGTAGACCGACGGATCCACGTTAGTATACTGTATGTTAAGGTGTCTCCTTCTCAAGACAAAAGGTTGATGCAGCAGCAGCATCAAATGTTAAGAAGTCGCAATGAGCACGTACCATCCACTCCTGCCTGACATAGCTCGTTGACCGTTTTCTGCCAGGATGGCACGAGGAAGGGTAAACTTGTCGGAATAACATCGGAGAAAGCCCAGCCCGTCATCTCGGTTCCGAGAGTTCTTCATGCAAAACTTGTATTCCTTCACGTAGCTCATCCTCTCCACATGTCTCCTCTTCTTCCTCTGTATCCACCTCGCCCTCGCCCTCTGAAGCCACCGCCACCTCTACCACCTCTATAGCCCTCATCGCGTTCTTCACCAACCTCGACGATTCTGTCCTCTTCATCGAAACTGTATTTGTACTTCATCTCAGCCTTGATACCCCGTCCTTTCCTAGTCTCGCCAGGTGACCAGTCTCTACTTGTCTCGGCTTCCAACTCCTTCAGTCTCAGTTCGGAGATCTCATCTGAAACAGGCAAGTAAAAAAGTTGAGGTTTCGCTTCTGTAGCGCTGAACAGGTCGTGGAGTGTTTTGAACGAGGCTTCAGTATCTTGCCGTGTGTCTTTTGATGGAGCGGTCGAAAGTGACGGTGTAAGTGGTTGTTGTATGGATGGCCTTCGTACGTCAATGCTTGCGCGTGGGCCTCGTGGTGCATTTGCAGGAGCGCTTGATCCGACTTCTTGAAACACGGCTGTGACTGAACCATTGCTCGATTCGGAATACACAACCTCGAATCGCTTCGGGTTAGTCGGCAGTTTATTTGCACGGGCCTCTTTCTCTGCAGCCAACGCGTCCTCTTCCTCTCTGATCCAGTCTTTTACCGTCTCGTCCGGAACGAAATCTACCCATAACTCTTTCCTGTTGCCCTCTGGTGGCCAGATGGAGCCATGGAGCGACGCTCGTACTCGTGATGCAGCGGTCTTAGTACTAAGCAGTACGAGAGCATGCGTCTTCAGCGAATCTAGGAAAAGGTCCTCAACTATGGTAGGGTCTGGTGAGCTAGATGGTGGCGAGGCAAGAGAAATCAAGTGTGCTCGCAGTGGCTCTGGACGCAGAGGGCGCATAAAGTTGCGGATGTACAAAGCAGATGTTACAGGGTGAAGTGCGGGTACTGTAGGCCTGTCGTCAGTTAAGGCTTCCTGGGGAGTGTCGTCTGCGCTGGACTTCACCAGGTCTTTGTATCGAGCAGCCTTCTCCTTTTTCTCGCGCTTGGTATCTGCCTCCACGGCTGGTGGCTGCTCTTCGACTGGTGGGGTGCGATTTCCGTTCGTTTCGTGTGACTTGACGTCTGTTGGGCTGTCGGCCTCTTCCTCCGGTCTTCTTTGCTCCATGACTGTGTCTTCATCTTCGTGCAAGTGGATTTCAGGAGCCGGTTCTTGAGCTGGCTTATGTTTCTTTGCCTTGATGTCTTCAGCTGCCATCTCCGGTGTGCCACTCCTTCTTTTTCTCTTCTTTGAATCTGCATCTAATTCCTCTGTGTTCAGCCTCGATGTGTCGATCATCGGCGACCCTGGAACCGCAAGTGTGTCTGGCTTCTCTACTGATTGCTGTTCGTCTGATGCGATTAAAGCCATCTTCTCGTCCGCTGTTGCATCTTGCAAGTCTTCGACAAGTCCAGATGGTGGCTGCACCATTCGCAACGCCTCAGCAGCCGGCCCAGGAGCATCTGGCAGCTCGTCCCCTGCAACCTGGACCTGTTTTACGTCCTCGACTTCCGCATCTGTAGGCTCTGTAACGGTTGGGCCAATGGGATCCGCGGGCGGCGCGTTGAAGACTCTCGCGGGTTGTATCGAACCGGGCTCGTCCGTATTGGTGGCGTCTTCCATAGGCTCCTCTATTGCCTTGATCTGGTCTGGCGGAGGAATGTCGCTGTCAATGTGCGAGATTGTCTCAGGGAGGGGTTCGGTAGTCGCTGCAGGTACGGGTGGTGGTTTCGACTCGTTTTCGTGGTTCGGTTGCTCTGGTTCTACAGATCGGTCAGTAATTCGAGGCTAACAATGTTGCATTCCTGCGCATACCTCCAGCCTCAGAGAGCGCGGGTCCCGGAGCATTCTCTCTGCCAGCAGTGTCGCCATGGCCAACTTCTTCCTTGACCTGCTCCACCGGATCGGGCGGCGCGTCTGCGTTCTCGGTACTCGCGTGGTGCGCATTGGAAGTTTGAGCAGAACTCGAAGTTTCAGCACCGTCTGCCTCTTGCAACTTCTCGATAATCTGCGCTTTTCGTGTCAGGCCGGTACTCGGTATACTACGATCCTTCAACAGCTGCCGCAATTGCGCGACCGTCTGCTTGCTGTAGTCTGCCATGGTCGAATTATGCACTCAATTGTGGTAAGGATAACAAAGTGACAGTCGCATAGACTTCAGTACGTCTATGCGCTTATCCACCCGATAAAAGAATGCTAGGTAAAGGAGAGTGAGAAGATGCGACAAGGCTAAGTGGCCGCGAACGTCACGCTTCAATGAAGTTCGCGTCCGTTCCAGGTAGACGCTAGTGGCTTGGCGTACATCAACGTCCCGCGCGCCACGTGGGGAGAGGGTTGCATTAACCGAGCGATCGTTGCATTCTGTCCTTTTTCTTGTGTTCGCGCTCAACTTCTCATGCCGGAGGAGAAGGACCGCATATTGTATATTTCGAAATGGTGACGACTTCACACCTGGTCGTGCGAGGGCTAGAGCAAGGAAGACTTGCTCGAACGTATGCGCGAGTCATACGAGATCTAAGACATTGGCAACCACGGGGGTACAACATGGTAGCGCACTGGCTCTACACATCTCGAAAGATCGCATGACATGGCTCTATTCAGTTATCTTGATTCCTGCACTAAGACCGTTACATATTACGCACACGTCTACTAGGTATGATTGCCTTCCAGCAAAGTGACAACCTCGATTTGAAAACTGTTGCTTGAATATTGCTTGAGTGTAGAGTGAAGCGTCTGCCAGCTCTTCCCTACTCCCTAGAATCTCTTGTCCTCGATCGAAAAACCTTAAATGCTTCACAACCTCGTCTCCCAACAGCGAAATGTAAGCACTAGAAAGAGCTCATTTAAATAAATCACGACCTCAATAATTTGGCACAATCGTGCAATGATCATTATGTACAGTTGTACAACAGGATGCTCGGCTTTACCGCATGTTTTGGTCAGCCCGTATACAGATGGCGGTGTTCGGGAACTCCATAGCCGTACTATCTGAGATTCTTCTCCGAAGGTGTCGGAGCGGGCCGGAACCACGACTGTCGTCGATCGCAAATGTGTTTAAGAGCTGCTATGAGGTTAGCCTTGATCTAAAGTGGACTCACAAAAGCCCGAAACGAGGCGAGCAAAAAGCTAATTGATGACTAGCGCGCAAGACAGGAGCAATGATGTAGATCCTAACGAATGAGCATTGGGCTGCTCACAGCCGATCTCAATATCCAAGAACGCACCATTCGCTTTAGGTAACACCTTCAGGCTTGAGTACAAGGTGTTGACTGAACTACAAAATTAACGTAATGACGAATAGCACCGTGCTAGCTTGTAATGATGAGCTTGGAAAGAGCGCACCTTTGTATATAACACTGTTGTCCCATCGTAAGACTAGACCACACCCAAGTACCCAACTCACAATATTCTCGTTATTATGGCACGTCTTTTCCTCCAAATACTGCTTGCTGCCGCGAGTCTCGTCGCTGGTCAAAGCACAACATGTCCAAATGAGGTTGCTATCTACAATCAGCAAGACCGTACCATGAGCACGATTAGCAGTGAGTATAGTCTTTATCGAAAGCAAACAAGACCGTGTACTAACATATGCTACAGGTTGGTTCCTAGTTCCTGTGCCGAAGGACGCTGTGAAGAAGGCTCTAAAGGAATCGTTCTCGAGTTTGGTCAACCTACAAGGACTAAACCTGCTGCCTCTCCCAGCGGAACTGAACTTCCCGGCTGGCATGCACCCCGTCATTGTCAATGCTGGAGCAAATACCGACATCCGTCAGGGTGGTCTCCAGCTTGCCACAGGATTGATGACTGCCAGCTCCATGATACCATATGTCGGCATCGGCAACTCCCAGACGCCACTCAATGCACCGCTTGTATCTCTCCTGGCAGGCGTGGACCCGGTGACGCAAGGCTATGTATTCGGTCTCATACCTTCTCTGGTTGGTAAGTAAACGACATTCGTGTGCTGATATCAGTTCATCATAGCTAATGCTCAATTGTACAGCCACCATAGGCGGCCTTCTCACTAGGATCGGCGCTTTCCTCCCACTAAACGCACCGCTCCAGACATACAGCGATGGCTCTTTCGGCATCAATTCAAAATGGGCACAACTACCCAACTCTCTTAGCGGCCCAGGTCTGTACGCCGAGGCTATTGATCTCAAGTTCGTCAGCGAGCCCAACCAAGCCATGCCCAGGTACTCTCTCGATATGTGGAAGAGCATGTTGAACCAACCTCTCATACTCGGCAGCGTTGGTAGCCTCCTTACCCCCAAGTGCCAGCGCAACACCCAGTTTTTCAATAACGCCACGGCACAACCGACTTTCCGCTCTGGTAACGTAACGCTTGGTCCTTCGGCAGGTGTTGATGTACTCGCTGCTACCTTACAAAAGGCCAGTCCGGATGGTTCAGGCTTTTACCAGAAAGTTTATGGCTTCACTGCCTGTGCGCAGACCGTAGGCTATGGCGCTGTTATTCCGCTAGGGGAGGACTGTGAGGAGGCTGCGCAGGCTGTTAAGAACACCCCTGGAGCCTTGTGAAGAGCAGTATTAGATCAGATCATGTCGACGAATATTCTATAGTATCCACTCTTCTTTTGTTGGCGACGTGCTAACCAAATTTCAATGCAATGTTTGTCGATTGAGACGGGAGGCAACTGCCGCGGTACGAAGATCGTCACGTCATTACAGTCGCGTTTCCAAACCTGTCGCTTTCACAGTGCACACGCGTCTTTTCCTTGACTCACTAGCCACCCTCTCCATCTTCGTGCGAGCGTACTTGTTTCGCGATCTGTCAGCCGGAAAAATCTCCGGTTCTTCTGAGAATAAAAGCTCGAGGATGCCGAGTAATGAACGTACTTTGCCATGCTGGGTTAGTGCAGCTGATTAGCACGCAAAATCTACGTCACATTGACCGGAGATGTCCAACAGCAATCGTGGGTGGCCTCTGTTTCTAGACTATTATGCGTTTCATGGTCTTTTTCCTCTGTTTTTCCTTGCGGATTTGATGTCGAACCTATATGGATGCCTGCTACCTGTCGTAATTTCACATCATCATCTCATTGTTTGAACCACACATTATTAGGAGAACTGAGTCAATTTTGAGCAATTGCAAGTCCCTTTTAAATTACGCAGCAAGAGACTATTGACTAGTATCATGGTTTCGGAAGACAACACAACCCCTCCATCAACATCGAATGCAGATGTAGATCTCGAAAATGGAAGGCGATCAAGGCCAAGGCAGCGGAGCAAATCGACGTCTGGATCATCCTCGGATTATGAAGAAGAAGAGAAGGATCTTCATCATGACGGTCACCGTCCATCGCGGAGAGAGCTTCATGAAAGCATCTCGCGCTCGCGCAGCACACGGAGCTTAGCACGAGACAAGACAGTAACAGCGACCGCGAGTGGTATGAACCAGCCATTGGGCGCCACGATTTCCAGGCGCGACACAGTACTTTCACGAATCCGTACACGACCGAATGTTGCACCATTCTCCCATCCTCTCGCACATCAACAGACGACGGCAGATGTGCTGGTAGACTTCGATGGCGATGACGACCCATACCGACCGATGAATTGGCCTACTAAGAAGAAGGTGACTACGACCCTGATGTACGGCTTTACGACTATGAGCGCGACATGGGCATCTTCTGCATATTCGGCTGGCACACGACAGATAGCAGCCGAGTTCAATGTTGGAAATCAGGTAGCTGTATTGGGTACTACGCTCTTCCTCTTCGGATTCGGCCTTGGTCCGCTACTGTGGGCGCCACTCTCCGAAGTCTATGGGAGACGACTAGCAGTCTTGACGCCTATGCTTGTCGCAATCTGCTTTAGCTTTGGTAGCGCAGTAGCAAAAGACTTCCAGACGCTAATGATTACTCGATTCTTCGGTGCCTTCTTTGCTAGCGCACCAGTCACAAATACCGGTGGTGTCTTGGGAGATCTTTACAGTCCCGCATGGAGAGCTTTGGCGATGGCCGGCTAGTAAGTTGTGCCTATACGAAATGCATGTGAGACATACACTGACTTCGTGTTTTCAAATCTGCAGTGCGATGGCAGTGGTCGGAGGTCCATGTCTGGGACCTATCGTATCGGCGGCCTTTGTCGCCAATCCTTCATTAGGCTGGCGATGGACCGAGTACTTTACCGGAATTCTTCAAGCAATCATCCTCGTCATCGACGTTGTCTTCATTGACGAATGCTACCCACCAAAACTTCTCGTCTATAAAGCGCGTCGCCTTCGCCATGAGACAGGAAATTGGGCGCTCCACACCAAGTTCGAAGAGTGGGATGTTAGCATCAAAGAGTTGTCTAAGAAGTTCCTTCTCCGACCGATACAACTTCTCATGACACCCATCTGTTTTCTCGTAGCACTTTACGCCAGCTTCTGCTATGGCATCCTCTACATGCAATTAGGTGAGTCCAGGGCGTATGAATCATATGCGAGACATGCACTGACTTTGTATCTTCTTTTCTGCAGGTGGCATTCCGATTATCTTTGGGGAAATGAGAGGCTGGCCAGCTGTAAGCGCGACACTGCCATTCCTGGGCATCTTAGTCGGCGCAATAATCGGCTGCAGCATCAATGCCTATAATCAGATTCTGTACAACAAGGTCTACCATGCAGCTGGAAACCGCGCGGTGCCTGAAGCACGTTTGCCGCCGATGATGCTTGGATCTGTACTATTCTCCGCTGGTCAATTCATCATGGGATGGACTGCGGATCCACAGTATCCTTGGATCGCTCCTGTCATTGGTCTCGTGTTGATGGGAACCGGTTTCTTCACCATCTTTCAAGCTGCTCTAAACTACTTAGTTGACACTTTTACATTGTATGCGGCGAGTGCAGTAGCGGCGAATACCTTTCTTCGAAGCGCTTTTGCAGGCGCTTTTCCATTGGTTGTCACGCCGTTATATCATAACATTGGAGTTGGTCCCGCAAGTAGCATTACTGGTGGTTTCGCAGCACTGCTTATCCCAGTGCCTTTTGTGTTCTACATATACGGGAAACGGATCAGGCGGTCAAGCAAGTGGAGCCGTGGTAGCGTGTTCGATTGAGCAACGGATAGGGAAGTATATCGATAACATATTGATGATTGTACTTCTGTAATGTACCAGGTCGATAAAACTTATTCTGAATTAAGTTTGTCCCACATTGACACACACAAAAAACTCCCCGAAGGTACAAGCTGCTAATTTCCTGTAGAGTTTTAATGCAGATCAAGGTGCTCAACTTCGTGGTACATTATGGTAAACCTAAATACAACTTTAGTGGTGTTCTACCGCAATGGGGCACTAGGCAACAGAATTCGTCCTCACATTATGCTTCCTCACACGGCGGAGACCGAAAAGGATCTGGACGTCGACATAGGCGAGTATAACATGCTGTATTTTGAACGAGAGCGCATCGAAGATACTTAGCACTCACGTCAGAGCTCATGCCGGTTTCGTGTTCTCTATAGTCGAGTAGGCAGCGCACGATAACTGGTCCAAGAAGATGATCCAACGCCATGCCTGGGCATAGTTGACAGAGTGCGGTACATTTTTGGTATCGTTGCTGTGATGAAGAAAGGAACAATGCTGAGGTACAGCATTCACGACTGTAATGACGTACTAGGGCGCCGTTCTACTCCGACGCGTCTCAGACATCTGCCATCCACTAACACTTGCACTGGCATAAGCTGAATGATGTTCACGTACGGACCAGATCACACTTAGGTCATCACGATTTTTATTTGTTAAGTGACGTTCAGCAACATGTGTTCCAGAATTGCGGTCTATTAGAAAACAGGATAACGGAGAGGACCATCCGTGACCGAATGGTGGCATCGTCTAAGTAGATACGCATCGGTTCGAGATGCAGAGATGAGGTGTCGAATAGCTTCGAATTCTGATAGGACTCAAAAAGGCTGGAGCATACGACATATGTGTACATTTTGTGAGCAGTGGTTCGTGCATTGCTTCTGTATGTTCACAAACTCGCTATACTTGGAACGCAACGCCTTCTCTCTTTACCATGGCCTTTCCACCACTTGCAAATCCAGTGCCCTCACTCCGGATCTCCACAAGTCCAGGCCTGGGCGCCTTCTCCTTTTCTTTGTCCTTCTTCTTCTTCTTGCCATCCTTAGCGTCCGGGACTGTAGTGAGATCCGCATCACAAACATAACAGTGTACAGTCTCCGGGTCAGGTCCATCGTCATGTGCATCTCTCTGATGGCGATGTTCTGGCTTGAGAAACTTGTTGACACATGGCTTGCAGAGGACGTGGCCGCATGGTATAGCTAGCATGGCTTTTGTGCTATTCGAGAGCGCTTTCTGGCAGCTGGGACATGTGCGGACAGACTTTCCGGTATCGGCTGACTTCTCTTCGTGAAAGTTGACGCTCGTCAGGCTTTTTAGCGACAGGCTGTGCAGTTGGTCAGGGTGGCTAGACGGGCATATAGGTGTCTGCCTCGCCTTCTCCGCGCTTGTGTGGTGTTGATCGGGGGTCTCGCCTGGGACCCAGAAGCTGGGTAGATGACCCTTTGCTGCTTTACGTTCGGCGTCTAATGTACGTTTCGCCTTGCTTTGCTCTTCGTCTGCGATGCGCTTGAGCTCTTCTTCGTCGATTTCGAATTTACGTTTCGTGCCTCTGGTCTCTCCAGCCTTTGCATCCTGCTCCTCTTCTACTATGATCTTGCCGCCCTGCCTTCCAATGACTCTTGCTGATGCGCCTGCTTTGACGGAAAGCCCCATCTGAACAGCCTCGAATTCCTCGACTGCCCGCAACCGCGCTTCCTCTTCTCCTCGAAGCCTTTGATCCTCATCTTCTAGCTTTTGGCGTTCGTTGATTTTTTCTAGCCTTTTCATCTCTTTCCGTTGAGCCAAAAGATTGGTCATGGCACACTCGCGGCAGAATAAATCGCCTTGTGAACAGCATACTGGGTCTACTGAAGGAAGGAGACATAGCTGGCATGAGCCAAACGGTAGAAAAGAGTCACGAGTGAGACGTGTTGCTTGCGAGCCCCACCTATCTTTGAGGGCATTCCGCTCGTAAGACGTGAAGATGGTCTTTGGAGGCGGCATGTTGAGCCAAGTCTAATGTGATAGAGTCGCGAGTCGCAGAATACGAAGTTTAGACGCGACTTTTCGTGATGCAATCAATAGAGATGGCAATCCGGGTGATAGTGCCAGGCTCAATCACACGATGGCGTGTACTAGACTTGATGATGTGCACGGGAATTGTGAATGCACGTCTAGTGTTGTAAGGTATTAGGCTCGTGTTGTAGTGATGGAAGAGTGAGTGCTGAAGGCGGAAGAGCCAGCCACTCGCCGCACGTGCAGGCCGCAATGCCGCTAATCCCTGTCGCAGAATTCCCAGTCCCTGGTGGCGGTGACGTTGGTTGGTCGCAGCAGCCAGCTATTGGGCGCGAAATCTTCACATGTCGCCGTCAACCCCACGACAACCCCAATGCGACCAGAGGAGCAGCCGGAGGCTCCCAGCGGGCCATGGCGCGCGGCGTCCGTCTTCACCATGGGCGCTGTCGGCCTCTTATGCAAAGGTTTCCTGACCGGGCTGAGCAAGGTGGAGACGCACGGAATGGAGGGCTTCTTGAAGCTGCTGGACGAGAGGGAGGACCCGGCGAGTAGAGAGAGGGGCCTGATTACTGGTATGCCATTGCAAAGCAGGTAGAATGCAACAAGTACTAATGAATGCTCAGTCTCGAACCACATCTCCGTGTACGTACGTTTGCCGTAATCTCGCACTCGCAAACCATGGATTCCGCTTATACAATTTGGACAGAATGGATGATCCGATATTATGGGGCATACTGCCTCTCAGCTACATGTTCAACCCAGACAACCTGCGCTGGGGACTGGGCAGCTACGACTTGTGCTTTACCAACAAGTATGTTCCCTCTAATAACATTGCAACATGGTCAACTAACGCCATATCAGAGGACTGTCAACATTCTTCACCTTCGGGCAGGTTCTCCCTACACATCGATCGGCGCATTCTCAATTCGGCGGCCTCTTCCAGCCTACCATAACGCAAGCGATCCGTCTCCTCTCGCGTGGGCCGTTCTACGAGCAAGACGCACCAGTAAAGCCTACAACGTCTCTCAAGAGCCCGGATCTGATCGACCCCTTCACTGACGGCCACCTCACATTCTCTACCAATGGACAGGACACGTTTCCTGCGCCCTCAGCATATCTCAGCCGGCGGCATGCATGGGTACACATCTTCCCAGAAGGCATGATCCACCAAAGTGAAGACCGGATCATGCGCTACTTCAAATGGGGAGTATCTCGACTGATACTGGAGAGCGACCCGATGCCAGACATCGTTCCCATCTTCATTGAAGGCTTCGACAATATCATGCATGAGACGCGCACGTTCCCACGCTTCATACCACGGCCGTTTAAAAACGTTCGAGTGACATTTGGCGAGAAACTGGATGCTGAAGAGGTGTTTGGCGATTTGCGCGCACGCTGGAAACAGATGCGCGCAACTGAGGAGCGGAAGGAGGGCCAACTCGAGGTCGGTGTGCTAAATGAAAAGCTCAAATACTCTCCAGAGGCTGTCAGCATACGCAAAGAATGCACGCGACGGATGCGGCAGGCAGTACTGGACGTTAGGCGGCAGCGCGGATACCCTGAAGACGACCCCAAGAACAGCCTCGCAGAGACATGGTTGAGAGAAGGCCCGGGTAGAGAGGGTCGCAAGGAAGATGGCAGCATCACAAAAGACACATGAGGCGCTTGAAGGGCATATTGTATTGTGTATGCATATGCGACTGCAATGTAGACTGCTATAGAGGAAAGCAAAGGGGTGAAACATGGCACCCAAAGAAGGATGCCAGGCAGACGCCTCGTCAACTTGGAAGCGCGGCAGAGTGTCAGATTAGATCAAGTAATTACACCATCAACGACTCCCGTCTCTGCGCGCCGATCAACCACAACCTCAGGCGACCGAGGGGGTTTCGTCATTGCGAACAGAAGCAGGCACCGCGATGCTGTTTGGACATGGCGGATGTGTCTCTGGCGTGCTCGTGTCGTCATCCACTGCTGGCTCCGCGCCCTCACCGAGACCTTTCCAAAGCGGACCTTGGGCAGGAACGATGAAGGTGACGAGGCTGAAGAGTCCGAGCCCAAATCCGGATTCACGGTTTTGTCGGGAGGGCGCGTAGGGCACGGGCCCCAGGCGCGCGGGCGAGAAAGTAGATAAAACCTGCGTGTCCCGCTCTTCGACAGTGGCAGATGCTTTCACCGCCCGCACCACACCAAGACCGAAGCAGCTTCATAGCGTCACCCAGACTCGCTACAAGACCCAATTACCGCGTCATCTCTCCAAGGTCCCTGTCCTCCAAGCACCAGCCAATGGACAGCAACTGGGCCCCACAGTCGCCAGATTTATCTTCCTACTACTACTCCGCTGAGCAGCCTACTCATCCCCAGCATACAGGTTACAGAGGTTCCATTTCCCACGTCGCGCCGCCCTTTGCTCTGACACATCCTGCCCCGACACTGCAGGCCAACCCTGCGCCACAGCCTTTTATGCCTCGCGGCGTCAAGAAGGAGGAGAGCATGCAAGATGCAGACTACATGCCTGACGCGTCGGTGCCCGCCATCATGGCAGACGCGGGCAGCGGCCTCGGCGGAGCAGACACGCCCAACACCGACCACATCACCATCAAGAACCACTTCCCGGTCGCGCGCATAAAGCGCATCATGCAGGCCGACGACGATGTCGGAAAGGTCGCCCAAGTCACGCCTGTCGTCGTTTGTACGTACTCGTCATTCTATCCGCACACGCACTTGCCTAACACTTCACAGCCAAAGCGCTCGAGCTCTTTATGATTTCCCTCGTCACCAAAGCCGCCGCCGAAGCCAAGGCGCGCAACTCCAAGCGCGTCGGCTCCATCCACCTAAAGCAAGCCATCACCAAGACCGACCGCTTCGACTTCCTCAACGAGATCGTCTCCAAGGTTGCCGATGCGCCGGAGAAGAACGAGGGCGACATGGATGTGGATGGCAAGAAGAAGAAGACTTCAAGCCGGAAAAAGAAAAAGGCGGAAAGTGACGATGATTTCTGAGTCGGACGTCGGCAACTCGCCATGGGCCTACAGCCCTTCTTCGTATGTCTTTGTATGCTCGTGCTGAGCTCTTACTGTGCACATTCCAGGCGACGACATTGCTGCTGGCCACCTCCGCGCGGTCTGTGACAACTGCCAGAAGACTGCACACTATTCATGTGGCCAAAGTCCAACCTTCTGACACTCCAACTGGGCGTGGATTCGAGACACTGGTACCAGTACCTTGTGGATTATCGCCATACCTTTCCGTTGTGTGGTCATGTATCTTGGTGGCCACAGATTACGGCCAGTCACGACGTTTATAGATGACGCTTCTGGCAGTCAAGGCGTTAACTATTCCGGGACATTGCATGGGCGGCGTTGTTTTGTTATTGCATGGATTACGATACCAATGAATACGGATACATGATTCTTCTCACTCGGTGCTTCTTCGCCCAGTCGTGTCGCTAACGGAACAATTGTGTCCGCGGTCCGAATACAGCGCAAGCGTCACAATCGCAGTTTACGCGGTGTGTAGCCGATGGATAAACAGCGTTGCGAGCAAAAGAACGCGCCCACCAACCAGGTTTTCTCGGTCCGCGCAATTTATCCGCCCATCTCCGCAGATCCCCACAAGTTAACGGCACCCCAGATACTCTTTCAGGAACAGGCCGTAGATCGGTTCCTGCGCCATCCCAGATGTATGCTCGTGTCTATGCTTAGCCTCATTTCTTTCCCTACATCCGTAATTTGGGGACCGTGGCAGCGGCAGGGTATTAAACATGCGGATACCCGGTGTTTTTGTCGGTCGTGGCATCGTCATACTCTCAAGCTGTCAATCGAAGAACGATTGAGCCAGTATGATCTTCTCGAGGTTAGCAGTGCTCCTAGTGGGCGTTGCAGTGTCAGTACAGGGCCATGCGATTGAGATCGAGTCGAGAGCCTCTGGCAAACTTCGCCCCAACCCTTCCAACGGCCACTGGGTCGATGCGTGGGCATCGATGCCTCAGCTCACAGAGCCAGCAAACTTGCCGCCTGCTCCATTCGTATGCTACGTTGCTCACGCACTATCGAGTTTGTACTAACACCACGTACCAGAATCAAACAGGCGCTGTCTTTGTCAACTCTACGATCCGACAAACTTTGTACATGACCACATCAGCCCACCAAGTTCGCCTCAAATTCTCCAACGTCTTTGGCGGTTCCAATCTTCCCATCACCGCCGTCACAGTTGCCCTCCCTGTGAACCAAACCGCCGGTATCTACCAGGTCCAACCCCAAACTGTTCAAAAGGTTACCTTTGGAGGAAAAGATGGGATCAGTGTACCGAACGGTGCCCTCGCAGTGTCCGACCCCATAAATTTTGAGATCAAGGCGCAGCAGATCGTTACCGTAACCATGTACCTTGCAAGCGGACAGACGACAAACAGCATCACCAGCCATCCTGGCTCCAGAACTACAAGTTGGTGGCAATTCGGCAACGCAGTCTCCTCAGCTAGTCTCGACATCAGCAACTCTACCACACAGTCCGCAGCACATTGGTACTTTCTTTCCTCCATCGAAGCCTGGGTTCAACCGCGTGTTGGCTCCCTGCTCATTGTTGGCGACTCCATCACTGACGGCCGTGGATCCACAACCAATCAAAACAACAGATGGCCCGACCTGCTCCTTGCGCGCCTTCAAAAGAACCCCTCAACCAAGTACATTTCCGCGGGTAACCTGGCTGCAGGTGGAAACCGTATCTTAGCAGACGGTCTCGGCCCCAACGCGTTCGGCCGTATTGATCGCGACGTCCTGGCGCATCCTGGTGTAAAGTATGCCATGATCTTCGAGGGTGTAAATGATATCGGAAGTGCACCTACAACACCCGAAGCGCAAGAGCAGATTTATCAAGGACTGACTCAGGCGTACGAGCAGATGGTCACCCTTATCCACGCCCACGGCATCCCTGTTTTCGGCGCTACTATCACACCTTTCTCTGCACCAGCCAATTTTACTCAACAACCTTACTCTGATCCTGAGCGCGAGAAGACACGTCAGCGGGTCAATACTTTCATCCGCACCTCCGGTGTTTTTGATGCCGTCGTGGACTTTGATAAGTTCCTGGCCGATCCCACAATACCGAGTCAACTCAACCCGTTGTATGATTCTGGAGATTATCTTCATCCTAATCCTGCCGGATACCAGTACATTGCGGATAAATTCCCTATTCAGATTTTTGGTATGTGGGCGAATGGTGCGGATGAGTTCAGTTGGGGTATGTAATACGGCGGAGAAAGCCATACTGCAGTGACTATTGGGTTTTGGAAATGTATATATCGAAATGTGTTAGTACGATCATGCGTCAGCCAACATGAGCTTTTCATGAACATATACGTAATTGACGTAAGCTTTGTACTCGATGTTTTGGGTCACGCGGGAAGGACTCGTAACTTGAACTTTGATACCAATATCGTGCGCAAGGAGATGTCACATCGCTCTCCAGATACGTCTGCTGCGAGACCCTGCGGCGTCTCACAAGGCAAGTCCAGGCACGCAAACACATACCATCTTCTATTTGACTTTATTGGTGAACTCGGACGAACACTGGCTTGAAGACCAAGGTTTGGAAAAGTATCTCTAAGCACCCAAATATGTTAGGCACTCGCTACATGTGCTGATTTACGGTTCTTCCGGCTCAAAATCACCTATTCACCTCCACTCAATTCCTCCTCGAAGTCACGATGATGGACGTAATGCGATTACAGAGAACGAAGATGACGCCTAGTGAGCCACGCCTAGAACAAGATTACGTAGTCACATGTAAAGACCAGGTTTGGTGTTAAAACCAGACTTAGACTTCTGCTCGCTGATCGATCACCAAAAAGGCGTGTTCGTACGGAAGGATTTGGAGTTTCCAGAACGAGTCCTTGACTGGAACATAAGAGCCTAGTGTGCGCCTCACAGCAAAGCAAAGACTCGAAAACGCGACGTTGTGTTGAGTCGTCTCTGTAGATAGCATCAGATCCATCGTGTGCTGGAGTTGATTTTCGTATATACATCAACAGGATATCGCTGTGTCCAAGGTATCTTCCCTAAAAGATGACCGAAGTCGCTACTGCAAATCGAACGCCGTTTTGAAACCGCCCGTGATCAGAGTTCCGTAATGATGATAACGCCATACCGACAGCCCCAGAGCCATACATCCTGTCACCAGTTTGCGTGTTGTGTTCCTTACACAATACCTTGCGAGAACCTCTCCACGCCATTCTTGATCTCTCTCACGATCTCCACTGCCTCGTTGGTGCTCTGAGCTTCAAAGTCATATCTCTTCGTCTCCCTCTCTTTGAAAACAATGACTCGGAACATCTTTGGGTGCTTTTTGCTGACCTTGCTACCAACTACACTGCTGAAATGCACAGTCGTCGTCTTGCCTTGGCCTTCAACACCAAAACCACCACGCGCCCCAGTCTTAGACTCGCCAGGCATGATGTGTATATACTCGTTATCAAGAGCGATGATCCGCGATGTCGAAGAGGCAAAGGACATGGGTTGTTTGCGGAGAACAGCATAACGGCGGTAGTAATTCGTCGCAGTAAGGGCCAGAGCACCAGAATCGCCAGTTCTGGCGAGTGGATGGATGAGACCTTGGCCAGAGACAGCTGCATTTGTTCGGTCACCCTTCTTTGTCTTCTTTGGCGCACCGCCGGTACTGATGATGAGAGGTGCATTGGGTGATGATGATCCAGGCGATCCTGCAAGCCCATAGACGCCGTCACCCACGAAGCGTCGACGCACGAGATCCAGATCCATTCGTGTGTCGAGAGCCTCCACGGTGCGGTCAGGTGGCGCTACTGTAGTGCTGCCACTCACTTTAAGGATGTACAAGGCTTTCTCCAAGCGTAAGTCGTGACATACTTGATCGAATATATCAGCAATGTAAGTGTCCGTGGTGCAGGGAATGTTGAAATGTTTCGTGTTGAAATTCTCGTCGGTGAAGTGGACGTTGACTGTTTTGGGGGCGCCTGTGCGGCTAGCAGCATGTGTTTGAGGTACCTTTGGTACGTCGGCAAGATTGCTGGTATCCTTGCGCGTCGCTGTCGGCGCAAACGAAGGTCCGGTAATGGGGTTTCTGAAGCTCTTTGCACGGCTTGGAAGGGGCTTCAGGGGCTTTTTCTCCTCTTTCTCGTCGGGACCATCGATTTGCGATGCGACAGCACTGGCTGCCTCTTGACTATAGATCGGCGTGAGCTTCTCGTTCTCGCCAAATTCTCGTTGAGATGCCTCGACGAGCGCGAACTCGTCCCATGGCTTATCTCGCGCTCGAGGGCGCATACCACGAGCATTGTTTGAAGCGAAGTCTTTCAACGGCTTGTTCCTAGTCAAAGGCGGGAACTCGTCATCAACCTCGCCGTCATCATACATGCGCATGACCCAGCGGTTCACATTCATCTGTTCAGGAGAAAGTGGCGGTTCGAGTTTCTCCTCTTGATAACGATGCAATGCGTATCCGATCGCTTCCGCGACAGTGGGGCCTTCACCTTTGTCATTGAACTTTCGGATGAGCAGCTCTACAGGTTTCGAAGGCTTAGACGAGAATGGGTAGTAGAGTTTGATGTATAGAGGGTTCTGTTGAGCTTCGCTAGCAGCATTCCACATAGCAAAGCGCTGTAGCGGATTCGATGGCTTCTGCTCTTTGGCTCGAAGTGCTTGAGTCAACGCGCTTACTGGCAGTACAAAGCTGATCGGCCGTGGTGGAGGCAGTGCTTGCAGTGTTGGCGCAATGGGCTCTTTCTTCTTTTTTGGTGATAGGTTCTGGAAAGGTGTCAAGCCCGGCATTGTGGGAAGGTCACCACCTGCGGGAGAGGAGTCCAACGGGTCACCACCTGCACCGATAAGAGATGCGCTATCGTCGGAGCCAGAGAATTCGGATGTGAGGGAGTCGTCTGATTCATCGCCTTCGTGTAGAGCTTCAAGGCGTGCGCGTGCGCCGACAGCCCCTGCTGCGTCTTCCTCAATACGCTTGGACAGCAACTGGCTTGCGCCAGCGGCTTTGCGAGGATTTACCCTCCTCTTTCTGAACGACGAATTATCAAACTCATTCTCCGAGGACATCTCACTGCTCGTTATGGTGTCTCTTCTTGGTCTGCCTTTGCCCGCATCTACAGCGTCCAACGACCCTCGCCGCAATGCATCGTCAGGTGGCCGGGATGGGGATGTGATCATGAGCGAAGGTCCTTCTCCAGCTTCTGCCAACTCATTGCGTAGGGCTGATCCAGGCATGGGCGACGATCCGGAGCGCGTCCGTAGTGGCATCTTGGTGAATTTGATTTGGTTGGCCGGTCTGGCAATTTGTCAGTTCAGTTCACGTGGCGTACGACGGTCGCCTACCTTTGCGAATCGTCATCTTCATCGCTCTCGTCGCTAAGGTCACTGCTATCATCCTCCTCCAGCTGTTCCTTCCTCCGCCTCCGTTTCGCGTTCAGTGTAGGGCCCACCGTATCGTTGCTTCCCCCTCCAGTGACCATGCCCCCCTCCTCCTCATCTTCACCGAATCCTTCTGGCGACTTCAGGCCAGCTGAGCGCGGGGCCTGAAAGTATTCCGAGGTGATCGCCGTGGGTATTGGTGGGGAATAGGTGCGCTTGATGTCGGCGGCGTTGGGAACCCAGCCTGCAGCGCGGAAGGCGGGGCTGTTCAGGACGCTGGAGTCGACATTGATCAAGCGTTCGCCGACGCCGTCTTTGATCGACGAGAGGTAGGCGGTTCGAAGCTGGTATAGCACAAAGCTGCTCAGGTTAGCTGACAAGTATGTCGCGCAAGTAAGATGGGCGTACTCTTCGTTCTGAAGGAGCGACATAGTTGGAAGGTCAAGGTGTCATAGTCTCGTAGTAGAAAGGTATGCTCAGACCAGCTGAAAGGGTATCATGAAGCCATAAAGGGCAGATGTAGTGAAGCATGTGGGGATGTGAATGTGTACCTTGGACCCTGGCTTGGCATCGGCCCTTGTCGCGGCGCGCGTGCAGTGATCTCATCGTCAACTTTCTGAATTCCTGCGCCAGACACCCGCCTCTCAACGAACGCGCCAAGACCACCATGAATCTACTCGCCGGGTACTCCGACTCAGAGTCCGACGGCGAAGCGCCGCCCGCGCCAAAAGTAGTCGCGAAGCCATCCGCGAAGCCAGCCTTCCAGAAGGTCGTCGATCGCTCGAATCCAGGGCGCATCAAGGTCAACCTTCCCGGCGCGTTACAGTCGCGATCCGACAAAGACGATATCCAGGATGATGCGCCGCCGGCAAAAAAGGCGCGCCTGGGTGGAGGTTCGTCGTTCGGTGGCTTCAACGCAATGCTGCCTGCGCCGAAGAAGCCAAACGTAAATGCCATTTCAGCATCCGAAGGTTCCAAGACAGGAGGCAGAGGATTAGGGAAGGGACTCGCTTCTGGTGTCAACCTGAAGACTGGCGCAGAGCCTGCGTTCAAGAGGGAGTCAAAGGTGGAGGCGGAGGAGTACGACGAGACTGGCAACCCGATCAAGAAGGAGCCTAAGTCGAGGGAAGATTTCAGGGCTATGCTAAACCTACCAAAACCCAAGTCTGCGATTAAAGCAGAGGTGAGGTCAGAAATGCCGACACAAGAAACAGAGGCAGAGCCCGAGCCACAGCAGGTGCCCAAGCCTGTTGCCCCACGTTTTGTACCTATGTCTGTCGGCAAAGGAAAGAAGAAGAAGCCTATGGCTCCTCGACCAACAGCATCGAACGAGATGAGCACTGCGACAAACACAAATACAGATGCATCCACATCACAAACGCAACAGCCACCTCTTGAGACTAAGGCGCGGAAGCCGAAGGTCTCTCTCTTTAGCGTCTCGAACGAAGCAGAGCCTGCGCCCAAGGAGACATCCGACGGCCAGTATCAACCACTTCTCTACGACGGGGAAGAGGAAAGAGATGTTGCTATGACGGAGGGAGCATACTACATGCCACCAGCACCTGAGGTGGCACAGTATGCTCCTTCATCTACGAGTGGATCTAACCCTCATGACCTAACCAACATTGCTTCTGAGTTGAACCTATCGGAAGCAGAGCGCCGCCAACTATTTGGTAAGAAAGGACGCGGTGGACCAGACTTTTCTGATGCCACGATCAAAGACTTCAACACAGACATGGAGTATGCCCATAACGAAAAGCTACGGCAACAGGGTGAAGCAGTGCAGCATAATCCACTCAAATCTATATCCGGTACTGGAAAGAATAGCCTCCGAAGTCTGGTAAACGTCGCGACCACCCAGAAGGATGCACTGGAGGATCACTTCGCTGCTGGTGCTCGAAATAAGAGAGAAGCAGGCAATCGGTATGGCTGGTAATAGTATGAGGCATGCTAATTTTTGTGGAGGAGAACCTCCGGGGCCACGGCCAGAATCGGGGAATCTCTGACTTAGGGAAGGCGTTGGCGCTATCATACAGACTTCAGGTACGAATTGTGCTTCTGCTATTGCCCATTTGGACCTAGCTGCCAATTGTGGGTCCAAGGGCTAAGTATATTACTCCTTGCTTCTTCTGATCCCTGCGTCCAGTGCTTTTCGTTCTTATGCCTCTCAGTGAGTTAGGCCATAGGTGACTCTCAGATTGACTGTGTTTCTTTGTCGAGTCACTGTCACTATGAGTTTGCCTGTTATACACCAAGGTCGCATATATCTTGTGATACTGTTGACTCCACTTCTGTTTTTCTCTTGAGCTATCGAAACTCTAATGCAATCTTTCGATACCAACAGTCTGTAGTCCGACTTGACCTCACGCATTCACTGATGGCCAATTAGTCAATCGCGGTAAACATCCTGGTTTATGGGTGATATATGAACTTGCAGAGTGCTACGAGTCACTTTGGGCTATGCTGTAGAAATCTTAATATTGATGTATATGCAGAGTATTGGGTATCATCATTACGTTTACTTCCCAGCTGCAGCTTTAGCGGCAGCCTCCTTCTCCTTCTTCCTCTGCAGATACCTTTCCTTGGCACTGCTGATGTCCTTTTCTGTTTTCTGACTCTTGCGTGCATGTTCCAGCTTCGCCTGTTCCTCAGCTTCTTCATCTGCTTTTCGTTTGTTCGCCGCTTCGATTTGTTCGACGACCATCTGTGTCTGCCGTTCGCGTTGCGCGTTCCTACCGGATTTGGGCTTCGTCCATGCTGACTGTGGTTGGTCTGCAGCGGCAGTGGAAGTAGATGTGGAAGAAGCGGGCTTAGGTTTCGCGATGATGTTGAGTCCTGCTGAGAGTAGCTGACTTTTGTCTGCTACCTGACCTTCTTCGTTGAGTATGACATTCTTTCCCTGCTTACGCAACTCGTCCACAATTTCAGCGTCTGTCTTCTCCTTCTCGGCTTCTTCGACAGGAAGTTTAATGCCCTCCTTCAGTGCTCTCGCGGCTGCCTCCATAGCCTCCTGATGCCGTCGCTCCTGATCTGCAAGCATCTGCTTGTGGAATCCTTGCATACCAAACTTCTTCTTCTTCTCTTCTTCTGCTTCTTGCCGCTTCTTCTCTTCCTCCTCCGCTCTTCGCGTCTCTTCTTGTTGAGCCTTGTATGCGCCTGTTACGAACTTCTCCTTGTCGGCGAATTCGTCGCCCTCGGCTTCGCGCTCGCGTTGGATGAGTTTATCGCGGGCTCGTAATTGGTCTTTCTTACGCTGCTCGGCGGATTCGAAGAGCGCGTCCATGTACTTCGGTTCCCGTTCCGCGGCGTTGTCGCGCTCAGCAGCCTTCTTTGCGGCGTTCACTGCGTGAAGCGCGTCGTAGGCAGCGTCGTAGTCGTATAATGTGGCATCGGCTTCCAGTGCCTCTTGTGCGCGTTTCTCGGCTTCTGCGGCGCTGGCAGAGTATGCGATGGTGGTGGGATCATCTTCTTTCGGTTTAGGTCTCTTGGACGGAGGAGCTGGAGGTTGGCCTTTCTTCGGCTTCTGCGGCGCTGGTTTTGAGGGCCCCGATGAGGCAGAGGCAAGCGTGTCTTCGAAGCTAAGCTCGCCAATCTCCTGGACGCCATCCGCTGCTTTGGATTTGCCCTTTACATCTTCCTCCTCGTCATCGAATAGCGGCTTCTTCTTCTTTCCCAAGGCAGGCTTAGCAGCAGCCTTCGCGAGTGGATTTGCGCCCTTGTTTTTGACATTGAGGCCGAATTTGAACGACATGTTGGGTTTAGGGTCGGAGTGGTGTTAGAGTCGCGGTCGCGAGTTGACATGTCGCATGCCAAGACGCTCGCGCAACCAGTGAAATCATCAGCACCTCCGCGCCTTCTCCGCAACTCACCCTCCTCCACTCTCAACCTTGGGATGACCGTGGGCATTTCACCCCCGTACCTTCTTGCACATCTCACTCATGCATGACTGGCTCCTGAATCATCATAGTCCTCATCATGGAGGAGCAGGCTAGCGACGCGACAGCGGAGGACCTCTACACCAAGGCTAAAGCTTCAAGGTTCCACTTCAAATCCGGCTCCAAACGTCGCTCAAAGCGGCACGTACGCGAAGGCAAAGACGAAAGCACCGACGACCATACTTCAAGGAGACACAGGTCGGATCGCAACAGTCAAGAGCGCCGCAGCCACCGCGATTCAAGACGCAAACACAAGCACAAGCATCGTACCTCTCACGAGGACCGTCACCCCACGTCTACACGAGATGGCGCATACTACGACCCTGACTATCGTCATCGCGAATCATTGTTCGATAATCTAGATGAGTCAGGCGCATGCTCTCCCGGTCCTGGCCCAGCTCCCGACGAGGCCTTCCGCGAGTCGCTGTTCGACGCGCTAGCCGATGACGAAGGCGCAGCATATTGGGAGGGCGTCTATGGCCAGCCTGTACACATATACCCTGATACGAAGCCTGGCCCCGATGGCAAGCTGGAACGCATGACAGAGGAGGAGTATGCAGACTACGTGCGGACGAAGATGTGGGAGAAGAGTCATCAGCACATCGTTGAAGAGCGCGAGGCGAAGGAGCGCGCGCGTCAGCAGCGGAAGGCACAACGCTGTCAGCTTGACAATGAGGTCGAGCAGGAAGAGGCCGAAAGAGGTAGTATTCGGCGCCGTATGGAAGAGAGCCTACGTCGAGGCGAAGAGCGCAAGAAGGCCAAGGAGGCGGAGGCTGCATGGGAGAATTACACGACCAAATGGGGCGGTTTGAAGAACGTTCAACGTTTGGATGGAGAGACAGATACGAAAGTGCGTGAGCTCATGCCGTGGCCTGTAATTTCTGGCAAGGCAAAGCATGTGTCAAAGGAAGAGATTGAACGCTTCTTGAGGAGCGCAAAGACGTGGAAAGAGGATTCGGTGGCACTACTGAAGGCGGAACGAGTGCGTTGGCATCCTGACAAGATGCAGCAGCGGTTTGGACAGCACATTGATGGCGATACGATGAGGCAAGTCACGGCGGTTTTCCAAGTCATCGATCGGCTATGGAACGAGCGACGCTGATTGGAATGTGCCTTTACCACGCATACGTTCGCATTGCCACGTTAATATTTTCTTTACTTCGAGATACCCACAACAACGCAGCTGCATCCGTTTACCGGCATACCCACCAGCGGCTATCGGTCTCGGCAGCGAGTTAATATCAATCGTACTACTCCGTCACCTCCTTTCTTGGCACCAGGTCACCGTACATTGACAAACTTAATCTCCGGCTTCCAAGAATCTTGGCGTACTGTATTCATGACGAAGCAACTGGGCTGATGTAGTTAAGCATGACGATCTTCACTATGCTGGCGCTTGCAATGCTAAGGAACCGGCTAAATGCTTGGTCTTGGACCAAAATGCTTTTGCCAACGCCATCGGTGGATATATCACGTATGGTCATCTGGTCGTGTCGCATGCCGAGATGGATAAATTGTAGACAAGCTAATGATGCGAAGATAGAGTGGCTTGACTGCATGCTTCGTGGGTTGGCATAGTGCTTGAGTGAGCTTGATCAGGCCCCGAAAGCTTGTGCAATATCAACATGTACACAATTAGGTATACAAGTGCGATGGGATCTGGCTCTGAAGCCGTTAAGAATGGAGAACAAGTGCAACGAGTCAGGGTGGTTCTGAACGAAGGTGTTCTCGCTCCACTCTTGTCGCACTACAGTGTGTCGGGCCTATAGCATGACAGGTGAACACCAAACCCATCTCCATCGGAAATGAACTGTTTCAAGTTTCAAAACTTCGCCCTCCAACACTTATCCAACCAGCATTTTTGGTCCCTGAATAACCGGTGGTCTGATCTTGTTTTCAGAACACGGCTCCACACATGGCGACGGGTCGTAGCCATGCACCCCACAGTTACAGCGGCTGATATACGCCACTAGCCAGGCATGCTCTCACGACCGCTGTCCTCCAATTTGGAAAGCCTCCTTCAAGCCGATGCGTAGCCATTGTTCACCGGCGATCCCTGATGCTGATCAGTACGTTGCAATGCCTCCATTGATATATAAGGGTCTCTGATGTCCATGAGTGAAAGACACCAAGCATCTCCAATTTGAACAGACACCATGTTTGCTTTCTCCTCTATCCTCCTCGCCCTCGGCAGCGCCACAGCGGCTCTCGCCTCGCCCCTCAACCTCATCCTAGAGGCTCAAGCTCAGGAAGAGTCTGCCAACCTGACTGCACGCGCCACCCCCGCTGGCACTGGCATGAACAATGGCTTCTTCTACTCTTTCTGGACCGACGGTCAGGGTCAGGTTACTTACAACAACGGTGCCGCTGGAAAATACGATGTTCAGTGGTCCAACGTTGGTAACTTTGTTGCTGGCAAGGGATGGTAGGTTGCTCTCATCACCTCTACACACGATCATACTAACTCCCTTATTCAGGAACCCTGGCTCTGAGCGTGTAGTCACGTACTCTGGTACCTGGAACGCCGCCAACGTCAACTCTTACATTTCGCTCTACGGATGGACTCGCAACCCACTCATTGAGTACTACATAGTCGAGTCCTACGGCTCATACAACCCCTCTTCTGCTGCTCAGAAGAAGGGCTCCGTCACCTCTGACGGCGGTACATACGACATCCTCCAGACTACCCGCACCAACCAGCCTTCTATCGACGGCACTGCTACCTTCCAGCAGTTCTGGTCGGTTAGGACTAGCAAGCGTGTCGGTGGTACTATCACTGTCAAGAACCACTTCGATGCTTGGGCCAAGTACGGACAGAAGCTTGGTACGCACAACTACCAGATCCTCGCTACTGAGGGTTACCAGAGCTCTGGCTCTGCTAGCATCACTGTTGAGGGTCCTTGAACGATGGCTCTTTAAGGTGTCGAAAAGGCCTCGTGGCTAGAATTCTTGTACATACACGCAGACATTTCTGAAAGCTATCAACAAAATGCGCATCACATATTGATTAATTTTGTGGATCAGTGATTTACAGTTTATACCTGTGGCGAGCCGGCAGCATCGGGCGATCTATGCCCGAGGAACGGTTTTCGAAACACGCGACCTCACGCGTTGATGAACGAACCTCGGAATCTTCCAAGGTTCGACTCATCCCCACCCCCGAAGCCACTGACATCAGCCTTGACAGAACTTGTCGGTGTCATCGATTATATTGCATTCGCTGATATACAGTAAGACGGACCCCAGGACTACCTAGATAACATCTTCACCACGGATAACTCAACGCCCATACGTGAGGCCATGACATTGGTCACTGAATGGGCGAGTGACTACGGTAGTATTTCACGTAACTTACAGGGTATGCGAGCTTTTGCGCATACGGACAGGCTGTTACCAATGGCAGGCGCGTACGATATTTATGGCTTGCAGGGGCGCAGACAGACACTCGGATACTCTCAGCCTTGTTGTCTGTCGCAGGTAAGCTGAGAGCATCATCGAGCGACGTCGTCTTTTCATATCCTCTCATACATTTACTCGTGTGTTATTCACTGTTGTACCGATATCTTCACTTCACCCTTGCGATTACAGCCATGGTTTGTGGCGGCAAGCTCATCTGCGACGCGCGGAACACTGCCATACTAGCAAATCCCGACGTTGCAGGCTATGGAGTATGCGCTTCTGCTCATTTCATCATGGCTGCCATTGTTGTTCTTGTCTTCTCGCTGACATCAAGCTCGTTCAGGTTCTTGTGTCGTTTGTACTCTCGGCTCTGCTTACAGTCGGAGCTGTGATATGCGCGTATCTTTCGGATTCAATGCCCGAAAAGTACCTTAGCAAAACGGACGAGGCCTTCATTAAAGAGTTCCAGCGCATCAAGAAGAATTTGCCATTCCGCCTTTTGCCCGCCAAGTTACGTCCACCACCTACTGAACGACAGGGAAAGCTCAGTCGGGAGAAACGTGTGGAAGCATTCGACCGCTTCATATTGTCGTTGAGCGACCAACAGCTTGCGACTGGCTTGGCGATTCTGATAGCTGCCATCGCAAACCAATGTACGCTTTCACCCCCTGAATTTCGAATTGCGTTCTCATTAGCATGGTTCTCAACTACTACACATCTGGCGACACTTGACAGTTTACGGCAGTATTTCACAAAACACAAGACTCTACGAAATGTGCGAGTATTTGGTATGCTCACCTTCATGGTCTTGTTCCTCTATTGCTTCATTGTTGTATTGGTCATGGAAAATAGTCCCGATAACATCGTTCCGGTTCAATGCCATGTCCAAGGTTCGGTCAGAACGTATAAGGATGAGGAGATCACTCTCTCGACCTACTTCTGGCCCTGGGCGATGACGGCCCTTATCATCATATTTGCATACAAGTCCAAGCTCCTCCGCACGTACTCATACGGGTCGAACGACTTCATTGGCTTAGGACGCTACTCAAAGAATGTGCTATCTCTCTGGAGCCGGTGGAGATATCCGAAAGAAATGCAATTACCAATTATGGAACCTGATCAGTGGAACTACGTCCGGAAGGAAGCCGCCGAGGAGCTTTTTGCTGGGCGTCGTCAACGTCTTCTCATGGATCTCGTACTCAAAAGCAAGGATCCTGCCTTTATAACCGAACTAGCCAACGCATGGAAGTATGCCGAATACAGATATTGGCATTCAATGCTTCCACTGGTACCACCAATGACATTCATGCTTGTCTTTGGTCTTGCCCAGATGATACTCTTCCGTTGGGAGTTGGGTGACTACAAAGCCATTGAAGTCGACACATCCATGGGTTTTGGACAGATTATCCCACTAATACTACTTGCACTGCCTTTTCTTGCTGCAGCCGAGATATATCAAGGTAGGTCTTGAGCGTTTTCCTCAACCTCATTGGTTGACAAAACCATAGAATCCAGGTCGGCCTCCCCACCGGGTACGAAGTCGTTAACGTCTAATACCGTGGTGATCAGCGAACCAAGTTCAGCCGTATCACCAACGCGAGTCGATCGAATGCCGACCCTCCGAGTGACCTCATCCGCTGATGTTAACGATCCTCGTTTGGTCCAATTAGAAGAACAAGGACGCGAATATGACAATGAGATAGCCAACGTCAAAAGATACTTCTATCGGGAAGTGGAAGAAGTGAAAATGCAGCACACAAACGCCAAGACGGATCAAGAAATGAGAGTCATCCTCATTCGCAAAGAGCAGCTACTAAAAGACACCAAAACCTGTTTTGAGGCTGAAAACAAGATGAAGGGCAAAGGGGTTCCTCTAAAAATCGCCTCGCTTCTCTACATGCGGGTGACTTTTCTTGCCGCGGCAGCTATTCTTCTTAATCTGCCACGTAGGCATTTCATTGGTGGTATCATTGGAGGAGCGCTGCTGCTCATGCAGCTCAGCTCGCAGTTATATGTGTGGATCTCTACATTGCGGGGGACGGAAGTCAAGGTTTACGTTCGGTTGTTGGCAAAGTTCGACGAGAACAAGCAGGGAAGGCTGCGTGCTCAGTTGCATTAGCTTTTGACACACTTAGTCTGAGTTCGCGACTGTTCCTGCATTCCTTCTCTCAAGACGGAGCAGACCATCCATCTTGTCTCATGATGGAAAGTGGCGGTTTAGAAGCCGCCCTTCTATACATCCACGAACGATGTGTCTAGAAGATCTACTAAATCGCTATAGATGTCGTGTTACACAAGAAATGGTGATGGTTGGATGAGCGTGGACAAATTGCATGGTGGCACTTCAACCAAGATCGCGAGACTGACTGGAAGTCAACCACGTAAGTAGTCTTACGAGACTTCGCTCCATTTCCAAGATTCAGGACTGTTGTATGGGAATCACATTATGTACCATGAAGGAAGGAGACATCATCGTCATACTGGAAAGAGGGGACACTCCGTTGATACTAAGGCCACATGGGCAAGAGCTTAACAAAAGTATCCAGGATGTGCATGAGTGGGATTTCAATGCCGAAAGTTATTTACACGGCCTAATAGATGGAGAGGTAGTGTTAGGCGATTTTGATTATCAAGAGTTTGCCTTACGATAGTTTTGCGCTTATGAGCCTTTGCTATTCACACCACGCACGACAGGTCAGCATGTACCTTTCCCAACATGTGAACACATCCAACACAACGGCGAAGCAAAAAGAATACGAAGATTGCAAAAACATACAACAGCGGGGATTCGCTAGTGGTCACCCACCTAACTACTAATCCGCCGGTACACTGCTTGTATATGGCTGAGCGGACGGGAAGCCTAATTTTCAGTGTCCTGTGGTCGTATGTGGAATGCAAAACCAATTTTTGAGTCATATCCCCAATCTAGAACGCGCTGTTTTGCGCCTTGCCAAGCGCTGAGTCCACGATCAGACGTGATGTGATGCAACTCATCTCGAGGACGAACAAAAGCTTCTGCAATCGCCCAAAATGAGGCCTGGTGCTTTGTTACGGCTGAGCCTACCCCGACCCAGCCGCCAATCTCGTATTCCCAACTTCTTACTGCATCCATCAATAAGCTACTTGTTTCCACCCATTGACAGTCTATCAGGCATGTTTGAGTTGCTCGTAGCCGCCTTCCTTCGGGTTTCGTAGGATAATAGGCAACATGACAACAAGTCTGTATTTGACTGCTGCTCCGACCTGGAGAAGTGAGTTCGGCTTTTGTGGCTGCTTCATATATCAATGAGAAATACCTTAGGTCAAAAGATCATGTCAATAAGCTCCCAATGACACAGCATGAGTTTCCCAGATATCTTCTCAAGTCATGTATGATATTGCCCAGGACGAAGGATGATGATGTTTTCCTTGTTTTCGATCCAAGTTGCTTCTTCCTTGCCACCTTGATTGCGGTTTTGCAAAGACGGTCGAACGCTCCGATGCTCACTGCCAGATGCCTTTCTGGAAGATCTCGTATGCCGAGCTCCAGTGAGAATTTGCGCTACAAAGTTCAGTTACACACCAGAAGTCGTTTGGATATGGTGCGGTACCATGTGAGCATGCAGCCCTCTCAATGTTGTCCAGTATTCCATCATGCTCTGTAGCTTGGGTGCCGAACAGCTCACGGTAACATGGAGTACTACTGTCCATCTCAGAAACTGCGCTCTGTCTCTCGTAATTTCTCTTTCAAAACTCGTAGCCCTTATTGTTTCTGAAGCAGTATCCTAGATTGAAGATCTCCGAAGTGTCGGTACACAGTAAACGCCTCATCTCTCTCAGTCCTCCGTAACCCGGTCTTCTTCAAGCTCATGACCCAAGGCAGCGAATGCAGAAGGCGATCAGATCGGACTAAGTAGTATCATTTTTGTAACATGCTATACGTGAGAGGAGACAGGCTCCTGACTGGGTTGTTTACCAGGCCTGCCAAGGCTACAATCACCATCAGGCGGGTTGTTCAACAGCTAAGCTACTCGCTAAAGTTAGGAGCAAACATATTTCTCAGCTACGAGGGGAACAATGAGCGCTTTGTATGCGCATCAAGGAAAGTAGCTGTCGAGTAAGTAGATGGAACGACCAACACGATTTGAACGTTGTCCTCTGTCAGATAGACGACTGCGACACGTTGTGCCAGGCAGATAGCCAGGTCGCTGCTCGCCGACAGAGGCTACAACTGATCAAGCTGCAAGTGGTATCACGTGCAATCACCATCGGCTGCGACCAAGTGCAGCCCGCAGGTATGATGTAAACTCATAGTATGCTTTAAGAGAAAGCAGACATGGTAGTGTTGTTGACGCGGCCGAGTTACTGTCTCAGGCAGTCGGCTGATGGTGCTTCGCCAGTCTCAAGTCGATAAAAGTTCATTTCATACCTACCAAGTATACATTAGTCGTACAGTATATACACGAGTTATAATCAAGCTGCGCTCAAGCAGCCTTTGTCCGTAGCTGCACGCCGTGCCAGCTCTTGATTTCATCCTTTAACACCTCGTTGACCAGTTTGTGTTGCTTGATGACCGTCAAGCCTTTGAACTTGGGGGATTCGACCTGGATCGCGTACATGGACCCACAGCCGCCGCTGATGTCTTGGACCTGTACCAGACATGTTAGCATCCGCTTAAAGACTAATAGACGCACATTCCTTGTGTGCGACTGTATTGCTTTTGTCCAGGGATTTGACTTGCATCACAGCTTGAAATGTACCCCGCAATGCTGATATGACGTGCATGCTCGCGATGCAGTAGTCGGTCGCGCGACCGGTGAAGTCAACGCAGAAAACGTCCACCTCCGCACATGTGTAATCTCCAAAGACGAGAAAGCGGGGAAACATTACATACCTCCAGTTTCACGGGCTCCAACTCCGATTTTATTTTATTGAAGACGTGCAATTCTGCCTCGTTGAGGTAATCCGGTGCTTCAGGCGCTGCGCTGGCTGACTGCGAATATAATCGTGTGCACAATGTGGGGAACCTTGACTGCTGCAACAGGCCCGAACGTAGAGGTGATGACTGTTGTGTTCTACATAAGGCATATGAAGATGTGGCGAGTAGACGCGACGTCGGTCGTAAGCATGGTGTTGCGGCTGCGGAGGCTATGCGGCGAAGAAGGACGGCTCTTGACGGTGCCATTATCGCGGTATAAGCTTCTGTGGTACCGCTGTTAGCTACTGCCTACCATGATCTGCATTGGTTCTGCAGTATGACAGTAATACGCTTACGGGACTCTGTGTGGTGGTTAACGCGACGACCTGAACGTCGTGACAAATCGTCGAGTTCACCATCGCGAACTCCGTCATAGGTCCGAGCGTCTGCCGCCAAATCACATGCCGCGATTACTAAGTAACACTGGGATGCTGCGTCCACGGTATAGTCACGGCCTCACAAAACCTCAATCTGTCCAACTTCGGGAGATGTCAAGTCCTACTCGTGGCATCAATGGTCGACTCTTCTCGATCTCAACAGAAAGTGGCAATATACGGCATACTAAGCTAATCGGCGCGAGGCCATCGTCGCACAAGATATGCTGGGGTAGGTTGCCATCATGGACACGGACCCACCAAAACTTCAAAGTACCTCCATGTACCTCTTGTATCGCCTATCATTGCTTTGCTCCGATAGCAGTTTCTATTAGCAAAGCGCAACGCTGAAGGTTTATAGATCCGCACATCACTCCACCAGGCGTACTCACAACATTGAACGGTGGGCGCGTCTCCACAGTTCTTCTCCGCTTCATGCTGATGGCGGAGTGCATGTCATAGCACCTCAGCACACCAGTCCACACCTCACAAGCTTACATAGGTTTTAGGAAAACAACAACCAAGCGACGGACCTGGACCCCTCTTTTCCAAGACACAAGCGGCCGAGACCGTTCGGACCCTGATCAGCGGAGTGCAGCTTGAGACGCAGACTTTCACATGTTGAGGACAGGGTTGAGATCGCAATCAAGCACCAGGCCTCCATCAGGATGTCCTAAACGGGCCGTCGCAAGCCAGGAGACTGGTTTGAGCCAAGCTCTGCATGAGGTGTACGCCACATACATGGGCTGTGCCGTCCGGCTTATCAAAGGATTCGTTCAACCGATTGAGGGGACAAGCTCGTCTTTCGTCATATCGAACCGGCGGGCGCCTCTGAGACGCAAGAAGAGCTCATACTGCAGCGAAATGACGCGTTGTGGACTGTCTGAGTCCCCCGCGACGGGATTCGTATTGACAATATTTGTGTATGGACGGCTGGGTATTCCGCATTGAACTTGCGGTCTAAATGTATGGCAATGGTCGTGCCGCCAGAAATCTGTCCTCGGCGCAACCCCTCCATGGGCTCTCCAATTTAGGCAGTTTAGCCTTGTGTGGGGGATATATCAAGTCCAGATTAAGACATGTAAAAAGCAGCCAATCAGCCCCATCGTCTCCGGCACTCACAATAACGGTAGAGTAGATATAGCATGGAAAGCGCTTTGGCAAATCTGGGTACAGCTTGCGCTGCTATGTATAGCCTCACTGCGTGCGCGACCACAATTCTTGTCGCAAGTTGATGGAAGAAACCTCAATCTGGGTAACAATATAGTACTCCTAGGCATTTCCTGAAAATCACAATCTCAAGAGCATCGTAAACCAATATGAATCTGATGGGAGGTGCCGAAACGCTGCGGCATTTAGATAGAGTAAAGACCTTGAACGGTACAAACAACTGACTTCACAGCCTCGGCGCGCGCCTGTGACTTCCACAATTGACAACGTCCAACAATAGTAGAATGCAGACCTTTCTCCTAGTCAGCGTCTTGACGGCGTTGGTGATTGCGGTGCCATACCCTCAAGCAACAGAAACGTCAATCGCACCGGGTGCAACTCTCATCTCGCTTTCAGCAATCTTACCAAGTCCAACTGCTACATCCCCGGATTCGACATCGCTAGACATTCCGATCACATCGGTACCAACACCTGACCCAGACCCAGAAGACGACGAAGACCCAGAGTCCAGCTCGTCGAAGAAAAATCCTCATTGGGAGCCAATTCCAATCTTCACGAAGCCATGTCAGTGCCAATTGGCGACAGCTAGGTATCCATGCTGGGCTACCGATGCACTACAGGTAAGTCAGTTTGGACCATAGATGGAGTATCAAGTGTACCAAACGCTACGCGAAGTGACTCTAACGCAATCACCAGAGCTGTCACTTCGAAGAGAACTTCTCGTATGGTTGTTACATGCAAGCTGTGGGTGGATGTCCAACACCAACACGTATCGTAAGTAGCTCTTTCGCCTCGGAGGCTAAGCACTTGTACTGACATCTCATAGTGTAGCAATCTTTTCAAACCTACCCCTCGTCCCGGACCTCACCCGTGTGAACTTGGCCCCAACCCTCCTGTTCTAACAAGCACTCCCACTCTCACTGGAATGCCGACTGCGAACTTCACTTTGCCAGTCTTGCCGACTGCAAATGTGACATTTCCAAGACTATCGTTGTAGGCAGGCGCGGAAACAGAAGTGTCTATGAAGTGCCTGAGGTTTATGTGCCAGAGTGAAGATGGTTCGCAACGTCGTAGAGTCAGATAAAGCTACTCGCATGACACATCATCATGTGCCATCCAAATGCGAGCAATACATTCTGCGTACCGCTGAAACCGTAGAAACCCGAATGCGCAATAGCTCTTTTCCAATGTGCCACTTCGGCCCATCTCTAGTGCACTGTGTTCAACACTTTCATCAAGATCTTCACCACCACGAAACGTCCCACCTCATATCCACTCATCCCATTGCGTCCATCGCGCTCGACAAGAATCCTCTCCGTTCCGCGAATCCGACCGTAAATATCGGAAGCCTTCCTCACGCAGCCCTAGCTTCCGCCGAATGACTCCCATCTCCGTCCCCACAACTCCCACCTGACTTACGTCCTAGGTCCATAAGAAACCGGTCTGCATCATCGGCCTCTCCTATAACCGCGGGCTCAATATGACTCTCCGCGGAGCTGAGCAAAGCGCTTCAAAGCGTAGTGCTTCACACCCCCACATCCTCATTGGTTCCCAGGCGAAAAATCGGAACAGCCATTATGGGTACAAAACAAGGCTTGGCCTCGTTTGAACATGAAGTGGTGGGATAGGGTAAATAAGGGGTGGACGGGATGGGGGGACGTGATGAGATGGGAGACCCACTCTCAACAGTTCGAGTTTGCAGATGAAGTTGTGCTAAACATCTAGTCCACGCCCGATGCGGGGCTCGCTCACCCACGCAAAGGAGATGATGTCTCACGTCGGATTTCTCGCTACCATGTGTGGAGACTGGAGTGCAGAGAGTAACTGTCAACTGAGTGTCCTGTGCTGGCCGTATGCCACCATGTGGAGAATGGAGTAGTAAAACTGGTAGTGTGTATAGTGGGTCGAAATCACAAGCTTTGATGTCATACTCGGAGACGTCCGACGGACTTCAAAGGTCGTACTTCAAATTCCATTACATGCAACAGTTCCGGTGGGTGAGATAGGTTGCATGTGTCAGGATTCAAGCGTTGGTCGGACCCTGTAGGTTTGGACGGAGATTTGGACCCTTCTTTTTTTCGGATAGAGTTGAGCCGCAGGGTCCATTAATGCTGCAATACACGAGGTTCCGTGGTACGGACATGCGATGGCGTTTTTCGGACTTTTGGAAATGTTGTATTCGGACCGCGGATGTAGAGAAGACAATGCTGATTTCGAACGCGGTCGAGGTTCTTGCTTATCGTCCGTTCAGTGAAGATCCGATATACCTGAGTGCTGACATGCGCAGAGCTTGTGATGATCAACGCTCGAGGCAATGGTGAAGCTATCATCGCGTACCGTGGATCTTTTCACCGCTCGCTCCCCGCAATCAACAGACCTCCGCGTCTCTTGCTCCAGACGCACAACATCCTCGACTAACAACCAAATCTGCAAGTAGTGACCACCTCCGACCTATCCTCCACGGAGAATCAATCTCAACCCTCCCTCTCTCTCCACACGAGCTCCCATAGTAGCATCCCAACGGCCCGCAGAATAAGCTCACCCGTCATCTAGCCTCGTCTAGCACGCAATCTCCCAACACACCACATCGCACTTCCCTCGAGACCCAATGAAAGCGCCACCGGAATCCGGAGTATACTCCAAAAAACACCTAGACCCTGATTTTCGAAGTGAGAAAGGGAATGGAGGCTCCGTGGACCCTGCCTGGATGACCTACAGCCGCCCATACTACCGACTACTACTGCTGGCTAGACGCTCATCTGACTAGGTGGTGGCTGACGCATTGCGCATGGCTCAGCGAATGTGAACACGAAAGAAGTGGTGGGGAGATAAGCGCAATGGTTTGTTTGTTGGGATTTTGCCGCCCCGGAAGATGTTGTAGCCAAGGCAAGGATGTGTTGATGATAGGGTAAGCCACATACACACCGTTGCGGCTCAACAACGGTGAGATTCTCATTCGACTGATATCGTACATATCTGGGGTGCTTGTTTAGCGTTTAGATGGCTTGGTGTGTCGTGTTGCTTCTGTCTGCCGACGTCGGATCTGATTTGTAATGTTGCGAAAAGTGAAACGTGCAACGCATTGTAGCGATGCTTCATCATGGCAACCTGTGGTGTGGATTGGTGATGGAAAACGGATTCGTGCGAGTTGCTAAGAATATCGCAGCCTCACGCACTAGTCTTATCACGTCCTAGCCTCACTTTCTGTTGACGCAAAAACTCTGCCCCTCTGGCTCGCTTCGACGTCGACAGGGATGTAGCCGGCCATAGAGAACTTTGTTGATCACTATCGCGGGGCATGAACTTTCTTCTCCACACTCCTTCTCGGAGCTATAATGGCGAAAATCACAACAACACCATGTCATCCTATTCAGTCTTGGATTGCTTGCGAAGTCTGCGAAAATTTTCAACAATAGTTATAACAGATATGGTATGTCGCACGCCACGCTCGGGGTTTGTCAGTAAGCGCCGAAGCACCCCTTGTTCGTTGAGCGAATCCTTCCCGCTGCACTCGCCACAGTTCGCAGAATGTTTGTGTCCAGCGGTCTGGCACGGAAATTAGTGCAGGCGTGCAATGGCTTGCTTGTGTACGCAATGAAGCTGCGAAGGGGTCAGAGATAGGAATTCGCTACTTGGACAGATAGTAACACGGTTGCTGGTTGATCGTCGCATGTAATTAGTATGACTATGCAGCTTGGAATGGAAGTCTGAATAAGAGTAGGACAACGCTGTTAGAAGCACGCGATGATTTTCCATATCACGTCCAAGACAACTTACCCGCTAATGTGAGATCTACTCCACCGTCGGCACGGCAGCGTACTCCACACACATTTCGAGTACAGAACGCTTGACCCCGCATCTACTCACCGTTCGGCCTATCGCCGACCATCTTCACACCCTCTCTTCATGTTATGAACATTGCCGCCGTACGGCAACTCATCTGCAAGCATTACACCGTTTGTGCAATCTTGGTCAGATGAGGCAACCCGTATAAAGTACATACATGCGTCAAATGTATGGAGGGCAGCCGACTGGGGCGGGGTGCTTTTGTTGAGAGAGAGGGGATTGCATGCATTGATCCTGCAGATGTAACACCTGGGCACGTTGTGTACATGCAACATCGGACAGGCGAAACTGCACTGGACTTCCAAGTCTGGGCTTACGGGCGTTATCTGCGACCGTGTGCACGCGTATGGCAGGTAAAATGACAGGATGATGGGAATGAAACCGCATATTTAAGAATTATCAGGTGAGGTATGTAGTAGCGCGTATTTTCGGACGTACGACTACGGAGGTGGAAGCTGCACGGATAGGATAACATGAGGAATGTCAGACGAGGAGGGCTAGAACAATCTGATATGCTTCGCGTAATGTAATGATGCCGAGATAGCCGTTATCAGGACGGGAGGAATGAGTGTCTGCTTTCAAGATTTCTGACGCCGCATTCCGCAAGAACCTGCTCAAAAGAACCTAATCAGGACGGATCATGCTGTATGGGTATCATCTCTAATCCGTGGCTGCGACCTACCCCGCGATCTGAACCTCTGATGGTGTTGGTGTTATCGCCGAGCTGTCGCGCAACGAGTTTGGTCTCATGTTAGAGGTCCCTTCTACTGGCTGACAAAACCCCCAGATAGTATTCTGTCGTACAGCATAAGCCACCCGGAATTTGGGCAGCCCAGCTAAGGCCACTAAGGGAAGGAGCAATCTTCCAGGTCATCGTTCCAAACTCCTGATAACAGATCCTGATGGTGTCGTAGTATGTATGGAACGATGATGTGTGCGTTTGAAGGATTATGTAGCCTGTAGATCGAACAGATGTAGAAGGGGGCTTAAGACTACTGTACGCGCACGATGATGTCGAACCTCTGCCCTGCATATTCAATGTCTCCGACTTCTAGTTCGACTGGTCGGAACCTGTGCTCCGTACAAATGGCACGTCGCTGTAGGTACAGCTATGTGAGAGTGTTTGGTAGAAGACGTCGTTCCCACAGTCGACCAAAACAGATCAGCGACTGTTCAGGTGTGTTGCTGCCACGTGCACAACGTTCGCAGCTCTAATACAGGAAATCGAGCATCGGAGCCAGAGTCCACACGTCAAGTAGCTCGATTTGGTACCGTTGTCGTCGGCGAATATCAAACATCAAACTGTGAATTGCGATCATATCGTAAATCTCATAATGTGCTACGCCCGGTTCACCCGAGATTGTCAGGCCATCGATATTGGTGCCATCCGCGACTTGCGAAGTGCGAACAAAGTTGGCGATCACGATCATCATCGGTCCTTTGCTGGAAGTTTTGTCGGTGGATAGCTTAGAGTTTTCGGCCCGGAAGTTCAAAGATCGTGGGGTGGGGCACAGACGGGGAGACGTCTGCCACATCCCTCTGCACGGATGCGACGGCTCTTTACCTTGCTTGACTCGAAGTCATGAGACTCTGCCTGTATCCGCATTTGGAAGAACGTCCAATAACAAGCAGAACTCTGAGTGGATGTGAAGTTTGCAACAATGAAAATGGACGGTCAAGTAGCGGTGAAGGGCTGTCAAGGACAGGCGCTGACAAAACATCGGCGTTGCAGTATTGATGGGTAGGGTATTCCTGCGCGCGGCAGGCGAAAATGAGTGGGATATCCAGTTTTTCTTTTGCAAGAGTCATCCGGAAGGTGAAATTTGACGTCACGCATCGTGATCTTGCTAAGCAGTCGGTATTCAAAGCAAATTGCCGTTTGTGTGGGGATGCCATTCTTAGTTCTTGCGGTCCGTGACATGCCAGATGGTACGTGGCATTGCTCTCAATGGTCGTTGTCGTGAATAATATTCTGACAAGTGGACACTGGAACCTAATCGCTTCGCTGTATCCGGCCTTGGGCAGCGTTATTGAAAGTTGGCAACAAGGCAATCTGGCGTTACGCGCCCAGCAAAGCACCGACAGCCCCGTTTTCGCACGGAGTATTTCCTAGTAGATCTGCGTTGCTCATCTGTTGAGCACAGAGAAAAT